TCTTTGTTGTTGCGCGAATCGCCGAGGTTCTTTTGGATCTTATTGAAACACTCGGGTCATTTTCGGGAAGTGGCGGATTCGCTAATGCCTCGTCCGCAATTGTTTGAATTTGCGGACTCAGCCCTTTCACGACGACTCGCAAAAGGTTAAGCTCCCTCGCCACATCCATACGCTCAGCCGCTGCCAAGTTGCTTGATTTTGAGCACAGAAATTTCCTGGCATTGGCGATCACGAACAGGCCGCAACTAAACCCGTCCGTCTGGGCCTCTTGGTGTTTTTGAGGAGCCCATCTAACACTCTAGTGTCGACGGATAGAGTGCGGCAAGAGCTCGTTTCAGCCCATTCGAGATGGTGGCCTTGGTTTTACGCGAGTGGCTCGCGACAAGTGAATCATAAATGACGCACTTGCCGGTCGCCACTGTATAGGCTGCGAGCAGCCAGTGCTGATGTTGGTGCACTGGCGTGAGGAGCACGTCGCAGTGTCTTCGGACTCCGGCAGTTCACTCCTTTAGCATGGTTGCAACATGCTTGCCGTCCTCATCCACCGTCCGCTCGATGACAGCTTTCGTGGCCGACGGTAGGACCACACCGACCTTGCGGTTTTGCGACTGCACCAGGTTTAGAAGCCCGGCCGTCACAGCACCAGATGTTAATAAGGTCTGGTATCCCGTGGGCAGGTCATCATCAGTGATGAGACCTCGCAACGCGCCCATGATTTCGGGATGAAAGTGTCTCATTTCTAAATTGGCCACCACCACCTCTTCCTGAGCTTCCACTAACTCAGTCTGCCCTGACTGTCCTGCTCCTTCACTGCTGCCGGCCGCCATCTCTTCCTTCTCCTCCTCCGGCGCCACAACCAATGGAGGGCGGTCCTCTGCCACCGGAACCGCAGACCACCACTGATTGGCCTCGACGAGCTTCTCCTTTCTGTCTCGACGGGCGCGGTACTCTGCCAGTAGCCGCATGGTGTTATGGTTGCGGCAGTTACTGGGCACACATGGGCAGGTACCGTCACATTGCACCTCGTCGAGAAGACAGGGGCAACTCTCGGTGCAGCCAGACGCCTCGGAGCAGTGCGAACGGCACATCGGAACAATCTCCTCTGGCTCGGCACACGTGTCGTCCTCCGGTCCAAAGCTTTCCTCGATGTCGACCTGGCTCCAGACAGCAGGTCGTTTCGGGCTGCTCGGCACATCTTTGAGCTTCGATGTGCGAACTTCGATCAGATCACCAGTAGCTCGCGTGCGTTTTTGGCCGATTTTCGGACCTTAAAACCGAAATTTTCGAACTCGAACAGATTTTTTTGTTTTTTTTTTTTGCCTTTAAACGACTTTAAAGGCGATATCGCAGGACTGAATAAACGGAAGCAACTCGCAAGACTGCCAAATTGAAGAAAAAGGAAAAAGCGACGAAGAAAATTCGAATCCATGCCGTCCGAGTCACCTTTAAAGTCGTTTAAAGAATCAAATGTTGGCTAGAAAAAAGCGGTTAATTGTAAAAATATTTCGTTTAAAAATTTGTTTCCCAACTTTCACATATTTTTTTCACAATATGTATTCAAGAATATTTAGGATTATTCGCTTGAAAAAAGCGACGCACCAAAAATGCGAAAAATATTTTTTTGAATATCGTCTCAATCTCACCTCCGACCCCCCCCCCCTTTTTAAAAAATTTTCACTAACTCATTAAATTCTCATAACTAGGTTATTCTTGTTCTATTATCTCCATAATTCTGCAGTATTTTCTAATTTCCCCGCAATGTTTGATAAAAACTAAAGAACTACGGAGAAGCTCAATACAAAAATACTCCAGATCAGAAAACGTTTTAAATTTGAGAATTACCCTTTTGGCTGTTACAAATCGAAACAAATCACTCGAAATAAGAAATATTTTTAGCCAATTCGTTTCAAATTTTCTCGTTCTAACAACATTTTTTTAACTATTGAGAGTAAATTTATTGCCGTTTTCTCTCTAGTAAATAATCATATAATGTCCTCAAATATTAAAGATTTTTTTGAAAAATAAGTATTGTCGTGGACGGACGAGTTCGAGAAATTTAAATTGCGCGTGCTGCCATTTAATTGGTCCCACAAAACAAAATCAGCTCATACTCTACCATTCGGCACTTGTGCTAATAACCAAAGAACTTAAAGTTCATAAAAAATATTCTCTTTCATATTATGATAGTTATCAAACGTAAAATGCGCTCCTATGTTTTTTTTATACCCAAGACAACAATTCAAAGAATAAATCAATCACACCCCAAATTCGCCCGTCGTCGACTATAGAGTATACAGGGTCGGGCATAATTAGCGGTAATTTTTTTTGCGCCATGGTGACTCAAGATGTCGCGTTTTTTGAGCGCTCACAATTTTTTCCAGTTGTTTAATGTGTTTTCTATTGTTTCTCATTGAAACTTAATTTTCCGGGAAACCCGGGACAATCCCGGGAAAGTCTGCAAACACCGCGCGCGCAAACGCACACTCTTCGAATATTGCGTATTGTCGTTTTTTAAATGAATTTTCTCATTTTAAAAAGATTCCAATGCTTAGAAAATGGCGTAAGAAGTCCCTATTGGGAAAATTTTGAATATGCGCCAGTTGTAAACGCGCTCTAACAAGTAAGGAAATACAAGTCCGCAAACACCGCGCGCGCAAGCACACACTCTTCGAATTTTGCGTATTCTCGTTTTTTTTTTCAAAATTTTATGAGTTTTCTTATTATCTTTGTCATTCTGATTCGCGACATATTCAAATCGAATCTTTCAGATGAGCGATTCGATTGTTCGGCTGTTTTTCAAACGTCCAGAGGACAAGTGTGACTCGGTGAAGTGCCCATCGTGCAACGTTTCCCTAAGCTTCAAAGGAGGATCGACGAGCGGAATAAGGCGGCATTTGGAAAGAGTACACAGCGATGATTTTGAAAAGGCGAAGAAGAAGAAAATGGAATTTGAAGAATTGGAAAAAATTCGTAAAGAAAAGAAAGTTTCCCAAAGCGATCCTGTGATTTTACTCGCGGAAGCATTCTGTACTGGACTCATTCCTTTCAATTTTGCGGCCAATAGAAAGTTCATTAAATTTTGTTATTTATTGGATCCGTCGTTCAAAGTTCCGACACCAACAAAAATAGCAAAGACAATTTCCGATTTTGAAAAAGAATACAAAATTGAAATCACCAAAAAATTAACGAATATCGAAAAATTTTCCATTATTTCGGATGGGTGGAGTGATATGAAAAGTAATTTTTCAATGTATTCACTTCACGTAACATTTGTTGACGATCATTTCAAAAGGCACGCCATGGTTGGTTATTTTAATCTCTTGTAGTTTATTGCAACATTACAGTTTCTGGGAGCCACCCCGTCGATAAAAAGTGGAACATCAGAAGAAATTTCGATTAAAATCGTCGAATTGCTCAACGAATATGGTTTAAATATTTCGAAGTGTGTCATTTCAATGAGCGATGGTGCATCCAATATGCGATTATTCGCAACAAGTCACAATCTCGAATTGTTAGAATATGCAAAGTTATCATTAAAATTAACATATTTACAGTTCACAGTGCGCTTGCCATACTTGCAAAATTTTTTTTTTCGGTAGAATTTTCACTCTGACCCGCCTCGCCCCGTTGCAAGTATGGCGCTTGCCATTTCCTGGTTTTGGTCTTCGAGAAATTCGAAAGGTTGAAACCGATTGAAATTCTTCGTACTAAAGCTCAAAAAATTGCTGCAATTCTCGGACGTTCGAAGGAAATTAGATCAGAGGCAAAGCGGTTAGTTATTGTTATTTTCCATTTGGCATGATCTCGTTGCCAGAAATATAATCAAGAAAATAATAATGTTATTTCAGAATTTCGAGAAGTCTGAATGTGACTTCGCCGCTCCCATTACCAATGGCTCCTACAAGATGGCGCTCACTATATATATATTATTGAGAAACTACATGGATAACTATAAAAGTCTGGCCACGATTCCAATTATGCAACCTGTTTCTCTGTTGACCCAAAAACAGATGGAATTCCTCGAAAAAAAGAACATTCTACCATAAACAATTTCTCGAATGATTTAGAAATTCGCAAACACTTTTTTTGCAAAGAAGTTTCAAAAACTATATTATTCTTACAACAAGTAACAGAAAGAGATAGCCACTCAATCTCGGCCAATAATTATTAACTAAATATTTTTTAACTAAATATGATTTTTAACTAAATATAATTATTTTTAACTAAATAAACCTAGCTGACAAGGGATGTCCTGTTTGCAATCCGTCTATATGCACACCAAATTTTATGCTAGTATCTTAAAAATAGCCGCGTATTGGTCAAAAAGCGTTTTTTCAAGCGGAGCAGAATTTTAAAGCGACCCCCATGAAACGGACTATTTCGCATTTTTTTAACTGTCACGGGACCAATGCGCACAAAAATCGTTGTGTGACTTTAAGAACTTACAGCGTTCCCTATTTTTCTATTTTTGAATCATTTTGATGGAAGACGTTAGAGCAGAAATTATAGAGCAGAAATCTAAATCGGCCTAATACGTTTGAAACATTCTCAAATCTATGCCAGACTGTGACCTCAGGGAATTTTTCGCGAGTTCGCCCGGGGTCGAGGGGCGAACGCGCCCGTCAGGGCGGCCCGCCCGAAGCTCGCCCTTTTCACCGCGAGCTCGCGCCAAGCTCGCCCCTTTCGCCCCGAGCTCGCCCCTCCACCGCGAGCTCACCGCGAACCCGCCTCAAGGTTACACATGCCGAAATGCAAATGCGCCCCATTGAATACCTGCTACTTCTCATGCAATTTAAATTTTTTTTTTCTCTTTTTTTCTCCATTTTTCTTCGTAATTTAATTTTTTTCTGTAAAATGAAACATAACAGGCTTATTTAAAATTGAAGTAAACAATCGTTGTTTAAAAAATCATTCGTTGAATATTAATTTCGTTCTTAAAAATTCGTTTTGCAGCGTTTTTGTTTTTAATTAACATTTTTTCAGCGTAGCCACTTTTTTAAATGGACAAACATAGTAGAAGGAAAAACTACACAAGTAAGATATTATGATGTAGCAAAAAAATGACAAATTTCAGAAAATTGGCTGAAAATCCAGAAGGAAGTTCTTCTGGAACTTAATGAAGAAACGGACGCTAACGATGTCCTGAAAATCTGCGAAGAGCAAGATAACTTTTGCGCCAAAGAAATTGAGAGATTTGATGAAGGTAAACAATCTACATATAAACAGAAAATGGTTGGAAATGTTTTAATCTTTAGATGATAGCAGCGGATGTTTAAACGAAGTAGAGAGCGAAGATAAACCAAAGAATAATGATGAAAACGAGCCGCAGATGCACCAGATGTCGTACAAAGTAGAAGACATTTATGATGAAACCGGTGAGTATATGAAATAATTGCACTTATTTTGATAACGAATCAATTTGTTGCTTTTTTCTGCTGCAATACAGCGGTAATAATGTACACATGAGATGTGCAAAAACTTTCCCGGTGATAAAGTTTTACCCAACTTTTTCGCGAAATGTTTCACGATCATCACGCATTGTTAAAAAAAATTTTGTTAAGATTTTCGATTGAAGTCCTATGTTGAATTTGTCCTGAAAACGAAAATGTCAATGAAGAATTGCGAGAGGCTAGATAGATTGATGGAAATTCTAACAGGATTGCCTCCAATATTCACGGTAATTGATTATTAAATAGTGTTTTTTACTAATCATATTTCTGGTTTGAAACTCGTGATCGAAATTCAAAAGTAATTGTCTATGTGGCAAAGTATTCTCGGCAGTCACTAGACCTGTCAGGTTCAAATTTAAAAAAATTGAGTTGCTTAAACGGATGAAGCCCGTAATTTATTAGTTGTTTTCTCTAAAAGTGTTGTGATGTTCATAAAAACAATTTAAAAGTTTTTAAAAATTAAAAATTGCATTGTTTATTTCATTTATTTATTTAATTAATTTTTTTTTTCTATGTTTTATTGTTGTGTGTTAATAATCTTGTTTTTTAATAAAAAATATATCGATACGTATGCTTATATATATATATATATATATATATATATATATATATATATATATATATATATATATATATATATATATATATATATATATATTATATATATATGAGGAGGAAGGAAGGGAAGAGGGGGAGGCGGGTGGGGAGGGGGGGGGTGAGACATGCGAAGGGCGAACTCGCCCGGTGTGTGGGGCGAACTCGCTTGAGAAGAAGGGCGAACGCGCCCGGGTTGAGGGGCGAACTCGCCCGGGTCGAGGGGCGAGCTCGCCCGGTGTGCGGGGCGAGTTCGCAGCGAGTACGGGCCGAACTCGCCCCGCACACCGGGCGCGTTCGCCCCTCGACCCCGGGCCAACTCGCGAAAAATTCCCTGAGACATTATTACCTCAAATGGAGGTTCCACCAAACATAAAACTATTGTTATCTTTGAGTTTATAACTTGTTTCATGTGGGTGGCTTTATAATTCTGCACCGCCGAGAAACGGTTTTTAACCACTGCGCGGTTACTTTTTACGATGCTAACATAAAAATAGGTACATATAGGTAATTTTTCATGCTAAACATGATTCTCCTACTGGTTAGTCATTCAATGAAAATAAGTGCTAAAAATTTCAGTTCGATTGAACCATTTCGTTCAAAAGATATGAAGAAAATTAATTATTTCGTATATTTTTACTGTAGGTTTATTTAGTTAAAAATCATATTGTCGGCGTCAAACGACTGAAAGGAGGCGGGGCATTCAAATTCGCGAAATCAGTGTAGATTTAAATTTTTCGTTGACTGAATATTAAATGTGCGTACGCTTAAATACAAGGTACGCAATTTCACGTGCTTCTCACTGCCTTGAGACGCATTGGCACATTGCCAAAAATTTTTTAATTTTCGTCAAGTCGTTTGATTCCGACAATATTTAGTTAAAAAAATATTTTATTTAGTTGAAAAATATGAATTTAGTTAAAAAGTATTTATTTAATTAAAAATTATATTTAGTTAATAATCATATTTAGTTAATTTAGTTAAAAAATATTTAGTTAATAATTATTGGCCTGGAAAAATGACGAATGTGAAAAACTGCAGCGATATCCTATGTATTGTGTGCGTACACCGAGTCGCACAGTTCAATAAGAGCTACAGTAATCTCAACTAAAATTTATTTATTTATTTAATTTATTATTTAATTTTTTCTCTGTTTTCTTGGCGAATTTATGGTTTTATGTATACTTTTTTGTTGAAAAAGTGTAATAGTAATCATTTGTGTATATTATTCAAAGATAATTGTTTTATATAAAAAGAAACTATCAATTTTTCGGAAAATTTTTTAAATATCATTTTCGACAATTTTTGCCTCGAGCTTATCAACTTTTTAACGTTATTGAAACGTTCGTTTCTTTTTTTTTCTTATACTTATCTGCATTCATTATTTATTTATTGCAGGTGAAGAACCACGTAACGGGCCGAATACTCAGGCAAATCAAATAAAATATTTTGAGAATCAAATATTCAGTGATAAACTCTAAAATATTTTGAGAAATTCTAAAGTCTATTGATACTTTCTAAAACTTATTGAGAATCAATAAATTTTAAAAATTTGGAATTTGTAAATTAAATCTTTTGAGAAAGTTAAATCTTTTGAGAAAGTGTAAAGTGTCACAATATATTGTGAGACTTTAAAATTTGAATAGGGCCCTTATGACTTCCACTGACGCAATTTGCGGCGTCTCTTTTTAAGATCTTCTAAATTCCAATCAATAATTTATGTTTTTGATGTTTCTTCCGTTTTTTTTTAGCTTTTTGTAATAGTTTCTTCACTTCAGTGATGGACGTATTCATGAAATGCAAGTTTTTATAATAAATGTTTAACACTACCTTAAATCTGCATTGTTTTACATGCTGAATTTGAAACAGTTGTGTCTAAACATGTCATTGCATGAACAGGTTCATGAATTTTAAAAATAAGCACAATTATTACAATTATTGTTGAAAAATGACAAATGTATCCAGGTGTCGTAGGATCCTGCGTTTTGTACGCAATGCTAAGAGACAGTTACCGTAATCCTCGCAGCGATTTACGGGGACATTTTTTTTTAATTTCGCATATTCATTTTTTTTTTTATTTTTCGTTCAATTTTTAAATTTTCTTTCGAAATTTTTTAATTTAAATTTTTAAATTTTACAGAAACCGTTTAATAATGTATTTAGCAGAATAAGCACTTTTAAACGATATTTTTTTTGGTAAGAACAGCAGAGATTTTTAAAAAAATCATTTTTGTCGTTAACAAAATTATTTAATCGTGTTTTGCTTTTTGTATGCGTTTCTATTATCTTGTTTTTGTATTCTTCATTTTCAAAATAATTTTTAGGGCGTCAAAATCTTCACAATAATTCCCAACGCAACTAGACAAATGGAAAAGTGCATATTCTGAAAAATAAATAATTAAACTCGGTTTCTACAGGTTTTAAATATAAGATTTCTAAAGAAAATTAGAAAATTCAGCAAAAAAATTGAAAGAAAATTTTAAAAAAATCTCCGTAAATCGCTGCGAGGATTACGGTAACTGTCTCTTAGCATTGCGTACAAAACGCAGGATCCCACGACACCTGGATACATTTGTCATTTCTCAACAATAATTACAATTATACTTCAGTTTCTAATGATTTCGATATTTTAGAAGATCGGGAAAAGTGTGGAACAAACATTCCAGAAACATTGGCCGATAGATTTAAGGAACGAGGTAAATACAGCAAATTCAATGAGCAGGTGCCCATGTGGATCACGGCCATGGATATTTTCCACCTTTTTCACGAGGGAACACGTATAATAAAAGGTACTTCAATTATGTCTCTCCTTTTTCAGCATTTAAAAATTGAAGATTGTCTTTTAGAAGTCTTCGTTAAAAACGAAATAAATATTTTTCGATGCGAAGCTATTGATGTGAAAGCGAGACTGCCATCTTCGGTAAAGTCGCTATCAGGAAAATTCAATGACATTAATAGGTCCGAAAAAGCTAGTGTAAGTTAATTTACCACTTGCAATTATCATCCTTTGAAGATTTTTGAAGTGAAAATTGTTTCTAACGCCATGATCGGAACCATCCCTCCGTTAGGTTCAGCTGTTGTGTTGCTTATACATGCCTGCTACCGATGGATGGTGTCACCGACTCGCTTAGTTACAAATACAACATTACCAAACAAAGTAATATGGGATCGTTAGCTATGTACATAATAGAAAATTTTTATTTCAGATCGCAGATATTTGCAAATTATTAGAAATTCTAATTTGAGATGGGGCGCCTCAATTGTTTTCTGGTTCAAAAGTGCACGTAAGTCGTTTTTTTGCAATTTTAAGAGTTATTGAACGTTGTAGCATCATGCTATTGTCGTTGATATAAGAAATAATACTAATGATTACTGTATTTATTGTTTCAGCAACTTATATACCATTTGTACAGTAATGTCATGGTCAGCTGTCGGCAATAAGCACGCAAGCGCATGAGCACATTTATCACGTTATCAAGAGAAACATGTGCTCGGAACAGACAAACGGGATTGGATATAATATTTTGAGAAAGTTAGACTCATTCAGTTATTTTTTAAAACTGGCAATTTTCAGCTATAAACTATATCACGAGATTGTGACTTCATTGAAAATTCGTTTCAACGCGAATCCGGATTTAATTAAGAAGTCATTTTATCGCAAAGAACTCATGAAATTAATCGAAAAACGACAAATTTAATCATCAAAAATTTGTAAGTTCAACATTTTCTTTCAGTATATGCAACGAATTCCTTATAGCAACGTTGTGCGTCATTCGCAGAAAAAGGAGAAAATGCGAAAAGAAAAAATTGATTCATTTATTTTTTTTTCTGCTTTTATTATTAATATATTAATTTCGCATTAATATTGTAATAAATGAAATGTTCATACATATTCAATTATTATGGCTTTTATTACATTCTATTTGTGTGAAAATTGCTCGATAACGTATGATATTACATAATATTGGACAGAGTTTATTGAGAACAATCTAAAATTTATTGATATATTCTAAAGTTTATTGAGACAAATCTAAAACTTATTGATAAACTTTAAAGTTTATTGAGACAAATCTAAAACTTATTGATAAACTTTAAAGTTTATTGAGACAAATCTAAAACTTATTGATAAACTTTAAAGTCTCACAATATTCATTGAAACTTATTGATAAATTCTAAAATCTTATGAGATTTCATAAAGTTCATTGAGACAAATCTAAAATATTATAGAGACACGTTAGCCTCTCAACGAACCTCATAAGATTTTAGAATTGTCTCAAAATATTTTTTTTCATTTGCCTGAGGTAGAGGTAGTCGGAAGAGCAGCAAGTCAACTAATTCGCTATTAGATAAGTTTTATTATGTTTTCACCTTTTGGCTAGAAAGAAACGTTCATTAGAATTTTTTAAAACTTTCAAATTATTCTTTTTTGAGATGACTGGAAATGAAAATAAGTTTGTTGAAATTGAAAATGATGCCGGTTTTGTGGTTAAATTGCAGATCATGCGGCAGTCATCGTCGACGAGTTACCTTCGAAGAGGAAGAATAAAACATGGTTTGTAGTTTAAAAATAAAACTTATTAATTAAATAATATTCAAATTATCAAGTTTGCTCATCATCGGATAAACGAAAGCCACTCATTACGACGTCGAACCCGTCAAAAAAAACATAAACATGTTATATATACTTATATTCATTTGTTTGAAAACTTCGAAAATTTCAGATTTTTCAAAAAAAAAAAACTAAGACTTCATAGAAAAATTACAATTATTCAATTGCGAAATAGTTGACTTGCTGCTCTTTCGACTAACTCTATTCGGCCCGTTACGTGGTTCTTCACCTGCAATAAATAAATAATGAATGCAGATAAGTATAAGAAAAAAAAGAAACGAACGTTTCAATAACGTTAAAAAGTTGATAAGCTCGAGGCAAAAATTGTCGAAAATTATATTTAAAAAATTTTCCGAAAAATTGATAGTTTCTTTTTATATAAAACAATTATTTTTGAATAATATACAAAACTGATTACTATTACACTTTTTTTAACAAAAAAGTATACATAAAACCATAAATTCGCCAAGAAAACAGAGAAAAAATTAAATAAATAATTAAATAAATTTTAGTTGAGATTACTGTAGCACTTATTGAACTGTGCGACTCGATGTACGCACACAATACATAGGATATCGCTGCAGTTTTTCACACACGTTTTCGCGTTTTTTTTTTATAATCGTTGTGTGTTTTTTTTTAATAACACTTGGTAAATAATAATGACAAATCGATTTCGTCTTTCTATATCAAATGTCAAAACTTGTTTAATTTGAACTTGTTTAATTAATAAAACTTCTTATAAAAAAGGAAGAATTCGTTACATGGTGGCCCAGGCATAAGCGCCTGAAACCGCACTACAATCGAAATAGACAAGAGAAGAAATAGACGAAATAGACATTGGAGCGCTCTAGTGTCCCCTACAAACTGTCTGGAATTTTTGAGTTTGATCATTTGCACATTGATCAATTATGTTGTTCGTCCGATGTTCATTTAAAGGGAATGGACTTTGCAATGAAAGGAATAATGTTCACAGTACGTTTTATTTATTGTTGAGTCTTTCAAAATTTATTGGTGCCATTTATTGGTAGTTTATTGGTACCAAAAAAACGGTATAAACATCAAAAACGTAAGAAAACAATCAAACCGGCAAAAATCATAAAATTTATGGTTATTTTTTTGATCCGCTATTCGAGGTTTTGGCGAAATCTGCATAGTACCACAATAGAAACTGCTGAAACTCCATACTTCCAGATTGAAACGTAAACCCAAAAATTCGACGCCGCACGCAACGCTGCCGGTTCGGATTGCCAATACAGCGATTGGTATGCTCAAATAGCGCGATTTAATATGTTTAAATCAATTTCAGCTGTTTTACAAAAAACGATTACGATCGTAGGAATGTTTGAAGAAACGGCTAAATCCATAATTGCCTATTTGGCCCATGGTCATGTGACCTATGTAAGCTTTTAAATTTTTAATAGCACTATGCCGATTTTGAAAAAAAAACACATAGTAAAAAATTTTAGAACAAATTCGAAAACATTATAAAGATTGCGCAAAACTAGTCTTAATAAGTTTTTTGAATTTTTTTCATAAGAACACTACATAGTTTCCGAAAAATGTAATTTAGACATCAGTTCTGCGAATCTCCTCTTGATAACTTGAATTATTGTAAATAAAAAAAATTTTTTTTAAACTTTACTGCTAAACATTACTGTTAGAAACTGCAAATTTTGAAGTGAAGTGAAAAAGTAGGGGTGAAAGCTAAAATTGGGGGTGAAAACGTGGGGTGGTATCATAAATAAAAGGAGGGGTGGTTTCTAATACACCAGATAAAACTTACTTCACGTATGAATCCGCAATACGTGCAGTTTGTTTCTTCTGTCGTACACCATTTCCTGAAATCAATATAATTTTTTAAAGTTTAACCCTTCATGAATTTTTTAGTATATACAGGGTAGCCGAAAATTACCTGAACTATAATAAAATTCGATGTAGTTTAATATTTGTAGGTCTTTTTGTAATCGCACTTCTGCTTAAGGTTTCCCATCCTACAAGATTCTAGCCTTAAATGCGAATATTTGGCCTAATTTTCTCGTTTTAATCAGATTTTTAAATTGTTATCTGCAGTAAACAGGTAAAAAATGCAAAATTAAAACAATAAATTCGAAAAAAGTAAAAAAAAATGAAAAATGAAAATCAATTCAAGAATTATCCACCAAATTGTGTGTTTTTTTTAGTTAATGTTTGTGCTTATTTAAATCAAAACGAGAGAATCATTTTCGCTGCCATACTTGGATGATGATGGTACTTACTACGGTATTTTTATGTTATCAGAGTTTGGAGCTGACGACTTATTAATGATGGATTAAGCTATTACTTCAACAGTTGCGAAAGTATAAGTTTTCAAAATATAAATTTGTATGGTTCATACATATATTTATATAATTTAGGGAAAATGAAACCGAAATACAAAACGTGGAAAATTCGCTGTAAAATGAGAAAGATCATTTTTTGTACTCACAAATCGGAAAAAAATGAGCAAATTTGTAAGTTTTTGTTCGAAATTTTTTCATGCCCCGCAGAGAAATTGTTCAAACTTTTTTTAGGTCATACACGATGATTTAATTGCATATATTGTTTCTACGTCACTAGAACCATCGGATTTAAAGGCTAGGACTAAGATTTCAGGTAATTATTAAAATATATATTTAAAATATTGACAAACTCCCGCTAGAGAACTGCCTTTGAATTCAATTAGAATGAATAATACTTGCAGAAGTGTCGAGCTGATCGATGATTGCGGAGACCGCTCCAAGAAAAGAAATACCAATCGTTGCACCCCAAGAAAAATGGAGCATATGGTACCATTATCAAATATTATATTCAAATGAAGATTTTTGTTACGGCAAAAGAAAAATAACATATATACTTCAGAGAAAGATACTTCAGAGTGGCGCCCAACCGTTCTGATATTATTTAAGTCTTTGCTTTCTTGTTCTTCGATTTTATAGTTATAAACGTTTGTTGATAATGTTTAATTGCATTTCTTGAAAAAAAAATTAACTTCGCCCCCATTGTCATGTCTGATAGGCTGCAAACAGAATATGGGGTTAAAATGTGGGTGTATCTGGCTCTCAAGAAAAAATGTCGTTCCGGTGATGGTAGATTATTGTTAATGTTTAATTGCATTGCTTGAAAAAAAAAGTTTGGCCTCATTTGTCACTTTCAGTTCTGAAATCAAAGTCCCATTTGGCAAAAGGGTCTTTTTTAAATAGAGGTTGGTCCCATTTGTCATTTCGCCCCCTATTGGTCCTATTTGGCTGGTCCCATTTGGCATTGGCCCTCAAATTAACTTATTTCAGCAATAATTCACGATCGAAAGCGCGAGCAGCGGAAAAATCGTTTGAAGCGCCAACCAAAACTTAAATGTTTCATTTTTCATTCATTATTTGTTCTCTTTTATATTGTTTTGTTTTAATAAACTGCTAGAAAGATTTTTTCATCATAAAAAAACGTTTAAAATGCCAAACGAAAAGTATTTATTAAGTTTTTGACCACGCCCACCATTTCAGAAAATTTCCTTAATTGAATCTCACAATACATACTTGCGTAATTTTTCTATTTTTTTTAATATTTAAAATGATTGTTTAATTTATTGTAGAATGCACAATCTCACAAATCGAAACTAATTATGCTTGAGAAAATTATGAAAAAATACGTTTGAAACTTTATTGATTTCTACGTCAACACTCTATGATTTTGTTTGAAAACAGGTACGAATTTCCAAATTCGTAGCTTTTAATGAGTTGGGTTTCATTTTTATTGTTAAAATAAACGTTTTATTGGGTCCCCTTCATGAAAATGTCGTTTCATTTTTATAACTTTCTTACATTTTATCAAGTGTTCAATAGAAAAATTCATTTAATTCGCATTTACATTACATTTATATTAGAAGCTGAACTCAGTCGACGTCACCCCCTCCCGTGCTGCGCAAGTCATGGAAAAAACGACCTGAGATGGTTTTCATTCGCAACAGTTTATGCCACATTGCGACAGTCTAAATCAGCGATGGGCGGGAATGACCCTTCGGGAAATTTTTCAAGAAAACTTTTTCTCGTTCCGACAATCCGGGAAATTCTGTATGATTGTTTTTACTTAAAAATCCCATTGAAAATCGCCAAAAAATTCTTTAATTAAAAAAATTTTTTAGAAAATTGTTTTAGAAAATTTCAATTGTTCAACTACGCGCCGCGAGGTTGCGAAACATTGCGCCACAGGCTCCGCCCCTGAATGTATTTTTTGCCGCTAGTGCCCCAAAAATCCAGTTTTTTCCACAATGCTTTCTTTGTATTTCGCTGTCTGATTTTCTTTGCACTTGGAATGACCGCAATTCGACTTTCCGGTTGTTCAGATATCATGGATTTTGTTCCTCGTTGTTCAATTATCATTATGAATTTTTAAATTTTTTTTGTTTTAGATTACTCAAACAGTTTCGGGTAAAGAATGAAGTTCTTGACGTCGAGTGAGGTATGAGCTAATATAAAAGTCGGAATAAATTTGGGAAGCTTTCAGGTTCGGTCAACTTTTATCAACTTTTTCCGCGATAAAAAAGAGCACACTTATGTGCATTCTTCATCGGTCATTCCTCATGACGATCCTACTCTTTTGTTCGCAAATGCGGGAATGAATCAGGTAAATATGTAGGCGGTGTCAAACAGACTGAGCGAAATTTTAAAAAATTGTTGGCTACGTGTCTGGAGGCAAAGAGACGCGCGCGTTTCTGGGTTCTCGTAAATTTATAAATCGTAGATCTACACTTAATTTGCGCCATTGATCAGTCATTTGATTCCGACAAATATATAATTATTGGTTGGAAACATTCAATTGGTTCAGTTCAAACCTCTTTTCCTCGGAATTGCTGACCCGAACAGCGATCTCGCCAAACTCAAGCGCGCTGTAAACACTCAAAAATGCATCCGAGCTGGTGGAAAGCATAATGATCTTGACGACGTTGGAAAAGATGTCTACCATCACACCTACTTCGAAATGCTTGGAAATTGGTCATTCGGAGATTACTTCAAGGTTACTTAACAATTATATTTTTTGGTTTTATTTTAAATATTTTTAAGAAAGAAATTATCACCTGGGCATGGGAATTGCTCACCAAAGTTTACGAGATTCCTGCCGATCGTCTTTACGTTTCTGTTTTCGGTGGAGATGAAGCGAACGGTGTTCCAGCCGACACGGAGGCTCGCGAAATCTGGAGATCCGTGGGCGTTCCGGAAAACCGAATTCTCAATTTCGGAATGAAGGACAACTTCTGGGAGATGGGAGATGTTGGACCGTGCGGCCCATGTTCGGAAATTCATTATGATCGAATCGGAGGTCGCGACGCGTCGAATCTTGTCAATGCTGATGATCCAATGGTCGTCGAGATTTGGAATTTAGTCTTCATCCAATTCAATCGCGAAGAAGGAGGCGTTCTCAAACCACTTCCTGCAAAACATATCGATTGTGGTCTCGGATTAGAGCGTTTGATTGCGGTCATGCAAAATAAGACGAGTAATTATGATACCGACATTTTCGTACCAATTTTTGATGCGATTCATCAGGTATTAAAAGATTTAGCAACATGTTCTCCAATTTTGGTTTAGGGAAGTGGCATCCGCCCATACACTGGTCACATTGGAGATGAAGACGTTGACGGTGTCGATATGGCTTACCGTGTCGTAGCTGATCACATCCGAACCCTCACAATCGCGCTCTCTGATGGTGGTCGTCCTGACAACTCGGGCCGCGGATACGTTCTCCGTCGCATTCTTCGGCGCGGAGTTCGTTATGCTACCGAGAAGCTCAATGCGCAGCCCGGATTCTTCGCAAGTCTCGTGCCTGTCGTCATTAGCATTTTGGGCGAGACATTCCCTGAATTAAGAAGAGACCCAGAAACTGTTATCGACATCATTAATGATGAAGAAAAACAGTTCTTGAAGACCCTCTCACGTGGACGAGTCCTTTTCCAGAAAGCGGTTGCGTCCCTTCCAGAAGGCACCAAGACTTTCCCAGGAGACGTCGCCTGGCGATTATACGATACGTATGGATTCCCGGCTGATTTGACTCAGTTGATGGCTGAGGAGAAGGGATTGACTGTTGATAATGCTGCATTCGAAGAGGCCCGCAAAAAAGCAATTGAGACATCGGCTGCCGGTGCTGGAAAATTCAGAGACACATTGGATTTGAATGTTCACGCGTTGGCTGAGCTCCAGCAGAAGGGAGTTCCAACTACCGATGATTCGCCGAAATACGCTTATTCCTTCACTGGTGAAGGTGCCAATGCGGTTTATAGTAAGTTGATGGGGTAATGTTCACGACTATAGCGCGTTTTAGAATTCGAACCATGCGTTGGAAAGATTCTGGCAATACGCAAGGATGGTCAATTCGTTGATATGATTGAAGCTGGAGAGGAAGGGGCGATTCTTCTTGATCGTACTAATTTCTACGCGGAACAAGGAGGCCAGATCTACGATATCGGAGTTCTTACAAAGGTTAACGAGGAGTCTATGGAGTTCAACGTGACAAACTGCCAAGTTCGTGGAGGTTACATTGTGCTGGTTGGCTCTGCTGAAGGCTCATTCAAGGTTGGAGATGATGTCAATCAGAAATTCGATGAAGATCGAAAGCAGCTTATCATGAAGAATCACACTGGAACCCATGTCCTTAACTACGCATTGAGAAAAGTGCTGAAGGATTCGGATCAGAAAGGGTCCCTCGTTGCACCGGATCGTCTTCGTTTTGATTTCACGAACAAACAAGCAATGACTGTGAAACAAGTTAAAGAAGCTGAAGAATACGCTCAAGCTTTGATCGACACGAAAGGAAATGTGTATGCGAAGAATTCGCCACTTGCAGACGCGAAGAAGATTCGCGGATTGCGAGCTATGTTCGATGAAGTACGCCTTTTTTTGTTTTTACTGATATTTTTCTACTATTTTTCTATAACAGAAAAATGAATATTTATTTTTTTCAGACTTATCCAGATCCAGTTCGAGTCGTCGCTGTTGGAACCCCAGTTGAAGAACTTCTTAAGAATCCTGATGCTGATGCTGGTGATAATACTACCGTTGAATTTTGTGGTGGAACGTGAGTCTTCTATTATTTTTTTAAATATTCAATTGATAGCGAATCACGTGATCCCTAAAAGGTCATTTCGCTAAGTCTCAAAACAAAGAACACAAATGAGATTAAACGGAAATTGTTTATGGTTAAAGGAAATTGAATGCTTAACGGCGGGTTCCATCCTCGAAGAAGACTCCTCCATCGATAGCGCAGTACTTGGGGCAGATTCCTTTCTCTCCGGCTCCTCCTGGCTGTCCGGCCTGTCCTGGGGCTCCTGGGTTTCCATCGGCTCCTGGCTGTCCTGGGTTTCCATTTGGTCCCTTTGGTCCTGGGGCTCCTGGGGCTCCGTCGTGTCCTGGGGCTCCTGGCTGTCCTGGTGGTCCTTGTGGTCCAGCTGGTCCTGGTGGTCCTGGTGGTCCTGGGGTGATTGGCTCGGATGGTCCATCTTGTCCTGGGTTTCCTGGGGCTCCTGGGGCTCCTGGGTTTCCGTTTGGTCCAGATGGTCCCTTGTTTCCTGGTTGTCCTGGGGCTCCGTCGTTTCCTGGAGCTCCTGGGTTTCCGTTGGATCCGGCATCTCCCTGTGGTCCTGGTGGTCCTGGTGGTCCTGGTGGTCCAGCTGGGCATGGCTTGCATGGTGGTGGAGTGATCGATTCACATGGTTGCTGTGGTGGGCGTCCTGGGTTTCCTGGGAGTCCTGGCGCTCCTGGCTTTCCTGGGCGTCCTGGGTTTCCTGGGGTTCCGGCTGGTCCAGCGGCTCCTGGAAGGCAGCAAGCGTCGCATCCTCCGGCTTGACGGGCGGTTCTGTTGTGGGTTGGCTCGATGTGCTTCAACGAGTTGACCTCAGACCAGATGTCTTTAGCAGATCCACGGCAGAACTGGACTTCCTGGTGCATGGCTCTCTTGACATTGTGCACATAGTTGTACACCATTGGCAAGGTGACGCACACCGAAACAACGGCGACGACCGAGAAGGCAACGGCCGAGTAGGAGACAAAGCGGTACGCTTTGATGCGCTGTTCGAACTCCATCGGGGAATGGATTGCATTTCTATTACCACCGTCGCTTTTATACTGATTTGCTAACAAAAAACGCCCACCCCAAGGTAAAAGGAAGTGATACGTAGGCAGTTTTTTTCTAAAGGCGGATATTTTGGAACGTTTTGAAGGTCGAACGCAAGATTGGCAGGTTTCGCGAATCATTAGCTAATTGGGGCTATACGATTTAAACAAAGTACGCAAATTAATACATAAGGCGCAATTAGAGAAGAATGTAATAAAATGGTGATTTATATAAAGTACTTGGAATAGTTGCTAATTACTTGCCATCCGACCAAGGAAACAAAGAAAAAGCAATAAAACAACCCAAAATGTTAAGAGGTTTACAATACGTTTCTTTTTCGTTTGTTGTATTTATTGCCGAAGGATGAAAATTTACATATTTATGAAAAAATTCCGGAAATTCGGATATTTTTTATTAAAACAACTTTAAAATTGCGTATGAAATAAAAGTTTTTTAAAAAATTTTATTTATCGGTGTTTTTTGTGGAAAAAGCCTCAATTTATAGCCTCAATTTTTCCCCGATTGTTAGACTGGAAAAATGTTTTCCGACTTTTCCTTTCATCTAATTTTTATGCTGAAAACTAAACAGACGGATATATCCTTATTTTTAAAAAAACAGACGGATGTATCCTTATTTTTTCAGGCATCTTCAAAATGTATCCCACATTGGCAAGCTCGTTATTGCGTCCGAAGAAGCAATTGCAAAAGGAATCCGTCGTATTGTCGGTCTGACAGGTCCAGAAGCAGAACGTGCTATTCATCGGGCTGATCGCTTGGAAGCACGTCTTGCCGAAGAATCAAAAGAAGTTCAAAACAAGGATATCATTTCAAACAAGGAGAAGTTCAAGGCGCTTCAAAAGAAAATTCAGGAGATCGTTGATGAAGCGAATGGAGCTCTGTTGCCGTACTGGAGAAAGGATGCGATCAGGGAGTCGGCCAAAGGATTGCAGAAGACATTAGATGGATATTCGAAAGCTGTGCAGGCTGCCGTTGCCGAAAAGGTACAAATTACAAGCATTTCTATTAAAGCTCTCTTTTTAGATTCTTGCTGAAGCGAAGGAGCTCGCAGCTGCTCCAGAGCAGCAATCAGTTCTTGTTCATGTGTTCTCACCAAATGCTAACAGCAAGGCTATCGATAACGCATTGAAGTTATTGAAAGATGTCAAGGCTGTAATGGCGTTCTCCGTAAATGAAGATAATGGAAAAGTGCTATGCATGGCCAAAGTGGATAAGGTATACATTTTCCTCCAGAACCATTCATAAATCCAATTCCAGACCCTGATTTCAAACGGATTGAAGGCCAATGATTGGGTGAATGAAGTTTGCACCGTTCTCGGTGGAAGAGGAGGTGGCAAAGATGCCAATGCTCAGGTATGTCATTTCTGTATCGCCGCATTTTTTGTTGTTTGATATGATAAATAGTATTCTACCAAGATCTCGCCATCTTACCCGATATCAGAGTAAGATTCTTAGCGTGGTCACCTTGAAGATTGGTCACCTTGATTAATGATCGATCTACTAGAAACAGTTTTTATTCAAGATCATTTGGCCGAGAATTGCGTTGTTTGGTTAATAATTTGAGTGAATTCTGAAACAGATTTTTTGAAAAAAAAAAAAGATATTAAGGCGATTTGTGGAAGACATATAAAATATTAATCACTAAATTTAAAAATATTTCGTAATTTTCAGGCAACCGGAGACCGTGCCGATAAAGTCGATGCCGCTGTTGAGCTTGCTTATTCGTTTGCCAAAACGACGATTGTTTAATTAATTTTTATAATCTAATGTAAGGAGGGTGTTTGAGTTAAATGTTTCCATTTATTTATCTATCTTAAATTATTACAATTGTTAATTCGCATGTTATGTTTATTTTTTAAAGGATTATTTTATATTGCGCCCGGTTCATGCTTTGTGCATTTATTCGTCATGAAGAGTATTTTAGCGAAACGCCAAAAGCAAAACAAAAACTGTCGGACAACTGCCGCGGGTTTCGACCCATCACAAAACACCTACGCTTTGATTTGTGAGACGACGAGCGCAGTAGTTTTTGTGCAGTTTTTGAACTATTGATTTGTTTGAGAATTTAATTTTCAAAAATATGAAAACTACAAATGTAGGATGTATCGTCGTGGTTTTTGAGGAACACGAAGAATTTTTACGGAGAATCCAATAATTTATAACTAATGCATTCCAGATGGCCCGCTGCATTTTTTCATTTCAGTTTCATATGTGAATGCTTTTTTTTTAAATAATTTTCAAATTCTGAGAGTGTTCAAACAAAAACGATTCATATCGATGAAGTTTTAAAACAAACTAATAGATTTTTATTGAGTTTCTGAAAACCCAATAATGCCCAAAATAACCCTTGAAACATAGGACCCAAATAATAATAATGGCTCTCGGTATAAAGATTCCATAGTAAGTTGGTCAGAATATGTAAAATCGGTAGTGAAGAGTCGTATATAAAGGAAATGAATAAAGAATGAAGTCGAGTATGAGGATTTGGATTGAATGTGTCACTTATTTTCAATCTACCCCATCTGAAAACCCTTTGTCCGGAGTATTGAGTCTGAACTTCCATCAGAATTCGGAAGAAAACGATTAAATGTTTTCCAGAATCAAGAATGCTCAAGACAACGTGATCTGTTCAAGAAGACATTCAAGTATAGTTGGCGTCCGGCGACGGCTGTACGCGGGTAGATTTACGCGCGTGCGCCTTGAAAAGATCTCGCCACTCGTGAATGCTTATTTTACTGTTTTCACGTGAACTGCTTCATTTTTCTTGATGAGTTTCGCATTTTCTTGAATTTGCAACGTCCTTCGATTAAAAAATTATCAAAGCGGTCCATAAAATTTGATATAACCTGTTAGTCCTTGCGAGACCATTTCGAATGATTCCCGTAAATCTACAGTAGTCGCCGGACGCCGACTATAATTTGTCATAAAAAATTCCATGCCGTTTATCCGCTCTAATTAAGCAGCCTGTATAAAAAGCAGTTCGGAAAAGTATCATAGATTTGAAAATTATTTTCAAAAAAAAAAAGCATTCACATATGAAACTGAAATGAAAAAATGCAGCGGGCCATCTGGAATGCATTAGTTATAAATTATTGGATTCTCCGTAAAAATTCTTTGTGTTCCTCAAAAACCACGACGATACATCCTACATTTGTAGTTTTCATATTTTTGAAAATTAAATTCTCAAACAAATCAATAGTTCAAAAACTGCACAAAAACTACTGCGCTCGTCGTCGTAATAATTTAAGATAGATAAATAAATGGAAACATTTAACTCAAACACCCTCCTTACATTAGATTATAAAAATTAATTAAACAATCGTCGTTTTGGCAAACGAATAAGCAAGCTCAACAGCGGCATCGACTTTATCGGCACGGTCTCCGGTTGCCTGAAAATTACGAAATATTTTTAAATTTAGTGATTAATATTTTATATGTCTTCCACAAATCGCCTTAATATCTTTTTTTTTTCAAAAAATCTGTTTCAGAATTCACTCAAATTATTAACCAAACAACGCAATTCTCGGCCAAATGATCTTGAATAAAAACTGTTTCTAGTAGATCGATCATTAATCAAGGTGACCAATCTTCAAGGTGACCACGCTAAGAATCTTACTTTGGTATCGGGTAAGATAGCGAGATCTTGGTAGAATACTATTTATCACATCACACAACAAAAAATACTGCGATACAGAAATGACAATGTTCTTGAAAAAAAAAGAAAATTAAAAGAGGAAAGAAATACTAGTAGCTCTGCTTCAACTAATATGTACAAAACTCTGGAGTCATTCATTTTTGCATTCCGTTTGCCATTAGAAATGTCTTTATTTCTCAAATCAAAAAAGATTTTCTAGGAATTCAAAATTTCCAGTTTCACAATCGCTGTTTTTCGATCGTCATTCAACTTGTTTCATCATTTCAAAGATCATCAGAAAACTCGGAATTTTGATCGATTTCCACATCGATTTGACTCATCCCACACAACTACGCACAATTTCGAAAATTTCGAAAATTTTGCTCTCGAAAATTCTTCGGGTGGGTGTCGATGATGGGCGGAGTCAACTAAACGGCAAACGCTCGGAGCCCAATAAAAGAGGGCGTGGTTGACGGGCTCGTGAAGCTAGACGAAGCTCAATTCACTTCACTCGCACCAACAACAACACAAGCAGCAGCAATGGCCAACCGAACAACTGCCGGAGGAATCGGATTCGCCGTCCGCCAGAAGGTAAACAGCTAATCAATACGACACAAACATATTTGGTTGTTTTCAGCAAGAATCCAAGTACATCGAGGAGGAAGGAGCTCTCCTCCTCAACTGGATCAAAAAATTGTCCGGCGAGAACATCAACACGGACGGAGCTCGCGATAACTTCGCCAAATTGTTGAAGGATGGAACACTTTTGTGCAAGTAACACATCCAATCCAGTTTGATCCAAAAACATTTCTAATCAATCTAGACTCGCCAATGGAATCGAGGCAGGATCGATCAAGAAGATCCAGAAGCCAGTATCGACATTCGCCATGATGGAGAACATCAACGCGTTCGTCGAGTTCACCAAAAAGCAGGGAGTGCCAACTGAGGAGACCTTCCAATCGGTCGACCTCGTTGAAAGCCGCGACTTGTTCTCGGTTTGCGTCACTCTTCTCTCGCTTGGCAGAAGACTCCAGAAGGCGGGAAAAACCAACCCATTCAACTAAATTGTGAATTACGAAGCCAGCCCAATGAAAAACGCAAGCAATTCGCGAAAATTTTCAATTCTACCTTCTCATATCCCGTTTATGCACGTTCTTCTATTCTTCTTAATTGCTTTGTAAATAATTAAAATAATATTAATATTAATATTAATAAATGCGTCAACAAACCAGATGGTTTCTATCACACACCAAGACAACTGTTCCCACTATGCGACGGCTGCTTCTTTCCCGTTGTAACCCATCCGACGAACTTTGATGACGACTCGGACGAGGTCAATAAACAACAACAACCTGTGGTGCTGGTGTTGAGAGGAAGGGGATGGGAGTGCGAGCGGAGGAGAAGCGAGAAAATCATAAAACGATTTGGAATGCGGAACATTTTAACATAAGAGCGGATGGGGGGTGAAAATCACGAATACTCACCTAAATATTGTGAAGTATTCCTTTAAACATTTGGTTGAGGAAGTAATTATTTTTCCGCGAAACCTACGATGGTCCACACATTGTCGAAGTGCTCGTTTTTTTTTCGATGGTGTTGTCGACGTCCTCGAAAAATCGTTTTTTTTTTGCCGACTAGCAGTGATTTTGGCGCAAAACTATAAGTGTATATTTACGGGCCAAAGTATGAGAATAGCTTAAAGGTGCACACCGCGCACCTATACGACCTATGTGTAGATGGCGGGAAATTTAATTTCACAATGTCACTGTCCATCTAACATAAAAATTTGCGAATTTACGCGCGTCCAAAAAAAATAATTGCGCGTACGCTAAAATGCAAAGTACGCAGACGACTCTTCGCCACAATACACCAGGCAAAAAGTCAATTAATTTCTAAATTTTACTCAGTCGTTTGAGGCCGACAATAATATTACATTCGAAAAAAAAACGAGCACCCTGTGCTGATTTACGGTGAGTTTGATTCGCAGGTTATCAAGACTACGGTATCCGAGTTCCCGCAGTTTAAATTCGAATTTGAATTACCACCTCGAAAAAGTGCGATGGTCCACTATTATGAGAAACGCTCGTTTTTCTTGCGATGGCATGATTTCAACATGAATTACAGTTTAGAATAAAATCGACTTGGTGGCACGTTCATCTGAATTGAATGCGTGGTGTTCTCCTTTAACTTATTCTTATACATAAGCCCGTAAATCTACACTTTGAGTTTTGTGCCAAAATCACTGTCATAGTTTTTTTTGGCCAATTTTCCGCCGTCGCGCGACGCCGACAATTTTCACAGTTGTGGGCGGATATAAATAAATCAACGAATTTCGATTTTTTTAGCCGAAATGGTTCGCCAACCAGAAAATTATTTCAAATGTCCTCCTACACTTTTCCCCCATTGTACTAGCTGTATTCTAACACAATTTATTGAATAAAGAGGTTTATTAAAAAAAAAAAGATGAACGACAAGAAATGAAAGAAAAGATAAAACTTAGTGTAAAATTCAAAATAATAATAACAAGAAACTATCAAAGACTGAAAAAAAGAACGAAATATTAGGGAGAATGGAATCAATGTTTTTATTCCTTTTATTCACAGTGTCACCCATAACTCTTACGTTCTAAGACTCAAACAAAACAACTTAATCGAAGAGAAGAAAGGAGATCGAGAATATTGGGAAAAAAAGAAAGGAAAGAAATGGCGACGCTTATTAAAATATCAAGTCGCGGTACTGTCCTGCAGGAATATTTTGGCGCTGTGGTTGCTGTGCCGGTCGTGGTTGATGTCTGGCACGATTCGTGTGAGCTCCGCGGCCAACAGTATATTCAAAGTGAGAATTCTGAACAGCAAAATGTTAGAAAATGGTTTTGCGAAAAAATTAGAGTTTATAAATGCAAAATATGATACTATGCAGATTTCGCAAAAACTCAAATGAAATGTATAGCCCGCAAGAATTTCACTTATTTTCAATATTCCTCGGCAATTTTTCATTCGTACTCATTTCTGAGACTTCGAAACATCAAATATTAAGAATCAAAATGCTTAATCACAATTACACGTTTAAACATCGTCGTCGAGTAAAATTCATTAGGTGACATTGTCAATTATAGAAATTCGTATTTCATTTTTAGGTTTTTTGTCTCAAATCCCTATTTAGCTTTGTTAGGTTATGAATACTACACAAAAAGGGCGTCAAAATTCGAAATTAAGATGAAAATGACATTGCAGACTTGTGCATTTAATTAGACGACAATATACATGTTGTTTATTTTTCGATCGATTTTCTCTTCGACGAATTCACGTAGAATTTGCGTTTTTTTTTAAAGTTTTTCCATTTCTTTTTAAGTTTTCATCATTTTTTTAAAGGTTAGTTGCCATGAAAAAAAAAGAAAAGTTTTTTACCGGTTATTTGAGTTTCCTCCAAATAGTGAAACTACTTACCGGTATACTCTCCATAAGATCTTTAACGTTTTCCTTGGCCTCAGGCTTCATATAAAACCAAACATCATCAACGGCGACATCCGACAGCGGCCTCTTGTCCGGATCAATGGCTAATAATGATTCTAGAAGCTTCATGGCATAATCATCCTGAAAATATTGATATTGCGCTCTTCGAAAGATAAATTGTATCTATTTGTTTTACTATTATAATATTTAAGAAAAAATTGAAAGAAACTAGTATATATTTTCGATAATTTAAATTTACGCGTATACTCGAAATTAACAGCGCGTACATTAAAATGCAAAGTGCGCAATCTCGTGCACTTTTCAATGCCTCGAGACACCTTGATAGATTTAAATCTAATCATAAGCTTTTTTTGAGGGGGGGGGATCTAGATCCCATGCGCACATTGATTTTCAATAGTGCAAAAAAGCAGTTCACGTGAAAACAGCAAAATAAGCATTAACGCGTGTCGAGACCTTTTCAAGGCGCACGCGCGTAAATCTATCCGCGTACAGCAGTCGCCGGACGCCGACTATATATACAAGAAAAACATTTGAATTACCTTCACAAGTGAGTACATTTTCTGGCGAAGCATTCGCGGTTTGTCTTGCGGCAGACAAGTATTTTTGTCGTTTGTGGCCATTTGTTTCCACAGCGGCATCGTTTCACAGGCTGGCCAAACCTGAAGACGTTAAAATTGCTATTTGGTTTCACGAGAAATAGAAAATCTGAACGAACCTCTTTGTTAATTGATCCGCAAAGTCCACTGATGAGGAGCAATTGGCGCTGTTCAGTGTCTCCTTGCATTATCGGTTTTCGTGTCCACATCTCGGCCATAATGCATCCGGCACCCCACACGTCGATTTTCGTGCAGTACTGACGATCACCGAGTAAGAGTTCTGGAGGACGATACCAAAGTGTAACAACTCGATTGGTGTATAATTGGCGGGGTTGATTATTGCTGGCTTAAAACGACAAAATTGATCAAAAATATTATTGAAACGGGCACTTACGTGAAATGAACGGCCTTGCCAAACCAAAATCGGCTAGTTTCAAGACTCCTTCTTTCGAAACTAACACATTTGCTGCTTTCATATCACGATGAAGCACTTTTGAACGATGTAGTTTGCACAATCCGTTCAACAGATGTTTCATCATTGTCTTAATGTGTACCATCGATAATCGCAATTTGGTGTTACTCAGCAATCCCGCCAAATCGTGGTCGCAGAATGCGAATACAAGATAGAAAGTTGACCGTTCACGACTATTAGGTGCCGCTGGAATAAATTATAATTAAAAATGAAAAAAAAAATAAGTGAAAACATACATTTTGAACTACAAACTTCTATCAAATCTGTGATATTTGCATGTTTTAATTGCTGCAGCATCTTGACCTCGCGAAGAGCCGTAATAGGAAAACCTTCCTTCTCATTTTCCATCAGAATCTTTTTCAGCGCCACCATTCTGCCGGTGCTTTTACAACGCGCTTTAAATACTTCTCTAAAACATAATTGACATTAAAAAAAAAACGTTCGACTATCTTACCCGAACGTTCCTTGCCCAATTTTATTGAGTTTCTCATAACAATCCTTAACATCCTTGATGTATGGATAAGAAAATGAGTCCATATAAGATATTAAATCAGATGTTGCTTTTTGTGTGCTTGCGAAGTCTGCATCGTTCGCTGGAGGAGTAGGAAATGACGGAGGCATTGTGCCTAGAAATGAAAAATGATTGCTTCAAATAAAACGATTGATAAATAAGAGAAAATCGCAATGATTTTGTAGGTCAAACAGTTCTACAAAAATTTCTCAAGTAAAACTTACTTGAACTTGCTCCCAAATAATGTGCGGATGGTCTAGGCTGCTTTGGTGGTTGTGATTGTTGCTGCTGCTGCTGTAAGTTTGGGTACGGCTGATTATTCATAACCTGCAAATTAAATCAGTAGCATTAATAAAATTCATTCAAAAGCTAGCAAAATAAATTAAAAGTCGTTTGGGCAAATAGTGACGTTGCAAAAAATATCTAGACACTGCACAATAATAAATATAAATGGGAAACAAATAATTGGGCCAATACAAAAACAGTATTAAATTGAACGCAGCACTAATGAACGTGAAAGTGGGCGGGACAAATAGAACGTTTCGCAACGTCGGCACGCCTCTTCGCAAACTGGGTCACACACTTCACTCTGCGTCTCTCAAAAATAAGCGTTCTATCGTTTGTGGATTTTTCGTTATAGAAATGTTCGATATCTTTGAATTCTCCAATATTTTATAAGAAACGTTATATTATCATCTTAATAATACACCAATGCTAGAGAACATGATTAATTTTTTGTTTTCTTACCCTAATTGTCAAAAGTAGCTTTAAAAAATCAATATTTGTTTAATTCTTTGGTTTTGTTATATAACAATATTATCATCTTTAAAAGTCGCACCGATATTTATGTATTGGCAACAAGAGAGAAAAGAAAACAACAAATTGCAAAACGAAGAATCATCGTATGTAGTGTTCAAGGTCGTCTACCTTCTCGAACATTCCCATACAAAGTGATAAGTGTGTCTGAAGCTTTTCGCACATTGTTCTGTTCCTGTGTTCACATTGTTTCTCTCAATCCATGAGGTGTTGTCTGCACGCTTCGCACTATATAGTGCCAAATCCACTCCAATCATAAACAGATTTGAAACGTGATATATATATATATATATATATATATAACCCAGCGTTTCACTCGATAAATTTTACGAGAAGTTACTGTATTTGTGCAGAATCACATAAAGAATATTCGAAGTAAGATATATATATATATATATCACTTGAAATGTTAAATTATATGTATTTTGGTTCCAATGAATCATCATCGAAACAACATGTGTTCTAAGATTTTCTATCTTTTTCGAAGTGTTATTCATTGAAATGAGTGGTACGCGTAAATCGAAATTTTCTTCCCAATCGGCATAAGCATATTCATAAGCGCATATCAATGTTTCTTTCTTTTAATCGTATGTCACTGTAACCTAATTACGCGCAACACTGGTGGAAACATTCATTTAATGGCAAATAATGTCAAGCTTAATATTGTCGGCGTCAAACGACTTGACGAAATTTTAAAAAATATTGGCTAATTGCCAGATTTCTCGAGGCGAAGAGAAGTGTATGTGGCATACACTTTGCAGCGTGTTTTGCGCAGCGTGTTTTTGGGCGCGTTATTTTTTGAGAATTTTTCTGTGTCTCTTTTTTTTATTAGTCAGTTTCTTTTATTTTTGCTGTTTATCTTACATTTTTATAATCGCTGATTGATAGTTTAAAATTTTCATATATTTTATGGCATTTTTTAATTAATTTGGCATCGTTAAAACTTATTCTTCATCATTTTCCGTTTCTTAATTTTTAGTACATTTTAGGAAACACAATCATATTGAACAGGAGCCGAAGGACTTTGACAACTACTAAAGTTAACAAGACGGGTATTTATATTATTTTTATTTAAAATGCTCATTGTTTCATCATAGTTGCAGCGACTTCAATGGCGTCAAATATTGAACCCTTCGCGCAACCTCGAAGACAACCTCCAACGGACACAAAATTCTGAATTATATGCTCGCCTCGGTACTTCACAGCTTCATCAATACTAGGGAAAGGAAAAAATATACTCAATGACTTCAAGCTTCTTCCAAAAAGTACGTTATCATTTTTTTATCTTTGTAGACTCAGTTTTCTTTTTAATTTTGTATTCAATGTGAAGTTATTACTAGTTTTAGGCGATTGGAATCAACGCTCGTTTGGCTTTCGGTTATAAATTTCAATTGTGCAGCGTCTTGGTGCATTTCGAGAATTCTTGGTGCATTTCGAGAATTCTCAATTAATCGGATGACTTTCCCCATTGAACAATAATTTTCATACTATTTTTACGGTAAATAAAACATTGTTGTGGTGGTCTTAAGATATTCGATAAATGTACGATTCTTTCGCTTGTTTAAGTAAATGCCGTTAGTTCCGTGAACTTTTACGTATATATGGAGGTCGACATTATAAGAATGCAAATGACAATGGGTATCAGGATTAAAACACTCATAACATTTTTTTTAATTAAAAAATCGAGAAAAAAACATTTAATATTTGGTCAGCGCGTAAATCTACACGCTCGTAAATCTACACTGGTTACGATATACTGAAGGCCACGCCCCCATCAAGTCGTTTGACGCTGACAATAAAACAGTTAAATTTCTAAACGGAGCCATGTCAGTTCATTGAGAGCCCATTTTTGCACACACACACATGCCCGCTCTCATGTCGCTTCACAAAAATCGCCTATCCCCCGCATGCTGTCCTTTTCGTGCGACGTATTTGTTCTATGTGCCCGCCTTCCCCATATTTCATCGTTTTTTTGTTCGTCACCCTCTTCTCAGCTTCTTCTTCTTCTGCTGTTTCCACTGCGGCTTCTTCTTCTGTTGTGTCTCGTTCGTCATCGTTTTCGCTTCAAAATTTTTTTGGCATCTATTTTTTTTGTTGATTTTTTGACCTCCTCCGCCACCATTTTCAATTATATAAATTTTTGCACAATTCCAATCAATTCTCAATGATCATCCGGAAATCGATTTTCCCATCGTTTCGTGCGTTTTCAAACATTTTTCTTATGTTCTGTTTGACGAAGTTTTTTTTTGTGTGTGTGTGTCACTGCGTGTGTCTGTTGCCCCGCGGCACCACATGTTTCTCGATGAGTTTTGAGCAGTTTTGCTCGTTTCGTATTTTGTCGTCAGAGATAGAAAAAAACGCACGCGGCGGCAGCCGGAAACGGATTAAATTGTTGTGGTTTACAGAGGAATCGCATCCGATTGGAAGAGCAGCGGATACATCATACGAAACCGCTTTTTTGGCACAATTAGCAAATTTTGAATAATGCTCGGAGCCATCGAATTAGCATGTCGTTACAGGTGCATTATTATTATTTTTTTTGAATTACCAATACTTTCCTTGAGAAAAGAATCAAAAGTTTTGAAAATAAATCATTCTTTTATTTATAAAATTATTTTGAATTTATTCAAAATTAAAATTTATTTAAATTAGACTATTGTCGCGATATTACAAAAATATTTTTTTTTTTAAATAATATCTCCTTTTTTATTTGTTTAGATCATATTTCAGATAAAAACTATTCTTTCTGATTAGCTAAATATCGAATAATTAAAAAATTGCAGGTTATGGAAAGGTGGCGATGGAGGAAAAGAACACAAGAAAAGTCCCCGAACACAATTGCAGAAGGTTGCGAAACAGTTAAATGAGGAATCTATATCGGTAATTTTCCTATCCAAAATGTTCTATACATGTGAATTGTTTTTAGTTGGAATCTATTATGGCAGAATTCAAACTCTCAAATACAACATTAAGAAGAATGATGACTCATATGTCGGTAAGTGGATTTTTAGAAATTAAAATATTCTACCTGTGTAGTTTTAGGATAATATGGATCGCGGTTTAGAAAGTGGTCTAGAAAAATCCACGATTGCCATGCTTCCCTCGTTTGTGCCAGAATTACCCAATGGAACAGGTAATAATAGAAACTAATCTTTGTCATTTTCGAATTAGGAACTTATAAATTTTATTGGTTAATTTTCATTAAATAAAAACACTCATTATTTAGAACGTGGAAAATTCATTGCCATGGATCTTGGGGGTACGAATCTGAGAGTAATGATTATGGAAATTGAGCCGGGTGAGCCGATGAGAACGAAACAGTTCAATACAAGAATGCCGAATGCTGCGATGCACGGAACTGGTGAAAAAGTAAGAATTTGTGAACAAAATATAGTTTTCAACTCGAAATTTCAGTTATTCGACTATATTGTAAAAGCACTTTGTGATTTCCTCATTGAAAGAGAATTGGAAAATGAAAATCTGCCGGTTGGATTTACATTTTCGTATCCGTGCGATCAAACTGGTCTCAGATCCGCCACTCTTTTAAGGTACAATTTTTTGTATTCTCACTTCTAGTGCATTTATTTCAATCGTGTTGCCATTCAAAACGTTAAATATTTTTAAATTTCAGGTGGACAAAGGGTGTTACTGCCACGGGATGCGTCGGCGAAGACGTTGTGCAGCTCCTCGAAGATGCTATTAAACGTGATGGAGTGAGTTTTTACTTACAACTTTCATACAAAAAATCTGCAAGGGTTGAGAGCTTTTTTTTTTAGAAAATTCAATTTTTAAGAAATATCATATATATATTTCAGAGAGTTAAAGTTCAAATCGTTGCTCTTATCAATGATACAGTTGGAACAATGGTGGCGGCTGCTTATGAAGCTGGAGGACATTGTGATCTTGGTGTCATCATTGGTAATATTCCGATTTTTATTTCTTCTTCTTCATTTTCTGTGTTATAGGAACCGGTACAAATGCTTCTTATATGGAAGACTCGAAGAATATTATTCACGGATTAGCGAATGCCACTGAAGAATACCCCCACAAAAAGGTTTTTCAAAACTATTCCGTTTTTTTTATTCATTTCCGTTCGATAGATGATTATTGATACCGAATGGGGAGGATTCGGTGATCGTGGAGAAGCTGAATACATTTTCACAAGATATGACAAAATTGTTGATGCGAAATCGGACCACCCAGGAGTGAACTCGTATGTTCCTTTTCTTGACAGTTTGTTGTGGAAACAGAAATATCGATTTCAGTCTTGACAAACTTATTGCTGGAATGTGCATGGGAGAACTCGTTCGATTGGTTTTAGAGCGTCTTTGTGAGAGCAAAGTCATTTTCAACGGCGAGGGATCGAAGTTATTGAGAACTCCCAACTCATTCCCAACCAAATACATATCCGAAATCTTGCAGTAAGTCGATTCGATTGAATTCACGTTTCAAACAAATTTGATTCCAGCGATGATTGTGGTTCGTACGCTAACACCAGACAGATTATGGATGAATTGGGAATTGAGGGTGCCACATTCAGCGACATGCTGCTACTCAGAGAAGTATGTGTTGTGGTCTCGCGACGAAGTGCCAACTTGGCAGCTGCAGGTAAATTTGAATTTATTTTTTTGTATCGGTTAGACGAGTATCGAAACTTGGGATGTTGATGTCTGCCCAATCTCCAGGGAATTGATTGTTGAAAAATTTTGGAGGCTTGTCGAGTTTGAGATTGAGAAAAAAAAACGATTTCAGCCATCGCATGCGTATTGAACCGCGTTCGCCGTCCGCAGATGCTCGTCGCTATCGACGGCTCAACTTACAAATACCATCCATTCTTTAATCATTGGGTCACTGAAAAGATTCGCGAACTTCTTGATCCTGGTCTTGACGTTAGTTTAAAAAAAAAAGTCCTCAATCATAGCAATATCAAAATTATAGTTCAAAATTGTGCAAACCGGAGACGGAAGTGGTAAAGGAGCCGCGCTCATCGCTGCCATTGTTTCTCGTGTCAAACGCGACGAAGAAAAACGGCAAAAGCTGCTCGAAGAGCAACGCCGAAAAGAGGAAGAGGAACAAGAGAGAAGACGATTGGAGATTGAGATGGAGAAACGGGAAGCCGAGGAGCGCGGTCGCAAAATGTCCGAACTTCTTCGGTATCAGCTGGAACGTGGTGCTGAAGAATACATGAAGTCGAATGTAAAGGACGACTAAAAACTTCGCTCAACTAACATTCTTTTTTTTTCTTATGTTAGGAATATTTCATGTACTATAGAACTGCATGTTGTCGTTTTTTTTCTCTTAGGATACTAGGCCATAGCCTTGTTGTTTTTTTTAAATATATTTTTTATTAGTAGGTCTAACTTTGCCATGCATTTGCCATCCCCAAACAGAGATTAAGTCATGTCGATATTGTTTTTTTTAATTACTAGTCGTCGCTCAAATCTGTATATTTATTATAACTATCTTCATGTTTTTATTATCAACAATTTTCTCGAAAATATATTATCACAACAATTTTTTGGGTATCATTCGAACTCGATGGAAATTTGCAAATGTGGTGCATTGGTGTCGTCGATTGCACAACGGAAGAGTTGAGCATGTTGGAACGCGTTTTCCGACGATCCGCGAGACATTATTGCCTGAAGTAAATACAAAATGGTGCAGAGATGCAAGTTGTTCGAAGTTTCTTTAAAAGAAGGGAAAAATGTGCATTTTTTTGTGCATAGCCCTATTAGTGCGCTTATTCCGCCGGCCGGCCAAAAAAAATTTTGGTAAAAAAAGCCAAAAAAAGTTAGGGACATTTTCAAGGTATAGTTAGGAAATTTGAAAATTTACCGAAACTTTGATAACATCGCCGGTGAGATTTTCAGCTTCAAACTTGTCTCCTTTTATTTGCGTGCACGTCTGAAAGTACAAGACTAAATTCAATTTCTCTTATTTCTCTTACATCTCCCGCACATAGCATCATATCTAATCGGGCATTATCGTATATTTGCCGCCCTTCAACTTTAATTGAGCATTTCTTAACAGGTCGTTTGTGAGTGTCAAAATACCAGGTGATCTTGAAGAATCTTCCATCAAACACTTTTAATTAAATTCGTTTCTTACAACTCCTTCATCGGTGCCATTTTTTCGACACAAATAGGTCATTTTCCAATCCGACTCCTCTTTTCGCATTACGTTCTTGCATTCGTACATCAATTTATCAAACCCTTCTACCGAATCACGTCCCGTTATTTGATACTCGTTTTTTGCGCAATTGTATGTCACTCTGAATAGCAAATTAATCAATGTGGATGGATATGTCTTACTCGAAAATTTTCTCGCTTGAATTTTCTGGGCAATTGATTATAACAGGATTGAACTCGTCTTTGAATTCGGCTCGCTGCTTACGCCATTCTTCGTTTCCTGAAAGAAAATTTGAAGTATTTTTATATCACAAACAACAAAAAGACACCTGAAATTCTTCCTCCAAAATGTCCATTTGAAGCTATCTTGGCTTTTTTGAGTTCGAAATCGAGCATCTCGAAAAGCTCTCTGAGACGTCTCAACGCGAATTCCTTTTTCACGCTTTCTGGAACTTCGCCCAATTGCCGAAGACTCAATTTCTGCATTTCGAGGATTATTCCAAAATAATAAATTTAATCAAATTTTACTCTAATAAAGGAATTGAACGTTTCAAGTCGAACAGCCCTTCGTGCAGCGGTAGCTTTGCTATCCATGACGTATCTCCACGTTACATCGCAGACATGATCGATTCCATACGCAACGACGAACATCAACTTCTTATTCCAGCCCTTAAGAAAACAGTTATTAACTCTTTGAATCAAAATTTAATGTCCGCAGATATCAGATTGAAAGAGAAAAGTTTTCATACCTAAAGAGAAAAGTTTTCATACCTTTTCATAGATAAGCGGCTTGTCAATAATATTCTCACATGGATCGCAATGTACCCATCGCTGTCCTTGACGATCGTAGACTTCAGTCCAAACGTGATCGCTGGTGTCCAGAATGAATCTCGCCTCGAGACCCATTGCATTCGCAATCAACGTAAAACAATTCGCCCACTCCCCGCACCGCCCCAGTCTGAAAAATTATTTAATCGAGAACATAGATGTGGAATTATAAACGAAAACCTTGTTTCGAGAAGTTTTGCCGGATTGTTGTATCTAGGAAATCTCACTTCTTTTTTACATTTTTTGCATTCATAGACTTCCACGCGAGTTGCGCCATAGTCGGTTTCTTCTTTCTTCGGCACAGCTAAAAGCTTTATAAAATGAAGTGATTGCTTTTAAAACAGTTTTCAAGTTTTCAATTTACCAAGAACATCTTTTCCGCGCTCGCTTCGTTCTCCACAAGTCTCGCATTTCGGCGTATCGCACCATTCGAAAAACTCATTTTTGAACCAATCGAGAAGATTATGAGTCAAAGCCATATCATTGAGTTTTCCATCGATTGTAGATGCTTCAATGATTTTATCCTCAGGAATCACACTTCTTGCAAGCGTTTTGTATACAATATCACCATAATATTTTGCCTGGAAAACGTTATCTAAATGTGTTTTGAAATAAATTAATATATACTTGTTGGCAATATGGCACAAATGTTTGAAGAATAACTTTCTCAGCCATTGTTGCCGCATGGGGATTGGTTGGGGTTGCCGTATAGAATCTTAAAATATTTTACGTGAAAAAACACTCTGATAAACAAATTTTGACCTTTGTATGGTGTCGCGCAATGCGGCCTCATTTGCTCCTTGAATTCGACCTACTTCGTTTTTATTTTTCAGAATCACAAATGTCGGCATTGCTCGCACGCCGTAAGCTTGCATTATGTCTGAAAAGCTTTATGTTGGCCTATTTATAAAAACAACTTGTTGATTTACAAATTACCTCTCGAATGGTCAACATTAACTTTAAAGAATGAAGCATTTCGGTACTGATTTGCTAAATCTTCATAAACGGGTGCAATAAATCGGCAAGGACCGCACCAATCCGCATAGAAATCGATGACAATTAGACGACTGGCGTCAGCGCTCTAAAATGATTTTCAAAAAAAATTTTGAATCAATTTTAGTGACTACTTGAATGAAATTATTCAATTCCATTAGCGAGCTGATGGTTCGTGTCGTCATTCTGCAATAATTTGGAAAATAGAAAATTGATGTGGAATGTTATAAAACGTAAGCAAAAGAAAACGGAAATATAGATATGACCGCCTTTTGGTGGCCTTGAAAATAAGTCGGCGCGAAGGGCAAAATTCAAACGTCAATTTAAATTTCACCATTTTCGGCCATTTTTCAATTTGATCAAACAAATTTCCTTATATTTCAGATCTATGGACAAGGAAGATTTACTAGCACAGGCGGTAGAAAAGTGAGGAATCGAAATATTCAAAAATTAACGGTTACAACATTTCAGTGACACGAATTATAATGACCGAGTTGCAACAATTCGCTCAAATGATCATATCGATGCTAAATTTGGATTTGTTAGATATACTGGAATCCAAGAACGGAAAGGGTTCCTGATAAATATTCAGCCGGTAACTGAAATCCAAGAAATAGAATGTGCATTCAATTTTCAGTCTGAAATCGTCGACGAACAAACTAAAGGAATTATATCTGTTGTGGATTATTTCTTCATAAGTGATATGGATGAAAGATTTAAGGTATCTAAAGTGGCAAAAATTACAAAAAAAAAATCGAAAATTTAGATTTCATATCCGTTCCGTCCATATTTCTATATTTCAACACTTGATAACTGCGAGTTTCAAGTTTCCTCATATTTATCGAAGAAGTACGGTGGAACGACAACGGTTGAGCATGTCGATAAAGAAGATTTAGATTTGGTATATATTTGCTGAAATTCTTAAATTTTTGTCGCAAAACATCTGAATTTTAGAAAAACCATTTGTCTGGAATCAAAAAAACTTACATCAAACTATCATTTCCAAGCACTGTCGAAATGAACAAAGTGCGTAAAGAACTAATGCCAATAATTCGAAAAAACAAGGAGAAAATAAAGAAAGAATCACAATATGTCACATTTCTTGCTAATAATATTGCGGGAAATTCGAAAACTGAAAGCCAAGATGGTGATATTTTATCCCAGATTGTTGATATTAGGTAGGACTTTTATGTAGATTTTAAATCTTTTTGAATTTCCATTTTAAGGGAATATGATGTCCCATTTCATATGAGGGTTTCAATCGATGAAAAAATTTTTGTTGGACTTTGGTACGATGTTAAGGGAATTGGTCCAAATAGGATTCCAGTAATCAAGCGGTATTTGAAAGCAAAAAACATTTCAAAAATTGATAAAATTTCAGAAAAGACTTGGCATTTTTCCATGCGAAACCCAAAGTTCTTGCGTTCGATATTGAAACCACAAAATTACCGCTGAAATTTCCGGATCGCGAGACGGACGAAATCATGATGATATCATATATGGTTGATGGGCAAGGTTATTTAATAATTAATCGCGAAATTGTTGCCGCTGATATTAATTCGTTCGAATATACTCCGAAGCCCGAATACAAAGGCGAATTCATTGTGTGGAACGAAAAAGATGAAGCAGCACTTGTTAGGAAGTAAGCTGAATTTTTTTTTGCTCAGACGAACGGTTCAAATTCAGGTTTTTCGACCATTTCTTGGAAGTTCGTCCTAATATTGTTGTCACTTATAACGGAGACTTTTTCGATTGGTAACGATAATTGAATTAATTTGAAATTTTCATAATGTTTAGGCCTTTTGTTGAAGCTCGTGCAAAAATCCGAGGATTTGACATGGAAAAAGAAATTGGATTCTCGAAAGATGCTGCCGATGAATACAAAAGTCGAAATTGTATTCATATGGACGCTTTTCGGTAATTTTCGTCGTTTTTTCCAGATCAGACATTTAATTGATTCCATTTTCTAGATGGGTCAAAAGAGATTCATATCTTCCTGTAGGAAGTCAAAATCTGAAAGCAGTCACAAGAGCTAAACTTCGATATGATCCTGTTGAGGTTGAACCTGAGCTTATGTGCAAAATGGCTAGGGAACAGCCACAAGTAATTTTTTAAATGTTTAAATATTTGTATGATTAAAAAGAAAATATTTTAGCAATTGTCCAATTACTCGGTTTCGGATGCAGTTTCGACATATTATCTTTATATGAAATACGTTCATCAATTCATTTTCGCTCTTTGCACAATTATCCCACTTGGCGCCGATGATGTTATTTCTTTCAAATTTTTCGAAAATTTATGAATTTTGACATATTTAGGTACTGAGGAAAGGTTCCGGAACTCTTTGCGAGGCTTTGTTGATGGTTGAAGCATTTCATAATAATATCATCTTTCCTAATAAGTACACAGGATCCGATGAGACTCAATTCAGTAAAGATGGCCATAGGTAAAATATTCTAAACTTCGAGCGATACACAAAAGCCTATTTTTAGAATCGAAAGCGAAACGTATGTTGGAGGACATGTCGAGGCTTTAGAAGCTGGAATTTTCCGTGCGGATATTCCGGCAAAGTAGGAATTTGTAAATGAGCAAGAAACATTCGTTAAATATTTGACCAGATTTCGACTTTCTGTTCCCGCTCTTCAACAATTGAAAGATGAGGTCAGCGAAACATTGCGAAAAGAATTAGCCAGAGAATTCGGTGTGACATTGGATCAAGTGGTTGATTTCGAAGAAAGGGTAATCAACATCATTCATATCTCTTTCGAATCCTTCAATTCAGTGTGAAGAGGTTCGGAATACGTTTGATGAGCTTCTGGCGGCTCCAGTGCGTCTCGAGAATCCCCGAATCTATCATCTTGATGTCGGTGCGATGTATCCGAATATTATTCTCACAAATCGTCTACAACCATGCGCTATGGTTGACGAAGAGATTTGTATGGGATGCTCGTTCAATAAGCCCGATGCCCAATGTAAACGAACAATGGCTTGGGAATGGAGAGGAGAATTGAGTATGCTGATGAATTGTTGAGTATTTTCAATAAAATGATGATGGTTTAGTACCGGCGACACGTGGAGAATATCAACAAATAATGCAACAGCTTGAAGCCGAATCTTTCGGAAAACCGCCGAAGCCGTTTCATGCGCTGGACAAGAATGAAAGGGCACAGATTGAAATGAAAAGAGTTAAAGGTTGATTTTGATTCTGAAAACGATTCTATTGATTAAATTCCAGATTATTGTCGCCGCGTTTATGGCAAAACACACATTACGCGTTTGGAAATGCGAAACACCACAATTTGCCAGCGTGAGAATCATTTCTACGTGGAGACTGTCAAAGCTTTTCGTGATCGACGCTATGAATATAAAGATATGCTGAAGAAATCAAAAGGGAAATTTGATGCGGCCGCCGCTGCGAACGATTTGGCAACAATGACAACAGCCAAATGTATTATTTTGTTTTAATTGCACATTTTGAGAAACTGTTGTTTTTTTTAGTGGAAATGGTACTTTACGAATCCCTTCAACTTGCTCACAAGTGTATTCTTAATTCCTTCTATGGTTATGTAATGAGAAAAGGAAGTCGATGGTATTATTATTATATGTATATTAAATTTTTGAGTTAATTGATGCGTGTTCAGGTTTTCCATGGAAATGGCTGGTATTGTGTGTCATACTGGAGCCAACATCATCACAGAAGCGAGGAAGTTGGTTGAACAGATTGGAAAGCCTTTGGAATTGGATACCGATGGAATCTGGTGTTTAATTCCGGCGACTTTCTCCGAGAATGTCACGTTCAAATTGCAAAACCATAAACGCAGTTCTGTTGCGGTTTCGTACCCGGGAGCCATGCTCAATGCATTGGTTTACAGCGGATTTACGAATCATCAATATCATACACTGCAAAAAGATGGAACATATACGGTGTCGTCAGAGAATTCAATTTATTTTGAGGTATTTTTTAAAGGCACAGTCTGGAATTTGAATGGATTTTTTGTAGGTTGATGGCCCTTATCAGTGTATGATCTTGCCAGCATCAAAAGAAGAAGGGAAAAAGCTGAAAAAGAGGTATCGTCTCAATTCTGTATTTTGGAAATATAATGGTTTTTTTAGATACGCGGTATTTAATCTAGATGGATCGCTTGCTGAAATGAAAGGATTCGAATTGAAACGTCGTGGAGAGCTGAATATCATTAAGCATTTTCAGTCTTGCGTCTTCAAAACGTTCCTTGAAGGCTCAACACTTGAAGAGGTTTCAAATTGCCGCTGTCATGCCACTTTTCATGTTTTCTCTTAAGGCTTATAAATGTGTCGCCGCCGATGCCGATCATTGGCTAGACATTTTGTTTTCACACGGATCCGATCTATCCGACGCTGAACTTTTCGATTTGATTTCGGAGAATAGGAGTATGTCGAGGAAGCTGGAAGATTATGGAGCACAGAAAAGCACCAGTATTAGTACAGCGAAGCGGCTTGCAGAATTTCTCGGAGAGGAAATGGTCAAGGATGCTGGACTTGCGTGCATGTTCGTCATCTCCAAATACCCTCTTGGAGCACCGGTTACCGACAGGGCAATTCCAGTGGCTATCTTTAAGGTTTCATTTTTCCCCCTTTATTTTCTGAAATCTCTTTTTTAGGCTGATCCAAAAATTCGAAGTTTTTACATTCGGAAATGGACGAAACACGCGGATTTCAACGACGAAACCGATATTAGAGATGTTCTTTTTTAGTTTCTGAGCAGACGTTAATATTGATGTAAACGTTTCAGATTCTCGATTGGGATTATTACATTGAACGTGTTGGTAGTTGCATTCAGAAAATTATCACGATTCCAGCAGCCCTACAAGGCGTCAGCAATCCCGTGCCGAGAGTGCCTCATCCGGATTGGCTGCAGAGCAAAATACGGAACAAGTCGATTCGATTGTGTTCAATGCAATATGATGATTCGTTTATTTTAGAGTTGATTTCCATCGTCAACCGCGAATCAACTCGATTTTCGCCAAATGCCGAAAACCGGCTGAGCCGGATTCCGGAAAACGGAAAAGAACACCGGAAATCGAACATGACGTCGAATTGGTGGATGATAATAGCGATAAGGAGAATTGCGCTAAACGAATTAAAGAACCCGTCAAAGAGGTGCTAATTAGCAAAAAAGGAAATGACATTGAATAAGATTAGATTTAAGGTAGAGAGTGAGGCAATGGAAAAGAAAACGATAGGCACACACGGATTTGACGAATGGCTGGCATTCATGAAACGAAAATGGGCGGCTCAAAGAAAAGAGCGGCGATTGATGTTGGCTAATAAGGACAGTGATGCGGTCGAGTCGATTGTTCGTGGTGCGAGAAGTGCAGCAAGTGAAAGGCAATGGCAAGTAAGTGGTGCAGCAGAAAAAGTCCGTTGCGCCTTGACAAATTGTGGACCATCGGATTTTTGCGGGGCCTAATTTCAGATTTGAATTTAAACTGGGGGGAATTCGACGGATGACATGCGAATCGTAGTGTCTTTAGGTGATCAGCGTCGAATCAACAAAAGATCCATCATTTTTCAATATTTGGGTGAATGTCAATGGAATGATGAACAAAATTTCGCTGAAAATGACTCGAACTATTTTGGTGGATTGCAAGGTTTTTTAATGACTATATTATTCCATGGCATGAATATTGATAAAATCGCGTAGGAACCTAGACAAGGTCGGGAAACTGTTCGCAGAATTCTGCCCCGTCATCAGCCAGCCACATTCCTCTACGAGTATAAGACGGATGAATCGCACTTGAACTCGTTGATGGACAAACTATATTCTGAGACGTGCTGCTCGTCGATTGATGGAATTTATGAATCAGAGGTTCCGCTGGATTTCAGGATTCTCAGCTCGCTCGGCAGCATTATTCGACCAGAAATGGGAATTTCGGCACACAGTTCGGCGTGTACTGTTGAGGTTTTTTCTGTGTTTTAATTTTTGAAATGTTCGCGTTCGTTTATCTACTATTTCAGAATCTTCGACCAGTTGCATTCCATATCGATCGCGTCTCTTATTTGCCGGATCAACCTCGAACCATTTTCCTTTACAAATTCTCACAAGACACACGACATGTATGGTCCCTCATTGATTCCAGTGGGTCAAATGCATACCTGTTTATTGTAAACAACGCTGAAATCCAATTGCCTAATATGGAAGGCCTTTATGAAGCTGCGTATCGAAAAATGTGATTAATTTCTGTTTTCTTTTAAAGAAGTCATCTTGATTAATGCAGAAAAGAAACGGAAAAGGGGCAGTTGATTACCGCTGCCGACAGGGTCCCATTCACAATGAAACGGTTCGGATCGGCCGCAGAATGCGAGAAACATGTTGGAAAAGCGTTGAGATCTTATCGAGAGCTCACTTCGAAGACTTCAATCGTGCTAATGCTTTCTGATGTCGATTCAAATCGATTGGTATGTTTGTGGGCCTAAGCGGAAACTCTCTATTATTTTTATTTTGTTAGATGAAAAAAGTTCCAAACCTTGGTCTGTTCCCTAATGTCCGCCTTCATATTTCCGAGCCATCATCGCTATTGAATCAGCTCGATTGGCAGAAAATCGTTGCTCGACGAATTATTCAGCACTTCTTCAATTCATTCTTTTTCCTTGTCGATTATCTGGAATGGGCAAGATATCTACGGATACCACTCGGAAATGTGCCATCGGATCATTCACTGTTTGCTCTCGATTTGTTGTATGCGAGGCATTTGCAACAAGCGGGACATGCGCTGTGGGCTTCCAAGTCCAGTAGGCCAGACTTGGGCGGCAAGGTAATTCGTTTTAAGCAGGCTCGTTGAATCCGAAGCCGGAACGATCTGGCTCTAACTTTCTTTTGTTCACGTTTTCAAAAAAAAAAAAACTTAAAAACCGATCAAGCCCGAATCGGGAATTTAAAAAAAAGTCGAAAAACGAGTTTGGCCGGTCGGCATTTTTTCGGCCCAGAAATTGACAAGCCTGATTTTAAGGAAATTTGTTTCATTTTATTGATATTGCCACAGGAATTGGACGATATTCGATTGTCTGTAGATTGGAAGCCTTTATCCGTTGATGATACAGTCCTTCTTAACCGTGAGACATTCTGCGAAACGGCGTGTGTTGAGTTGCAATTGAGAGCTGTAGCGGTAAATTTTGAACGAAATCTGTGTCAATTCAAATAACATTTTTAGGTGACAGCTCTTGTCCAACGGAGTCGAGTTCTCGAAGCTGAAGGAGCTGATGATGTGGTTGCATTTGATACGGCCAACGTGCTTCCGTTCCAATCAATTACTGGCGAGAAGTAAGTTTTTGTTGAATTGATGATCGCAACAATTCGTTTTTTTAGGAACTCTCTTGCTTGCTATGATGAAGGAGCGTCAGTCGATGGCAGCATTAAAATCTTGAAGCAAATGCTGACTGAATGTGTTCGTCATATTGCACAACACTCGAATGCACGAGCCGACGAAATTGTGATGACGGTGGGAAGGTGGCTGAACACAAGATCCGCGTTGCTTTTCGATCCCGCTCTTACCAGGAGTATTGCAGTTCTTGAGAGTAAACTCGTGCTTCTTCTTTGTGCGGAATGCGAGAGGATCGGTGCAAAAGTTGGTTGAAAATATGTGCGAATCGATGAATATTGAAATCAATGTTTAGGTTATCCATGCAAGTGCTGAAAAATTAGTTTTGAATACGGGAAAGAGCACGAGTGAGGAAGCGAAATCGTTCACCGAGATGCTCATTCAATCACTTAGTCAGAATGTGGTGTTCGCTGCCCTTCACATCACACCAGTCAAGTTCTTCGATGTCATGCTATGGATGGATGCTTATAATCATTCCGGTATTCAACAAATTTCTTTTTCGAACCTTCATCGTATTGTTTAGGAATATGTGTGAACGGAGATATTGAAGATAATGAAGACAACATTGAAACTGAGAATATTTGGCGAATTTGCAATGAAATGCCCGATGAAAGTGAAATTCGCGAAGAATTTGAGCAGCTCATTGTTGGATTCATTATGATGTACATTGAAAAACAGAAAGAAATGGTTTGCAAGAAAAAAAAAACACGACTATTGTGGTAGAATTAAATAATTTCAGCAATTTGACACAGAATCGGCGGGTTTGTTCCGAGCAGATTGCATCAGCCATCACATCTCACAACGATTGTACCGAGTCGTTAACAAATTGGTTCACAAAAATGCAGAAAGTGGGCACGCAGCGACATATTTGGTGAATGCGGTGTGTCGTGCTCTTTCCTGCGACTCAGCTTGCCAATTGGCTGTTGAAGGCGTGAAAGATAATGCGCATCGACTTCTTGATAATTCAATAGGCAAGTCTAGTTTCGTATTGGGAAGCATATTTGTTTTTTTTTTCAGTTGAAGCCGATCAGTCCCCAATTGTCTCGTCGACAATGTTTGTCTCGAATGTGTTTTGCGGTAATTGCTCGCAATCGTCAAACGTGTTTCTGTCGTCGAACGCCGAAATTCCCGCATGTTCCACCTGCCAACATGTAATTTTTGTAGAATTCGCGGGAAACATCGATCGCTTCTTTTTTTTTGTTTAGAAACTTCCACTTGAATTAATTGACATGATGGTTTGTGATCGTCTGAATCAGCTTCTAACTGCGTACCAAGTGCAGGATCATTCATGTGCCAAATGCAAATCAGTAAGAATCTCAATTATTGATTCAATTTTGAATTAATCCGCTTTCAGGTTCGACACGACAATTTGTCGCAGTACTGTGAGTGTTGTGGGCCGTTCCATCCTACAGTAACCCCGGACCAATTGATTTTCGAAGCGAAAACTGTGCAAAATGTGTCAAAATCGAGAAATTTGACATTGAGCGGCGAACTATCGACATGGGTCTTGCAATTAGTATAATTTGTTGTATCATGTTGCTATTTTCCAAATGAATACGTGTAGTAATTGGTTGTAACCCAATCAGTCGCCATCAACATTGCTTGCAGAATAAATTGATGATTTACACTAATATTAAAAGGGAAGGGTTGGTAATTGAGGCAAGGCACCGATTTGTTGTTGCAGATTGGTTTTTGGCGGGGCGATGAAGCGAATACGCCGAGGTACGATCCGGACATTCGACGTCTACCTGTTCGATGGTTTCGTTTCGATTCGATGATTTCGCTCAAGTTGCTATTTTGTTTCCAGATTCATGACCATTATTAAGGAATGTACATGTTGGCCGGAATCAAGGAAACCCGTTCAAAAGTGCCAAAAATGAAATGGGCGTGGTTCGGTGGGGAATTAATCAAAAATGGGTGATGACATCAATTATTTCCGGTTTTTTTAAATCTCGCAACAAAGTAGAGTTTTAACACTTTGATTCGAAAATGCCATTGTGAATAATCATTGGAATTTAAGAAAGGTTGTATTCAATTAAAACTAATTTAAATAAATTGCTTATTCTTTGTTTGATCCTCAAATTGGGTTCATTACAGTCTTCTTCTGACGGAATTTTTTTGCGAATTGACTCATTAATTAATTCCAATTTCAATTGTTTAATTTGACAGAATCCTATTGCAATCCTATGAAAAGATTCTTATGACACCTTCTATGGAAAATCATTTTGTTGAATCATTTTCACCCAATTCTATTATTATTATTAAACCAAATGACAACAAAAATAATTGGTGAAAGTTCAGCAGGAAATCGTTCTTTCGCTGATCTCGACATGTGTCATGTTGCGAACACGCGATGAGTCACCCATCAAGTATTTTCAATTCGATGAAGCATTTGTTGTCATCATCGGTTTTGCTTCAGTTTGCACAGTACTTCTGCATATGTATTGTCTTGCGTGAGAAGTGGCTAATAAAAGGGTCAAACAATGGATCAGATTCAGTTTAGTTCCCAAATTCGATGTCTCGATCATAACCGGATCTCGTTATTGCTGGAACTTGAGTTTTTTTTCTTTAAAATCTCATTGCATATCCGTCATGAAATTATCAAGTAAACATTCAAAAACATTTTATATTATTAGACAGTTATTTTAAACATTTTTGAAACTTTTCGGCTTTGAAAAATCACATGATGATTACGTGAAGTTTATTGCTCGCGTTGAGTCATATTTTCAAGAAGAAAAAAAATCAAAAGATCAGTGGTCCCGGACCAAAATTAGAAGTAAATTTTTTTTCATGTTATCTTGGGTGATGTAAGTAGTTCAAAATACAAATTACTCCGAAAGTAACCAATATTTTAATAGCTTCAATATTATTCTAAAAATTTTTTAAAGAAAATTGGTTCTGAAAATCTATATTATCAATTTTATTTTCGAGGTATTCCAAAAATTGATTGCCTGCTGTATTTGAAGATATTCAATAAGCCAGAAAAAAAAGATTAATCGTATAATTTCGCTCTATAAATCAAATCGCAATCAATCCATTTGTTCCATCACCGTTTATCACTTAATTTTCTCGTCGTCTGCGTCTCTTCAGATCGCAGATCCAACGGGTCCCCGCTGCAGCAGCCGCCGCCGTCGCCACCACTGTCGAATTGCCCGCCACTAGTGTTGTCATCATCATCATCATCCTCGTCGTCGTCGTCGCCATCGTCGCCGTCGGTCACCTCATTACCGTACACAAAACCAGCGACAATCCTTTGGATCGTCTCTATGTGTGTGTGTGTGTATACGGCCACCACAATACATATTGCCTAATCGCGCATACGCACACAAATCGTTTATCCCACCCCCTACCTCGTGTTAGTTTTTTATCGATCGTTGAAATTCTTGTATGACTGGATTGTACACTTCGCAGTTTCAATCCCCCCATCGGTCCTAGGTTGCAAATGCTAGCTACGATTTCTGGTTCACGATTATTGCCAACTCTAATTATAGGAATACTATCTGCGGACATCAAACAATTTTCCTTTTCTTCCGAAATATTTTTTAATTGTTTTTGCTATAAGAATTTGAATTCGTAGTTGACTATAATTTTAGATTTTCCTTTTCTACTAATGAAAAAAGTTGACATAATTCTTCACCGGAAACAGTTTGAAAAATGGAACCGAATTTAGTGTTCGTGTCGCCCTTCATTTCCTCGTGTCTACCCTTTCGCTTCTGTGAAAACACGAGTAAACAACACATATGGGTCTCACAGGGAAGTACATGAAAAACAAGAAAAATCAACGATTTTTTTTTCGTTTCGCCCAAATTATTGCCCTCCTATTGTCTCTTCGAATTTCCGGCTTTGCGCGTTATTATTTGAATTCGTCTGAATGTTTTTCCAACTAATTCCATCATCTTCGTCTATTTTTAATGGGCGTGGCCTCCGGCATGTTGTGCAAACAATAGTCGTCAGTTTTAATGCATTCCGCAAACACACTTCTTGCCAATTTTCGTTTGACCTCCCCCTTCCCGTCCAACCATTTTTTTTCTGTTGTGTGCGTTCCTCATCACACCGTAAACGCGCCATTCTGAGGACATAAACGGAGGCAATTGAACTTGAGACATCCAAATTCGGTGAACACTTTCTTTTAAATCGAAAGATTAGAAAAAAATAGTATACCGATTCTTTTCAATTGGATAAACGTGGGAGGTTACGGATCATCAAAATTGAATTGCGAATTCTTTTTTTTTCACACTGAATCATCGTCTTTTGTTGCAATTCGTCTTTCTGAATTTTCTGAATTGTAAGACATTTTATTATTTCGTCGAATTCCAGTGACGCTATTTGAAGGGCAAATTATACGCGACTTCACACGTTTGGAAAACTAATAATTTATTGATAAAACTTGCTGACGTCTAGTTTCAATTTTAAGTGGAAAAAACAAAGAAATTACAAAATTGGTTATTAAAATAAAAACAATAAAAGACGGATTTAAGATTTTAAAAATTTCAAAGACTGTTAAGAAAAAGCCAATTAGGCGATTCTGCAATGTAAATGGATTATTTGAGAATTCCAATTTTCAAGAATCTTCCTAATACGGATTGGATTAGGAATTGGATCAATGCGATCCGGAATCGTCTCGTCAAATCAAAACAAGTAAAATTACAAATTGATGGGATTCAACAATAGCGATTCGGTCTCGATTTCCCTTTTTTGTGATCGTTCTTCTTGTTCATCTTGTTGCCTCGCGCGCCGCCCATCTCGCATGTCTATTCCGCCTGAAGACTGCCTGCTTGATGTCATAATAATTGGTGTTGGAGAAATTTTCGACGAATTTGAAACCGTCATTTCTCTCTCTCTCTCTTTCTATCTTCGCCAATCCTTCGTCGTGTCCGCAATTTTCGCTTGCTGACTAATCGCTTACTCGTACGGTTTTTTCTTCTTTTCAAATCGCCCCCCCCCCGCCCCGACCTCTTCAATTCGCGTCTGTGTTTTTGGCGGTTAAACGGTCAAGGACCCAACTGTCATTGTTTGTTTCGATGACAACTTCCGAGCAATTCCGAATTTAATTCCATTTATAAAATATTCCGCCCCCTCCACTTCCATCGTTTTCGTTGACCCCCCCCCTTCTGGTAACTATTCGGCCCCGGAATCAACCTTATCCGATTGGTAATTCGACGGATAACATTAGTTATTTGTCGAATCCAATTCGAATTGAAATATTCAAACAAAACGGATCTGACAATTTTCCAATCTTATCCGTAGAATTTCCAATCGGATAAGCTTGATTCCGGACCCGAAGTTTGTCGGATCCGATTGGTTTTGAGTTACCAGAGCCCGATAGGATTCCGACCACTTTGTCGTGCTGTTGGAAATTCACGAAACTTTCGAAATATCACTTTGTGTTTTCGCATCTGCGGACAATAAAAAAATAACTGAATACAGATTAATTATGGTCCTGGGCAGATTTCGTTAAAAACTCAAAAAACCCCGTTTAAACAAATTATAAAAATTCGAAAAATTCAAAAAAAAAAAAACTTTTTTGAGTTTTTCGAATTTTCTGTACATATTTTTTCTTCTTTACAAAATGCTGAGTAATATGGCAGACAAGATTTAACAACTTGAAAAATGTCCGCAGATGATTTTTTTAAAACTACACATTCTTCGATAAACCTTCGATAATCCCTTTCGTATGCTCATATTTTTCGCTCGACAATTCTTATTTCTTCCTCACTTCTTGTTTTTCTTTTTTTTTTCAACCATTCACCACATGAACAATTAACTAGTCGTTTTTTTTAAGATGAGGCTTCTCATTCTCACCCTGTTTTTCGTGGTTTGGGGTCTCGGCGAGTCGCAACTCGTCACCACATCAGCACCGACAAATGTGACGGCGACAAAGTAGTTTCGAACAAATGTGAGAAAATTCAACTGATTCGATTCGCATTCAGACCGTCGACATACATCCTCGTCGCGCCCGCCGTCATTCGACCCGATCAGCCGTATTCAGTATGTCTGAATCTGATTCGGCAGCCGACCGATGAGGAGATGATTGTGCGTGTCGAGGTTCGCACGATGCTCAATGAGACGATCGCCGCGAGAGTGATGAGCAATCTGAAGCCGGGCTCGGCGCAGACCGTGAGCCTCAGCGAGATGCCGGCACAAGCTCTAAGCGCCGAGGAGAAATATAAAGTGCGTCACAAAATTCGGTCATTCATCACCGTCTTTTGACTTCAGATCTACATTCGCGGCGAAACTCTCAATTCAGAAGTGATATTTGAAAATGAGAAACCGTTAAACTACCATCATAAAAGCCTCTCAACGTTTATTCAAACCGACCGGGCCATCTATCGTCCAGCTTCTCTTGGTGAATTCGAAGACAATCTGTGTATTGATCAATTCATATTAAATTTCAGTACAATACCGAGCAGTTCTCGTCAAATCCGATTTGAAACCGTTTTCGGGAAATATCACTGTGAAAATAATGGATCCGAGTCTGAATATCATCTCACAAACGATCGATGTCCCTTTGGACAGAGGTAGTTGAATGCAATTGATAGCATCGTCTCGAAACATTTAGGAGTCTACAGCGGAAAATTGCAATTAGCTGAGGAGACCTTACTAGGCGATTGGACAATTGAAGTGACCGCCTCGAACGGCGACAAATCTCGCACTACGTTTACTGTAGATACGGTATGTCATAATAGAATGGACTGAATTTAATTACGGTAATTACAGTACGTTCTGCCAAAGTTTGAAGTCAATATCAAGACATCCTCGTTTATCACTGTCAACGACGATCTTTCTGTATTCGTGGATGCCAAGTAGGTTTCTTCTTTTTTATAAGCTTGTAATGATATTGTTGGCGTTTAACGACTGAATAGAGGCAGGGCCTTCAAATTCGCGAAATCCGTGTAGAAATAAATTGATCGTTGACTGAATATTAAATGCGCGTACACTATAATGCAATGTACGCAATTTTGCGTACTTCTCGCACCACTCGAGACGCATTGGCACATAGCCAATAATTTTTTTTATTTCGTCAACTTTTTTGACTTCGACAGTATTGTTGAAAAATGACAAATGTATCCAGGTGTCGTAGGATCCTGCGTTTTGTACGCAATGCTAAGAGACAGTTACCGTAATCCTCGCAGCGATTTACGGGGACATTTTTTTTAATTTCGCATATTCATTTTTTTTTTATTTTTCGTTCAATTTTTAAATTTTCTTTCGAAATTTTTTAATTTAAATTTTTAAATTTTACAGAAACCGAGTTTAATAATGTATTTAGCAGAATAAGCACTTTTAAACGATATTTTTTTTGGTAAGAACAGCAGAGATTAAAAAAAATCATTTTTGTCGTTAACAAAATTATTTAATCGTGTTTTGCTTTTTGTATGCGTTTCTATTATCTTGTTTTTGTATTCTTCATTTTCAAAATAATTTTTAGGGCGTCAAAATCTTCACAATAATTCCCAACGCAACTAGACAAATGGAAAAGTGCATATTCTGAAAAATAAATAATTAAACTCGGTTTCTACAGGTTTTAAATATAAGATTTCTAAAGAAAATAAGAAAATTCAGCAAAAAAATTGAAAGAAAATTTTTAAAAAATCTCCGTAAATCGCTGCGAGGATTACGGTAACTGTCTCTTAGCATTGCGTACAAAACGCAGGATCCCACGACACCTGGATACATTTGTCATTTCTCAACAATATTTTTTCGATAAAACTGAAAATTTCATCAAAATTTTTTCAGGTACACATATGGCAAAGGAGTTTCCGGAAAAGCGAAAGTGTCGCTTGAATTGCCATGGCATAGATGGCACGTTTCAAAAATTATCGACGACGGAGGCCACCCGGTGAGTTGAATTCAAACCATCAATTTTCCTTTCACTATCTAAATCGATTCGTTTAGAAAGAGGAAGAGATGGCTGTTGAACGAACGGTGAAACTAAATCGGCAAGGAGAAGCTGCCGTGGTTTTCACGAATGATGAGCTCACCAAACACAAATTGCTACATGTAAGTGCATCACGAAATGATTATTTAAACCAAAACTGAGGTTTCTATTTTTTTCTAAAGGAATGGGGAGGAGGAAGTATTCGAATTATTGCGTCGGTCACTGAAGATATCACTGAAATCGAAAGGAACGCTACTCATCAAATCTCGACGTATCGCGAAGAAGTCAAACTCGATGTCGAGAAGCAAGGAGACACATTCAAGCCGGGATTGACATATAATATTGTGGTTGCTCTGAAGCAAATGGATGATACTCCTGTTAAAGCGACACTGCCTCGTCGAGTTCAAGTCACTACCTACTACAACTATCCGTACAATCATGATACTTCTTCGCTTCAAGAAGAGAAAGAGATCAAATTAGTGGAAGTCGATGCTCATGGAACAAGTGTGCTCACACTTCAGCCGCCGATCAATTGCACAAGTGCGAGAATCGAAGCGCATTACGATATGAGCGGAAAAGACAACTTCACGGCCACCGGAATTTATTCGAGTCTCTACGTCGAAGCCGCGAAAAGTCCGACGAACAGCTTCTTGCAGCTGCTCGCCGACAATGAAGGACCGGTCGATGTTGGAAAGAGCCTGTCGTTCTCATTAAAAGCCACACATCCGTTGACTTCAATCACCTATCAGGTTCGATTTCAACTATTCAATTGGATTTTTATTAGCTCAAGATTTTCAGGTGATGTCGCGTTCGTCGATAGTTCTTTCCCAACAAATGACGGTCAATTCCGAGCACGCGACCATTTCGTTCCAGGCACAACCAATTGTAAATTTGTCCCGAAATATTGGTCCGTTGCATTCAAATACAATTTGCAGATGGCCCCGAAATCTCGTCTTATTGTTTACGCGATACGAGAAAACAGCCAAGAAGTTCTCGTAGATGCCGTCGATTTTAAGGTCGAGGGAATCTTCCAAAATCAGGTCTCATTGGCTATTGACAAGCAGGCCGTCGAGCCTGGACAGAACGTCAATTTCAAAATCACTGCTGAGAAGAACTCATTTGTCGGCCTTCTTGTTGTCGATCAGAGCGTTTTGCTGCTGAAATCCGGCAACGACATCACTCGCGAAAAAGTTGAGTCGGATCTTGAGGATTATGATAGCACCGGATTCTCGTCGAGGCCCTGGGAGGTTTTGGAGCGCCGAAAACGACGATCGATCTGGCACCCATGGTGGGGAGTTGGCGGAAGTGACGCTGACTCGATATTCCAAGTAGCTTCGTCAATTCAATTCAATTAATTTGATTCGAGCCATTCAGAACTCTGGACTCGTCGTTCTCACTGATGCTCTTCTTTACCGCGAGCCAATTGCAAATCGTGAGTTACTTTTAGGTAAGTGGCAACTTTTCGAGATTTAAGGGCCTTTTGCATTCCGTTCTCCTGGTCCACTTGTAGCTATGCGAATGGACAGCGAGGTGCAGGCCGAGGCGGCGGTGCCGGCGTCGATGCCCGAAGCTCCAACTGTTCGCAAATTTTTCCCGCACACCTGGATCTGGTCGGATCTCAACACTACGTATGCCACTGATTCCATTCAATATATAATTCGCCCAATTTAGCTCGTCTGGAGAAGTTGAGCTGAATGTGGCCGCGCCCGATACTATCACTTCTTGGGTCGCATCGACGTTTGCGATCAATGACGAAATGGGATTAGGAATAAGTCCGACGACGTCGAAATTGCGCGTGTTCCGACCATTCTTTATTCAACTCAATTTGCCATATTCGGTCAGACGAGGCGAAAAATTTGCACTTCTTGTCTTGGTCTTCAATTATATGGAGAAGGAACAAGATGTGAGTGATCTCCTCACGAATCATTTGATATTAATTCATATTTTAAAGGTGACAGTCACTTTGAAATATGACTCGGACTCGGGATACGATCTTCTTCGCAAGGATGGAACAATTGTTAAGAGGTTTTGAAGAATTTATTTTGACTAATAAAATGTTAATTTTAGGGACGAAGTCGCCCAGGAGAATGTGCGAATTGTTAGCGTTGCTGGTGGCGGAACATCCAAAGCTGTCTACTTCCCAATCGTGCCATCAGCAATCGGAAATGTCCCAATTTCTGTGAGCGCCATTGGCAGTCAAGGAGGAGACGCGGTTGAAATGGACCTCAAAGTCGATCCACAAGGATACCGAGTGGATCGCAATGTTCCATTCGTTGTTGATCTGAATAGCAATGGAAGCACATTCTTGAGAAATCTCGAATTCGATTGGCCGAGTGATGTTGTCGATGGTTCGCAAAAAGCAAGAATCGATGTGATCGGTTGGTTTTATTAGTAATTAAAGAAGAAGAAGAAGCTGAAAAAACAAATTCTTAGGTGATATTATGGGACCCGTATTATCAAACGCCGACAAGCTCGTTCAAATGCCGTATGGATGCGGAGAGCAGAATATGCTCAATTTGGTCCCAAATATCCTTGTTGTGAAATACCTGCGAGCTACCAACCAGAATGAATCGGCGTTGGAGCAAAAAGCGATCAAATTCATTGAAGCTGGAATCCAAAGAGAACTGACTTATAAGTAAGGAATCATTGTGAAACGAAATTTCTTGAACGAATTGACACCTCTAAATGTTTTCAGACGCGCTGACAACTCGTTCTCCGCGTTCGGCGAAAGCGACAAAGCGGGAAGCACGTGGCTGACCGCATTCGTCGTCCGCTCGTTCCGCCATGCTAAGGAATATGCATTCGTTGACTCCAACGTGATTTCACGTGCGATCGCGTTCCTCAATTTGCAGCAACTCGAATCGGGAGCGTTTGCCGAACTCGGTGAGGTCCATCATAAGGATATGCAAGGTGGTGCTCAAGAAGGCGGAGTTGCTCTCACTGCGTTTGTGCTCATTTCACTATTGGAGAACGATGTGACGAATGCGAAGGCTGTTGCTTATTTGGAGAAGCATTTGGATGAAGTGGCACAGAATGCGTATAGCGTCGCCGTCGTCGCTTATGCTCTTCATCTGGCGAACAGCAAACAGGCGAAGAAGGCATTCGATATGTTGAAGAAGCACAAACTGGAAGAGAAGGACGGCTCGTTGCGATTTGCCAGTGTCCACAAAACCGAAAAGACCAAGGAATCGTCGGCATACGTTTTCCAAGCGAGACCTGTTGACATTGAAACAACATCGTACGCTCTGCTAACATACTTATTGAACGATAAGACCGCCGAAGCTGTACCGATTGTTCGCTGGCTGATCTCGCAGCGAAATGAGCTTGGCGGATTCACATCGACACAGGATACTGTAATGGCACTACAAGCGTTGTCGGGATACGCAGCCAAAACCTACTCGGCCAATCAGAATCTGCAGTTCAGTGTGATCAATGGAAAACACAATCACACCTTTAATATAACATCGAGGAACGCGATTGTTCTCCAATCTTATCAAGTATTCTTACCCCGAGATCGCTCAATTTTATTCAATTGATCACAGATTTCGAATTTGAACGATCCGATTTCGGTGAACGCCTCTGGAAATGGAATCGTGTTCGCGCAATTGTCCTATTCGTACTATCGCGATTCACTGAATGACGATGCTCCATTCTTCTGCTCGAAAGAAATCAAAGAGATGAGAGGTGGAAACCGATTGCAGCTCGATTTGTGCTGCAAGTATGAAATTCGCCCCCCCCCCCCATTGGTCCCTTCCAATTCGTTATTCTCATTCCAGCTACACTCGACAAGGAAAATCGAATATGGTGTTGGCCGAAGTCGAAACTCTCAGCGGTTATCGATTCGATGCCGATCAAAAGGAGCGACTCACTTCAATTGAAGATCTGCAGCGAGTGGAATTTGAGAATGAGGATACCAAAATGAATGTCTACTTCAATCCGGTAATTCTATCGAACTTTTTCATTGTCTTCAATTCTTTTTTTTCACAGCTTGGTGGAAAACCAGTGTGTCTCTCGCTTTATTCGGACGTCACCTATCAAGTAGCTGATCAGAAGCCGGCGAATCTTCGAATCGTCGACTACTACGATCCAGAAGAACAACTCAAAATGACATATTCGGCGAAGCAGACACGATCGCTTCAAGAGAAATGCGGGGAAGAATGTTGGCCGCCAACTTCACCATTGTTACCGCCAACCGATGTCAGATCGTCTTCGACATCATCGACGTCAGGCATGTATTATCTGCAAAGTGTGCTGCTCGCGATTTTGCTCGGTGTGCCTCTTTTTTTCATCGCATGATTTCCATTCAATCTGTTTGTTTGTTTTTTCCCGCTTCTCCCTCATACGGTTACATTGATTCGTGTTTTTTTTGCGCATGTACTTATTGATTGTTGTGTCGATTTTATACAAATTTAGATATTATTATTATTATTATATTATAACAAAGTTCAACTTTCATTTTCAAACGCGACTCTGTTCTTTTGTATTCCAGAAACGTCGTCTAACTCAAATTGAGGTGCTCATATTTCGTTGCCCAGTGGAATTTGCGCGGATTCTCGCCATTCACATCCGTCTTCGCTACACGTATTAATTTGCAAAATTCGTCTTGAAGCTAATAAAAAATAGTCCAATGTTTCTTTCAAAAACAAAAATCGAAATTCACCGCTAAAAATGCCAAACAAAATTCGGGTTCATTCCATAAATAGTCATAATCCGCTTCGAGAATTTGCTTCATTTGGACGACATTGTCCTCTAATCGATACCAGCGCTCTACATATATTTTTTTTAATTCAAAATCGACATTTTCAACATACTGAACGATTCATAATAATAAGGGAATACAATATTGTTGAAAATGCTTTTGAGTAGGCATAAAATTACAATCGAGATTAGTATTACCACAAAATTGTTGCCAATATACCGGAGAACAATGAAAAACCTGTTGGAATTTGATAATATCATAGAGTGTTGAGTTTACCATGAAGAATTCCACTCTTTTCTGTATTCATCGAAATCAATGCTAACCATTTCTAAATGAGAAGAGCCGTCCTTTAAAAAAGAACGTCAAATTCTCTATATATATATTTTTTTCATTTTTATCGTGCGAATTTGATTTTTGATTTCAGATCTCTTACTTTTTTTTACCTTACTTAATCGATCCATACTTCGCTTACGATGTGTGAGCGCGGATCACAGCATTCCAGTTTTCTGTTCTTCGCCACCACGTACAGTGCACTACTGCTCCACTTGGTAACCAGCCTTTTCCCTACAATCATTGAAATTTAGCCGCTAAAAAAGCCAACCAACTGAATAGTGATCCGACGGAAGAATCGAGATCAAACATTTAGGGACGTAAGTCACAATAGTCAAATGGTGAGGGGGAAATACTTTTCTTCAAAATAGGATATAGAGGGGTCCAAATTCTAAATTTTCGAAAATTATAGAGTATGATCCTGGTTGTCAGAGATGTCAGAAAACATCACTGTTTCAAACATTTGTGTCTCTTTGTATATTTCCTCCATTTTGACGAAGTAAAAGCGTTTCTCTCATCGTTGTTTTGTACAAAAGATAATGTATTCGAGGAAAATGAAACGGTCTGCTCATACCTCTGTTTGGTATACCGATAATATATTTCCATATATTGCAATTGATTGGAAATTGAAAACGGTGAATATTACGATTTCTCAAGAAACTCGAATTATTGCTTCGCAGCACAAAATTTGCAAAAACACAACGAAATGGATTTTTTTAACAGAAATATTCATTTTTCTCGAAAATCGAAAAAAAAAACAAATCACGTGAATATTTAATTGGTTGAAAAACGACGTGTCCACGCGATTTTCATTTTCCATTTTAAAATATTTCATTATCGAAATATTTCATTATCGAAACCGGCAAAAAACTGCCACGATTCTCATTTCTTCGATTTGGGTAAGCTTTTTTTCTATTTTACCAATTTTCGACTAATTTTTTGACTGTTTTTACACTTGTGATTTTAATTTTTTTTTCGTTTCTGCAATGAATATTCCGAACCGCTGTGGGCGTGTCTCGAGAACATTCGTTGAGTCGGATCTGAGAGAGCCCGCACGGGTGCCGCGCTTCTCGTGCCACGAGACGCGGACCAACACCCCGCATCGGTGACCCTAAGGGTCCGACCCAGGAGGGAAATGCCTGGGGAAGTCTAGGCGCCCACGGTGGAGTGGCGTCGGAACATTTTGTTGTAGAGACTAGCCGAATTGGCAATTTGTCTGAAAATCAAGCTAGTGGGAAATTTTTTAAGGGTGAAATTAGAGTGCTTCTTTAACTGTTTCCACTTCGGCGATGTCTGGATGGGCCTCGGCATGGGCCAAGCATGGCGGTGTCGAAGTGTAGACTTCCTGCACTCCACTAGTCTCCTCCCCGAGAAAACCCTCCAGAATTTTTTGAAATAGCTGAACAGGCACTAATTTACTCCTCAATTTTCCTTCTTCTTATCTTTTCTCGGTACTTCCCTATAGCTCCCAATTATAAGTACAACCAATCTCCTTTTATTCTTAATTTTTCATGGACACTTGCGAAGAAATGCAACAAGATGAAGAACGATGAACACTGACGGCCTGTCTTTAAAATACTCAGTTCTAATTCTTCTTTCTGATCACTATAAAAATTTTGTTTCAGATCGGAGGTGAGCCAAGCAATAGGACGTGAGCAGCATTAAAAGGAAATAAACAAGTAGTGCTTTGATTATCATGCATGTTAGTTTTTATTTTAAACTAATTTATTCCAGCTTGTAAATCAGAGGGCTTAATTGAAAGCGAACGAATTCATTTCCACACTGCCAGTTGACGAAAGAGTTTGAATTATCTTCTTTTTCTCTACAAAATAGTTTTCAGAATTTCACTTGTTTCATCATCACCAGGATCGCGTGTCGTGTGCCAATCAGGTCCTGATCCCACTGTATGCTTCCGAAAAGCAGATCTAAAATTGAAACATTAAGCCAACTATTTCTGGCTGTAGTAATTATCTAAAAAAAATTTCAAGTAGTTTTACTTTTTTTCAGAAGTTCAAAGAAGATGAGATGTTGCAGTTGATCGGAATATAAACTCACTGTGTGCTATGAATGATTGCGGACATCCCCGTAAGAAGCGGGATTCCCAATCTTCTCATAGGCCGAGTCGAATACGAGTCTGTGCTATGTGAGGTTGGTGATTTAGCGATTTCATCTACACGTACTGATTACTTATGGTACTTATATGAAAATAGTTGTGATTTGGGATTGAAACCCGCTAAAGTTTTACCGTCGCTCATGAGGCTTTTCTTTCTCAGCACACTTTCTGAACACACTTTAGGTGGACCATCTCTCCCCTCACAGTGGCCCATTTCCTTCATCTAGGCCTCCCTTTTTTTAATGTGTTCTACGTAATCAAGCGGTCAAAGACATAATTCGTATACGCCAGATATTTGCTGGTGTAATGTTGAAATCCTGTCACCAGGTTTACGGTAAAACACAAATCTGGACTAGCATTTGTGCCTAAACTTTGAATTGTCATTGCTGGAGGAAATTGGGATGTTATTATTTTATGATTGAATGGTCGATTTGGGTGTCAAATGGAAAAACTCAGGAGCATGTTTTAAGAATTTTAAACCAATGCGAAAGATTGTGGAAATTTCGACTCATACATGTTCTCAGTAGTCCAAGTGTTCCGAGACGCTTGTCGTAGAGACTATGAAGAACGTAAAAAGAGTACAATCAAATATAGATTGGGGAAAAGCTGATTTTAGATTGAATTTTTGTCATTTTGAATTTCCCAAACACGATTTTTCAAAATTAAGAAGACTTTTTTAGTATAGGAAAATTAAGTCAACAATCAGAGTTAAATCATATTCGCTTTCCTACTTCATACAACAGTTGCTCCTTCAATCGTTCGTTTATAGTTATAACAAGAAATCGTCTTTTTCTACGACAGCTTGTTTTTAAAATAATTGTTTTTGTTTATTTTTTACAAAAGGAAACACGATTTTTTGCGTAAATTCTGCTGTTTGCTCTTTTATTTATTTTTTTCTCGTTTTCATGTTCGACCGACGAAAATTTTGACGAAATAGAGCATTCTTGCGAATGATTTAGGTGCTCGACGCAATGATTTTCCGGCTCCAGAGCGTCATTTCACTCGATCCAATTATGCATGAACAATTTGTGTGTCGTTTCCGTTTCGATTTTATTCATATTCTCCGTTTTTTGGCCACTTGACTGACAGACCCCATCATCGGGTTTACCTAAAACTAATTGAATTGACGATACTTCCATTGTGCAAGAAAAAAAACCGACCATTTTTAAACTATAGTCGTTGTTCGACGACTGGTCTCCGCGGGTAGATTTACGAGTGCGCCTTGAAACGGTCTCGCCACGCGTGATTGCTTGTTTTGCTATTTTCACGTAAACAATTAATTTTTTTTTATGAATTTTGCATTTTCTTGAATTTCCGACCACAATAGTTCAAAAATGAGTTTTTTTTTCGAGCACGTGATACTTTTACGGATTTTAATGGAAGTATGGCCATCAAAATCAGTGAATGTAAACTTAAATTGATTTTTTGATCCGAATTAGGAACCACTTGATCTTCTTCTCGTTTACTCATCAGCGAAAACAAATCGGATACATGGACACCTGTTCGGTCGAAGAACACCACGTGTTCATTTGATATGATAGATTGAAAACCACTAACAACAAGCATCTCCGTCCAATGTTTTTTTTTACTTCTGCTCTTGCTCGGTTTCTTTTTTTTTATTGCCCAGGGGAAATTTTGGCACTAAAAATTTGCAAGTTAATCGAAATATTAATGCGAAATTTTGTGAATACCAGTTGGATCGAAAAATGCATCATTTTTGAAAGCGACGAATTCGCTGTGCGCATAGCGACTTAAAAAATTTTTTGTATCAATATTCTGCACGAAAATGAGAAGTGAATGTGATTTAAAAAAAAAGATTATTAAGACAATTGCATAAATTTCCATGTTTTTTTTTTGCCGTTTCATCACACATAAATATACACAAGTTTTTGCCAACTTATTTATTTTCTTTTGCTTATGATAGTAAATTTTGGTGATAATTTAAATGCCAATTGACAGTATTATAGTGATTTTGTCCATCTCTTACCAGCTATGTACGTTGTCGCACAGTTATTGCAGAATATATTATATAATGTCGACGTCGCGCGCGACTGCGAAAATCTGGCTAAATCCCAAAAAATGGTAGTGGGCTTGGCGGAAAACGTAAAGTGTAGATTTACGAGCTTATACCAAAAGGAAAAGGTTAAAGGCACACCGCGCACCAGGGCTGTGCGGCAATGGAATTGCCGATTGCCGAAATTGCCGATTTTTCAAATTGCCGAATTGCCGAAGAGAACGTTCGATCGGCAAATTGTCGAATTGCCGAAATTTTGATTTTCGGCAATTTGATATCAAAAAAAAATCGGCAAAACAATAATCAATGTCCATTGAATAATTTGGGATACCGTGAAAATTCGGTATTTATATTTCGAATTATCGTTGAAAACATTTAATTGCCGAAATTTTGATTTTCGGCATTTTGCCGAATTGCCGAAATTTTGATTTTCGGCAAATTGCCGAATTGCCGAAATTTCCGATTGCCGCACAGCCCTGCCGCGCACCGAGACCTCTTTTTTTATTTTTTAGCATTTAGCCAATTTTCCGCAGTCGCGCGCGACGTTTACAATTTAAATTAAAAAAATTTTTTTCTACTGCGGCCCTTATTTTGAAAAACGTTGCCAACTAGACCATGGAAATGGACCACTTATGGGTAAGATGGTCCGTTTAGCGGTTCTAGACCTATGTATTATTACCTACCGGTGAATAGCCTTCAAGGGTTCAAATCCTTGATATTTTTTTCTGAATTATTGATTAGTATATTAATTATTGAAAATCAGTCGTTATATTTTGGAATTTTTGATCCTAACAGCAACAATTAGTGTTATTCGAACCACAAGAGGTTGTCCAAAAGTGCTTCTCGATAATCTCAACTCTCCTCTTGTTTCGCTTCGTTTTTGTTTTCTCTTTTTGCAGAATTTCTTGGGTTTTCGTTTTATCGTGTCGGGATTTGATTAATTCGGTTTGAGTCGAATTCCACTCAATTCGCTGTGCGGTGTTCCATTATCTCCTACAACATTCCTTTCATCTTCTCGTTGCGGTTCGGCATTCTCGAAAAAAAATGCGAGGGTCCATGGAGAAAAAAAATGTAAAGGAACCAGGCGCTCACGAGCGGGCGCGCGCGAGCGAGCGAACACACTCACACACATTCACGAAAATCGGACGATGATTCGAAAGGAGCCATTCTTCGTCGTCGTCGTTGGTCCCCGGGGAATCGGTCAACCCGCTGAAAATGTTACAAATCTCGGCATTCGTCTATTTCTCCGGGCAACCGATCCGCCCAATGTAGGGAACCACTTCGAACCCAACGAATTGTTCGAAATTTTTTGATCTCTTCGTTCAGCCTTTTCCTAACTCAGGATCTGCGTCTCTTTCTTGACAAGATAAGACGCATTCATCATAATTTGAGAACGTCTCAAGCAAAAAAAAGAAGAGTTTGAAGGACCGCGGCTGCGAGAAAAAAAAATTTTTTTGATGATGAGAAGAAGATGAAGAAGAGTGGGGGAGAAGACACTGCACTCGCCATCACCTATTGAATTTCACTCACTTTTTTTCTGAGTTCCTTTATTCATTTTGCACATTTCCTGATGTCTTAAATTTTGAACATATCCGATAAACCCCCCGTATCGTCTTGTCTAGAACAATTGGAGGAACTTCCAACTCTTTGTTTCTTTTTTGTAACTTTTTCTTTAGTGTTTAGCTGTCATAAATGTGACTTCCTTTTACAGTAACCCTGGCAGATTGAAAATAAATCAAAATCGAACTATTTTTTTTTCTCAAACCAATTATTTTTAATAGCTATCGATTCTGCAACGCAATTTAAACGTTTCAAACCATTCTTTTGAATGAACAGGGTTGCTTGCCAAATCCGAACGTTTCTCGAATATTCCCTTCGTTTTTAGTATTTCTTCTTCCTCGAACAACTTCCTGGTGGTGACGCCAATTGCGGATCGAAACCCAAACGTTTTGCATGAAAACACAACGTTTTTTAAAATCTTTTTTTTTCTCGATAGTTTAGAAATGTGAAGAATTTTTAAATAAATGTCAAATTCCGCCCCTTTCATAAAGATTATCCAATATATTGTGGAAAAATGACGAATGTGAAAAACTGCACCGATATCCTATGCATTGTGTGCGTACACCGAGTCGCACATCTCCATCTTAGCTACAGTAATCTCAACTGAAAATTATTTAATCAATTGTTTTTTTTTAATCTTTTTTTTGCGTTTTCTTGGCGAATTTATGGTTTTATTTGTGGTGTTGTGTTGAAAAAATGTAATAATAGTTATTATTGTATATTATTTAAAGTTAATTTTTTTATATAAAAAGAAACGATCAATAATTAATTAAATAATTTTCAGTTAAGATTACTGTAGCAAGATGGAGATGTGCGACTCGGTGTACGCACACAATGCATAGGATATTGCCGCAGTTTTTCACATTCGTCATTTTTCCACAATATAATCGACTTAAAAAATCATTGAAGATTTACACCTTACGTTTTCGTTATTTTGCTCTTTTAATCCCAGATTTCCGACGTAGAACTATTCTGAAAACAGTGAGCATCATCATTGCATTTTATTTTCAGTCGTTTTCTAGTTTAACTCGAATTTTGGCCACGGCCGTGGAATTATACTCTCATTTAGACGTCTCAAATTCACTATACTAGCGAACTTAGGACGGGCCTAATGGAAATCTGGAAAGTAAACAAAACAAATTCAAAAAAGCAAGAGAAAAAGGGAGAGAGAGAGAGAGATACCTGATACACCTGTGGGGGGCTCCCATGCCTTCTGGCCGACCCCCACCGAATCTCACGTCATTTTAGAGCAGCGCGACGAATTAGTTGCAATTTCGACGCTCACTGTCAATTTCGTCGTTTGACACCTAACCTGCAAAAACCGAAATAGTTTCGTGTTGACGAGCTTGTGAAATTAATTTCAACTCGACGATGTCCGTCGTCGCTCTTGCTTTTCTCTTAAGGAAACAATGTAAAAGTGTTGAGTGTTTTTGGCTTCAAGTACCCACCGCCCGCTGCTCCGACTATTGAGCCTTCCGATAACTGATACACACGCTCGCTTCACGTCGTGTTCCTCAATTCTTATCACCCTTTTTGCCTACTACGCTCTTAAATATTATCGTTGGTGTGTGTGTGTGTGCTGATGGGCCATTCTTTCCGTGCCGCTATCGATTGTTCTTATTTAATGGGGGGCTCGATTACATTATGTCGGCAAAGATTAAACACTTTATTTTATGAGTTTTGTTCAATTTCCACTGAATCTTCTTCATTCAATCGTCTTTGTTCGAATTTCGAATGAAGAAAACAGATGGCCTTTGTAGTTTGACCAAAAACAGAGCAAATTTGAAACTCCACTTTAAAAAGTTCTTACCGCCCTCTTCAACATGAATAATTTCGAAAATGGTCTAGACTCGAGATTGCATAAAGCCTATATAAGATTTTATTTTTATAACAAAAGAAAACGCCAGTCGAATATTAATTTCAATGGTTGAACGTTGTCGATTCCTGCGGAAGCGCTCACACCCACTCGTTTCAATCCTTTCCTTCTTCGCGCGAATATTTCGTTCAAATGATCATTTTATGAATTTTCTTTATTCGAAATTTATTCAGATATTTTGAATATTGTGTGAGAGTTGCTGAAATTGAATTATTCGCATTTGTTGTAAAAATGGACAGGTGAAATAGGTTCGAATCGAAGAAAATTTTATTAATTTCATTCACTTCTGAATTCTAAATATGTTTGAAAACGAAATTTTATTTATGCGACTAATTAAAATTTGGAACTCCCCCCGACAAAACACACATACAACACAACAATTTATGAAATTCCCACGGTCTTAACCATCTCGAAATATTTTGGCGACATCTCTTGTTTTCGTGGTCAATAATAATGAGAATTGTCTTCAACCGACTAGCAGCTCTTTTCATTTTTTTTTGGTATTTGGCTTCATGACACTCGAATTTGATGTTTCCTTGATGCCCTGGCCGATGCATTTATGAGATTTCTTTGCTTCATTTGTTCCCCTACTTCGCTTTGGCTCAATTCGTACTATTCGAGCTACGGGCAATATTATATATATATTTTTTTTAATCTTAAACTGCTAAACGATGTTCTCATTAACTTCAATTTCTCTTCTCCTCCATCGCCATCCGTAATTTAATGGATAATTACAGTACAATTATCTCATGGCGTCCTTCGGAATTTTTTTTTGCGGGACAACACGTTTTTCCATTCCAATGTTGCCAACAACGACGACAAGGTCGTTGAAAAATGCAAATTCGTATTTTTTTTTGAACTGTGACGATTTAATGGAATAGGCGAAAAACCAAATTTGGAATTTGAATTAATGAGATGGCAACTGAAATAATCGAATTCGTTTTGTTTATGCTCGGTTTTAAAGTTGAAAATTCCAAAAAAAAAAGAAGTCTGCAGAAGTCTCCTTTAGCAGAGTCCGCGTAGAATTTCAGCACGCAATTTCTAATAAGAGTCTGTTGAGCGTCTGCGGCAAATCAGTGCGACTTTCCCGAGGGGCGAAACCAGTACAATTTTCAGTGTTTTCTATCCAAATTCCCTCTTCCTCTGGAAACTTCTTTGTACCCTCCATTCGTTTTTTTTTTCAATTTCCAATTGGTCTCATAAAACTTGCAATATATCTCTTCGCTTTTATTTTATTTTCATTTCAAGTCATAAAATCCTTTTCTTTCGTCAATTTTTTCGTTTCCGAAGGCCGCGTTTCGTTGTCTTGCTCTTATCCTGATTAGGATTAAAAGTGCATTTCACGCATGACCGATTTTGCGCACTTCTTCCTAATAAGAGGTGTCGCAATCAGATTGGCAGCAGCAACTCACCTTCGTATTCTTCGCATAATCCCGTTGAGGGCGCAGGTGTCGATGGCTAATCGAATTTTTTCTAGTCGAAGGCGCCGAATGTCCAAATTGGTGACGGTGATCGCGGTGAGCACAAACAGCAGCTAGCTTTCGAATAATGCCAACCGACTACCGTTGTCGTCGCTCCATCTTCATTGTTCTCTTTCAACTCGTCGCGACGGTCTCGTCGCGATCGATTCTGCGTGGCGAGCATGTTGTCCACACACCGCTGGGAACCATTCGAGGAATCGGTCAGGTACGCCAATTTTATGTCGAATTCGTGTGAGTCCATTGAAATGAATAAAAAAACCACCTCCAATATAACTAAATTCCATCAGGAAGAAACTCGATCCACAAAAATTCTGTGGATAAGATTGTAAAATTTTTATAGTCGATTGGATTTTTTTGTTGATATTTTCGTATCCGATTTGCGAAAATTTGCTAATTCAGATCTGATTGATTTCGAGTTACCACTATTTCTCATGATAATCGGTATCTAAATGAAGAAAAATAGACATATATTGTCGAATTAGGACTACTCATACCAATAATTGTTTTTCTTCCTCGTTCGTCAATCCTTTACTCATTTTTCTCTTCAAAGTTTTCGAAAAATGCGGAAAAATAACACACAGAATAAAAAATTACAGTACTGACTTCTCGTCGTGACCCGCACAACTGTGTGCATAGGGAATTTAAATGAAAAAATTGATTTTTTTTTAAATTGTTTTTTGTTGTATGAATAGGCCCATAAATGCATTATCGCAAAATAATCAGTGATATGTTTGCAGTCAATCGATGATGCCAAGGTATCAGCATTTCTTGGTGTTCCCTATGCAAAACCTCCAATCGGTTCGCGTCGCTTCAGAATGGCTGAAATGATCGATCGGTGGAGTGGCGAGCTGGAAGCGAAAAATCTTGCGAAAACATGTTATCTTACTGCCGACAACACGTTCCCGCAGTTTCCTGGTGCTGAAATGTGGAATCCGCCGGGCGCCATCTCTGAGGATTGCCTCAATATGAACATCTGGGTTCCGGAAAACCATGATGGGTCGGTGATGGTTTGGATTTATGGCGGCGGATTTTTCAGCGGAACACCGTCGCTAGACTTATATAGTGGAACAGTATTAGCGGCCAAAGAGAACACGATTGTAGTCAATGTAAATTATAGGTAAGGACCACCAAAATCAGTAATATGAAAACGGTTTGGCGTTTTAAGGCTCGGTCCATTTGGATTTTTGTACTTTGGAGATGATTCGCCGATTCAAGGTAACATGGGATTGATGGATCAGCAACTAGCATTGAAGTGGATTCATCAGAACATTGGGGCATTTGGTGGTGACCCGACGAGAATGAGCATGTTCGCCGAATCTGCAGGATCGGCTTCCGCCACAGCGCATCTTTTTGCTCCGAATTCGTTCAATTACTATCAAAATATTATAGCAATGGTAAGCTATAAGAGGGTTCACGTAATAGAATATCTTTCAGAGCGGCTCAATTATCAATTCCTGGGCAACTGCGAAACCGCAAACACTTCTAGAAAGGTCGATGAAACTCGCCAAGCGGGTTAACTGCAGTTCAGTAGATCAAAAAGCAATCGCCAAATGTCTGTCGAACGTGCCGGCTCATTTGATCCAGCAAGAAGCCGATAACATATCAGGCGACATCGGGCCACCAATGACTTTCGCGTTCGTTCCTGTCTCGGCTGATGTCAATTTCTTCCAAGTATTTTCATTTACTGACGTCAACAAGACCAGAAATTATTGTTCAGGGCGATGTATTCGAGAAACTTCAAAAGAAGCAATTCAAGAAGGATGTCAATATTGTGTTTGGAAGTGTCAAAGATGAGGGAACCTATTGGCTGCCTTATTACATGGCTATGCCTCGATACGGATTTGCGTTCAATCACACGATATCGGCTGAAGATCCTCATAATAGGGCATTGATTACAAAGTGAGTTTGTTTTCTATTGTGTAGCTTCTTTCTAAGATGTGTTTCAGACAACATTACGCGGAATCGATGAAAGCATTTATGCCATATTTCGGAAGCTCTTCATTGGTACTGAACGCGTTTATGAACTCTTACGAGCAAGTATCGCATAGTCGCGTGCCAGAGTAAGATAATTTGCTTATTCATATAGCAATATTCATTTATTATTATTATTTATATTATTGGGTTCAAAGTTCAACATTAATTAAAATGAAATTAACTTAATAATAGATGATTGCATATTATTCTCATTAAAATGCTTTTCAGAGAGCGGTATCGCGACGGTGTGGCTCGATTTTTAGGCGACTTATTTTTCACATGCTCTCTTATCGAATTTGCCGATATGATATCCGACAACATATTTGGAAATGTCTATATGTATTATTTCACATATAGGTAGAAAAAATTATTTCATTCGCAATAAGCTGAAATATTCGTTTACAGATCATCGGCCAATCCGTGGCCGAAATGGATGGGTGTGATGCATGGATACGAGATCGAGTATGGTTTTGGACAGCCGTTCTGGCGACCACATTTGTACGATCAAGGAGAATTGCACAATGAGAAAAAATTGTCCGCGATTATAATGGATTTGTGGGCGAATTTTGCCAATACTGGGTAATACTGAATGGGCCGTCAGATTTAAATAATGCAGATTTACATATTTTAGTGAAATGGAAAACTTCTGGCCACGGTACAACAAAATTGAGCGCAAAGCTCTTGTTCTCGGCGAGGGCACCTTACATGGAAGGCATAGTATAATCAGGGACGTGCACGGCCAATATTGTCGGATGATCGACGAGGCGAAGACGTTCGTCGCGCAGAAGACTGGCGCTGATTGTCGTTCGACGCGACGCCTTGAGGTCGTCTCGGCGGCAGTTCTCGACACCTCGTCATCGGCAATGAATGAAATCGGAAAACTATTGCTCATTCCACTATTTACACTACTCATCTCCTGTTATTGAATGTGATATGATTTCTTTTTATTTTTCTCCGATATTTTGGATCTCTGTTTGCTTCATTCACTTTCATCGCCACTAACATCGACTTTTTTCAGTATGGTCTTACATGTAAAACACGCGCTCTTGTAACAAAAAATGTATTCAATTTCATACGGTTTAAACGAATTATTCGACAATTCTTCTTGAGCCTCATCTTCTGTGGTTTCTGTCTTTCTTTCTTTCTGTTTAGAAATCCGAATGAGTTGTTTGGTTCTCTTGGAAGAAATTCTAGAAGATTACATTCATTTTTTCTACTTAATGCTTCATTCTGCTAATAAAATTTTGACATTAATGAGTTTTCAAAAAAAAATATGCGACGTCACTTGATTTTTTACGTTTCAATGATTTCACGTTTGATTTAAAACGGAATGTCTCATCTCTTCGCGTAATAAATTGCATAAAAAAATAAATTTGCTCATTTCTATTGAATGTTGTTTGAAGTATATGCACAAGAGTCAAAATGATCACAGAATTGATAGCAATTTTTATATGGGCAGGTTTTTCAAAGAAGAAATTCAGAAAATGAAGCTAAAATTTCAGCAATTGTCGTCATGTGCTGTTCGAAATCTTCTAAAAACATTACTGAAGACAACAAAATCAATTTGCAGGAAAATATAAATAATTGTGAGAATCAGAATCCAAATAACCGGTAATTCAGAAGAAGGTGCGAATGTTTTCATTGAATTTCGTTCAATTAAGAGCTCAACCTGGTACGGCTCACAAATTTGAGGCAAACCAACGATCGAATGCGAATGTTGAGAAAACACAGGAGGCTGATTTGAAATCGAATGCAAAAACGGTACAATTGGTGAAAGCGACGTCGAAAACTGGATTGGATAAATCAAAAGAAAAAATTCAAACATTGCATGCTAAATCGTATACATTTTTTAAATTTCAGTTTAAACATTTCTTTCAGAGTTGATAAATCGAAAGAGCCAATTTGTGAGAAAGAGGTCTCGGCACGATCTCCGAGGGTAACAATATCTAACTAATTTTCAATTTTTCATTTGTTTCTTCCAGAAATCATGTATTCATTGGTCCGGAAAGATCCAACGAAAACCGATTTCAATGGCTGATGAAACACAAAGCAGTCATGAGGATACACCAACAAAATAAAAAATTATAAATTGTTGAATAAATTGAAAGTTTTTTCCATCGGTGTCTCACTTTATTCAAACCAATTTCGCTAACAAAGCACTATGATGATAATAAGGATGTACGGTTACATATAAAACAGAATTTTTTGGTTTATTTTTTCACAAGCTTATAAACGTAATTATGTTATTTACAGTGGGCTATAGCTCAACAAAATGAAAAAAAATGAGCTCATAATGATAATTTATACAGAATTGTTAGTTTTGAAAATCTTGAAACGTTTTACCAAATTGAACTACACATTCACAATGATTGATATTAAATTAATACACCGAATTTAATTTTGGAACAATGCTTGGATTGTCGGCGGCAAGTTTTCACGGGGCAGTCTTAATTGCTCATATAACTTGATGGCTTCTTCGAGAATCGTTGCCAACAGCTCCGGATTCTTAGTCTTATACTCCTTCCAGACCTAGAAATAATCAATAATGAAATTTGGGTTTTCACCAGCATTATTTTCTTACGTCAGTTTCCATACATTCCTTCTTATGAATTAGGAAAAAACTCAGAAGCCGTTCAAAAAATGCAGAATCTCTAAAAATAGTAATGTTACGCTTTTAATTTTCTCAGCTAAAATTACCCAATCAAATCGGCGAATTCCAGTCGTCTCAGGACATTGAAAATATTCACGTTTTTCCCTAGAAGTGCAGCACATTCGCTTTTGAGCGGTTCCAACATCAATCGATCTGCAGCCAACATTATTTCCTCAAGATTTCGAAAATCGGCTATTGAAATTGCCGGATCATATATGTATTGCAAGACTTTTTCCAAAACGTCCCCACTAATATCCTCAAATTTCACCTAAAAATGATTTAATGAGAATATACATTTTTTTAAATTTGTACCATTTTTTCGGTCATTTCTTTATTCTCCATTCGATTACTTATCATAGCCTTAAAATATGGACATCGTTGGGCTAAAACCGTCAGATGAACCGGAAACTCGCGGTTATCCGATGAGATTATGGTGAAATCGGTTAAATAGCCCGATTCTAAGAAACTAGTGAAAGGCTCTGAAAGTGACAGATCGATGAATCATATAAACAATCGATTCATACCAGTATTGTATCTCGAAATATCTATGTGACTGTCATGACCGCAAGAAGAAGAAGAAGAAGCATCGTCACTTTCCTTACGTTTTAAAACTTTTCGTCGAATCGGAGGGGTATCGATAATCTTAAAAAAAATCAATATTCATAAATAAATTGTTTGCAAATCTACCGTGGTATATGAAATTGATTCCCCGTAAATCACAAGATCAACGCCGATGGTGAGTGTGTCATTTGGAAGATAATTGGAAGCGCAGTTCTTCGAATAAAAAATAATTGGGAAATTTTTCCGTGATCTACCTTGAGAACATCAATGGAAAAGAATTTGCTAGCAGTTACGATCCCAGACCGATTTATTGTCACGAGATTTTTATTTAGGGCGCAACTACGGGGCCCATCCATAGTTTCAATGGTGAAGCTGACGCGAAACTGCAGACGAGGTTGAGGGCATTCTAAAATGCAATATTAAACATGATGCTACTTAGTAAATAAAGAAAATGCTTGAAAACATACTCTCAATCATGAGGAAAAGTGACAAATAGCTCGAAGTGTCCTCGTCTTTTCCGTTCGGAAAGAACTTCAAAACGAATTCGTGATCTTCGTCCCCAAATGGCCTGGAAATCGTAAAAATCAATTAATGCTTCAATAGCATTCTTACGAAGATCGGATGAAACTCCCAAAAGGGTGAAGCTCTTGATTAACAGAAAACTGTTCAATTTCCCAATAGCGTGTAATATATCGAGTTTCCATTCTAGTATTGCATAAAGAAACTGAACAATTTCGTCGGCCGCCGGTTGCTGATTTCCTTGAGCGAGTTTCAAATCTTAAATTGCGTATGCTGCTTTTTTTTCTGTAAAGTGATACTTACAACAAGCTTCCTCGGTTTCGAGGGGCATTATCTTCGTCTTCCATTTCTAAAAATAGTTGTTATAAATTGAAAAACAAGAGGAAAATGAATCAAATGACGCATGATCAAATCCTTATAATTCTAGGATCATTTCAATAAAATCATCAAACTTAACAATAAAGGATTTTTGCAGAACCAAAGTTTATGCAGCTGCAGGTAATTATGCAAGACAAAAAAGAATACTGAAGACGATAATAAAACTATAATTTCATATAATCAATTCTTGAAAACAATTTCTCATATTCATAGTGACATTTAAGTGTTCCGTTGATGGAAATATTCATGAAATGAAAAATGAAAAAAATAATTTAATAATTTTTCCACTGTAGGTACCGCATGCACAATGTGATTTCTGTGAGTAATCCTGTCTCTTAACTATACCGTTTAAGGCTGAAATCGCATTGTGCATTCATCCCAGGTATATAAAATATGCGCATTAAATCAAATTTAAAAAACACATTTTATGAAAAAATCCATAATAATAATTAATTATTTAATTTGTTTTGAAAATCTTCTTCAAAAGTTTCAAACGCTAAATATTTCGACAAACATAGTTTTTACCTAGGAATAGTTAAAATTCAATATAAATAACATATCGGTGAATACATAATTAAATAATAAATTGATAAAAAATTGCGATGAAAATCACGAGAATACCATGGCAACGAAGGCTGATATTGAATTTCGCTACGACGCTCCGCCTTTCGCCCGCTATTTATCGTAAAGCCGGCGTCAATTCTTTTACGAATTATTTCCCATTTTTCCAATATTCGGTTGTTTTAAGACATTTTTCAATAATTTTTAGAAATGCCTCGTGATGATCCGATTACTGAAGAAGAAAGAAGAGCAACGTCAGCGACCGATTTAATACGAATGCGGTTGGAACGCCTTCAAAAAAATATTGTAAGTATTTTCGAATGTTTTTTCTTTTAATTAACATTATGACTCATTTCCATTAATATTTATTTACGTTTCAGGACAAACCAGCTCCAATTCCTGCTAAAAAAGAATCTCTTCGGCCGCCTAAACCGCCGTTGGAGTTTGTTAGAAACGTTGTTGGATCATCTGCTGCAGCAGGAAGTGCGGAATTTCATATTTACAGGTTTTTTTAAAAACTTTTTGGTGTTATAAATGTAAATTCTATTTTCAGAAATAATCGGCGAAAAGAGCAGAATCGTCTCGATTATATTGATGCGGTGGCGAAAAATGAAGAAATGGACGAAGCTCACCGAAAGCATGTCGAAGAGATTAAAAAGAAAGAAGAAGAACGAACTGCAAAACGACGGGCGAAACGTCTGAAAAAGAAGCAAGCAGCTCGAAAAGCGAAAAGACTGAAAAAATCGCAGAAGAAAGGTTCAGATTCAGATGAGACCGAGTCGGATTCTGATGAGGAAAATAGTGATCAAGATGATACGGACTCGTCTGCGGATGAGAAGGAAAAGGAACAGGTTGAAGGAGACTCGGACAAGTGCGAACAGAAAGAAGAGCAGGATCATGGAGAAAAAAGGGAAAATAGTGCAGTTGAAGAAGTATCATAGTACAATAAATCTTTTTATAATTGTTAAAAAAACTGTTATTCGTTTCTGCAATAAATTTTCTAATTGAAATATACTGAACATTTTAATTTTTTTTATGGTTTAATAGTTCCATTTGATTTTTTAGTTTCTTAAATATTAGTTTTTATTTATTTTTTTATCGCAGAATGCCGTCGGTGTTGGCGTTTGTGAGTGCGCCGCGCCTCTACGCCCTTTTCAAGCAGCCGCAAAGAAATGAGGCAACGTTGGAGAAACTGGGCGACACCGCCGTTTCATTGACGCGAGGTAAACTTTTTTTGTCAAAATTTCTACAAATCAACTAAGAAATACACCTAATAAACATTTTTGAAGGAATTTTCTATTTTACTACTTCCATGGCATTTGCGCCATTCATCGTTTTCTACATGTACAGCCGCGGAATGTTGAATCCAGAGACCATGTTCGTCATTTTACGATATACCGGATACTTGGTCATTTTTGCATTCGCAGCCAGGTATTCTAATCTATATAGGAATATTTAATTAAATTAGACAATTTTAGAACAATTGGGCGAATGATGGACGATCAATACAAAGAATTTCTCGGCGTTTGGACAAAAGCTGCCGAAGGAAGCAAGGATCACCAAAATGTAAGTAGCTAAGGTAGTGCACTTATATTTAATTGACTTCAAAGGAACTGAAAAATTATGACTTCGAACTGTATGGAATCAAACACGACTTTGTGGCAAAGGAAAACCCGAAACTTTGGTATTTGGTTCCTGATGAGTTGCAAGGTTCACTTATATTTTCAAACACGGTCTTATTGTAATCATTTCAGCGGGTCCTGTAACGAAAGCCTTGGCATATTACGCAATGCATGCTTTTGGTCGGCATATGATGTACCCGGGATCGATGGCGCTTTTAAATTGGATGATGAGGGATAATTTGAATAATGCGCGTAGAATCATGGTCAATCGACGTGACGGTCAGAGAATTTGGATTGAATCATCTGTTGGAGATACCATTGACGCGATGTTTATTCTTGGCGAGAATCCGGACTACAGAGACATCCTGGTGATCTCTTGCGAAGGAAACGCCGGATTCTACGAGATTGGTGTTTCTAACACCGCGTCGCGGGCTGGATATACGGTATTTGAAGTATTTGGAAACGAATTTTTTGATTCCATTTTAGACACTTTCGTGGAATCAACCTGGGTTTGGAGAAAGCTCCGGTCTACCGTATCCGCGGAATACATTGGCTGCTGCGGATGCAATAATGCAGTACGCCGTGAATCAATTACACTACAGGGTCGAGAATATTGTTCTTTTCGGATGGTCGATTGGTGGATTCCCTACTGCATGGCTAGCCGCTAATTACCCCAGTATGAAACGGCTGAGTCTTTCAAATCATTGATAAATGTTTTTTTTTTCCAGATGTTCGCGCAGTGTTCCTTGATGCCACATTTGACGATATGCTCTCGCTTGCTCAACAAAGAATGCCCAAATTTTTGTCTTTCATTGTCGAGTATGCCGTTCGGAATCATGCGAATCTACAGATTGATAAGATTGTCAGTATTTGTATTTTTCTTTAGGAAATATTCTCTTCTGTTGTTTTTTTTCAGCTCAACAAATACAAAGGACCATTGAGACTTGTGAGACGACTCCAGGAAGAGATATTGACGACTACCGAAGACGTGCCGATCCAAGAAAAACGTGCTAGTAATAGGTATTGAAAGAGAAGAACTGAAAGTATATATATTGGCTATGTGTCTCGAGGCATCGAGAAGATTCGGTTTTGCATTTAATAATATTCAGTCAATGCTAGATTTAAATCTACGCTGATTTCACTCAACTACAAAACTCTCTTTTAGTCGCTTAATTAAGATTTGAAAGAATATCACATCAAGGAAAATCGATTATTTGTTTAGAATCAATTTCTTGCTGAAATCAGTAATTGCTGGCCGTCATCCCGAACTCATTGATGGCATGGAAGAACACGTTGATAAATGGCTTGAGATGAGTCCAAGAGAACGTTTGCTGAACAGCGGAATCTCGTTGCGAGAGGAATCTTCGAAAAGAAAACGATTGTTTGACGCTTGCTCACATTACTTGGTCGATTTCGACTCAAATCATGTTACCCCATTAGATCCCATGTAAGCCCTCATCCTAAACAATTCATCTTTTATTTTTGCAAGAAATCGAATATTAAAAATTACAGGTATTTCAACATTCCCGAACGCCGTGATAACTTCTAAATAGTCAATTCGTTGTGCATAGTATTTTATTTCCCAACTGCTCCATATTTATTCAGCTATTAGTACGTTTTCGAGTGCAATTCCTCTTTTTAACCGATCTTGTGAATAAATAATTTACACAGCTTTATAAACATTTCTTATTTTGGAACTGCAATTGGTTAAAATGCGACCTCATCATTCTTCTTCATAATTTTTTCCACGAATTTCTTTCAAATCTGAAAATGTAGATGTCGTTTGTCGTCGGATGCGGCGAGAATGTCATTATTGCTTCGGGATCAATCATCGCCAATTATGAGCATTCCACGGGGAAAATGAATACGGTTCGAAGAAAATAGAGTTTCGTTTGAAGACGAATTTTTTACAGGAATTTTTCAAATGGGAAAGTGTCGAGGAAAAGAATATCGTGCAGACGACAGGAGAAGAAGAAGACGAAGAGAAGAAACCTCAAAAAAAGGCTGTTGACGACATTGTGGTACGTTCTTAGAATCAAGGCTGTGCGGCAATCTGAAATTAAATGTTTTCAACGATAATTCGAAATATAAATACAGAATTTTCACGGTATCCCAAATTATTCAATGGGCATTGATTTTTGTTTCGCCGATTTTTTTGATATCAAATTGCCGAAAATCAAAATTTCGGCAATCCGGCAATTTGAAAAATCGGCAATTTCGGCAATCGGCAATTCCATTGCCGCACAGCCCTGCTTAGAATGAGCCCGAATTGAGAACTAATTCCACACTAGGTTCTTTGCATATCAACTTCCGGCTCACCGAACAATTTATTGGCGATTGGAACCAATGAGAAGCTGTTGCACATCTTAAAAATTTCTGACGATGGTCTTACCGCGAAACATATCATCGCCGGAATTGTTCCGAAAGCCCCAACATCTTGCGTGTTTGATAAGGTAATACATATAGTCGGCGACTAATTTGTGAGTGTCGATTTTAACAAGAATAGATAATTTTTTATTTGAAAACATTTATGAAATTCAAGAAAGTGTGAAACACGATGTTAGAACTGAACAATTCGGGAAAAATGACCAAATTAAAATTGACACGTTTTTTGAGGGTCATACTGAAAAACGCGTGCACGTCAATCTACACTTGTGTTGAAATCACCGACTCCAGAATGTCATGCTTGTCGTTTCGGCTTGCCAAAGCAATCTTTGATTCAGCAGAGGCATAATTGGTCAAGAAAACCGAAATTATCTTGTTTTAATCAAGTTTTAAATGTATTTCATCTCCAAAAAATATATATTGGTAATATAATATTGTCGAGGACGGCCATTTAGGGGGGCGCTGCTTATTATTCAAATTTTGGCGTCATGGTCTTCTTATAATCATTTTCGATTTGATCTAGTATGAAATGCATTCAAAATTACAGTCGATTTCAAAGGCACATGCACAAATTTGTTGATTTCACGCTAAGATCTAAAATGGCTTTGATAATTCAAATTTGTTCGTCTTCGACAATATTCGTTTCGAAAGTTCTCAAATCAACCAATTATTTATTCGGTCCAGCCCGGCATCGAAACAACATACGCGTTAAATGTATAATTTCATCATTGACATTATCGATTCAAGGAAAATGCACATGTAATCATTGGAGATCGGGCTGGCGAAGTTCATAAAATGGAAATTGCGACTGGAAAAGTTGTGGAGATCGCTGGCGCAATTTCAATGATACTTGATGTTGGCTTGTCGACCGATGGTAAACACCTCATTCTTGCTGATCGCGATGAGAAGATTCGAATCTTGCGGTATCCTGAGGTTGGAATTCCAATAAAAGGCATACTAATCTTATTTTTTACAATTTAAAGTCTTTTGTCATCGAAAACATATGTCTCGGTCATACGGAATATGTGAAAAGTATCGCATTTCAATCAAACGGGACCATTTGGAGTGGAGGTTTTCATTTTAAAATTATCTTATTGCATTTGAAACGATATTGTATTCTTGTAGGCGGTGATGGTCATTTAAGACATTGGAACATGACAACAGTGAAACCATTGAATTCCAAACAAATCTTTGAAGAAAAAAATCCATTGGCGAAAGTGTTGACGACTCCTGATGAGGTAAACCGGAAATTTCATCAGAGAAAAAAAATTAATGATAGCAATATCGAAATGTTGGGCGCCTCGTTGTCGCGATTTTGTCGATTTTAGACATTGCGTGCATTCCATTGTTTTAAATTGATTCATAAAAAAATATTGGGAGAAAGGAAAAAAAGCAAAGGAAAACAAAAATTGAACCAAATGAAAAAAAAACGAAGGAATGAAACTTTTATTTCATAATAATGTCTTGAAACAATTTTTAGAAGCATGTCATTGTGACAGTCGAGAATAGCGCTAAATTCTGCATTGTCAACACTGAAACTTACGACGTCTCTGTTGATTCTGTCAGCGATGAGCCAATTATAGACATTTTCAGCTCGCCTAAATATTTGCTAATTTTAACGAAGTGAGTGTTCACTAAAAATATTCAATTAAAGATTTTATTTAGAACTGCTCTTGTACTTTATGATCCGAACAATTATAAAAAAGAAGTTGCGTTGGACGGAGATCTCGCGAAATCAGTCGCTGAAACTAGACCGGCACTTGGCAATTTATTTAAAAATGTTACTTATAATAACCAAGAAGAATATGAAAAGCGAAAGGTAGCGCCACTTAAAACGTTTTATTCGAACAAAAAAATCTATTTTTTTGTTTTAGAGCGAAAAATTCGCGAAAGTTGAAGAGAAAAGGGCCTTGAAGCGAAAGGCGGCGCAATGACGTCATTATTGTTAATTATTTCCTTGTTGTTGATCGTTTTGTTGTTTTATTGTTTTAATTTCATAAATTTATAAATTGATATACGAAAGTTTGAGTTTTTGACAAACTCCTATTCTATATATGGTACTAAACAGATTTCTGAAAAAATAAATTCGATAATTTGATTAAAACAGTTTTATGCGAAATCTGAATGAGGTTTTTATGTCTGGGTTTTTGAGTCGATTTGCAAAATCTGCATCGTATCATTATTTGAATTTCCGCGCATCGGCGGTCCGCAATAATGCGTCAATCGCCAATGTGTGCATTCGTCTACCTTGGCACCGTGCCCAATTTCTGTGTTCTTTTCTGGCTCATCGCACGTTGATGTTTGTTTTTTCAGTATCAGAAACCGCCTTTTATTTATCTAGCATGTTTTTAATAATTATGCCGAGAAGTACACTTGTTTGGCAGGTGTGAGCGTATATCGGAACAATTTTGCCGACTCTCGTTTTTTTTTCCAGATAAAAAATGTTTTATCACTAAGCTGTGCAAGAAATCGATAATAATGATAAAAGACAAGAAGCATAAAATCTCTTTTATTTTTACAGGGTAAACACAGAGGCGGAACGATGATGGCCACCTCTGTTCAATCGCCGAACTCGGTTCTCGAGAAATTGTAAGTCAGCGATTGAAGTTTCGGCTAATTAGCGACGAATTTTAGCACGATTTCTCGAGAAAACTCATCGATTGGCTTTGAAATCGGCAATAATGTCGTTCTTCATATGCAAGCTCACGATGAAGATAACGGGAGGGACCACGATTCGTCAAATGTCCATACTAAAGTCATCATGGACTATCGTGGAGATGTAAGGAAATTCAAATTCTTTCCTTCCGATTTTACTTTTCAATTTATGATTATTTCGCGTAATAATTCTATTTGATCAGAGAAACTGAATTTAAAAAGGAATTTTTGTTTTTCAACTTTCGAAAATCACAGCAATAATACAATAGAAATTTTTCTATACTAAAAGGTGATTGTTGATTAAAATAATTACATAAACTATTACCATCACAATAAAAATCGAGAGCCTTGCATAATTGTTGACTATCGCACTTTTTTGGGAGGGTGCTGATTTTTGGGAATGTAATGATTGGTTTATAAAGTGAAAAATTCTGTATATTTTTAGCTGAGCACATTAGATGGACGTATTCTTACAACTCATAATGAGGTCATTGGTTTTCGTCTGTTTAATGGTACTGCTCCAGAATCCGTGAATATTATCAACATCTTAACAAAAGAACGTCATCGATTTAAAGTAAGAAAAATTTATCTTCTCATTTTGAGTTCATCTATTATTGAATTCAATATCCGTTTTAGGAGCTTGGCGAGCGGAAACCGGTCGACATTATGTTCGCACAACATTACCAGTATTTTGCGGTTATCGATGAGCAATCATGTCTTTTCATCTACCGTGTCTACAATAATTGCGAAGTGTAATACTGTAATTTATTGAATCTTCAGGAATTTGTATTGTTTTTAGGCGCAAATATGTTTCAATCCTCAATTGGCCATCTCGATCGACTCGCGACTCGGGAGATCGCTTGAAACTCGCCTGGTGCCCATTCGTGCCAGCTGATGATGAGACCCCCGATGATTGCAATTTGATTGCCGTATATTCAGTAAGAATCAATGATCATTTTGTTCTTTTTTTTCAACGAACCATTGTTTAGGCAAGACATCTTCATCTTCTGAATCTCAGCCTTCTTATCGACGCCAACAAAGGAGAAGATGTTGACTTTGAAGATGCTAAAAATGTCGAAGGCGCCGTTTTGTCGCTAACACTTGAAGAGGTACCCAAATAATGGCATAGATGATCTTGTCAAACATTTCATTGCAGGAGAGCGATGAACAGGAAGTGACCATCACAAACATTTGCATTTCGCCTGATTCAACAGCGTGCGCCGTTTCAAAATCGACGGGAAGTGTTTCATTCTACGTCATCAACGAAGAAGAAGGTGTGCTGAAATACTCTCACACATGGGAGCCAAAATCGTTCGGCAGAAGCTATCCAATCTCGGATTTAATATTTCTTGATGATTTGACGCCGGAACGAAAAGAGTGCGTTTGATTCAAATAATTGGCTTATCGATTAATTATTAATTAGAAGCAAGGCGATTTTTTTTCAGTGTTCCTTTCTGGCGCTATTGCATTGCGCTGACGAATGGCGGTCTCAAAATGGCATTGTACGAATGCCAAACTTGGAAATGCCTCGGAAGAATTCGGTTTGAATCCCCCTACGCTGTTAATGATTTCATTCCCGTTCTTGATCCATCCGCTTGCTTTGTTCACCTTCTTGATGTTGATGGAATGAATTTGTTCTCGGTGGAGATCACAATGCCGTTCGACACCGAAGAGCTTCCACGATTCGTTGGTGTCACGCAGACTTCATTTAGCAATCCAATCTATGCACTATGTCCAATGACAAAATGCACTCTTGATAGTGCTGATGAGTCCATTGACGACATGTTCAATAATGATGATGACGACGATGAAGATGATGATGACGATCAAATGATTGAAGGAGATATTGTAAAAGGACAAAAGAAGCGCATGAAGACAAAGAGATATTTTGTCGCCATGGGGAAGAAGAATATGGTCGAATTGCAGGCAATCTTTAAACAAGAGTTTTTCAGAAATTTTCGAATTTTCAGCTGACCCTCAAACAACATGTTAATTCGCGTGTTGGAACAGTGCGCACTTCGTCGACGCCAGAAGGTCAAAATGTTGGAGCAAAACTTGATGTTGGACAGACGATGAGCTTAGGCAGCTCGCAAGAATCCGTTGTCACCAAGAAGGTAGATTTGTTCTCTACATTCGACTGCTGAATTTTTCGAGTTTCAGCTCGATGAGGTTCTCGATCGTCTCAACAAAATTGAGTGTGATAAGCGAATTGCCGATCAGAAAATGGTTGAATTGCTCAATAATCTCGGTAAGACCGATTGGGAACAATTCGAGAGAGTTGAAAAGAACAGCTTTAGTAAGCCAGTTAACATTTCTCGAAAAATTTGGGATTAATTTTTAGCCAGTGAAAAAAAAAATTGCGCTTATAGATAATTCAGATGTCTTTATGAAAGTTTTAGCTCAATGCAAAATAATTCAAGCATTGATTTTTTGTGTTTCCGTAACAACATATGTTCTAAAGGTGAACAAGTCACTTGCATACATTCGACACTGCAGTCATAAGCACACTTTTTAAAAATTGAATTAAATACCTTATGAGTTATTTTTCGAAAAATGAACGTGTAGTCTTTACATTTTACCTTGTGTCCGTCTTCCAGAAATCAAAATTCGTCTTCAAGAAAATTTCATGATGAACAAAATGGAGAAGATGTTGGACGACCTCCGCGAGGATATCGCAAACGCGATTCGCTCGAGTTTGTCGAATATGCAGGATTCATTCGAGCCGGCAATCCAGAATTCGCTTGCGGTATTCAACCAATTTCGTCCACTTTCGACTCATTCTCGATTTTTCCAGGAAACATCAGAGTATTTGTCGCAACGAATCGGCGGCACTGTTCGTCTCGGTCTTAGCGAGTGCGTTGTTCCCGCGTTCGAACGCACGTGCGAACAACTGTTTGGACAAGTCAATGAAACGTTCCGCGCAGGAATCAACGAGTATATCACAACGACGGTGAAGAAAATTCAGGAATCTGTTCAATTAGCATTAATTCAACCGAATGTACACATTGCGCATCGAAAATGTTCAAATGAAACTCGTTTATTTAGAACGCCGCGCAAGCGACAATGGATCGCAATGCCATCAATCATCTGCTGATAAATTCACCTTTGGCAGCATTTGAAGCGGTTTTTGTTCTATTCCCCGCAAGTTCTTCCTTTTTTTATGAAATACGTTTCAGGCTCTGAACCAAGGAGACAATTTGCTTCTCGAGTATGTGTGCTCGAAAGTCAATCCGGAATCGTTGTTCACTCCGGTGACAATTTTGACTCAACCGGTGCTCATCTCACTTCTTCAACAACTCACATTAAATTTGAATCGCGAACGGGATCTTAAATACAGGCATGTCATCTGAAGCACCTCAATGCAGAAGCCAATTTAATGTTTTTAAAGATACATTGAACTTATTCTACCGGCCATTAGCACAAATGAGCCAGATGTGGCTCGCGTTCTTCCCAACGTCATCCAGCTTCTACTCAATACTCTCCAAGAGATTATCGACACGACCGAGGATCAACAAGTGCGGCGACACACTCGAATGTTGTACCAGATCGCGCGAACCACATTCTATCAATCGCCGCATCCCTCACGCCAACGTGAGCGTTATTGAGTAATTGTTGAATGTTTCCATGTTTCGTTCGTTCGTCGTCGCATTTTCATTAATACGTGCGTCTCCCGTTGTTCCAATCACTAACCAACAATTCACAACACTCTTTTTTTTGAGGGAACAACGTGAGTGCATGGGTGCCGTCGATCCACGGAACATGGAAAAGTGAGTACCTTGAATGGTGATTTATGGCGCACGTATAAGACGTTGAAGATCCATTTTTCACTGTTGATGGACGCCGTTTTAAAAGTTGAAAACGTTAGATGATATCCAATTACGAATGAAACTCCTAAGCCATGCGTTTTGTTCTCGAAATAATTGTCATCGCAAGAAAACGAGCACTCTCAGTATTTGTGGACCACGGCATTATTTGGGGGCGGTAATTCAAATTTATCTTTAAACAATTGGACTTCGCCTACCGTACTATGGATACCTGCGAACCAAACGCACCGTAAATCTACATAGGGTGTTCGTTTTTTTGCAATTGTAATAGCATCATCTTTTCGAAGAAGAAAACTTTATGTGTATGCAGGCAAATTCGAGAAGAATATTTCGAAATCACCGAGAAAAAAGAATTGAACATCAGAAATGAAATGCTAAATCAAGATATATTTGTAAATTGCTCGTAAATTCATTTCTACGGAGTTTTCCGTCGTGTGATCCTGAGCATAAATTTCAAACATTTTCGACGCTTTATTAAAATATTCATGACGAGATTTTGCGTTTTTCTATGACTTTCTTAAAACTTTAATTTGTTTCAGATTTGCTCAGCGGCCCACAACATTCCCCGAGGTAATCTGATATTATCCTATTTTTTCTATTATTATTTTTTTAATAATTTCATCTGCTTCTCCTTCCTGTCTCGATATCTCTCGGAATTCTAATTTCGCGCTTAATTATTTTCTTCTTCAAGCTTACCCCCGAAGTTGCTAATTCGTCTTATTTACCACTACTAAATTTTTCGGTTTTTTGCGCTCTTTCCCGTGAAATGTGTGTTTCATCTTTTCTTTTTTTTTCTCCATTCAAAATATCAAAAAATTATCAAAAAAGCTCAAAAACATGTAGGCATTGAGTATATCAGCAGTCTGTTTTTTTTTCGAATTAGGCTAACCATTTTCAAAAAATGCTTCGTTGCGCGCCTATTAATTTGTTTTCTTTGTTCAAAACATCCACTCGTATTCTTGTGTGTTTGTGTGTTTACTTGTAGTCTTTTGTGATTATTTTTGCTATAATTTGATACTATTTGTATTAATCGAAATATTTTTGTTTTTTTTTTCCTCGCCCCAATTTTCTTTGTAATATTTTCCTATTCGCATCTGTCCTTTAAAAACCAAAACCGATTAGCTTTGAATTGTATAATTCTAATTTATTACTATTATTATTATTATTTTATTATTGAAATTTCCTTCATCCCCAACCACCCCCTCCCCCGTCCCCTTTTTTGTCGCAATAAAATCTTGAGGCGTTCTCCCAACAAACCGGGAGAGCGTCGAAACGACAAATGGTAGGCAGTGATACATTTATTTACAGAATTTGTACAGATTTGAAGGAAATATGGAATTTAGTCGTTGTACAGTTTGTCCTCATTGATCCTTTCAAGTTCAAGAATGCGAACCCTCAGTTTTTCCTTTAAAATGTTCCAATTTGAAAATGATTTTATTTTAAACATACAATGAAGTCGACAACGATTCGTATTGTTGGTAGGTTTTGATCATCGCGTCCGAATGTTGCCCGACTAAAATTAAAATTTTAGTATTTGAAAAAAGGGTCTTGAAGAGACTTACTTGAAAGGCGATAGGAAATGCTCCTTCATTTGGTTGTAGGTGTGATAAAGTGTATATTGGAACTTGATCTCCCTCTGGAATGCTTCCCTCTCTCGATTCAAATCGGCGACGCTTACATTCTGGAATAAAGAAATTGAGTTTTTTAATCTCACATTTTTATTACGTTGGCTTGATTCATAGGATTCCTCGGAACCATTGGAATCCTCTCCACCCTCTGGTCTCCTCGCCATCCATCATCGTCTTCAATCATATCGAAATTGCATAGAAATATTTACACTGAAATAATTTGAGCATGAAAAGAAAAAAAAAACAGAAAACAAGGACGGAAAAATACGGAAAGATAACGATGCAGATTATTTTTGGCACATTTTTATTTGATATTGATCTCGACAATTTATCAATCAAAAAAAAAACGATACGATTATATTAAATACAATTCTGCAGCAATATTGGAGAGCTTCCTTTAAATGGATTTCTTTAGTTTATTGAGCAAAATAGTAATGTATATTTGAATTGGATTTTGAAGTGTCACGCAAACGAAGAGGTCGTATTCGGTTGAATAAGCACGAGCAACTTATAATTTTGAAGAAGCAGGTTTTTTTTTTGAAAATATGGAGAGGAAAAGACGGTTAATCGAATTAACCAAAAAAACGAAATCGGCTAATTTTAAATTTAGGCAAAAGCAGAAAATACATATATTTCAAAAAGAGCCAATTGTCAACTGACAGAAAAACTACATATTTTATATGAGCTCCAAAAGTCAATATTGAGACATACATTCACTGTGTCTCGGTGCATGTTAAATAGTTTTAAAATTTGTCGCGCAAATAGAGATGAGCTTTTATGATACTTATAACATTTTAAACGGGAAGGATGCGAAAAACAAAATTAGTGCGCGATTAATAAAAAAAAAGATTATCCGAACCGTTTACATAAAAAGAGGATATGAGAGAGGGAGGGAGAGAAAAAAGAAGTGAGTTCAAAAATTAACACATAGAAAAAAAATTTACTTTCTTTGCGGGGGCGTTGTATGGAGAGGAGAACAATACATCGTAAGATCAACTTAATTGTAAATAAAAGCGACAAACAACGATACTTATAGGTTCTCAAAACGAATTCAAAGCCAAAATAACTATTGTAATCTAGTGTTTGATACTTTGAAAGCAATAAAATTTGCTCGCGACTGAACGAAAATGGACCAAATAGCCACAGCGCAACATTTTATGTATACCGGATTGGTCAAGTCACTTTTTTTCTGAAAAAATGTTCTTAAGCGATTAATAAACAATTTGAAAAAAATAAGAATAGTTGACAATTGTGAAACGGTTTTGTTGGAAATTGAAATAACGCGCGTTTTCACTTTTTGGCGTGGATCGCTCGCGTCAGATTTCAAAACGAGATTATTAAATTAGGCGGAATAAAACTCGAAAATTACGCATTCTGTTTGCGGCATTCGCCCCATATTTACACATTCAATCTTTTCTCGTCAAATCGAAAACAAAACAGTTATAAGTAATAAAATGTGAACAAGTTTTTGTAAACAAAATGAGAATTGCATAGTGATTCGAGAAACGCGCTGATTTATGACCGTCAATTTTTATTCGATTTGCAAACTCTGGTAACATTGAACACAGAAACCGAACTTCCGCTGCGATCTTGATGTCAACCAGGTAAAATTGGGAAAAAAATGAGAATATTTTCGAAAATACGCAATAATGCGTCACGGTGTTAGATTAAATGCACAATTTCAACGAAAATTTTTCGAATTGAAGAAAGCAGATTTTGGACTTATTTTGGCACTTTGCAATCTCAAAATGCGAAAAGCTTGACAAATTGTTATTTGGGACCATTGGGAAAAACATTGTCAACTGAATATGTCTCTGTGCAGCGCATTTATTTTTCTCGGCGTTAAATGTGTTTCGGAATTTTATTGAATAACAAAGAAGACTTGCGGTTATAAGGAATAATATTTCCGAAATTTTATATTCTCGAGGACGTTAAACAACATCTATTCTCATATATATATGAAAAATAAACAATAGCGAAGAAGATGGCGCGAAACATGAGTCAGCTGAAGCAACAGCAGTGTAACTGGCAAATATAAGAAGTGGAAAGGACCATCTGTTCAGGGGACCACCAAAATCGCAACAATAGGAGAGGGTGGGGGGTGGAGGTGACCACTGGTCACAGCGGGAAGTGGTCACAATGGAATAAATGAGCATGATTATGAGTATGTATGTGGCTGCCGGACGGCCTGCCCGACCGGCTGATGTCGCCTCCGCGAGTCGCGCGCTATCTCACCGCTCGCCGATGGCTCATCTTTGATCGGTCGTCGACGCCAACAGCAATTGATTCCGTGTTGACTTTTCATGGCCGCTAGTGATAAAATTCAACTAATTTAAAACAGATGTGTGCGTGTTTTGTCTGCTCTTTGATGAGTGCAATTCAACGAAAAAATCCTGCGAAAATTGACACCCAAAAGGCAATTCGTACCAAGAAACTTTTCGAAATATTATCTGATTTTCTTCTTTTATATTTTGATATTTGAGAAAAGTGCACACCGATTTTGCTACAAATTAATGAGTACGCAAGAGTTTCTCCAACCCATTCAAAAATGAAATATATATCGAACATCTCAGCTATTAAATCCGCCGAACATTTTGGGACAAAATTTCGATCCTAAGATTTTTTTCCAAGCGAGACCTAAGGCGGCAATTCAAAATTACTCATTATCGCACTTCAAACTCGACCGAATTTAATGAAAAATTGGTTGATCATAGATGAAAAAATTCAATTTTAGTTCAAAAAAATACGCAGCTAATTTTGTTTATCAACTTTTTTTCCAATTTTTTTAAACACAGTATATTTGCGAAAAGAAGGTTACAATTAGCGATTTTTCTTAAAATTGGCTCATAATCTTCGAACAATTTCGTATCGATTGGTGTTATTGCAGAAATTTCCAGAAGTCTGAAAATGTCAGCGCAAAAAAAAACCTGCGTCTTTCACAATTGAATCCTAGAATTACTTCAACAATTCAAAAAATTCTCCATTTTCGTTCGCAAAAAACGAGCGTCTTGAATTTTTGTGAGCAATTATATTTTTTTTTTGAGGCGGAAATTCAAATTTCGATCGAAACAATGGAAATTTGTTGAAGAACTTAATAATACTCTTGTTGGTTTTTTTCAAACTTTTCAATTTCTATTATATATTCGAATATTAAGAAATTTCCATGAAAACCGTAAGTAAAAAGAATTAAAATAAATCAAAAAATCGATTATAGGCTCAAAACACGGAAAATGAGTTGGGTCTTGTGGCGAATGATTCTCGTCGCTGTTATTTAACGAAAACATAATATAGATTTTAGTTAAAAAAAAAATCTTACCAGCCTAAAACGACTGAATGGAGACAGGGCCTTCAAATTCGCGGAATCCGTGTAGATTTAAATTTTTCGTTGACTGAATATTTAACGCGCGTACACTTTAATGCAATGTACGCAGTCTCGCGTACATTGCATTAATCGCTGCCTCGAAACGCATTGTCTAAGTGAAATTACAATTTGAGGACCTACTATTGTAATTTGAAATTGAAGAGGGTTCAGTGCTTAAATTTTTCTCTGTGTTACACTTTCTAGTACCTTGGGGGTTATTGGTGGTATCTAATAATTTTTTTTTTGAATTTCGTTAAGTCGCTTGACGCCAATAGTCCAATGATGAGGGAAATATAATAATGTAAAATAAATGCCGTGAGCTGATATCGTTTGCGAAAAATTTTAAGAATAAATTCTTTATTTTCTTTTCAACCCTGGTTGAAATTTCTACCACCTGCAGACTTTGCTATTTCGAAAAATCGTATCTGATCATAGTCGAAACGACTTGCAACATTATTCAATTTTTTTCCAAGAAAATCTGGCAAAGAAATGAAATGGCAAATGTCCGCAGATGTACTAAAACGCATCGCTTGGACTTTCTCGAAATCAAATTGACCACCTGTAACATTTGGTTTTGTGTCTCGCAGCGAAGCAGATGTCATCCATCTGTGCATAAACTGTTTGCACTGTTCTCCAAATTCGGCACTAATACAATTTGGCGCATCGAATTTCTTCAGTTTGGCGAGAAGAACTCCAAATTCGGAATGAGAGACGAGTGGTATCAAATTTCGGACAATTTGCTCGCGCCGCCGGAAACTCCCGAGGTGTTTTTTTACTATTTCATGTTTAGTTTCGAACAAAAATTGAATATTTCTGGGCAAATGTTGATTTTCAGCACCGTTTGTTTGATATGTGGACCACTTTTCATGATTCCGTTTTTATTTGTTTGCGGCTCGTAAAAATCGTGTTCGAAAAATGCGCTTTCTACCAAGTTGCGCGAATTTGCCAAATTGGCTCACAATTTCGAAAAATACAACGAACAACCCTCCAGAAGTCGAGTTTATAATACAATTTTGGGGAGGTTTATAATACGGTCGCGACAAGACCCAGCTAAATTTCCGCGTCATTTTTTTCAATTTTTGGATTAAATTTGATGTAAACACAATTTTCATTAAAATTTCAGTAGATTCGAATATTAAGAATTAAAATTGAATATTGGACACAGATAGTCTGAAATTATTGATTGTGAAGACAATTTGAGGAGTCCTCTAGTTTTAGAAATATTTTTTGGATACGGTAGGTCAAGGCGCACGCCAGTTTTGTGGTGCGTCTCGTGGCGGCCGACTCTAGTAGCTGTTTTTATTTCAGAAGCATATTCAAACCCCTCTTTTTCATCTTCTTCGTCTTCATTTGATGCAGCTTTCTCGATTTAAGTTTTATAGTAATGGGCAAAGCTGTTTCAAGATCTATTCGACACATTTTTTGTTTTAAATTTTCGGTTAGAAACTTCGAAATTTGTGTAGTTTTGCGTGACGATGAACCTCACGTAAAACTTTTTTTTTAAACCTCAGGAACACCCTGGTTTCTCACAATCACGAAAAAGCCGAACTCGGAAAATCTTCCTCCATTCGATTGTGAATAAAACAACAAATGTCGAAGAATAGCTTGAACGATCGGCCGCGTAATTAGAAATTGGTTGTCGCGAATGTTTGCACCTGTCCTGCCGGCCGTCGACCGTGTAATTCACCCCGCAAATCCCAAACTTATGCTAATTTCATTGCGAAACATACATACACACACACACAAACACACATAGCGAGAGAGAGGGACTGGCAAACATCGCATGTATGTCGAGGCCCGGGACAGCAATCTTCTCGCGCATATTTCTCGAATCCCTATCGATTCGACACGCACACTAATCGCCGCCTAGTGGTAGTGGCGGAGGCGGCGGCGGCGGCTTCGCGCGGCTAGTCGCTTCGCCGTTCTTTTTGGTGGTCGCGTGCGCGCATCCGCTCTCGATTCGGTCGGCCGTGGCGGCGGCGGCGGCGGCGGCTTCGAGCGGTCGCCAGCCTTGCTGTTTCGACTAGGGTATCTGCGGTCGCCTTCCACCATCGCCATCATCATCGCCACTACCACCAAACACTCTCGTTTCGGCCATCAAAATTGCTCGGCTGTCGTGCTCTTTGAGCCCTCCGGTTGTGGTGCCTTCACTAATCGCATCACTTAAATATTGCATTATTACGCACCAGGGTTTTACCAACAATTGTACACTATTTCCATTTCCGCAAAATGACTGCCAATACGAGACAATTCTAATTACATTAGACGCAATGTCGTTTTCCTTTCATGTGCACTTTTAGAGGAGAAAAGCGTTTTAAAAAATTATTGGAGCTCTCGCCAGGCTAGACGCTTTTTTGGTGGTTTTCTTGCGTTTAAAGGACAATGCAGAAAAAGATCAAAAAGAGAGAAAAATAGAGAAAATTTCAATGAAGCAAAAAAGAATAAAAAATTGATTGTCCTTTTATCCTTTTTCTTTTTTGTTGCATTGAAATAGTTTTTATTATTTCCTTTTTTTAATTTTTTTCTGCAATGCTCTAAAGTTTGCAAAATCGCACTTCTATTTATTTGATTTTCAATCGTTTTTTTTTGAAGGAAAAAATTTTAATTTTATTGGAGTTGTGAAAATTACTCCAAATCGTTACTTTCTCTTTTAGTAAACGTAAATTAGAAAAGCCCCTAGCAATATTATTTTTTCCTGTCAATAATTTTAATTGGAAATAAATAACGGATGGGCGTGGAATGTTGTGTAATACGCAATCACCGACAAAGATGTTAACCGTACACTTAATTTTTTTTTTCATTTTCATTTTGCGCTTTCCAATTTTTTTCATCTTTCGTCATTTGCGATATACTTTTCAATTTACTCGAAAGCCATTCCGGTTCTTCTTCTTCATCTTCCTCTTCATCTTTTCCCCAATTCTTTATCGTCACTACCACATTTGCAATCATATTGATCACTTATATATGTATGTTCACTCGATTCGACCCGATATGAATTTGTTTGTTTTTCGAGATGAATTGAACGCCAAGAGAGGCGGCGGTCGGGAAAACGAAAAATGGTCGACAAAAATGAGTCAATGAGACTCCCCCTCCCTTTCTAGTGTGTTAGCGTGCGCGTCAGTCAGGTGGAGGCGCGACGGCCAAAAAAATTGGAAAATAAAACTCTCCCGCACTTGCAATTATAAGTTTGTTAATGCGTTTCGTTTCACAAAATTTTCTCTCGCCTTTTTTTGATCATAGTTTACCATTTCAAATATTTGCGCTTGACTCAAACGAACGAACGAACGAACAATCGTTTTTACCGCAAATGCCTATTTTAATATTCGATTGTAATTGCAGATGCCATCTGCGACCACCTGCTCCATCATCGGTCATCCGAATAACCCATTTTCGTCTTTTATGCCCGAATACTTAAAACCGTCTAAAGTTCGGACATTCATATATCAAATTTATTTCTTAGCAAAAAAAACTCGATTTTTTTTTAAATAAAAAAAGTTTAAAAATTTTTCCTTATTCTCATTTTTATTGCGAAATATTCCATAAATGGCTAAAATAAATTTGGCCTAGAAACTAGGTCTGGCCTAGTTTTTTCTGTCGTCCATGGTGACTCATTCTCATTTTACCTAAAAAAATCGAACATTTCGAAACAAGAGTTCTATTTTTGGTGTAGCATCTAGTACACTTAATTGAACAAATTTGTGAACGTATATTTGTATTATTTATTTATTTATTATGTACGTTTATTTGTTTGTTTGCTAGTTTCAAACAATTTGACACATTTGCTCGCTAAACATCATTGAACAGGTTTTATTTTCTTCAACGATCCGCAATGAAGATATATATGTTCATTTTCTGACTCATCGGCGTACCCGATAATCAAAACTGTTTTCCCATGCCATTCGAAACTCTCTTTGCTTTTCGTTATCAGTGCTGTCTTCGTTTCCGTTTTTATCGATTCATGTTGCATTTCGTCCAGTGATTGATTATTCCAACAATTTTGCAGTATTTGCCTGAGTTAATCAGCCCGAAATGACACAAGTCGCCGAGGTTCGTTCAATTCTTAAAAAAATGCACTCGTTTAAATGTCATTCTGTTTAGGCTGAAGTCGTGACGGGCAACGTGAAGGATATTGTGAATCGGTTGTCGAGGGATATGACGAATCGAGTGCCATTCTCGGTTCAACACCAAAATGAGCGACAGCCGAAGCGTTAGTTTTTTGCTTGATTTTCCAAATTTGTGTCGGCATGAGAGAAAAGAGACCTGTTTCGTTTGAAGACCGATTTTGCTTTGATTTATAGACATGTCAGAGGAACGGAAACAATCATTCTTGTTTTTTTTTTGCTCTCTGCAGGGTTGATTTATCGCGTTTTTACAATATTTCGCAAGACTTTCGAAAGACATTAACTTATTTAACTAAAACATCTATTAAAATTCTTTAACATTCCATTACAATTCAATGAATAAAAATATTTTTCGAAAATGAGCAACATTAGTTAAAATATTTTACTTCTCTGAACTTAAATAAATATATGTATATATGAGAAAAAAATTAAAAAAAAACTGTTTCGTTTCATTTCATTTTTGACACGGCCATTTTTGTGGGAAATTTTCCCGTGTGAATCAAATGTTTCTAAGTTTTGCTGTCAATATTTGTCAAGTGCCCACCATTTATGGGTTTCATACTAAAATTTTCAATTTTTGCTCAAACAATTTGTCAAAATAAAATTGGTTTGCATTTTAAATCATAAAAATTTCGCGTTTTTTTCCAGAACCACAATTGTACATTGGAACATTTGAATACACTGCTCAACAGCCCGACGAGCTCACATTCGCTGTTGGTGATATAATAGAGGCAATTTTGTTGAATTATATTTCTCGCGAACATTTCTAATTTTTAGTTCATCGAAGATGTCGAAGACGGTTGGAGCAAAGGAAAATTGAAATCAACTGGCCAAATAGGAATGTTTCCCACTAACTTTGTAGCACTTAAACGTGAGAATTTGTTTATTAACATTTTTATTTAATAATCTAATCGATTTCAGCCCCACCCTCAATTCATTCTGTATCATCATCGCGACCAAAACAAACCAATGACGTAATAATGCGAACCGAGCCAAAAGCCATCGAGCGCACCCCATCGACTGTAAGAATTATTATCTAGAATTCAATAAATCAACGATTAGTATAAGGTGATAAACGATTTGCCGACTACAATCACAAAGACTACGACATTCTCCGCAAAACCGGCAACGAGTACGACTATTGAGCCTGAAGTGCCAAAGATGAAAGGTATTTTTCATTGGAATTTTTTTCTATTTATTTTATGCACATTCAACGAAACTATGAAAAAGAAAAAATGAAGTGAATTCATTCAAAAAATGTGTGTCCACAAAATTTCTTTTTTTTTTTCCAAAATTCCATATTTTCAATATTTTTCTTACAAAGAAGTTTTAAAGTCGAAAATTTTATTCGAAAAAAATGGAAGGCATAATTCATATTTGTTTCTTATTCAGAAATGGCTCGAGTCAAGTTTTTGTATGTTCCACAACATACAGATGAGCTTGCTCTTTCTGAGCTCGACACTCTCATCACGATTATCAGTAAAGAATGTGGTGACGCCGGATGGTTCGAGGGCGAAATTCACGGCAAGCGCGGACTATTCCCCGACAATTTCGTCGAGCTTGTCCATGTGCCCGTTGCGACAGAATCGGGCGCGAAGTTCTCGTCGTGCTTGGGTGCGAATCGCCTCAATTTTGTGGCGAACAAACCCCCACCGGCGAATCCGCCGCAACCTGCTGTTCCGCCAAAGCCAGTGAAGCTCAAGAACGATCCGATAGCGGCGACATCATCAGCTGCACCGCCGACGTCAACGGCAACACCGTCTAAGAACAACTTCGCTGCACTTCGCGAGAAAATGTCATCAGTAAGTGACGCGAAGTTCGATCTCATCTATTCGTTTTTTTTTAAGAATTTGAAAGTGGTAGCTCCGGAACAGGTTGCCTCTGTTCAGCAGAAGTCGTCGGAACAGCGAAACTCGACGGGTAGTGAGCCGGTTGCAGAGACCGATACAAATGCTAGTGGCGATCAAGTTCCAGAACTCAATCACGTGACAAAGAGCAGAGCGCGTCCGCCGAAAAGTCGGCCAATGAGCATGGTGCTTAATAGAAATCGGGTAACCAATTTTTGAATTCCGAATTTGCGCTGAAAAAATTTAATCTCGTTTATTATTTTTCTTCGATAATATCGAAAAAATTGACTAAATTCCAAAATATTATAGGAACTCTCTTAGTGTGTGGTTAATCTATCCTTTTACTGAGGCCCCTAAATCTACACATCTAGTTTTGTGCAAAGAACTCAATAATTATTTTTTATCATTTACCCAATTTTCCACGGTCTTCGATAATATTTAGAATAAATTTAATGAGGTTCGATTCCTTTGTTTGCTACCATAGACAAAAAATTGCTGTCTGGATATTGTGGTACTTTTTTGAAATCTAAATGTAGTTGGTATTACTTATTTAGAGGTTTGCTAGACGCAAAAAAAAACGAAAACTCGTTTTTTGTTCGTTGCGAGACCCATAAACTATTAATTGAACACGACACGAGCAACTCATTCGCGTTTTTAACTGCCTGAGTTTTATAGTCGTCGGACGAATCGCCTATGGGTCGTCTCAACTCGCCGACATCGACTCTATCGGTTGCCGCGAACCCGTTGTCGACATCAATGTTCGTGACTTCGAAGGAAACGAGCAGTTTCAACGCAGTGCCATCGCCATTTAAGGTAACGACACATTATTTGAATCATCCATATTTCCGAATTTAAGCAAGCGGCCGCCATTTCTCCACCATCGTCCGTCTCAAAACCGGCATTGAAGCCAGTTTTGAGCAACAATTTAACGGAAGGTTGTCCAAATGTGATTGTTGAAACGAATTGAATTGAAGTGATTGCAGGTGAAACTCGAAAAAAGACTCCTTCTCCAGAACCGATCACATTGAAGTCGGCGGAGGAGATTCCGATTGTATCAAAACCACCATCCGAATTTGTGACGAGAGCCGAATATGAAGCGGTTTTGGAACGTCTAAAATCGCTTGAGAATCGGCTAGCAGCTATCGAAAGACATCAAAAATTGTAAAAAAAAATTAGTCACCAAATTGTGTGTTCTAGCCATTACTATATATCAAAGATAAGTATATATATGTTTTTTTTTCTTCACTTTATAATTGCTTTATACGGTATGCCCAGTCGTATTCGATTTTTGCTCAAAAACGGTGTGTTTTCCCCGCGAAACTGCTTCCACTTCCTCGTTTTCTTCCTCTTTCTCGTCCTCTGCACCTTCTGAATCGCCACTTTCTTCACTTGAGTTTCACTTCATCGTTTCTTTTTCTTTTTTTTTTCTTATTATAGTTAAAAGTGCATATATTGTTCGATTATTGCTTTTTTCGCGTCTCGAGTGATTATGAATGGTTTCATTAATTTCAACTGTATATTCAACTATACTATTATAAAATAGCGCATGATCTGCTACCTCAATTTGACATTGTGGTGGCTTTATACATATTCAGATTATTTCTATAGAATTATGTGAACCCGATCGATTTAAACGTTGCGGTGCACTTACTTAACCGACTAAATGACCAATTTTTATATTGACTTCTTAAATATAAAAATAATTTTTTCCAAACGGTGCAGAATTATATGGCCTGGCCACCCTTGATGATATAGTCAATTTCATATTTTACCTGGCGCTTATCGCAAAGTTCCGAGGGATCGACGATTTATTTTAGCTGTTCGAGCAGAATCAAAGAAGTGGAATATTCGAGGATCTTATATGCGGGGAAGAAAATTTGACCAAAAAATGAAAAAAATAATCAATGTTGTTTTCTTTCAACCGTTTTTTTTCAATTGGCAAGAAAAAACCCACCGTTTGATCCGCACATACAGTACTGGCCATAATGATGTTCGCCTAGTGTTTTTTGAGCATAACTTGGCTCAAACGCAGCCGATTTGGCTGGAATTTTTACTGTAAACGCTAAACACAGTTGCGCAACCTTGGAAACAACAAAAATTGCCTCATGTTGAAAAAATAATTTTTTTTTCAATTTTTTTTTGTTTTTTTCGATTTTACCAATTTTTCATTTTTTTCAAACTTTGTCCATAAAAATTTCTTCATTTGAAATTTGAACTAGAAACATGTTTTTAGAAATTTTTCAAACTTCTGGAAAGAAAAATTTCACGGCGGACGTTCAAAAAGCGATCGTCAACGGTCATAAGACTGGGTCGTCCAGAAGCCTTCTGGCTCAGCAGTTCCTGTGCTCCCGAAGAGGAATCCAAAAAGTTTTGCAACGATTAAGACAAAATGTATAATTTTTTAATCGTTCTGGAAAATTCTAATCTATTGGGCTGCATTTTTGTTAAGAAATGTCATGGTAGACCTTGCAAAACTACTAGGCTCCAAGATCGGAACATCTGTCGGGCTTCAAGATAAGATCCTAGACGGACTTCAGCAGATGTCCAGACGAGGGTGGCATGGTGCAAGGATCATCTGAACTGGGGACGATGTGAATGGGCCAAACACATCTGGAGCGATGAATCGAAGTTCGACTTGTTCGGAAGTGATGAAATCAAGTGGATTCGACGACCTATCGGAGCCAGATTCATGCCAAAGTACCACCTTCGAACGGTGAAGCATCTTGCAGGGTCTGGGACTGCTTCTCCGACACCGCCATGAGACCGCTCCGACGTGTAAATGGAATCATGGACCAGTACAAGAATATCCTGGAAACCACAATGAGACCTTGGGCATTGGCAAACGTCGGACGTGCTCCGAGCATCAATCGCCGACGAGAAGTTCGCTCAACTCGAAGCCACATGGAGTGCCATTCCGATGCAGTGATCCACACCCTCTTGGACTCGATGCCAGGGCTGTGCGGCAATCGGAAATTTCGGCAATTCGGTAATTTGCCGAAAATCAAAATTTCGGCAATTATCGAGTCGATGCCTCGCAGATGCCAAGCGGTTATTGATGCCAATGGATTCGCAACAAAGTATTGATAAATTAAAAACCGGTTTTCCGTCCTGGTAACGCAGAACCCATCGGACACGAAATAATACAAAAAATCGGATACAAGAAATTTCGAATTGGATCCGAATCATCTAATCATACCTTATCCGAACATTTACCGAACGCAATTATATACAAATGAAATACGACCAAGATAGTGCGATTTTCGTCAATTTTTTCTATACACTGAAACTTGGAAAGGGCAAAACATTGTTTAAAAATGGATGCTAAATAGATACTTCTATAGATAGTCTGAACTATTTTTCATCCACTTTTAATCGATGTTTTATTCTTTTCCCAGTTGCAGAAATCCCTTCCGCGTGGGAATCCGATGTGATTTGCCGAGCCTATTGAGAAATTATTTGATAAAAAAATCTCTAATTTTTTTCAGAATCCACAAAAACAAATGATAAGCGTAGTAGCTCCAGCGTATTGTGTGGCCTACTACAAATCACGCCAACTACAAGTCATATAATCAATATTCGGCATACGTGATTCTTTGGCGGTCATTTTAATCATTCCTTATTAGCACATTTACACGTTCCGCATAAATTACACCGCTACCATATATACTATATATAATATAGAAAGAGGAATCGGTTTATTTGAATACTCAGGTCATTCTTCTGAATTCCAACATTCTTTTTTTGCCAAGAACATTCCTAATATTATTTTTTTCTCACACTTGAAATTTCTTGGAAAATGGGCTTTGAACAAACACATCATTTTTAATCTAATCTTCAAATGACGGAATATTCTGAAAATGAGTGTGTCACCTTGTGAGAACAACGAAAAAAAAAAGTATGTGATCATTTGAAGCCTTTTATACGATGATTTCAGAAAAATACGTGCAGAGGTCGTATGTGCCTTTAATGGGACCCTCAATAACAAACAATGTAAGCAAGGATAAGATAATGACGACAAGTTTTCGAGAGATATTCTGACTCAAATTGGATTAACCTGACACGACAGAGTCTTTTTCCTGGCAAAATTTCGAGCTTCTGCTGCGGACAAAATTTTTTGGCCCACTCGGATATCGAACGTGTGTGCGCCAAATAACGACGATCTTTTTTCGGGAATACAATCGCGGTAGCATTTTTCAGCTTGAATTGAATGCACCTTTAAACTTTCGTTCAGACTTCATCTATCACTTGACATTTTTGGGTCAAATTGATCCCTTTTCAGTTTCTCACTGATAAACGACGTCATTTACTGATGTTCATTTTTTGATCTTCTTCAACTTCGTCGAATTCACGTGAACCGCGTTGATCGCTATTTTTGACATAACTACCAAGTGTTTGGAAGGCGAAATAAATATTTATTTCGTTGATTGATCGCGAACTGAATGATAACGAATACCGAAGGCAAACCCACTAAATGTTTTTTTTTTTTTCCTTTGCGCTGATGCGACTAGAAAAAGAAGAATCACTTTGGACGAGTTAGTCATTTGACGACAGATTTCAACACATTCAAACATTTTAAATTGAGTTTTTTTTTATTTTAACGTTTTTATCCACTTGCAAAAAATATTCTCAACTTTAATTTCTAAATGCTTCATTTTCCTTGATAATTTGTGTTTCAAAGGCACTCAAATACGCATTTTAAGATTTTCCTTTTTTTACTTCAATAATAAACATTTAAAGTTTTTATATTCAAATTTCACATGACGTGTTTTTGCGGAATTTTTAATTATTTAAACATTGAAAACTGCCTTTCGGATAGAATTTCTCACGAAATCCTTCGATTTCTAGGAATATAAAAAGGCAGGACCAACAAGATTGAGAATTCGAGTTCGCTTGAGTGCAGTCAATTCCCAAATAAGAAAGTTGTGCTCCAAAGGAAAAATGCGGGGCTCCGCCTATTCAGAAATCCTTATTTGGTTTCCATGTATGTATAGCCATTCATCTCAATTTACTTATTTGTCATATTTCTAGCATCAGCATGAATGTGTATTTTTTTGGATATTTTTTTCTGAGAATTTTCCTCAACAAGATTTTCCATTTAATAAGAGATGTGTATGTATGTGCATTCCTAACAAAAAAGTGAGAGCAATTGCCTCACACACTTCCTTTTTCTCGTTGCTCATTTCTCCTTGTTGCAAGCAAAAATTTTCTGCCCAAATTCGGCTCATTCTCAGTTTTTTTTTCCAGCCAGAATGGTCGTTTACAATTGTGTCGACGATGAGGATTTCATTGCGAAATCCGACTACGGTATCGGCAAACGCGTAATTCTGTACTTTTATTTGAATCGCGGAGAGAAATGCCAGAAGATTCAGCCAGTTTTCGAAGATCTCTGCCAAAAATACCAACAATCTGCAATCATTTACACCTACGAAGTATACAGTGATGATTTATGTAAGTTTTATTTTTAAAAAAAAAAGTGGGTGGGGGCATTTTAAAGATATCAAAAAATGATGAAAACTAGAAAAGAAATTAAAAAAAAAAACAAATTCCACGTGAATTCGTTGAAGAGAAAATCGATTGAAAAATAACCAACATATGTATTGTCGTCGAATTAAATGCAAAAGTCCGCAATGTTATTTTCAATTTAATTTCGAATTTTAACGCCTTCTTTGTATGGTAGTGATTGCCTAAAAGAGCTGCATTGGTATGTGAAACAAAAAAATCAAAAAATTGAAATACGAATTTCTATAAATGACAATGTCGCTCAATTCGGACTATGAATTTTATTTGCCGAAAAGACACATTTTGTTTACATCGCAATCGATTTTTCAGTGACGAATTCACATAGAATTTTTGTTCTTTTTTATTTTAGTATTTTTTTTACTTAAAAGGTTACCCATCTCCCCACCTCTCTCTTTGATTCTTATCTGCCTCTACCACATTTTTTGCAGTAGTCGGAGAGGCCTTCAATATCAAGAAAGCGCCAACAGTCATTGTAATGGATGACGGGTATAATTCTCCTTTGATAATCTATGGATTATCGTTGGTGTTTCAGAAATGAGATTGAGAGGATCGAAGAACCTGATGAGGAAACGATGAAGCAATTTTTTGAGAGATACGCCGTCGAACAATAAACAATTGTATTTATTAATAAACTCGATACTCGTATTTCATTGTTTTCTCATGAATTGCTCAATTATTTCACCGTACTGCGTCCAGATCCAATGTTGGCCGTACAGTGCATAGAAGACGCCGAACAGCGAGCCGCCCAAATGCGCCGCATGGTCGAACATCCGGAATCTGAAAACGTCTTGAGCAATAAAACAGCTGAACAAGTCTCATGGGGTTCAAAGAGCGAGTTGGCTGAATGACAAGGGAGGCTAAATTAGCTCACAGCAAGTTTTTTTTTAATATTTATTTTTGCATTCGAAAAAGAAGTGAAGCACTTGACAGAGAAAAAAGAAACAAAAAAGACCCTATTGTTTATATTGCTCTGCTCTTATTAATGAGCGATTCCGTTATAAGAAAAAAATATATATATTGTATATTTTTGTCTTTTTCCACAACGAACACGCTCTATAAAGCTATGTATGCAGATTTCTGGGGGGAAAAACTGGAAAACCGAAAAAAAAACTATTGAAACTAAATATCCCCTATACAAATTCTGCAAAAGTTAGTTTTAACCGGCTAGTTGAGATTTTCTTCAAAATCTGCATATAACTAATTTAAAATTTGCTTATAAAGAATTTTCTTCAAAAAACTACAAACCTGAATAAAAGTCCCAATAGATCAAATGCAATAATTCCATATACAGCATTTTGTGCAGTGAAATCAAAGTTCGGCACAAAAATGATAGAAACTCTTCCCTCCGGGATCATCATGCATGTGTAAGTCAGCATCGCTAGAATCGCCCCACTAGCTCCAAGAGCTCGAACAGGACTCCTCGTCAATGCCTTCTCGGTCAAACTTAAGAGGGATGAAATAGACGCGGCGGTGAAATAGAATGCCCAAAATTGCTGGACATCAAGAAATTTGTCGATTAGAACACTGGCGAAGGTTGTCGTCACGTACCTGACAAAATGAAGAGAATTGTGTTTTTTTTTTGTTGAAAAGAACAGTAAATCACTTACATATTCAATGCTAGATGAATGAAAGAATGATGGGAAAATGTGCTGAGAATCATCGGAGCACATAATGATTTTGACGCAAAACTGTTTGTGAAGTATTGCTGCATTAGAGGCGTGAGCTTCTTTACCCGCCACAACAAAAATACCTTAAATAAATCAAAAAAAAAATGCATTTTTTTCGGTAATAAAATGAAAAGACCTTATCAAAATTCAAGGAAATTAGCTATTTTTCATTGATATTTTTGGCTATTTTTACGGTCATGATTGAAATCAAAAGTACTCTCGTTGTTGATGTATTTTGTGCCCATGTTTCAAAATATAATAAAAGACATACCAATACATTTAAACCGACTAGAAAAGCGACTTGTTTCTCTCCCTTCGTTAATGTCCAATCTTTAATTGAGTCTTTGTGCTGAAACCGCAATTCCGTGCCATCGGGAAAGGTAAATGCGGTTTTAAACTTTAAAAAAAAAGAACAAGTTTCAAATCTAACGACTTTTAGAAATTACTTTTGTGTAGAGCGAATTTTCCTGATTTTTCCTTGACAATATTTCGGCTACAATAGCGACTGTGAACGACGAAACTCCGGTAAAAACTGTGAATTTCAAAGCCTCAACTTTATTTATTAAACATTTTCATCTAAAAAAAAAACATTCAAACCTTTGCTAAGTGTGAAACTGGCCTTACTGGAATCGCATCACTTAGTCGTGGTGCTTGCTGCCCGATATTTTTGGCGAGTTCACGAAGCTCCTGCTGACGCAATCTGTCTCGAATACTTTCTCGCGAGAATCTCGCTGCCCATTTTGCACAACTTGAGAACGATCTTCCGGCTACATATGTGAATGCGAATTTATGTAATAGCATTTAATTTCTCCTTATTTCAGATTTAAATAAAAACGGGGGAAAATTAGCAAAAATATGAAATAACGAGTGCAACAAAAACGCTCCACCGAACTAGGCCATATTTTGACGGCCATATTTCAAAACGGAGCAAATCTGTTAGATAGCGCGAAGGAGCTTGTCGAAACAGTATTTCAGAACGGTGATAAAGTTACAGTGAAAATACATTGTTAACTCGTGAAGTTGGAAGGTGGGAAAAGTGATTGCCACAAACTAAATACGACCATTGCAAGTAGACGAAGTGGGACCGTGTCAGAAAATAGAAAGCCGATTGTACGTTTCGATCCGACGTCTACGATAAATGTGATCTATCAAATCGACAAGTCATACTCAAGAAGATTTGTCTTTTCCATAATTATTGTCAGCGATTGTTAAATCAGTTCTACATTTATTTTTCATCACCGAGTTTGGTTACCTATTATTGTTTTGCTATTGTTACATAAGGGCCGATAGACTCCGCCCATCGACGATACAACTGGCCAGGTCCCGGGACCAATTTCATTCTACTCTTCCCACTCCTATTCATATCTTATTCGAATAAAGTATTCTATGGCTTTACGAGAAGATAGTGGAAGCAAGGGCTGTGAGTTACTATTAGGAACCATAGTAACCCCTCACCCGGTACTATAAGATAAATAAAAATAAACGTTTATAATCGACGCGTCAACGTAAACGTAACATTTTTATTGAAGTACTAGTAAAAAATACGAAACTCTGAAAGTTGAAAAAATGATTTTAAATAAAACATATTAAATCAGAGTCGAAATTAGTTGAAACGCGAGAAATTAGGTTTTATGATGAGCTTTTTCCAGTGCAATATTAAGTGATGGTATATTAGCACCAAGAACTTGATCGAAGTGAACTCTGAAAATAATAAAATGTTCGTCGCACACAAAATATTTTTTTTGGTCTCGCACACAAAATATTTTTTAAATAATTTGTTTCGAATCGAATACGATAAATTTCGGCCACAAAATCGACCGGTTTAGCTTCAAAATTCTTGGCAATTCGATTCGAACGCACTCGCATTCTTTCCGAATTTGTGCGTCTTCGATTTGAAACGAATTGTCAGTGGTGGCGAGAAATTTGCGGATGACAACTCGACGTATTGGAGACAAACCCGTTTTTAAAAAAATCGAATTGTGGTAATGCTCGAACACCATACTCATGTGCAGTATCTGAAATTCCAAGTCGAAATATGTTCGCATTTGTCATGCTCTTTAAGTGGTTGAATGGACTTACTTGGACAGGCATCAGTATCGATTTCCAGGAAGGTGATGTCTGGGTATTGTTCGGACATCTTTTCAACATGTGGTTTCATTAGTCTACTTGGTCCAGCCCTATCAAATTCATATTTTTATGTTGTCAAAGACGAACGAATTTGACAAATTTGAATGATCCAACGCATTTTAGAGCGAAATCAACAAATTTCCGCATGCGCCTTTGATAACTACTGTAATTTTGAATGCATTTCATACTAGATCAAATCGAAAATGATTATAAGAAGACCATGGCGCCAAAATTTGAATTTGAATAATAAGCAACGCTCCCCTAAATTTGTCCGTCCTCGGCAATACATATAATTATTAGAATAATCAACTAACCATACAGCGGTGAAGAAAATAACGAGAACCACATCGCCTGCACTGCTCATCTTGGCGTTGAATGCATCATCGCTATCAATGGTTATAATGGCCATCTGAATGATTGTTTATCGAAATGTGTACATATCAATCTCATTCGCTATATTTTATAGTGATCCCAAAGTATTTAGTGGAACCAGAATGCAACGAGAAAAAATTGAAAAACTAGAGAGTTGAAAGAAACATTTTTTTCAAATAAAAAAGTTTTGTAGTCAACAAACGCATTTTTTACACGAGATTTTTGATCTTTTCAAATCAAAGAAAAAATAACTGGCTAAAATCAAGAAGTAAACGTTTTTCCTCAAAAATCTTTTGTTGGCTTCCGGTGATTTCAATACGCGGACAGGTTTGAAAAAAAGGGCCCATAACCTCGGCATCAGTGGGATATAAATATAGCGCTTGTTAAAAATTCATATGTTATCATCGCAAAAAAAAACGAGCACTTTGAATAATTGCACACTTTCACACTTTTTTTATTGCACACTTTCGAACGAAAAGTTTGGACCTGATCGGCTCAACCCGATAAAGTATTTATACGATCATTATTCGGTGTTAGATAGGTACCGCAATCCTACAGTAATTTGGCCCGGCATATGCCAAACACAAGTCTGACCGACTTCTCATAAAAATTATTTATTTTAGTTTAAAAATATTTCAAATTTTTAACCATTCATTTTTTACATTCTTCTTTCTGGATTCTTTCTGATTCTCTGAACAGTTTTGATAACTGGAGAAGTTGTCACAATGACGTATCATTACTCACAATTTATCGTTGACTGAATAAATGCGCGTACACTATAATGCAATGTACGCAGTTTCACGTACTTCTCTGCATTCGCCCAAAGTCAATAATTTTTTATTTCGTCAAGTCGTTTGACGTTGGTGATCACTTTTCACACCATAATCACGGGTATCGTCCGCGTTCACTCAACATTTCGGCGCAAAATCTATTTAAAAAAATGTTTTAACCATATATATATATATATATATATTTGCTTATGACCGGACGTTACGCCCGTGGCCGTGGACGTGCATTTCAATTGATGACAAACAACTTTATTTGCCTCGTGTTTCGCAGCGTTCCATTTTCATATTTCGCAACAACTCCATTTTTAAAATTTAGATGCCCGTGATCGCTATTAAGGACGACGGCGACTTTGATGTCAAGTTCAAAAATGCTGGCGATAAGCTTATTGTTGTCGACTTCACCGCTACCTGGTATTTCAATGCAAAATAAATGTGTTAAATGTTGCAAGTTTTAGGTGTGGACCATGCAAAATGATTGCTCCAACGTTCGAAGAACTTTCGAACATGTTTACCGATGTAGTTTTCCTCAAAGTCGATGTTGACGAATGTGAGGGTATGCTGGTTATAAATAAATTCACAATGACCAAATAAGTGGTTTTTATTTAGGAGTTTGCGAGAAGTATAAAGTTTCATCAATGCCAACATTCCTCTTTTTCAAGAAGGGGTGAGATATATTTATATATATATATTTTTTTAAAATCTAACTCTGACTCCCAATTTTTCAGTGCCAAGGTTGATAACTTCTCAGGCGCAAATGCTGGAAAACTTGCAACTCTTGTCGAGAAATACTCACAAACTGCGTGAATAACGACAATTTGGAATTTTACTCGAATAAATGTTATTTCAATTTTGTTCTACGCAGATCCATGAAGTTCAGGTTTCGGTCACCTACAGATATTTTTTGTTAATTTTCTGGATTTCCATAGAAATGAAGTATTAAAAACGAGAACGATGGTTCGAACCATTTTCTGAGTTTCGTATTTAAATGAAACAGGCTTTGAATGTATAGTCTTTCTTCATTCGTTTCATCACACCCTCGATTCTCGATTTCAAAATGTCACCAAACGTTTAACGTGTCGGAAAGCCGCTCTATAGCAAATATGGCCGCGGTCGGATGATGGTGATGACAATTCTGCGGCCACATTTGTCTGCCACGCATTAATTTCCGTTTTTCTCAAGAATTCTGCATTTTCAGTTGAAATCATGCCGGTGATTGAAGTGAAAGATGATAATGATTACAAGTTTCAATTTGCAAAAGCCATTCAAGGAGTGCTCTTCGTGGATTTTTATGCCGATTGGTATATTAATAATTCGAACTTTATTAGCGATTTTAAATTCATTTTTAGGTGCGGGCCATGTAAAATGATGGCTCCGGTATTTGAAGAGCTTTCAAACAAGTTCCCCAATGCGACTTTCATTAAAGTTAACACGAACAAGTGTGAAGGTAATAAATTTTTCAATTTTCTGGTTTATCCTTTCGATGACTTTTTTCAGAAACTTCGGCTTCTCTTGGGATTGCCAGCATCCCAACGTTCATGGCCTTCATGAATGGGTTTGATTGAAGGTTATTGTTTATTTCAAAATGCTATCGTTTTTCAGAGTTCGTATGGATACTATTAAAGGCGCTGACGCTGAAGCATTAGGTGATCTCGTTGCTCGCTACGCTGAATTTAAGAGCACTCCCTCACTGGTCCATGGACAGGTAGATAGAGATTATCCGCATAAAATACATTTATTTTCAGAGCGAATTGAACAGTGCCATCGACAAACATCAAATCGAATGTCTCAATGGCGACGATGATACTCCAATTGAACGGTTCTTGGATGGAAACTGTAATTTGAAATCGGATTGCGATGAGCAACTCATCATCTCGATTGCTTTCATTCAACCGGTCAAGGTGCACTCGATTTTAATCAAGGGAAATGGTGGAAGAGCACCGAAAAAAGTCAAAGTGTTTTCGAATATGCCGAAAACTCTTGATTTTGATGCGGCAATGGCTCTAGAGCCGATTCAGACTCTTGAATACAACGAGACCGCCAACCAAGGCGATGGGCAAATTATGCCGTTGAGATTCGTCAAGTTCCAGAATGTTCAGAACATTCAACTCTTCATCGAGAACAATCAGGAAGGCGGAGAGGTTTGAGTTTAAACAAAATAATGTTTTTATGAAAATTTTTTACTTCAGGTCACTGAGCTCGTAGATTTGAAATTCTTCGGAACCCCACTAGGAACTCTTGACGTGAACAAGATAAAGAAGGGGTCAGGTGGTGCTGAGAAGGGAGGTAGCTTGGCAAAAGCTTTGGGTCTTTAAATATTCCGGTAAACCTATGAAAAAATCGGCTTTTATGTATGAACCTTGTTTCAGGCTTTCTGCTTGTCATTTTAAAGCCAAATAACATTCGTTCTCATTTTTAAAGCATGTGCTTCAAAAATACGATGTTTTTTTTTTTTAAATTTTCTCCCCGTTTCTTGTTTTAAAGTTTACTTTTTAATTTATTTATGACTAAAAATTCGACATTTATCAACTTATATACTGTTTCCCTCGATTTTCGACACACCTTTCTTTTTATTTATTTCAATAAATTTGTGTACAAATTGTTTTTCTAAAATTTCTTTACATGTTCTTTCATTCGAATATCTTCGATACATGTCGAATTGAATTCTCTTTTGAATTGGAAGTTGTCTCAGATGGATGTCGATCGATTGATGAAGGATCTGACGGTGGAACAGTTGGAGAACATCCAACAGAATCTCGAGTAAGACTTGAGTGTTTTTCTTTTTCGGGGGAAAAAATGTTAATTATCAATCAGGAAAGAGATGGAAGGAAAACGTGAAAGTCTGCGTGAAATGGTTGGAAGACGTTATCGCGATGTTCTCGAAGCCTCTTCTGAAGTTCGACACGTTTGCGCATTGGCTGAAAAACTTGCTAATTATATTGCGAACACGAGAATATCCTATCAAACATCCCATATTAGGTATTTTAATATATTTAATTCCAAAAAAAAAACGAACAACCTGCGCAGATTTACGACGGGTTTGATTCTCAGGGTATCCGTAGTACGGTACCCTTCATAATGCTTAAAAATACCACCCAAACTCAAAAGTTTCCAAGAATTTATTAACATTTGAGGTTTAAAAAAAATCAGAAAAATATAAATAAATGGTAGCGAGCGAAAATGTGTGAAAACACCGTGACGCAAATATCACAGAAAAATCTTAAAAAAAAAACTAATTTCATTCGAATATTTTTAAAAGTTGATTTTTAAAAATTTCATCTGGTTCATACTAATATTAGACCCATAATTAATGCCGTATAAGCAGTTTCGACGGAACCTCGAGTTTGAGGTTATCTTTTTTTATTCTGAGTTTCCACAATGAATCATTGTGCTCGTTTTGTTTGGCGATGGAGAATTTATAATTTTTTATTTTGTTGGTGTATCCTCATGACTGCTTTGTGTTTCATCAGCCATTGAAATCGGTTTTCGTTGGATCTTTCCGGACCAATGAATACAAGATTTCTGGAAGAAACAAATGAAAAATTGAAAATTAGTTAGATATTGTTACCCTCGGAGATCGTGCCGAGACCTCTTTCTCACAAATTGGCTCTTTCGATTTATCAAGTCTGAAAGAAATGTTTAAACTGAAATTAAAAAAAATGTATACGATTTAGCATGCAATGTTTGAATTTTTTCTTTTGATTTATCCAATCCAGTTTTCGACGTCGCTTTCACCAATTGTACCGTTTTTGCATTCGATTTCAAATCAGTCTCCTGTGTTTTCTCAACATTCGCATTCGATCGTTGGTTTGCCTCAAATTTGTGAGCCGTACCAGGTTGAGCTCTTAATTGAACGAAATTCAATGAAAACATTCGCACCTTCTTCTGAATTACCGGTTATTTGGATTCTGATTCTCACTAATTATTTATATTTTCCTGCAAATTGATTTTGTTGTCTTCAGCAATGTTTTTAGAAGATTTCGAACAGCACATGACGACAACTGCTGAAATTTTAGCTTCATTTTCTGAATTTCTTCTTTCTTCTTTGAAAAACCTGCCCATATAAAAATTGCTATCAATTCTGTGATCATTTTGACTCTTGTGCATATACTTCAAACAACATTCAATAGAAATGAGCAAATTTAATTTTTTTTTTCAATTTATCACGCTAATTTTGATATTTATGATTAAAATTCTCACGTAAGAACCGAAATATTTGCGATTTTTCATTATTCCTTTTATAGAACTGGTTCGCGTGATGAACAACGAGCTGGTGAACACTTTTTCGCAGTAAATTATTTGCTTTCCAATATTGGATCTGATGGTAAAAGTATTAGCTTATATAATTGACATAATATACTTTTTAGATGGTGAGCCTCTCGATGATGCCATTGGATTGTGTTTGGTAGAGCATTTTCAGAAGCAGTTAATTAGCAATCATTCATCGCCAATGGTATGTTAATGCCATTCAAATCATTGAAAAAGAAAGAGTAAAATTCATTAATTATAGGGTTATGAAAATTGGTTTCGAGTTTTAGCGTTTCTTTAGATTTTTTTCGAGCAAATTTTTATTTTCTATCGTTCAGATTTCGAGAATAGCGAAAGCTTTCACCCAACGCATTGTGGCAACAAGAAGCGAACTCGAATCGTACAATATTGACTCGTTATGTGATATTTCGCGATCGGATTGGGCGACTAATCAGCTGGCGGCGATAGCGATTCTACAAACGAAAGATATTAGCCAATTGCTTGATTTGTACTTGGAGAAGCGATTTGTAAGAATTGATGATTGAAATCTTTTGTTTGCCTAAAAATTTCGTTTTTTAGGCATATATTGGACAATTAATCGACGATTCGGCGACGATTCTCACGATAGTTGATGAGATGAAAAAGACGCTTTCTGTTGTTGAAGAACTTTTTGTGCACGGCGAACTGCAACATGCTATCCAATCAGTGTGCAATGGACAATATCGTTCTGGTTGAATCATTAGTTTCCTAATATGGCTCATAATTGAATATTTGTAGAGCTCATACGTGATATGTGTGCTGATCAAGCTTTTTCTTTCGAAAAAACCATAAACGAAGAAGTCGAGAAATTCTGGAGACAATTGAGAGAGAAATGTTGTGGGCGGGGATCGTCGAATGCCATCGGCTTGCAAGTGATTGGAGATAAATGTGCAGAATGGATTGAAAAGTGAGAGAAAAATGCATAAGTTTTGTGAAAATGTTTCATTTTAGGACATGCGCAATGACTCATCGCGTTGTCGCGGAAGTTTGTGAATATTTTGATGATTTAGATGAAATCGTTGAGCTTCTTCAAGCAATCACAAACTCTCTGAAACAGGTAATTTTTGAATAAAAATAATCTCTTTTTTTGGAAATGAACAACCAACAGCCTTTTTAGATTCTTTTACTTTAAATTTTTGTTGAAGTATTAAGTGAAAGTCGAAAGAAAAACTCGAAAAACACAAATTTGAATGAGCTCGTGAGCAACTACACCAGAAATGTGTTATAATTTTTGAATTTCCCGGTTGACTGCTCGTTTAAGATTATTTTCACTGCTAGTCAAAGTTTGTCGGTCGTACTGTAGCTTTTCTCGTTTTTTTCGTGTTTTTTTAACGAAAATCTTTGACGTTATACATTTAAGCAAAAATTTTCCATTTTGTGATAATGTTTTTAATAGAAATGTTTGCATATTTGGCATTTGCCCTCATTCAGGAAGATCATATGTCTGTTATTTACAATTTTTTTTCTCAGGATTGGCCTCGTATCGGACCTGCTAAAAATGTCTACGATAAACTTCTACAAAACGTCGTTGTCGAAAAATCAAAAGTAGTTTAGAATTTTTATATTGTTTCATTTTCCCGTTTATTAGGCTCTCATGGTACAAATGATCGAGAACATTGAAAAATCAGCGAAACTGAAAATCGAATCAACGAATGATGGTCCGTCGTCGTCGCTTTTCGATGAGCGGACATATCGGCCAGAATCTCAATCGCATATCGGAATCTCAACGCAGTTGTTCAAGTAATTTTTTAATATTGTCGTCGGCTATTGTAAAATCGGGTGCTAACGCTGGCTTCTGCTTTTGAAGAAGACCTTTTCATAATTGAAAATCATAAGACATATGACAATACATACAACCTTCCAAATAATTTTAATTTAGATGCGTAAAAGAATTGTGGGCTTCATTGGAAATTATCAACGAGAAATGCCAGCAGTTTGAGAATATCTGTGTGCCAATGGCAGATATAGCAACAGCGAATTCACTGAAAGAGACGATGGCAACAAATGTCAATCAATTGCTTTTAAGGTATGATAGTTTACTTCTAAAAAGCAGCTCTCTCAATCGCACGCTCTCATATTAATAATGTTTCAATTCGTCCTTTTAATTTTGCTTGTTTTCCAATTTCTTTCGAAACTAAACTGAATTCAAAAACACCCAATCTGCTGACATTTTATAATCAAGAACGGAGAATACCCGTTTATTTTCTCTAAATTCTTTTTAATACAAACATGAAGCGCAACGCGTCTGAACTACACGGTCTTGCAGCGAAAAATTCTGGTAACTAATTTATTTTTTAATGGCTGCCAGTATTGGCCGCTGCGAGACTCAGCGCAAAAACGGCGTGCGCCCTTCATTACCGTATCTAAAAATATTTTCGCATTTAGAAAGCTCCTCAAATTTTATTGAAAATCACCATTTTTCGAGTTTGTTTTTGTTCAATTTTTTATTATATTAATTATTTATTCGAATATCAAAAGTTTCCATGAAATGTGTGAATAAACTCACCCTTCAATCGCGAAATTAAAATATAGTGTTTCCCAAAAAAAAGGGACTACCAGCCGCTTTTTTTAGAACGCAAACCTTTAAAAAAAACGTAAGCTCTCGCGAACGCATTTGAGTCTTATAGCCACCGATCAGGGCATTTTTTTTTCAAAATCGGAATTTATAAGCCGATTTTTTTTTGTTTCGAATAATAATGGTCTGCGGTAATTAATGGGTACTCTGCTTCTCAAGGTGGGTCGAGGCGCAATTTTGGTAACAGCGTTGTCCCAAAAATTCAGCAAAAATTGTCGCATGAAGAAAATTACAAATTCTTATCAGCTGCCTTAATTTCAGACTATGCGAGCCTCTCAGCGAGACCGGCGATAGTGAGCTTTGTTCGTCGACACGGGCGTCACGATGTCTGTCGCGCGCTCGTCTTGCCATTACGATCGTCCATTCTGAGACATCGCTTGTCTGTCTCCTTCTCGATAAGGACTCGCAGCGAATATCGAATCTCAATCATCGCCTTCATGTCGTCATCGAGCAGAATTTGAGGTGTGTCTCAATTTTTGATTTATTTCCATGTTATTAGTTAACAAACAACTAATACAATATGTGCACGGGAACATATTAAATATGCGAAAAACAAGGAAATACAGTAATCACAGTTGTGGGAGACGGCCGGGTTGGGCACCCTTGTGAGATGTTTCGAGATATTCTATGCAGTGGTTTCTGGGGGTGATAAAAAAAAACTAGATGGGAGATGATGAAAGAATGAAAAACAAAAAGAAATACCAGAGGCAAGCAATGTTTAGTTAATCGAACAAAAAAGAAGGACCAACAAGTAAATCAGATTGTATAATGTAGATGGGAATGACTAGAAGCGGAGGATGGAATTATTATTACTATTATTATTATTATTATTAACAATTATTATCCTTATTATTATTAATTGAATTATTTTATCGAATCGTTGATTTCTTATTGATTTCCCTGTATTCACTTGGCGTAGAGTAGCCGGATGACGCGCAATAAATGGTTAAAGCATTTCTCTCGGAAGCAACGACGGAAGAAGTACTCGTAGGCGTACGGTTCTTGAGCGGCATTCGGCACATTATTCATTTCGGTTTTGAGATATTGCCGCTCGCGCTCTTCGCTGTCGAAATCGGGCCATGCATCGGCTATCGATGACACAATGTATTCGGTGCGGAGAATCTCATCGAGCTAGAAAATCGAATCGAAATTTCAATAGCAACAACTTATATTTGTGCGTTACCAATTCCAAATCACCAAATTTTTCCAAATAGGTGTCCTTCATGATTACCGTACTTCCAGGCGCCACTTTTTCTTTGACGGCCCTTTCAAGGTGATCTCTATTCGTCTAAAAAATTATCGACGTAATCCAATTAGCTAATTTCCACGGGAGTTTCCACTTACCAATGTGTAATCAACGTAGGCGAGCGTATTATCTTCGAGACATACGAACACGGTCCGGCTAATATAATGTCGGGTACGGCGATTTCGCGATTTGTTCGACAAATGCTCGGTGCACATCGTTTCGATGATTTCGACGTGCTTGCCGGTGCCGCCGATCGGCGAATCGGAGGCCATGATCGTTTCGCACCTTAATTTGACGCAATTATTCAATAAGTATTTCGACATTCACTATTACCAATTTTGGATAATGTCGCGCATGAATCCAATTGTATTGTAGATTGTTTCCTCGACTAGTCGATTCTCACCCATTAGTTTGTTGTACTCGGTGATGCTCAAACCGGGATTTTCGCACCAGACTAGCATGAAAATGAAAAACTGCAACAGAATTATGTAAATTCGACCAAGACGATTTGAGATGGATTACCTTGTTGAGTGGCATTCTCGAATAGAACAAAAAGGTGCCCTCGTAGACGGAGATTTTCGTAATGATACGCTTTTCGCGACGTTTTCGACACGATCGACATCGCCACTAAATTGGGATCGCGTTCGTTTTACTCGTAATGAAAACGAAGTAGGTCTTACCACGAAACCATTGGCGTGCTTGATTAGACTCATCAGTTGGTCTTTGGGGCAGTTTTCGACGCGACACACCCTCGTATTCGGAATGAGGCCATAACGGGCAAGAAATTGAATGCTGAAAACTGGAAACGTTAAGCAAAACGTGACGCCTAGAAGACTAATACCCGAGTTTTGGATCGCTGAAAATTTTCTGCAGGTACTCGATGGTGAACTCGACATCGAGCACCTCTTCAGGTGTCGCCACATTATCATCATCGAGAATCGTGAACTTGCCCCGCTCAGGTCGTGTGCCGGGAATTTTGCGAATCGGACCACCACCGGTCCCTGTACATCCCAGTTGACTCGCCGACAGTGTGCTCGTTGATGTTGAGGCGGGAAATCGCCCACTCCCGCCATTGCTCATATTATAGATGGCGGTGCTAAACGAATTAAAGGCGCTGGTTGATATAATCGACGATAAATCGATTTTCATATCATCATCACTGTGTATCGCGTCTTCGAGCTCATCCTCATCCCTAGTCTGAAATATTACATCTAAATGGTCCGCAAAATTAGAAACTTAAAAAATTTGAACTTTCAAATTAGGATAAAATAAAATGTCAAGTCATTTTTCTAAAGTAGTTTGAGATTACAAAAAAACGACATTTTCGTAAAAAAATGTTCAGTCAAGATCTCATACCTCACTAGGACTTTCTGTCTTCGGCGTGATATTGTTGATAATGTGTGCGGTATTGGCAAAAAATGTATCAAGCATGTCCATGGTTTCGGTTTTGATCACCTAAAAACGTTGTAATAATGATATTTGCGATGGATGAAGGTGAAAGATGGAAAAAAAACGAAGACGGTAAATGGAAGAAGGCGCAAAAATGGAAATAGGAATTGGAATGAATCGAAGAAGTTGTAAAGATAGGGAACGCGATCGCGGCGAAAGGGTTCTTTTCGGCCTTCAATTGGTTTGTGGGGCGAAATTTGAACGACGGGGGTGGGCGGGGACCCGAGATGAACGAAACGGAAAATGAAGAGTCCCCATCCATGCGACGAACCGTCCGACCGGGGCGGTTTCTGTTGTCGTCCCCTCTCGATCGCCTCGGGGCACGCATTGTATTATGGGAACTATTTGGCGGGAGCGAGTGCTGCGCGGGATTGACTAAACGGGGCCACACAACAACACACACACACAGTCGCCTATAGACACTAAAACGAGAGAGACCATTGAAGACAGTCGGCTGACTGGGCTGGTGGGATGCCTCCGCGCACTAACACTCACTTGTTGTCTCTCGATTGACGGTCTCTCCTCGCCGGTGTTTCACTCACTCAACCACTTTTGCCGATCACTCTATTTCAGTGCTTGCGATTCGATTTGTGTGTGTGTGTGTGTGTGTGTGTTGCGGTATACATTGGGCGCCGCTTAATTGTTTGACGGTATGGGTTCGGAAACAGGAGTGGTCCCATAACCATTTACGGCCGACGAAAACTAGTTGTGCGCTTTCAGTCCACACTTTTAGCTCGTGTCAAAGAAAAAAAAGACGTACCGAAGGGAATGAAGGCGATGAAGATGAAGAAGCCAAAACGAACGTTTAATGGTCAAAATTTATCACGAAAATTGCGGGTTTATTGGGTACTAAACGGGCCAAACCCCTCCTTCCCGAACTGTTTGACGACGACACGTTGAAATTGACGAGTCAAAAGAAAAAAAAAATAAGCCACCGTCGACGACGACCTCAAAGTTCACGTGTGCGGCGCGTGGATCCGCGACGAAATGTGTGGAAAGTTGGTGTTTTGGACCAGGCTCGCGCGCACGCGTTGACAAGCTCGAAAATGAATGGCGACGGTGCTGACCGCACGCAACACATGTGAGCTTTGAAGGATCGCAACAAATTCGCAAACGACGACAAAAAAATGCGTTGCGAACAGCCAGCCGGCCGTCCGGCGGCGGCTGGTGCTGCCGAGACGGTTTTTTTTGCTTCGGGAAACGCGAGACAGGCGGCGATATGGGAGAAGATGGGTGGAAATTGATATAGAATGGTGCTGATAAGGCGGAGTGTCGAGATGGTCCTGTACGATGCTGCCTGGGGCCGCCCGCATCGGCGGGACGCTCGCCGCCGTCCCACCTCGATCGATGTTTATGATAGATAAAACACCTCGCCCAATATTTTTTGGCTGCCTTTTTGTTTGTTGTTCGGTGCCATTTTTTTGGGGAAGAGGATTGAATCGATGCGCTTTTATCGGGAATAATGGTCCGATGACCTGGGCTCATGGAGATGAGTCTGTTTTTTGAGATGTTCTTCTTCAATATAAGTTTTACGTTCTTTTTTTGATGAACGGGTCTTACTAATGGTTTCCGATAGTATTTTCTATGAAGAAATTCGCACCAGCTGCTATGAGTAAAAATATGGAACACCGGCACGGCATGTGTAATCAAAAAATCGTGGGAATCTCGAAATTAGGCATTTTACACGTTGCGCTAATAAAAGGTTTCCTTTTGTTTGAAAATATGAAATAGTCACTATTGTGTCGCGACTGCTTTGGATTCGCGCCAAGCTCCACCTACTTGATATTTTCGGCTGCCATGTGTGGTTAAAGGGAATTTAATGGAAATCTACTAAAATTATAATGGTATACTTGTTTTTTTCCAATGTGATTGATTGTTTAAAGTGGAGATTTGATGGAAATTAACAGATGACGATTTGACTGAGGGATTTGAACCTTGATTACTATATTTTTTTTTAAAGGACTCCGTGGAATAACGATTAATTGATTGAGACGATACCGTGCGCCGAGGTTCAAATAGAAGATTGTAATTGTGAGGCACGAGTTAGTCATGGGGTTACCGCGCAATTTCGCAATTTCGGGACCTTGATACGAATTTTGCGGAATGGGCACTGGGAAAAAATAGGCGACGAGTGGTGCCTACTGTGCGCGCGATAGACACACAAGAGAGAGTTTTTCGATTTTGGAGTGGCTGAGAACCATTCTTTGCATCGTCGTGTCGTCGCTTCGTCGCATTTTCATTTTTTTTTCCTCATGTGTGTGTGTATGTCGCGATTCTCGATTTTCGCCCCCATCGAGAGCGGACGGACCGCCGATGATCGGCGGCCAGACCGGCCCCTAACACACTCGCTCTTCGTCAGCCAGCGGCCGCCGAAATTGTTTGTATACGGGCGGTGATGGTTCATTCGTTCTACCGAAACGCATATATATATATATATACATGCATCGATGTGGATTCGTGGCGCCGGTGCCCTCGGTGGTGTCAAGTGCATTGGCCCACGTGGGTAATCGAATCAGGCATAATTTGATAGTTGAAACGATTTGGAAGTTTTCTGTTAGACAATTTTAGTAATTGGATCAGAAGTGCGAGGTGACGTGAATCGGAATCATTATATAGGATTTAAGCTTCATAAATGAAAGATTAAGTGCCCGCTTAATCTTCAAGATATTAAAAATCGATTTTTGGGAAAATTGATCATTTCTTAAATTAACGAGTTTTTATCTCGTAACATGGACCATCACCATATTATCGCAATCATGCTTGAAACGTCGAAAATTTTCATTTAGTTGTTACGAACGCGCCTTTTACACCTAACTGTCCGTCGTCTAATGGGCACCCGTTAATTGCTGACTGATTTTTACGAAAAACCTAGACTCCCAATGAGAATTGTGCGATTTGCTCAAACAAACATTCTAACTTGTTCGATCAAGTTTTCTTCAACAATGGAAAATTGGAAACCGCGAAAAAAAAAACGTCGAATTCGAAATGTTGCGATGGTATTGCGCGATGTGGGCCGCCTGACTCGTTATTGTTCGGCTGCTGTGTCTCCGGGTCCGTTTCGCTATTTGCAACACGCGAAAAAAAAATCATTGAAAGGTATTTTGTGTTGTGTCGCGCGAAAACGAAACGAAGTCAGCGCGTGCGGGCGTGCGCGCTCCCGCCCGCCCGCCCGCGGCGCCCTTCCCTCTTCGAACGGACCTCTCCACCACGTGCACAGTGTCTGCAAGGCACGGGCGCGATAGTTCGACGACGGACTGGTTCGTCGCCACAGCCCTCTTACGGACCTCAAGGGCCGATGGTAGTGTGTGGGCGAGACGACAAAAATGGAAAATAGCGCGGCGGGAAACGAGAGCGCGCTTCGCAAAATGTACACACACACACACAACACCCCGATACACACACACACACACAAACAGGCAACGAACCGGACAACTAGGAAAATTGCGATGGAATCGGCAGTCATGGGGACCCTTATTGTACGAAGGATCCTTTCGAAGGAATTGGAACAAAGGGACGAAGAACGTGTCACGCGGCTGCCGCTTTTTCGGAACGGGGGATGAAAAAGGTTTCAAGCTTCGGACAAAAAAGGATTACTCTAGGAAAGCCCTAAGAACAAAAAAAAACAAAACAAAAACATGCTTTAAAATTGTACAAAAAATCAAGAAAATATGTCCCTCCTTATTGCAGTTTGTATTTGGGTTTTATGAAGCTTTGTGAGAATGATGGTCCGATTTTGGAAGTCCAAACTTTACAGTGCAACACATTAAAACTAGCATAATTCTGAATAAAGCGATAGGGTTTATATGTGAAAGTCGTAATATGATGCTTTTCGATCGGCGACGACGGACCATTCGTTAATGGTATTTCGGCGTCGTCGATCCGTCCATAAACTGCCTGGGAATCATGACGTCAAACAGCTATGGAACCGAATCGACGGGCATTGTTTCCGATGAACTTTGAAAATGTCATGTCATGGGAAAACGACGTGTGCTTTTTTTCTGAAGTTTCTTGGTCGCTTTAACAGTAAGTGTTGCGGGATTTTCGGTAGAAATTCAAAAATTGATTTGAATTTCCAGCTAGTCGGACAATAGGGATTTTTTGAAAGCGAAATAAATTTCGAGGACGTTCGGCAGCGCAGGGCTGATAACGCTGGATAACGAAAGGATCTTTATGGGCCGTCGAGGGGCGGCGATGAAGAATAACACGGCGGCGCTCGTCGTTTCTCCGGCTCCTTGTCGGTTGCTCTCTCTCTCCATCTCTCCTCCTCGGCTGTAATCAGTGTAGTGGTGAAATTGAATTGATAAAAGGTGCCGTGCGCGTGTTGCGTTGTGTTTCGGTGGGCCGTGTCTCAACTAGCCGCCAGCGTTAGCATTCTCTCGCAGCGGCATGTAGCACGGGCACAAATCGCCTAATCAGGAGGCGGCGATGACTGCTCTCGACGACAACGACGGCTCATGCCGCCTCTCGTTTTGGCTCGCCATGGAAACGCGTGCCACAACGGCCCCTTACTGCTGCTGGTTGGGCCGTCGGCGGCAGCGGCACAGGGCTCGGCTTATCATTAGTTGAATAGCGGCTTGACGACATATCAAAGGCGTACCTCGTCGATCCGCTGCCGATTATGGGAATTAGACGGAAGGGGCCGGGCCCATGAGAAAAAGCGGCGCGCTCAACGCTTTATTATTACTATTGTTATTATTCCGATGCGAGGGAACCTCTGAAAACTCAATTTTCACTGTTAAACGTTTTCTTTGAAAACAAATTGAAATCCTAAAATTGGCAATTTTTTCTAATAATTATAAATTTGAAGTTTTAAAATTAACAAACAATGGATTTTATAATTTTTTGTTACAATTCTTTACAACAAAAATAAATACATGAAGCGATCGATACGGTAAAAACGACGAAAAAAAATACTAAAGTGGAAAATTCTAAAATGAAGTCCGCAATTGTGCTACAGAACACTGTAGTTGTGTGCATTTCCGAAACTACAGTACCATCGTTTACAGTAGGATTTCACAAGAACACGTCTAAAATTTTCAGTGAATATTGCCGTCTGATTGCTAACGAATGTATTTCGACGACAACCCTTGCTGAATACTTGGAAGCGTTTGAAGGCGGCATGTATGCTCTTCGACTGGTTACGGTAGAATAATTGATATGCCTAGTTTTATTGGTTTCAATCGAATTATTATTTTTTTAAAGGAATTCCAAACAGTTGAAATGACCGACGTCGGCAATGTTGAAGTGCCTTTGGCGCTTTCATCGGCCATCTATGGAGTATTATTCGAGATTTGCACGAAATTGTCGGATGCTACAATTGCGCATTTGTTGACGAAAAAGATTCGCAAGCAGGTGTCGGCCGAGGTTTTTTTTTCGTCGTTTTTCTTGCGTTCACTCGCCATTTTTGGGCACATTTTGTAGATATCTGAACGATTCGCGAAAATATTCTCGGATCGCATCGAAGAGATCAACGAATCGTGGCAATTGACGACGCGAACGACTCTCCAGATTTTGTTCGACTTCCAATTGATTAGCGCGATGTTCCCCGGAGACAGGTTAATTTCGCCCAACGCATGAAAAAAAAGGAGCCGAATGATTCATTTAATATTATTTGCAGAATGAGAAAGTTGTGCGAAATTGTTGAGTCACACCTGGACCCGTTCGATGTTTCATTGCTTTCGCCACTGATTTCGAGCAATGTCAAACTTTGTTATATGAGAACACAGGTGCGAAAATTATCGGCGATGAAAATTTCCTTAGCGGAAAACGAAAAGAAACAGAAACAAAATTAGATAAAAATGAACAAATATGTAGTTTTGCATGAAATATGTTATATTGGATCTGTTTTGAAGAGAAAATTAAAAAAAATTTAGGATACTTTTTTTTTTGAAAAATGCATGTTTTTCATTCATTGTTTGCATAGCTGAACGTCGAATTTTGTTGCATTGTTATCATTGTTTGATAAGAGTATATTTTTTGTGATTGTTAAAAAGAGGGTCTCGTGTATTTTTCCGTCAACGTGTTTCTTCTACAGATCCTCTTTGCTCCGCTTCTTGTTGACAGCCTGCCGACGAAGGATGTTCAGCCGCCACCGTCGTATTCAAAGGTGCAAGACCTTGTCGTTCATATTCAGCAGCCTTCGAGAATTCCGATGATTCCGAGATTGGATAGAGCTGTGGTAGACGCTCAGTTAGCTCTTTCGACTATTATTACCTTTTTTCAGATGAGTGGTGATTTGAAAAAATCAGGAAGAAATAAAATGAACAAATTGTTGGCAAATCCGCACCAACAAGGTGAGAAATTGAAAAATTTGGGGGGTTTACGAGGATTTTTATTTTTCAGGATCATCGAAGAGTACACCGACACTTAGCGCATTTTACGACAAAATTTCATCTTCGTGGTTTGGTGGAAATAATTAACATTTAAAAATTTAATAATTAAAAACTCTGGGATTGGTTGGTTTCTTTTTTACTCGAATTAAAAAAAATATTATTGCATCAATTGTGATTCGAATTAACATCGGGGAAATAAAGTGTTTAAAAAGTTCGTCGTTTTTTTGTTTAGCCAATTCAAAATAATTTTTGGTGTTATCACTGCGCGTCTTTTTGATAAAAAAATGTTTGAAGTTTAATTTTTTCGTTCGTTTCTACCACGGATTATCAATCATTGATTTCGATTGACTGGTGTTAGATGATTTCACTTCCCTTTTTTCACTTCTCAAATTTCAATCACTTCTGCTTTTCTTTTTTTTACGATAGTTTAATGAAATTTAAGACCGCGCGAATAAAATTGCATAATTTTTTATGACTGAACGGGTTTTTTTTTAGCTTTTTCTATCATACTTTTCTTTTTTGAAAAATTTAACGTTTTTTCTTATCTGGTTTACAAGAATTTCAAATTAATAAAACAATCAATGACAATCTATCTTCTATCGAAATTTTTATTTATATTTGCTGCGGACCCACTGCAACCTATAATAGATTGCAATTATTTTATCGCTATTGAAAAATTTATAAAAGATTGAAATGTTTCTAAAGAATTGTTTGGAATTTCTCGAAAATTATCATATAAAATTCGGGATTTGAAATTTTCAAAAATTTTGAAACAATTTCTATCTATGGATATGTTATAACATAATACGATACTCGCTCATTTCACAATCTATTAAAAACGCGTCATTTTGTCAAATTTTTATTTTAATTTTCGTAAATTGATTGCCAAAATATAGAATTTGATGAATTGAGATGATCAACTGAACAAATCGATTGTATTCAGCGAAGAAAATTGGAAAACATTTTGGATTATTTGACGAAGTTCAAACAGGAATTTCGATTTTTGTTCTGTTTTTCAGATTGTGATATACGACGAATTAGGACCCTTTTAAGAAAAATCATTTCTTTTAGTCAATTTTTCACATTCCTCACGCTTCTTTGTTTTTATTTCGACGTTTTTCGAGAAAACAAATTTTCGAAAAAATCAGGAAATGATAAAAGAAGCATCTATGAACCAGTAAAATATCAAGTCATGAAATCGAGAAATAAATTGCTGAGAACGATGATAACACTTGGAAATACGCATGACTTTGAACGTCTGAAAAGAAAATTTGAAGAAAAAAATGAGGAATAATATAATCTTGCCCCTAATATATCAATTTTAATGAATTTCAACGTTTCGGTCAAGGCATTTTTGCTTTAATTAATTTTAATTAAATTCTGCTTTATTGACACATCGCTCTCAATCAACTCATTTTCCCGTCGACTACTCCTTGTACTACTACTACTACTACCGCTACTACTTCCTACTTCTTCTACAGTATCGCTTCTGAAACTCGTTTTGCTACGTTGACAGTTTGAATATGAATGAATGAATCATGTCTCATCCGTCCATGCGCGTTTATTTCTCTTCCCCACTTTTTCTGCCATTCCACCGCTTCTTTCCGGAGCGCGGCGGCGGCGGCGGCAGAAGATCATCATTATGCAATCGGAAGCAGAATATATTATATGTCAAATAATATAATAATAATAATAATAATAAGACGAATACCTGTAAGACATCACATTTTATGAGTGCCGAATGGTCTGGAAATGGGCGTGGCCTGCGCACTATTCGTCCGGAAGTCAACAATTCTATCAAATTTCAGCGAATGCCTCGACGGCTACTTGTACTTCTAGTCTACTTGTCCCCTATATTTGGCTATGTAACAGTAACCAAATACACTATTGGCAATCGAACTTATTATGAACGGTTCGAGCAGCCGTGGTTCAAACACATGCATTATGATCATGAAAGGGTGGGTGCACATCAACGCATTCTATTCTTCACCACAATTTGAAATTAAACCTTGAGTTCGATAGAGCACGTTTGCATCCGTGATAATCAATTTTCCCAAATTTTTCCAAGATTTTGAGTTTCAGTAAATTGCAACATCCTCGTTTTCAGGTGAAAGCCTCCGAGAAAGAGCATTCGGCATTCGGAAAGCATTTTGTGCCGGAGAATGACGTGTTCATTGCGCCCGATTGGTCCGAGCGCGAAGCAAAATATCTGCATTGTCTGAATCGAACATGCGTTTGCGGATATTTCAAAGGTTCCCGATGAATGGGTGATCCCGAGCGGGAATTTTTCCGGAAAAGCCCTTCCCTAAAAATTTCGACAATTTTCAACACATTTTTCGACGAAATTCCCGAAGATTTCCGGCATTTTCTCGGCGGATTTTTTTTCTGTAAGACCATCGAGAATTTCTCATGAATTTTCTAAAATTCCCCGTAAAATCGCGATGTCATAATTCGAATTCATCAATTCTCGTTAACTAAAATGATTCAAACAATATATTTTTTTGAAAATAATGGTAAACTAAAATCTCGGGGGTGGTTTGTTGAAAGCCGTCCATTATAAATACCGGAAAATCATTTCTCGAGAGCACATTCTTTTCCGGTAAACGGTTCAAACCAATCACACAATCGCCGGTTTTCAGGGAAAGTGTTCAATGATGAGTGCGTTCTGCCAAACGGAAGGCCTCTTCAGCGAGCTGTACGAAAAGAATTACGGGCGCTTTCGAACGAAGAACGCAAAATGATTGAGGTATTCTCGGGGAAAGTCGTGCAGAGTTTGCGCAGGCTTCCAGTAAACTGTTATAAGAATACAAAATCTGCTCAAGGTCTGTTCAATGCTTGTCGTGGCTCAGTCGAGGTTGCGAACGAGTCTGCAAAATGACAAAGAGAGAGAGAGAGAGAGAGAGAGAGAGAAAGTGAGAGAGAGAGAGAGAGAGAAAGAGAGCAATTGCTAAAACATTTGCCATTTTTCACAAATTGAATCAAACTAATCGGGAATATTTTATTTATTTATTGTTCCACAAAATAAATTCTTCAGGGAGCTTGGAATGTGATGAAATCGAGTGGACTGTACAATCGAATCGGACGCGTCCACAAATATTCGGGCGTTCATTCGGGTCCCGCATTCACCATATGGCATCGCGAATTTCTGAAGAGACTCGAAATTGTTCTACGCGAATATCTACCAGATCCCGATTTTGGGATTCCATATTGGGATTCGACGCTGGATTCATTGCTTCCCGACCCAAAAGAATCGATCATTTTCAGCGAAATTTTTTTGGGAGAGGTGCGATTTTTCGGGGGATCTTCTGAAATTGATCTTAAATTTCAAGGTAGACGACGATGGATTCGTGAAGAATGGTCCGTATCATAATTGGGAAACGATGGAAGGTCGATCACAGATTCTACGCAAATTCGATTACGACGAATCCGGCGAAGTGCTGAACAATCCGAGAGTGGATTGGATTATCAACAATCCAGACATCAATATGGTTCTTGGCACGACATTACCACTTACGGTAGACCGATTTTATGAAACTGTTTCGATGAATTTTGTCGTTTTGAGACCTGCCCAATGAATCACACGCTGGATGCAAGAATGCTCGAGTTTTCTCATGATTATGTTCACTTTTTTGTCAGTGAGTCGATTTTTTTTCCAAAATTCACAATTGAAATGATTTCAATTTCAGACGGAGATATGAGCAAATCGTATTCGTCTTCCAATGACATCGTTTTCGTTTATCATCATTCGATGATTGACTGGATATTTGAAGCGTGGCGTCAAAACAAACAGGTATGTATGTACATATGAGAGGGAATGAATTCAATCATTGGCGCGACTTCTTTTTTTTCAGACGCGAATTGAACGCGAAACAGAATATCCGAAAAGCGACGACCGTTGCTTCCCGTTTTGGCATTTCTTCGAAAATGAGATGCCTCTTCTGCAGCCGCTTCGCAACTCGGACGCCTTGTCGAACGGCTACACGGATTATATGTACGAGTTCGCGCCGAGACCCAGTTGCACGCGAGACAATCAAGATTGCAATTCGGAATATTTATTCTGTTTTGTTCCGAATGTCGATGAAGAGCCGCCAGTTTGTGTGAGCAAAGTACGACGAAACGGGCGATGCGACGGATTTGAGAATTATCCGATTTGCTATTGGGGATCGTGTGTGGATGGAAGATGCACGGAGGAAAAGCAGAAAAAGAAGAAGGAAAAAACGGTGAACACAAACTTGAATAAATGGAAGAAATTTGGGAAACAATTATTGAATTTCGCAATGTAGATTTCTAGTTTATTTTTTTGTATTTAGTTAGATTCGTTTTTGAACTTTCAAAGTTTTAATTCTTTCTGAAATACGGGTAGCTTGTGATGTTGAGATTTTTTTGTATTGATGAAATAAACGCTGAAATTATTACATTTACGTGAAATATTTTTTATTGTTACAGATATCCCCTTATTTTCAACTTCTGAATCTTGTTAATTCAGAATTTAAAAAAAAATCCCAACATTTCGTGAGGGAATGCCAATGGGAACTTCTATTCGTAAATGAGAGGATATTAAGATTATTACGCAAAGTATTGAAGAAGTAATTTTTTGTATTGTTGAAAAATGACAAATGTATCCAGGTATCGTGGGATCCTGCGTTTTGTACGCAATGCTAAGAGACAGTTACCGTAATCCTCGCAGCGATTTACGGGAGACTTATTTTTTTAATTTCGCATATTAGATTTTTTTTTATTTTTCGCCCAATTTTCGTATTTTCCTTCGAAATTTTGTTATTTAAATTTTGCAGAAACCGAGTTTAATAATTTATTTAGCAGAATAAGCACTTTTAAACGATATTATTTTTTGGTAAAAACAGCAGATAAAAAAAAATGATTTTTGTCGTTAACAAAATTATTTAATCGTGTTTTGCTTTTTGTATGCGTTTCTATTATCTTGTTTTTGTATTCTTCATTTTCAAAATAATTTTTAGAGCGACAAAATCTTTACAATAATTCCCAACTCAACTGGACAAATGGAAAAGTGCATATTCTGAAAAATAAATAATTAAACTCGGTTTCTACAGGTTTTAAATATAAGATTTCTAAAGAAAATTAGAAAATTCAGCAAAAAAAAATTGAAAGAAAATTTTTAAAAAATCTCCGTAAATCGCTGCGAGGATTACGGTAACTGTCTCTTAGCATTGCGTACAAAACGCAGGATCCTACGACACCTGGATACATTTATCATTTCTCAACAATAAAAATTCATTGATTATAGGATTCTTAAGATAATTAGTTTCGAGTTTTTTTTTTCTAGAGATTTTTATTGAGAAAATGCTGTATTTTCTATCGTTCAGATAACGAAAATCGCAGAAGCTTCTTTCCCAGCGCATTGTGGCAACGAGAGGCGAACTCGAAGCTGAAAACTCAGCACAGAGCTGCACATAATTCCGATTTTCGTATTCCGTGTTCCGCTTGAGATATATCCCAATACCTAGCACGTTTAGCGAATATACAGGGTGGCTGAAAATTACCCGGACTAAAATTTCGAGCCTTCGCGAGGCACACTGGCGCTTTTTCAGCGCAATGTTTTTTATTTTTTTTAATTAGCAATGTTTTTTTTACTATCTCTCAAATTTTCATGATAATTGGTTCGGTTTTAGCAAAATGGCGGAGCAAAATGCAAACCGACCCGCAATTATCGCATTACACAAGTCAGGAATAGGCACGTATGCAATTTGGAAGCATCTGAGAATTCCGAAAAGCACCGTCTACGATGCAATTTCTTGTTTCACGGATCTTGGCACAATCCAGGACCGTGCAGGCAGAGGAAAAAAAACTGCGATGACGACTTCTTCGAACGTTAAGATCGTCCGAGACAGAATCAGACGAAATGCTCATCAGAGCATCAAAAAGATGGCTTCCGCCCTAAATATGTCACGAGCTTCAATGACAACCATTGTCAAAAAGAAGCTTAAGTTGACTCCTTATTGTGTCAGAAAAGTGGTCATCCTTTCTCAATCCAACAAGCTCAAACGGCACCAAAAGGCAAAACTCCTTTTGGCGCGCGCACGGGTTGGGGAACATCTGTCGATGGTCTTTTCGGACGGGAAGCTGTTCACCGTGGAGGCCGAGTTCAATTCGCAAAACCATCGAGTGCTTGCCCGAACGTCCGAGGAAGCTTCAGAACTCGTCCGGACTATTCATCGTACGTCGCACTCCGTCAGCGTCATGGTCTTCGGTGCCATCTGCTCCAATGGCAAATGTCCTCTGATTTTCGTGGGAAAGGGTGTCAAAATCGATAAGGACTACTATATCAATGAGATCCTGAAGAAGAACTTGCTTCGTTGGGCCCAAAAACACTTTGGTGGACAACGATGGGTGTTTCAGCAGGACGGGACGCCAGCTCATACTGCAAAGTTTACGCAGGAGTGGTGCGCCAACAATTTACCCTCCTTCATCAAGTCAACAGAATAGCCCGCCTCGTCTCCCGACCATAATTCGTTGGACTACTCCGTATGGGGGGTCTTACAGAGTAAGGTCCTTGCTAGGCCCCACCCGAATTTGGAGTCTCTAAAGAAAGCGCTGGTCGAGGAATGGGACAAATTGTCGGTGGAATACCTGCGCGCCACGGTCGACGCATATCCGAAGCGTCTTCGCGCCGTCATCAGAAACCGCGGAGATCGAATCGGACACCGATAATCTATTTATGTTTGTTATTGTAAAAATAAACTAAATATGAAATTTCAGTGTGTTTGAACAATTATTCACTGAAATAGATTGCTTTTCATATAGTCCGGGTAATTTTCAGCCACCCTGTAAAAGGGGTTTTAGCACAGCCGGAGAAATTTGTTCGACCAAAAGATCTTTGTCGAATGAGCACTTGGAAAATCTCACATTTTGCACTGTTAATTTTAAAATATTCGAGTTCGATTAACTTTGTGTTCCGTATTTGCGCCATCTTCCGTTTTTAGAAAATTTAAGTTCCGTGCAGCTCTGCTCAGCAAGGCTCTCACGAGAATTAACTGGAGAAAATGTGGTTACTGTATCAATTTATGTGCAAACACCATCTGTAATAGCACACGGAATAATTTTTTTCGAATTTCCGATTTGTATAATTCAAAACGTGCATAATTCTAAATATATTTCGTTCTCAAAAACAATTTTTTGCCTGTGTTTCAAAATAATATTTCTACGACAGAGAATTATTTTTGTTTCGTTTTCTTATTTGGATTAACTCTTATTTTTAATTATTAAATAATTCTTATTTAGATGTCTAAAAATACAAAAAGAACTGCAAATGCTAGCAATTCCTTGGAATTTGAAGAAAGACGGCGGCAAAATGAGAAGTACATGGCACCTTTAGTGAGATTTTTTAATGGAGCAACTTCAGAACTTTAAATATTATTTCAGAAGTCATATCGGTGTTTTGAACGAACGCTTACTGTCGAACAACGTCAGAGAGTTTATTCGGAGAGGTTTCGAAAGGATTTAGTACTGGCCTGGAAGGTTTTTGTCTTGAAATTGGATAAAAATTGGCATGTTCATTTCAGAAATTTATTAAAAACAGTGCTGCTGTCGTTGAATGTACAGGAAATAATTAGATGAACTCTCATATCTGTACCATTAAATCTGCAAATCAAGCGACTCATCATGAACATATCAAAAAGGATCATTTATTCAAATATATATTTTCGAAGGTTTAATTTTTACAATAATTATTATGAAAATGAAGTGAAAATAAAAGAGAAAGATTCAAAAGCTTTTTGTAACTCGTATTACCGGCGGGAAATTGTAAACCGAATAATGGCAGAATACTATTTAGCGGAGTCTCAATCCAGTGAGCAGCACGTTCACCAAAGAGTTGAGATTGTAAGCGAGCTCAACTGATGAAGTGTTTGCCGCCTGAGAAAAAAAAATTAAATTTCAAAATTTTGATTTCAAACTCATACCTTATCAGACACATCGTGTAATTGCTCGATGACCTGTGGAGGCGGCGTTGCTCTCAAATTAATATCATTAACGGCTAAAGCGGATGGCGGATAGTGAGTCGTCGTCGAATATACAAAGTTATTCGTGTTCTGATTAACCGGAACACTTTCAGCGACTCTCGAGGTCTCATCTAAATATTTTGTCTTCAATGTTTCAAATATTCTCAGAACTTGCCGCGTTGGATGTTGTTTTGCGGCAAATTTCCATTGCTGAAATGGATAAACGTGGTGGTTTCAATCGGCTGGACCGGAGGATTCACTGTCGAAGTCTTGTAGACAAATCCTTCTCCTCTTGGCGTTTGCTCAAGAGGAATGCTTTCATAGGCGACGACATTTACGTCTTCTTTGACCTCGGTTGCATTATTATTGTTATTTTTGTTTTCGGTGTCGTCTTGAAAAGAAAATTGGATGTTTCATTATATTGACAATTACCAAGATTGCCAAAGCTGAAATGCTTCATCGTTGTTGTCGTTGGCGCTTGTGTCGATGGATAATGTGAAGAAGTTTCGTAGCGGAACGTCGTCGATGTTCCGCTTTGTTCGTCTCGCAGCGGATTGAGATGTTGTGCGGATTCGCTGATTGGCTCGGCAGATGGGGAAGACGTCTGAAATTTGGAGCACTTTGTTCATATTTTGCGTGATTTTTCCCCATTTTATTTCGTGATATGTGATATTTCACACATTTTTTTACTGAACAAACTATGCCGAATTGTCGCTGACATCAGCCGCACATGGCTAAACAAACACTCAAACGTCTCAAAGATTAAAAAAAAAAGAAAGAAAATGTGTAAGATTTGAAACTACATTAAAGTTCACAAAATTTGTTTCGCGTGTGCCTCTTTTCATTTTTGAAACGCGCGCCGTTTTGTTGACTCGATTTTGATGGGGAATCATTCCGGTTCGACCGGAGCACCTCAAACATTGATGGCGGGTAATGCGACGATGTATGGTAAACGAATGGCGTGCTCGTTTCAAGCGGCGTGTCGTGCAGAACGCCGTTCGTCATCGAATCGGCTTCGGTGAGAACGGAGAGGACGTGGTAGGCGACGGAATGGCCGGCGTGAACCGCTCCGTTCATGGTTCCGAGCGAAACTGATGCCAAATCAGCCGTCGAAATGTGGACGTTCTGCAATTGAATAATGAAAAAAATGCAAATTCTTTTCAATATTTTCGAAATCCCGCCGCCCCCTCGCCATCCCTAATCGAACCTGGTAAACTGTGTGGAAATTGTCCAAATATTTGAGCGACTCAACTGGAACATTGACACGAAGCGTGGGAATCGTTCCGCGCGCCAAATCGTCGTTCGAAAAGCTGACATCACTGAAATAGAAATGGATATTTCAATACTCGATTGCCATTTTTTTTTCGAATACACTTACGAGACATCGATCGGCGAAAAATCGGCGAATCTCATTGAGTACATGATCGCTTGTGTGTACTGAGAGCGTCGGGTCTCGAATGGAACCTCGTATGAGAAATGCGCAATTCCCCAAAGTGTCGAAGACGAGTTGGAAGCGCTTTCTGGAAAGTTCATCTCTTTTTGTGAACATATTAGCTTCTATTAGCTTTCTGAACTTTAAACACGAATTTAAACCATTTTTTAGATGTGTGTGTGTTTCAAACTTCAAATGTCATACCGCACGATGAAGCAAGTGTAGTATCGAAAGTTGTCAGCCAAACGAGCGGCCCTCTTTGCGACGTGTAGATCACCCGTCCTGATTTCCCGTTTAATCTCCACGTTGGTCTTTGGAATGTCATTGAGAAATAATAAGCATGTCCGGTTGGATAGTAATTTTCTACAAATCAGAAATTCGATAAGTTTGAGCAAGACAGCGATGAGAGGAATTACGAATGAGTTGAGCAAATGGCGTCTCGACTTGCGGAACGATTCGAATGTTGGACAATGTGGCGACGGGAACCGCAACGATCACTTGACGGGCGGTGTAGAAGGTTCCAGATGACGTTGTGACTACAGACGGACTTGCAGCTGTCGTCAAATTATTATTATTCGGAATTGAGTTTGATTTAAAAAAAAATGAAACAATAAGATAATTATAAAAGATTTTCATGTGCGGACAATCGCAAAGGTCAAAGTCCGTCGATCAGACTTATGCGCAATTGAATTGCCGACTTCCTCAATTATCCAATCTCTCTCTCTCTCTCTCTCTCTCTCTCTCTCTCTCTCTTTGTCATTTTGCGGAACAACATACCATCATTAACCGATACCACACGCTGATTGTATTCGATAAGCAGTCCGTCAGCTAATCTCCTGGAAAAAAAGCGGAGCGCTAATTGATATGATGATCGTCGGATGATGGCGAATACCTCGCAACTTCGTTCATTCCGACATTCGATAGCAACGAATTTCCATGCCCAAAATTGCGAAGGATTTGAATCGTCGTCGAATTTTGACTGCTGCATGTCAATGCGAGTTGCACTTGAGCGACATTCTCACCGGGAGCATCATAGAATGTCTGAATGATGCGCCTTTAAACGACATTAAACATTGAAAATGAGTCGCTGATATTCAACTAATTAGTGTCTGATGGCATTTGTGTTTGTTTGATAAAGATCTCAAAATTTGAACATTTGAATTTGAAGGTTCAAAAATCTCGAACCAATGATGTTCGGCCGAATGTCACTCATAAATGGAAGGTAGATGGAAACTTGATAGCACTCGACCGAAATTCTTTAAAGGGAGTGACACGTTTCGAACAAATATGCGAATTGTAGTCGGTATTCAAAAAATGATTCGGAGGGGGGGTCTACCTGCATGAGTCGATTAATCGAGTCCGCATCTGGAGTGTTCAGAGTGTTCGAGTACTGAGTAATCGAGACATTCGTCAAATTCGCGAGAAGCTCGCCGTTTGACAAGAAGTCGTCGAAATGCGTCGACTGCCATTGTGCTTGTAATCCCGCTTGTCTGGAATTCAGAATCACCATTTCAATTCGATGTCAAAGCCGTTGAACCTTTTATTCCGTTCCTGTTGAAACACCACATTCTCACCGCAATTCAGTTGTCGAGTTGTGGTGACATTGATCTCATTGAGAAGCTCCAAAAGCTCTTGATCGTTTGGAGAAATGAATTGTGAACCTTCGAATCATAATACGGGATGGGGGACATTCGAAGTCTCACCTATATCGACGAATTCGATGCCATTCCTCGTCTGCATCGATGAGTACCTAATCCTTCCTCCAACCATTCCACGGGCCTCCAATACCAGAACTCTGAGCTCAGGTCGAGTCATCTGAATACGTCTGGCCGCTGTGAGACCAGTCAATCCAGCGCCTACAACTATCACATCGTAGGTGATCTGCAACGATGCACCAAACAATGTCGATCATTTTTTGCGGAATACCTCGGTATTGTTGGTGATCGGATCAGCAGCGTCTATCGAATAGACAAAGAACAAGCATACGGAGAATATGTTAACGAGGATCCGCATTCCTGCAATCAATTCGTTTCGATTCTCAATGGTCCGTATTTATAAGGGAAACGATGACCCGAAAAGGATTCCAACCATGCTTAACTATGTGGTCAATAAAATTAGCATAGGTAAATAAAAAATGCGAAGAAAACATGGAATATGGAAACGTTGGGTTTTTGCAATGTCTTGTAAGACAATACTCTTCAATATTTGCTTTTATACTATTTCTATATTTGGAACATTTAGGATGGGGAGCGGGTTGTACTTCAGGAATGAAAAATGGGAGGTTCTGGAAGAATGATACTTGAACATCTCATGGTAGAGTGGCGGGGAGTATCAAAATCAAATTAAGAACGAAAAACTCTATAGCGGTTTTTTTTTGTATAAATGCGAGAGAAATAGTATGTGATACGGGGAGGGTGCTAGACGATGACGAGCTCGGCGAGACGGCGCGGCAAAGAGAGCTCATTTATCCGGCCGGTCAGGTTGAAATTCGAGATGAGCTCAATCGCAACTTTCTCGCGCCGGAACTGTCTGTGAACGGATCGGACTTTTGGACTTCGAATACGAGAAACCAGTTGTGACCCGAAGCAACACGCCAAATATTCAACGAAACAACGTCCTGAAAATTGGGGAAAAAAAGCAATAAGTAGGGGGAGCTTTGGCGAATGCGTCGTCGTCGTCGTCGTCTTAATTGCAAGTCATCAATTACCGCCAAAAATTTCAGTGGCGAATAGTTTGGAAGTGGGCGGGACCGAGTGAGGCAACGAACATAGGTCGATGTTGTGACGGAATGAAACGGCCAAAATCGAAACAGACATATTTGGAAGCCGGGCGAATTGGCGCAAAAAATTTGAGACAGACATTGCCGACGAAAAAGCTGAAATGTCCTTGACGAATACGGTTATTAAATTTTGACGGACGGACGACAAACACAAGTGGCGAATCGCGTCGGTTAATCCAAATGTTGGGTCTCAATTGGAAAATCGAAAAGAAAAACGTCAGTGATACAAAAAAAGTTTCTAAAAATGCGAGAATTGAATAGCTATTCGATTTGGGTATTTTTACGACGGTTCCAAAATTGATCTCTGATTTAGCTTCATCCTCTTACTATGTAGAATTGTGAAGCTCGGCATTTGTAGAATAGGCTAACATGATTAGAAAAATTGGATAAAAGGCATCGAGAGCATATTTAAAGGCGCATGATTTTAAGATGTAGTTTGGACATGAAATATTCCATACATTTTCCAGCATTCCAGACATTCTGAAACCACTTGGAATTCGAGAAGACAAATTCCAGAAACACGATCAATTAATTGTATATTTGAAGGCGAATTCGGGAAACAAGTTCTGGTAAATGAAAAATGATCGCGTCGAAAATACCGAAATACAAATTCCAGACAAAATGCGAAAAAATCGACGAACAATTTGTCAAGTGATAAGAGGAGAAAAAAAAGCAATCAGCTGATGATGGAGGACGAGAATGAAGAAGCTTGAAAAGCTTGTCTCATTGTTTTCCAAGAAAGGAGCGAATCGATGAGTAAACAAATGGTGACAATAGAAAACAATCTCAGAGAAGTGAGATTCGAGGGGAAAAATGAGCTGGACGAGGAAAGGGCTTCTGAAGTGCAGCTCGGGTAAGATTGACTTTCTGGAACTGAAAAAAACAAACAAATATTTATCGCGCTCATCGGATATTTGCTAAATCGGAAAACCCAAAAATTTGTCCTTTTTATTATTGAAATTTTCAATTGATTTTTAGGAAATAAAAATGAAATGTAAAAATGCTGGAATTGGTTTGAAACATTTTTAGAATTTTCAGCTTCTGAAGCCGAGTATTTGAACAAGAAAGAAACGAGCTCTTCTGAAAACTCGCTAAACTACGCCCTTACTAGTAGTAGTCTGTGAGGTTATTTGATTAGAAACCCATCGAAAGAAATGGCGAACAAATTGGTGACAAAGAAATGACACGGCAAACCAGTAGAAAGTGACAAAAGACAAACACGCGCGGTTGGCGGGGGGATTTATTTTTGGCGGTGAACATGCTCCTCGCGAACGCAACGAGTAACTAGCGATCACGAAAAAAAATTATGGAGGGAGGTGACGTTGTTGGGGGCGGAAAATTGCAGAAGAAGCCACCGACGGGCCGAGAAGTGGAAAATGAGGCAAATAAATAAATCAAACGAAACTGTTGTAGGTAAATAAAGTTGGACGCGAAGGCGCGAGCAATGCTATTTGATTCATTGTGTGTCTATTGGTGTGTGTGTGTGAGTGGTTGACTAGTTAGCGCCTAATGAGGACTGAGAACGGGTTCGTTTTTGTTTCGGGGTAAAATTGTAGATAAGCATCTAAAGTTCAAAATCGGTTTCAATATGTTTTTTTGTTTGTTGGCGCGACAAGCGACCCGTGCAAAATTGACTGGAATGTTCAGCGCCTATTCGCGTCGGGCTAGGCTCTTTGAGTATCTGCGGACATTTGAGAAGCTCGAAATTGTCGGCAGCAACAATACCGAATAGCAATTCAATTGATTTCTCGTGTGAGAAGCGTTTCAAATTTTCTCAAAAAAAAAGAATGGGCAATTTCGCCTTGAAACATGCAATGCGACGCCATACGAATGCTAATCACTACGACAATATGGTTGGAGGCTATTTTTGAAGCGACCGAAATGAGGAAATATCGACTAAAAATCAACATATTTGAGATTCAACTGCATTCGTCTGGTTTGTCTAATAATTAATATTATTTTTCCGATCAAATCGGATTACGGTAGGCCAGGGGACGTCGGAAATTCCTCAGACATTCGAGGTTCGAAAAAACGCGTTCTCATTGCGGCGGCGGCGGCGGCGGCGGCGGCGGCGGGAATTAATCAAAAACCACACACACACATACGTATATATAAAATATAATACTTTACTGCAAGAATCTCATCGCATTGTGTTCCAATTATGATAGCAAAAACCGTGTCGGAAATTCAAGGCCAAATACCATAAATGCTAGCGGCGGGTTTTCATGATCAATTTTCATGCAGAAAAATCGAGAGTGGACGACGACGACGATGGCACGTCCGACTCTCTCGATAAGCATCTTTTCGCATTCTTTTGTAATACCTCATCGAGTATTTTTTTGGCAGTTTCCCAAGGTAGGCTGAATGCCTCAAAATGGGAAACGCCTCCATTTGTGAATTGTTGTGTAAATTGGGAAGGAACGAACACCATTGACAGGATGAAGCCTCCCCCCAGGACCCCTGTTGGATCGAAACGGTTCATGGGAACGCGGATGTTGCGAATGGCCTTATCAATTGGCAGATTCGAGTATAAATGTCGCTGCAGCTGGCTGTTGTTGCTACCATTACTGCATGCCTACATGATTGATATCTACAGGCGGACAGGTAGATCAACAAATTTTTATCGTCTTCGAGACCAATGTGACACTTTTTGGAATTTATTAGGCAATGTTCTTTTGATCGCAAAAATATGCAAATTGCGCTCTTCAATTTGCAATTCGAAAAAATTGTCCCCAGATTCCTAAACAGATATGACGGTCACCGGCCAGAATTGATTTTTGTTATTTTTACGTAGGACGAAGCAGTAAGGAAAAGAAAACAAATTAAATGTATGGAAAATATTATTTTTTAAATGTTTACTAGTGTCTTGGAAGTTTATTTTTCATTGATATTTCCATTTTGGATCTAAGGACGCGGATCACGAAATTTACTTTTTTTTTCAAATTAAAATTTCCTTAAATTTGCATTTTTTACAATCCTTGTAAAAATATGTAATTTTATTTAAATTTTTTTTTATTTCTTAAATATGACTATAAAAGGAGCCGCGTTAAGCGATAAAGGGTTTTGTTGATTTGAGAAGAGATATTTGTTTCAATTTTCGCATAAATTTGGCAATAATGCTTGTTGGCAGGTGTCCAATTAACAGTGTTTGAATGTTGCGGCCGTTTATGGGACCCTATATAATGGGACCCTGACGGAGGTTGCTCACAAATTGCAAATTCCCTCAACGCCAACAATAAATCAAATTTCAATTATGAAGTAGAGGTCACTTTTAGGAAATACGATAAACATGCAACAAATCGAAATTAGCAATTTTCCAGTCTCTCAAGGTTCGGCGCGTCGCCAAAGGGACACCAAAACCTATAAATTTTGTTTGGTGACAATGTTCCCGGATGGTTTCACACGTACATAAATCAGTTCGTCTCATGCAAAAAAAACGAACTTCGATTTTTGGCGAAGAATGTTTCAAAAAAAACGGCACGCCCATAATCGAGGAACAATTCCGCAAATTCCCCAAGCGGACACAAAACCGACTTGCGAGTAAATAATGCGATTCCAAAAATAGATGATAATAAACGAAGGAAGACAGTTCGCGAAATTTTCGTTTCAAATTTATGGTAATTGCGGCGCCATTAAAAAAAAGCCAAATTCTAGCAAAACTCACGCGACCTTTGTAGTGCCACGTCACAAAACCTGAAAATTTGTCTATTTGGAATCATTCTCTCATTTTCTTTGCAATTGTTCATGTTCCTTTTAATTAGGTCTCGACGGGATAGCTTCATTTTGTAGTAGACAAAATCAGTCGCGAATAAATTTATGAAAATCGAAAAATTCACCCAAAATATTTTTTAATTATAAAATTGATTAAATATTAAGTGAATGGGGCGATTCGTCTCCATCATCTGGAAAAATTAAAATTTTCGAAACCTTCTATTTTTAAGAATCGAACGAACCAGTGGTGTCGGTATTTGGTGCAAAATTGCGTGTGATTGGTGGTGAAAGTCGCGATGACGTCATCAGCGACGTTGATTTATCATAAACATCCGAATCGATTGTGTCTTCGATTTCAGATAACATTGGCTCATCCTAAATTTATTTTTGAAGAGTTTAAGGCAAAAAAAAAACGAAAACCTCGAAGTGGACCGACGGTTTTTTGTCTTCTTTTCCGATTCCGGCCAAATCCTGCTCGGAATCAACATACAACGGAAATTCTCCATCCTAAAAATGGTTATAATAGCTCAAACATGGCAATCGATTACTGTAACATTGTTTCAACTGTGGCTGATTACCTTGATGAACAATGGAATTAACTCGGGCGGCCAAATTCCCTCAACAATCATGTGAGTTTGAGGAACCCTCGCCAATCTTCCCAATTTCACTTGAATCGCCGTCTGCAAATGAATGTTCGTTTCGAGACCAAAGAATCTGAATGACACACCTTGACCAAAGTGTCGATGTCGATGTCGGCAATCACATTCGAATCAATCCCAATATTTTGGCCTACAGCATTGATAAGTTCGTGAACTTCAAGACTGCAAAATTTTGAAATTGACATTTGAAATATGAATATAATAAATTCTGACTTTCTTGCGCCGAACCAAATACGAATATTGGCGATATTTTTGATTTTCTTGCCAATGAAATGCAATTTTCTCACGTAAATCGAGCCGATGTCTGAAAATTGGCGAGAATTTCGGTTGATGTTGATTAGTTACCAAGAGCTATTGTGGATATCGCGAGCCCGGTGCACATATAGAAAACACTGATCGGGACAAACCAATTGCTGCAAAAATACCCATTCTCTTCCATTTTTTTTATACTTTCAATTCTCTCCAAATACCGTATTAAATATTTAATATCAAATCAGAAAAACGCAAGAAAATGATCATAAATTTTGCATAAACATTTTAGTCGAAGACAGACGTTTTTTGTGGATAAAAATTTGATGTATAAAATTCTTTCACTCTCGAAATACCTTTTTTCCTTGTGTATCAAACGCATGCAATATAACAGTATACATCAATACAAAAATGTGTTATTTATTTTTTATTCCAAGAATTTGAACAGAATTTGATATAAACTTTTTAAAATTTCCAAGAGTTGCAATATCGCACACATTTTCCACAATTTCTCATTTTACAGAATTTCAATTGATATCATAGGCCGTATGCACAATGCAATTTTCGTCGGAATCCGAAATACGGATTCCGTGTCTAAGAGATGTCATTTTCCGCGGAAAAAGGCATTGTGCATACGGCTCCATTTTTGGAAAAATAAACACAAATTAAAAAGAAACAAAAACTCACTTTTGCGGTATAATATCACCATACTCAATTGCAGTAAGACAAATAAATGCATAATAGATACCATTGAAGAAATCGAGTTGTCCGTTAAGGAGTGGAATCATAAATGCTCCAACAACCTGCAAAAATCGATTTCGCAAATATTTCCGCTTTTTAATTAAATCTACGTACCAAATACAAAACTACAATGAAAACGAGGGTGCTTCCTGCTACACTATCATCGTCGTCTTCTTTCCGTCGTTTCTACAGAATTCTGAGATAGCTCAAAACCAACCGGATCCGAATCAACCCTATCCGGCTGGTCTACGGAAAGGTTGTAAAATTCATTTTTTTTTTAATATTTTCGGATCCCATTCGAATTAACCATAATCGTTTGTGAAAATTGTCTAATTCGGATCCGATTGGTTTTGAGTCACCAGATTTTCGTAATTTGTTGAAATAATTAAAATTCGCATACCCGACAGGTGAGCCACCGTTTTAATTTTGTCGCCATCGCTTCCAAATATCGTCCAAAATTTGTTAAAAGGATGACGGTAAGCGGAATTCCGACGAACCCATAGATAACGGTAAAAATCCGTCCATTGATGGTTTGCGGCTCGATTTTACCGTAGCCTGAAAGTTCCGCAAATTGGCGTCTACGTGTTTGCAGATTCCGTGTTCACTAATATTTCTAGACGACCACAAAACTATGCGATCATTGTTTATTGCGAAAATGGCTTAGTCTTGTCGAATTGTTTTGACAATTGTCCGATATTTTGGCTAGTGTTTTTGCTTTTTTCACTCGTCTCCTTCCTCGCCAATTTTGTTTCAACTCCGCCGGGGATTTTACTCGAAGCATGGGCTCATCGCTCATGCCCATGCTTGTCGAAATCAAGTGCTAAAATGTGCTCACCGAGTGTTGTTAGGATGCCTAAAGAGTATAACGCCGCCGATTTGAATGACCATTGCAGGCGATTGTCGTTGACCTGAAAACGAGTGCATTACTCTGTGTCTCTCAATGTCCCCCGTCTTATCAATGCCAGTCCTACCGTTACCCTCAGCAGCCGCCATAGCTCAGTCGGTTAGAGCGTGGGTCTAATAAGCCCAAGGTCGCAGGTTCGACCCCTGCTGGCGGCAAAAATTTTTTTGCCTACCTTTTCAGCAAGACATCGCTTCGCAATAACCGCTGCAATATCAGAAGCTCTAGTGTTTCGCAGTCGATTGTCGCGATTCAGAATATGTTCAATGCAAGCCCGTTTCTCAAGTGTTTCATTGTATTTCATAAATTGTTGATAATTGTATTCGAAGTGTAGAAAAACGAATCCGCCAATTGTCGTATAAACTGAAAACATGGGACCGTCAAAATAAGAGAAACATTAAAGAAACCTATTAAGAACATAATAATAAATCCATTTACTGCGATTGCTTTCTTATTACGCGATAGGCACTGAAAATAAAAGTAATTTGGCATTGTTTTACAAAAATTGTTGGTTTTGGAACTTCGCCAATCGAATTATATTGAATCGGCCTGAAATCCTCATCGAGAAAAGATTTGAGGAGCTCGTCCTCTCTCGGATTCTCATCTCTCATTACACCAAACAATTAATACGTTCAATATAGTTATTATAGTAATAATAGTAATAATAATAATAGATTGTTTGTCGGGATACGCCGAAAAAACAAGGAGGTTAGTGTGAATGAGCGCTGCCAAGTAAATGCTGCCAAGTCGACCGACTCCGCCCATTTTTTGAAGCCGTGACAAGTCTGTCATGGCGGCAAACGATTGAATGAATCGACACAAAAATTGCTCTAGGGCTCCTCGACATGTTTTTTTTTCTTTCGTTGAGAAATATGCAGGTCAACGAGCGGTCAAATATTGCGAGAGCTCAACATTTTGATGGAGCAAGATGGCCGAAATTTATGGCGCCACTTTGGTTTCTTTCTCTTTATAAACTTTTTTGAGCATTTTTCGCTTCTACTCATATTTTAATTTAGTAGCAGTAAAAATATTTAATAAATTATTTTGTTTTTTTTTTTTGAAAAATCGTTAATTAGAGTTTAAACATTTTTATTTGATCTGAAAGTGTCAAGGATCACGTAAGATTTTTTCTTTTCATTTCAGTTAGAAAAGTTGAAACAAAATCATTTTTGAAAATGAGATTAATCGGTGTGAAATGAAATGTGTGCAAAATTGCGTACGTGTGTATACAGACCTGTCTTTTTCAAGTTTTTCTTAATTGCTTTTCAACTTTTTTTAAGGATCCATGGACATTCGAAAAAAAAATAAAATAATATTGGCATCGCAAGAAAACGAGCACTCTCAGTATTTATGGACCATCGCACTTTTTCCAATTCAAATTCGAATTTAAACAGTGGGAAGAAAGTTCACCGTAAATCTACGCAGGGCTCGTATTTTGCGAATGTTCTAACATTTTTTGACGAAATTTTCAAAACACCAAAACATTTTTTGAAATTTAAAAATTCTGTCGCTTCCGGGAAAGAGGAATAAGTGCGTATTATCCAAAAAAAAGAAGTTTCTTTAAAAAATCGACGTTTCCTTCGAAAATGGTCCGACACACAACTTTTTTTTCAAAAAATTTCAACGTTGTAGTGGAAAAAATTCAAATGATATAGGTTTTTTTTCTGTAATATATGGTTTAGAATAATTGAATTCAATTTCATGAAATCAATGTAGATTTAAATGATAAATTGACTTGACTGAATATTAAATGAAGTGGGTCTCGTTTGGAAGAAACAACGCAGCTTTTTGCACCTTTAAACGAAGAAAAAAAATCCGACAATTCTCTCACACAGATCGCAGAGGTGCTTAAAAATTTGGTGTTTGATTTGAATTGTTTTGAAAAGAAAAATGATTGGCCATTTTTTAATCGAATTTTTGGTGGCTCATTAATGAAAATTAAAAAAATAAAAACATAACTTAATTGAATATACCGTCTATTTCTGAGAAAATAAATTATTTTCTGTCCTATATATTTCTGAATATATGAAGTAGACAATTTATTATTTGAAAGAATTGGAATCATCTGAAAATAAATTTGTTACCATCACAAAAAGGGCCTTGAGAATTTGAGGACCATCGAATTTTTAAGGAACAGAAATTTAAATTTCAAGTTCGCCAGTAAGAAGTCAGGTGCCGTACTACGTATAACCTGAGAATCTAACTCATCGTAGAGTGCTCGTTCTTTTTATTCCAAAAATATTATAATTTGAGTTTCTCATTTCCAACCCAAAACTGTGCTTCCAAATGATTTTTTTAAATTCCAAAATTTCAAACCTCCATTGGGGGTGGCCTTATAAAATAGAAACGGTTGTAAGAGACCAATGTTCAGATTTTCCATTACCAAATTTTACAGATACCAATGTGAATAGTGGTAGGTATATGTAATTTAAAACGCTGAATTCAATTTTGAAATCGGAACTTTCAAATTTTGACGGTGGAAAAAGTTGTAGTAAATGAATAAGAAGTGGCATAATAAATATGAAACGTACTGTATAATTGTCTAAAAATCGATTTCTTTTTCTGTTGATTAATTGTGTTCATCATTTCTTTTCATAAAATTGTACGAACCGCGCATAATCCGCAGAATGCCAACATCGACATCTCGCCGTCTCAACACCGTCACCACATCGCCTCGTTTTTTGATTCTCCTGAAATCTCAACAAAAAAAAGTGGAAACGAGTCAGTCGAAATAAAAAAAAAAGAAAACGAGAGAAAAAACGGAGATATATAGATAGGCAAATATAAATGTGGTCCCGCTTTTCTCATTCTACTATGGCGCGCTACGGAGATATGCGACGGCTCCCCATGGGATGAATGTTTTTGAGACTCGTTGGGATTTTTCTTTTCGAAACACAAAAAGAACCCCCGGGCGGCGCACGCGCGAAATTTATTGCCATGAAAAGTCATCTTATTCATAACTCAAGAAATGGTGGACGTGCTCGGTCTGCCGACCGGCCCCCGCATCCTCGGCTCACCGCAAAGTGCGACGCATTTGCCCTTTTTTTGTCTTTTCGGACCAGTTCGAAGGCCCCCCGACGGACGTCGAACGTTTTGCACGCAAATTGATGCATGGGAACGGATTTGGTCAACGAATGCGCAATAGTGGACGGAAGCGCTCATTCGCTTCGCCTCCGACACAATAAAACGCGATTAACAAAACGACGGGAGAAGCATTCGCGGACGGCTGCGGCCACTGCGAAATTCGAGCACAAACGGTGGGAATCGTTAGTTGGACTCTGGAATGAGGCCCGCTAAAAAAAAATGAATTAGGCAAGGCGTGCACTCGTCGTGAATTATTCAACGCTGATTTCTTTTCTGTTTGGGTCTTGAAGCGAAATAATGCTGAATGTATCAGCGAGCTACAGTATCCAAAAAGCTTCGAGTATCCAAAAAATGCTCTCCATAGATCGGCTTTTTCGAACAAAAACCAAAAATCGAGAATTTTAATTTAAAAAACAGGAATTATGCATTTTTCGCGAAAAAAAATCAAAAATTCTATGAAGATTAAACAAAAAAACAGTAGTTTCTTCCACAAAATCTGTTATACACAATGAATACAATGTGAGAAATGAAATTTGTGAAAAAATCTCAAACGAATACGAAAATTTCACAATCGAATATTAAGATTCTTAATTCTTCTTAATTTATGAAATCCAAATGAAAAAAAAAATGAATTTTATTTAATTCGCTGATCACAAATTGTCCGCAGATTATTTTTTTAAATATAAATCATAAGGGACATCGATCCCCGTTTTTAACGATTAAAAACAAGTTGATTCGGTAGGATTGAAAATTTTCGAAATCAGGATTTGTGGACTAAAAAATCCACAAAAGGCGGTGTGATTCATCTCATAATCGGTACCATTAAAGTCGGAGTCAGTCAAGAAAAGAACGTTATGCGATGTCAAGCAAAGGATCGAAACTTGGTGTCGACTGAAATCGAATTATTTCCGAATTTTGGTGTGACGAGTCAAAGCAAACACATGATATTGCGACAATCGAATTGCATGTTTTGGGATGCGCAAGAATCGGAAATCAGCGCAAAAAAGGACGGTGGCGCAAGGCAGAAAGATATGAGAAAAGAAGCGTGTCCGTCCGCCGGCAGACGTTTTGAATGGCTCGTAATTCGAGCGGACGACGAGTTTCCTGCACACACAAGCTTGAACTTTCGACAAGATTTGTGAATCGTTGTAGGACCCGCCGAAAATTAAGAATTCATTCATTTGAATAAATTAGTAGAATTTTAGTTGTTAGACAAATTTTTGCAAAAACGATTCGGGCACAAAATCACAGGTGTCCGGCGAGACTCTTCTCACTCGGACTCCATTCTTCGCATCGCCGTTATACTCGACAACACAAGCCGAGCCCTCTTGAGCCAATTGCTCCCGAACTGTTGTGAGCACAATCGAGACAAACCGAACACATGCTCCGCCATACCATTTCGAGTGTTTCTGGAGGTCCTCCACGCGCATTTTCGACACCTTAATCAATATTTTTTTTTCGCAAAAATTCAATTCAATCTCAACCTTTTTCACGTGGCCATGATCGTTTCGGTGTCCCACCACAATGGTGTCAATCGCCACCAAAAACGACTGCATCCACCATTTTAGACTTTTCGAGCTCGTCCAAAACCATCCTTGAAGGTCGCCTTTGTGCGTCTTCAGCTCCACATATTTTCCGTCTCAAAAAATTTTGTTCGACTCAACGAAATTAAATAGGTCTTGAAGCGATTGCGCCTTTAAACGCGTTCATCGAATTCAAATTAAATTGCGCTCACCACTATCAAGGCAGTCGATTTCCGCCGAATACAACAATTCGAGGTGTTTCGCGTCGGGACCCGCTCCTTGAAGACTCGTTCGGACGACTGACGCGAATTCCTCTCGCGTCGAGACCGGAACATCTGTGATCGGTTGCTCCTGTCCATCCGCCACAGTCAAATACTGCTCGAACTTGTGTCCCCAATACGCCATGTGCTTCTCGCGATCGCTTGCGTTTTTCTCTCTGAACAATGTTGGGCGTTCACTTTAAAGGCACATTACAGTACCTCGCAATTTTGGCTTCAGTGGCTTCTTCGCAAAGAAATATGACGCCTTTCTTGCGAATCGCGCGAAATCTCCACGATTCTTGCGAATCGTATACCGTAACCCCAATTCGTGTCAAGAGCCCTCGCCAGCACACAAACTCGGCTTCATGAATCACTTTTCGGAGTCGTCCGCCTTCTGGAGCCATTTTTTCGATCCACTTCAACAAAATCTCGAGTTTTTCTTCGCCTTCTTTCGCATCGAATGTTTCATATCCAATATCAAGATCATAGCAGAATGACTCCGACTTTTTAACGAATACATCGTTGTACAATGAACGAGCATCCATTCTTCCAATTTTCACATCTCTGCAGTTTATTAAGAAAATTGTTTCGATGATTCAAGAAAGAGATGATTATTGACACCAATTTTAATCCAAAAAATTAATCTAGAATATATGATACGATTTTGCAAAAAACTCTCAAAAAAAAACCCGGTTAATAACGGCGTAGGTCTCGCACTTTTCCAACGGAGTGGAATTGGACCCGGCCAAGAAGAAGGCCTCCCATGAGATGGTCGGACTCGCTTCGGAAGGAGATCACCTCAAGAGCAGCTGATGGAGGGTCCGTAAAACACCGTGGTCCACTTAAGCCAAGGATCGAAAAGCCTGGAAAGCTTTGGTTCGCGCCTCAACAGACGAAGGACGAACCGACTAAGCGACTCAGTAAGTGAAGTGTGTACTCATCAAGAAAAATTATTCAGCTACCCGCGATCAGAAGTCTCCGGACGCCGACTACAAATTTAAATGCGCCTTTAACCGTAGCGATTTTATTTTTTAAATTCAAGTTTTTCGATTACAGTCTTTCCTGAATTTGTCTGCCGCTGATTCTCTTTTTAAAATTTCCATGATTTATTCTGAATTTATTCATCAAATGTATTCTTTTTGCCGAAAAATTATACTAAATCAGCATTTTTTTCAGCACTCTTTCGAAAAATTATAATTTTTTTTTTCATTTTTGATTGAATCGCTTCCTTAAAAAAAAGGATACAAATGAGGATTATCGAAATGAGCAGTTCTCGGCTATAATAAATTCTCATCTGCGGACATTTCAGGAAACCCACCTGTCTTTCGTCACCGAATATTCGGCAATCATGGCGGGTCTCGAGACGAACGGGAATCGTTGAGTTGTCAGAAAATGCTTGTCAATTACAATGTCGGCCATCTTCAAAACAACATTTTTTTTTTGAAAAATTTAGCGTGATGCTTCAAATACAATTATTTACGGGAATTGGTAGGAATTCGTGATGATGTTGGACACGGAAAAAAAAAGAAAAAAGAATAATTCAATGCAAAAATAATTAATATATAAGAGTAAAATTGAATGAGAAATAATTTCCGATTATTGCGACTGGTTGGGTAGATTTTCAAATTGATTACATTTTCATTCTTCACAAATTTTCTAATACTTTTTTAAAATCTACATCGTCAAGATCGAATTTGAATTCGTATTCCACCAAATCTACCCAATCATTTTCATTAACGGGAGAAAAAAAAAACAAAAATGATAAATTGAAAACAGAAAAATGAAAATTTTACAACAGAATGAGAAATATACGAATAATTAAACAAAAAGAGAGAGTTTTGAAGAAAAAAAGCGAAAGAATTGCGGATTAAAGAAATAATAACTACCCGAGTGTCTTGAAGTTACAAAAAAAAGAGGAAAGGGTATATTTTGAAAGAAATCGATGAATTTGTAAAGTAAAACAGAAATCCATACATAAAATGTGATATTATAATGGTACAGCGAATCAAAATCATTCTAAAAAGAACGAAAAAAAAAAACACATACAAAAAACCTCGACACCTAATATTTGTGCTCGGTTTTGATTTGCCTGTACTTCATAATCAAATCAGTGTATAATTTGGGAACGCATTCGCGTGAGGTGAACATCATCAATTGCGCCTGTTTCAGAAAAATATTTTGCAATTTGCGGCCAAAGATCCAAGAATGGTAGGTCTCGAGGAATTGCTTCTGAAATTCACATCAATTAAAATGTTTCAGTTTCGGGAAAGACGTGCGAAATCAGCAGACTTTACGCAGGTTTTAATAATAGTCGCCTGAAATCATTCGTAAACTCTTTTCTCAAATTTTCTTCTTTCTTCGGTTTTTTATTTTCTCTGCATTGGTCTATTATTGTAGATTTCAACAACTTTCCATCGGTTCCTTCAAGTCTTTCCCATATCACACAAAATCCTACCATAAGTATAAATCTTCTTTCGATTCCAGTGTTTCCCACTCTATAACCAATATCGGCATAAAAGCGACGAAGCAAAATATTATATGTGAGCCGCTCCTTATAAGGAAAGATGATCAAACAAGACGTCGGAATCGGATTGCCTTCATTATCGACGACCGTGCCACCGTTCACCGCAGGAGTTTCAAGCTTCTCGCCAGGAGTTTCAGTTTTCGAGCTCGTGCTCGGGGTCTCCGATAAACAAAACTGATTCATCGGCCTTCGTCCGCGCTTCTTTCCCCTCTTTGGCTTCGTCGACAGCTTCATCAGTTCAGTCATAGCGTTGCACAGACGATTGTTGTGGAAATCGACTCGGTCTTTTGTCAGCTCAAAATTATAAATCTGAAATTCGCCACTCGCATCCAAATCGCCTTTGATAGTGGCGCGCATCTGAAATTGTGAGGGTCAAAATCAAAATTTTGATGGCAATTCGACAAACCGCCATTCGTCGAGTCCAAATATCATTTAGAGCGTGTGAGTTTTCGCATGGAACATGAGCAATCGTCCCATTTTCACTTTTTCTTTAAAAAAAATCAACGCTATAAACCAAATTCTTCGAAAAAAAAACCTCTCCACATATTTGATAGAGCGATAATGCGAAAATCCTTTTTTCTCATTCTCTTCAATGTCATCCGCGATATCGACGCCAGAATACTGATGCCCTTTCAGACCACTCAACTTATTATCCCTACAACAATTCTTATACAATTTTTGGATGTTCTCATACTTTCGACGTTTGAAAAAGAAGAATGGTTTGGTCATGTCGTGATTTTCAGCGATTTCACAATATTTGTCATTCTCTCGAATAAAGAGATGCGGCGAATCATCGTCGTTCTGTAAATCAGTCAATCTGGGAATTACTTTAAACGCAAATCTATAAAAGTAAAGCGCGGAAATTATTCGTCATTTCCCGTTTACCTTCACAGAAAACGAAAAGCATGGATATCGCCTCTCTAAATGTGCAACGAGCGCTGGATGCGTTATAAAACTTACACCAGTGAATGGGCATTTCATCGGATCGGAGGAACGGCTGAAATAACACAAAAAAGTTTATACAGTGTTACAACTGCAAAAAAAAAACGAACACTCTGCGTTCGTTTACGGTGAGTTTTGTTTGCCGGTTATTATGATTTTTGATCCAAGTCCCAATGTTTAGATTGAAATTTGAATTGCCGGCCCAAAAAATTCGATGTTCCACAAATACCCAGGGTGCTCGTTTTTTACGATGGCAATAATTTAAGTGCTTAATGGGTTTAAAATTAAAGTGCTGGATAAAGCAAAAAAAAAAACGTTGACGTTATATTAAAACTTAATCAAAAATGATAAATTTGGTCTTATAAAAAACTTACGAAGTCATTTAGTGTGCGTATTATCGTATTATCTATTGTGTTGTCGAGAACACACGAAATCAACAGGAAGTTGTCTATTTTTTATATTTTTTCCCAATATTTTAACTGCAAGTTTTGCGTTTGACCTATTCTAGTAAATCAAAAGCACATGTGCTCAATGTGCTCACCTAGATAAAAATCTGAATAATTAAATATTTATTGAATTTTTTCGTTCTCAACGGTTTTTAGGCAGGAAAACTAGTAAGTAGAGGAAAAAAATGAAACTTTAAACATTTCATTTACTCACAAAGGTGGCATTGATGAATTGTATGATCAAAAAATTGAGTAAAATTTTTTGGCGCGCTTCACGCTTTTTCGCGGAAACATTTTCGATTTGATCAGGTATGAAATGAATTAAAAATTACAGTAAATTTGTTGATTTCGTGCTATATAAAAAATGGATAACGCGTTTGATCATTTATTTTTTTGTCATTTTCGTATAGGCCGATTCATTCTTTCGTTAACGTGGATGAGAGTGAAAAGTTAGTCCGCATCATTCACAAATTAGGCCACGTCTCTGTTATTTTCGGTAACTTGATCTTAATAAAATTCGTATAAATCGCATCTAATAAATTTAAAGTTTAAAATCAAAGAAATAAAAAATTAACAATGCAGAAGAAGAAAATAAAAATAAAAGAGAGAAATATTCTTTTTGAAATATTCTACAACCAAATATATTACCTTCGCAAAAAACGAGCATTTTGTGAAGATTTATGGTGAGTTAGCTTCACAGGTTATCCAGAGTACGGTATCAAAATTCCCGCAGTTTAAATTCGAATTTGAATTACCGCCTCGAAAAGTGCGATGGTCCATAATTACGCAAGGGGCTCGTTTTTTTGCGATGGTAATATAATTAACGAGTATCACCTAATCGGCAATTTAAAAATGTTGCCTCTATTTATTTTATTCGTCAGTAAAGTATAAGCATTTTTAGATGATGCATGCTCGGCGCATGCTCACAAATATAGTTAATTTCTAATAAAAACATTCGAGGTCCTACCCCTAGGTGTATGTGCCTTTAAAATCTGTACCCCCGATTATACAATATTAAAAATATGCGTTTTGGTGTTATTTAAAGAAAGACATGTAATTGGGAAGAAAACGGAAATAAGCGAGACTCAAAAACCACATTGAACTAAGAGTAATAAGAATTTCGAAAAACGATACCTTTGGAGAGAGATGATTGCGAGTTCGGATCCATCATCCGTCTCCATAGCCTTCGAAGCTTCCAATGCCACGCCGAAGTCGTTTCCATAGTGCCCTCGGCCCTCAATCTCACTGAAAAAACGCGAATGCAAAACCAAAACCATCACGACAGTGAAAGGAATGGGTGAAATGAGTGGTTAATAATTGTGACATGCACATGCTGCTCATCGAGTCGTTTCGCATCAACAAAACCGGAAATTGAGCAAAACTAACGTCTTTTTCACCGTCCCCGACAGCGGCTTGACGTGCTGCCGACGTCGTGGCGATTTCGGCGAAGCAAATGTCGAATCGCGTTGTTGATCCAATATCGAATACAAAACACGAGGATACAAGCTGTCCTAGAAATGAGAAGAATTTTTCTATGATTAAGATCGACACAAAAAAATACCGAATGATTTTCATTGGGCAGATTAATAGCGCGCAAATGCTCCAATTTCGTCATCCATTCTCCGCTCTCCAAATTGATGTTTTGAAAGCCGTCTTCCCTGAAGGCCCTCTTATGTGCACCCGGGGTATTTCGAAAACCTTACATTAGGGTCGTGTTGCACACACCGTCGTTCATACGCAGTTTCGCGTCTCTCCTTTCGATGTACGCCAATCTGCGACATCCATATTTTTTGACTTCAACATATTCTATTGGCTCATCGTTTTTCTTGTCATTCGCCTTCAACTGCATATGTCGTGTACGTTCTAAACGAGATAGTGGTTTTCAAAAAAAAAAAAAAAAACAATCTAATTTTTCATTTCTTACTTCCTTTCAATGTCATCTCATGAATTCCTTTTTCGATGAATCGCGAAACTACAAAAATGAGGTAGACCTCTCTCGCATCGCGCAGCATTTCAGCGTCCGGCGTGAATTGCCTCAACTTGATGAAACCAAGTCGAGATAACTGACAATCGGTTAATTTTTCCTCGAGACTTTTGAAGCACGGGCACTCAGCGAATCCACCATCAACCTTGAAAAAACCAAAGAAATCAATTCAGCCTACTATCGCGTTTTTAACGTACCACTGAGACGTTTCCACTTTTACTGACAAATGAGACATAAAATTTAACAATAGCATGTGAGGTGATAGCTAAAAAAAATCGAAGTCAATCAGAAGGGAAACTCATTTTTACAATTGATAAAATTGCTTTCAGCAGTTTGTGTCCATTCAATGACTCTTTCAAATTGTAGCGAAAAAAATGGTGCTTTAGTCGAATGTTTCAGCTAAAAATATAATCAATTTCGGTCGAACATTGATTTTTTATCCTACTGCATTAATTCTAATTTTTTTGAGTTGGTGCGGTTTCAGTCTTCGGCGTGTTGAACACAAACTCTTCTGATTTTTCTTAGCAGTAACTTTCCTAAGTGAGCGACGCAGGAATGCGGAGCTTCTAGTGGCAGCTCCACGCATATACAGTTTCACTAAATCATCTAGAAACATTGATTACCCAATTCATAAATCATCTTGATCATACCAGTCTTCTTCAATTTTGCTTCCCTTTCCTTTGGGTCAAATTTCTTCGGATAGTTCTGCTTCCTTCGTGACGCTGCCATCGTCGCCTCCAAGGCCTTCTTTGATGATGACTTCGATTCAGATGCTTTTCTCGGTGATGGCGTCAATTCAGATGTTTTCTTCGGCGAAGACGTCGGTTCCGACAATTTCTTAGGGGATGCGGTGGGTTCTGATGTTTTTCTGGGGGATGGCGTCGGTTCCGACGATTGATCTGATTGGCGATGCTTTCGTGGCGATTTGCGTTCGGACTTTTTCTCCTCAACAGGCGACTTCGAAGCAGACTGTCGAAGAAGATTCTCCTTCTCGTCTTCCTTGGCGCGCTTCGAATCAGCTGTGCTCGCCTCATTGCGTCGTTTACGGGTCACGGTGCTACTCGAAGAAGAAGAAGAAGAAGATGATGATGATGATGAAGCAGAAGCAGCAGGAGCTGTCGACGAAGACATTCCCGTTGCTCTTCTCTTTGATGGTGAGAGCTCCGCCGAACGCACATGGTTCAACACCCTCGACATATCGCACCAATTCCTTCAAATAAAAAATCAATTTCTCCAACGCGATGAAAACTGCGAAAAAAAAAAGTAAAATTGATCCAAAAAAATTGAATATTATATTAGAGAGAACGATGATTAAAATGTTTAAAATTTTCATTTTCATCATCAGCAAAAATTGGCAAATTATTGAAGCATATCTCAATTCTTTTTTTTTTTTGAAACAAAAATGCATATTTAAACGAGTATCGATTTTTGCTTTGGACACATGTTTTATTTGCGCAATAAATTTCAACGTGTCACTTATTCGCCAGCAAATTTTCTAAGCAATTCGATGCATTGAAAAAATCTTATTAAAATAGTAGAAATAAGCTATAATTTTTAGTGACAGAAAAAATCATCAGAGATTTTAAACTGATCAGAGATAGATTTCAATTTTCATATCAAATCTATACGATAAATTGAGCATGAAAAGAAAACAAGTTTCCAATGAGATCCAAAATTTAAATTTCGCGCGTTTTTGTGCTTCGCGCAATCGATGGGAAAATCATACGAAAAGTAAGCGACACTCTGACAGTGCGCGAAATCTACGAAGACACATCTCGATAATTTCACAGCTCGTGGAGCGTGATTCTAATGAAGGATTTGGTCTAGAATGCATTATTATCAAACAGCTAATACAAGATCAAGGACAACATCCTTTTAGGTTCCTACCCGAGAGCGCGAAATCACTGTTTCTTTGTTCACAAAAACTTGACATCTGACCTTGTCAAAAAATGACTTGAATCAGAATTATCGGAAATGTCAGACAACCAGCGGCTACAGCGATCAATTAATTATCGGTAGAAGGAAAAACACATAGGAGGTGCGCAGAAATGAGGGTGAAGTCATGAATGAAACTCAAAGGGGCGCTGATCAGAAATGACCAATCGAGCATCGAGTTTTGAACGTTGTATCGATACCTCGTCGCACATATACGCATTTTGCAGTAGTGTCGACGCGAAACAGGCGGGAAAAATTACGGATGGTGAGGGTCGAGAGAGAGCGTCGAATTGAGAGACGCAGACTGACACAGCTTGGCGACGAATTTGCGCGGGCAGCTGAAGAGAACGAAGACGACGCAGTGGTTTGAACCAATGCATACAACGTGTATAAGAATGCTGGCTGGATGGCTGACTGGCTCGCTGGCGAGATATTCGCCCAACTGGAATGGCTGTCAACTAGATTTGGTGATGCCTATCAATTCGGATGATCAAAGGAATTCGCATAAAATCTTGCTATCAGTGAACATTTTTCATTCATTTGAAAGCACTCGTGTTGGATATGAGATAAACTCACAAAAAAGGCGTAAGCCTGCATTGGAAAAATGTGAATTTATCCGATTAAGCATTCTATTATTGTTGACGCATAACTTTCAAAAAATATGAATGCGTCGCACGGAATGTTGCGAATGTTCAGAAAAACACGAACTTCAGACCGGCTGCGCTAATTTATAAAATTGATATGATTTTATACAGATTAAACTGTTTCAAGAAAAACAGATAATTTTTTCTGTTTTTATGTCACTGTTTCTCCCAAAATTTGCAATTTTTTCGTCAAACATGAAAAAAACACTGTTTCGCACGATGAGACTGCTAAGAAATGCACAATGAGCCGCCGATAAGAATCTTGACGGTACGGTGCGATGTTCGCACCTGAACTGCCGACCAATTATCGGAGCTAAAGTAAGTTGGAATATGATTGATGACGTCAAAAATGAGGAACCTTTAATTTTTTGTTTAGTATATTAGTTCATCTAACATTGATTTACACAAAACGCAGAGATTTCGAGAAAAAAAACTTGGTGTGGATTTAACGAATTGGTAAGACTAAATATTGGGGGTTGGAAAAACTTTGATGCAATCTAGGTGTCCAAAAAGAATGCGTATTTCCATAAATGGAAAACACAGCAAAGCACACAAGAATTAATTAAGATTCAACTCTTGGATACATATATATAATTGCATAAAAGAGACGATTTTCTCGAAATGAATCGATAATCACATTTTTGAGACCTGGTGATGCATAGTTTCTTTGATAAGCGGAACAAGAGCGCGTTTAAACACGATAGAAAGCAAAAATGGCGCAATAAATCAAAACCCGATTCATGAAAATTAAAAAAAAATTCAAGTTTGGAAAAAAAACCGAAAAAGCAATGTCATTTCGAGATTAAAAATACGTTCTGGAGCATTATTAATACTATTATTCACCATTTCAAAACGATTGAATTTTCGTCCTGCGACCCATTTTCTTAAAGATTTTTGCCAGGTAACTCGATATTTTTAAACGTTATCACTATTCTGGACGTCAAGGTAGCTGCAGAAAAATGGATAAATTTTCAAAAAAAAAATTACGGCAGCGTGATGTGCGCCTTTAAGTTTTTCTTGTGTTTAGTCCATAAATCACATTTTTAGTTTTTCGCCAAAATCGCTGCCATTTGATTTTATAATTAGCCAATTTTGCGTAGTCGCGCGGCGCCGACAATACACTAAAATGACGCACCGAGAAGGAATCCGGGTGGTCGATTTGTCCCTACAACTACACCGCCGTTTTCGATGCCAGGGAGTTGTCATGACAACGCGTCAGCAGAAAGCCTCTGGGGAACCCTCGCCTTATTTATTTCAACATGATGAATTCTGTGATGAATATCAAAGATGGTGAATTCACCAGCACTATATATGGTTTGGTAGGCTATTTTCTAAAAAAAAACACATATTAGGGTTTATCATAACAATTTTCAGATAAAGGATTTAAAATACGGAGAGGCGATACGAATATTACAATATCAATATGAATTGAATCAAAAGGTTTGCAAAAAAATGAATTTAATGGATTCTGTTGTGAAAAAAGACATTTTTTCCTTTTTTTTTCATAACGAATCGCTCAAAGAAAGATGGCAAAATTTGAAAAAAAAAAAAACTAGAAATTAAATGAACACTATTATCAGAAAATAAAAAAATGAAATTCGCGTACTTGAGATAATTCCAGAATCGTGCTGCATTATCGTTGTTAGCCTACTGTTATTACCACACTCAAGACTTTTCCGCAGCCGCCGATTTCTATTCGCAACTTTCGCATTTATATCCAAACTATCAACAATACAAAATTTATCACGCACAGTCACTTTACAATGCTTTTCGTATGCAAGACGCACTTGCAGTTGTATCAACGGTTTGTTATCATTTGACAGAGGAATGAACGAAAAAAAATTGTCATTTTAGATTGAAGATGAGGGAATGCTGAACGAATGTGTCAAACTTGAAGCCGCTATTAAGTATCGAGAGGAAGATACTGTGAATTGTAGAATTCTTGTGGAACAATTGCCCGAAGGAGATGAAGATGTCGACATCAATTTGGCGTGCATTGAGTACAAAGAAGGAAATTATGATGGAGCTCTCGATAAGTTCAAAGAAGCAAGTTCTTATTCGGGCTACATGCCCGAAATCGCATATGCGATTGCTCTATGCTATTACAAAAAGCGGGACTATCAGAACGCGCTGAAATTTATAAACGAGATTATTGATCGAGGCGTTAAAGATCATCCAGAATTCAATGTCGGAATGGTAACAGAAGGAATTGATGTCGTTTTGGTGCCAAATTCGTTGACACTACATGAAACAGCTCTGATTGAAGCATTTAATTTGAAATTTGCAATAGAATACCGCCTCAAGAATAGTGAGTTTCGAGATTGCTTCTCGCTATAAGTGGAATTCTAGACAAAGCGGCACAAGAATGCCTAACCGATATGCCTCCAAGAAACGAGCACGATTTGGACCCAGTGACATTGCACAATCAAGCACTGATAAGTGTGGATGTCGGCGACGGATTCGCAAAACTTCAATTTCTACTCAGCCAGAATCCGTTCCCGCCGGAGACATTTGCAAATCTTCTTTTTCTTTATTGCAAGCACGAATATTACGACCTCGCAGCGGATGTTCTCGCAGAAAACGCGCATCTCACATTCAAATATTTGACTCCGGTAGGTAATTTTTTTATTAACAACTTTTCAGTTAAAAGAAAAGAAGAGAAAGTCACTAATCCGCCCAAAAAAAACTCTTCGTCTTGCTAGGCCAATCAATAAAATTTCTAGGCCACATTTCTTCACTATTTAGAGTTGAAGAGAGCAAAAACTATCAAAGTATCAAAACGAAATCGAATTTTAGTATCAATACGATTATCTGGATGCGATGATTAATTTGCAAACGTCGCCGAATGACGCAATTGCAAAACTCGAAGTAATGGAAAACGAGCATTTGAATGCATTGCGCAAAGTCGCAAAAGATGTCCAAATGCGAAAAGACGCGAGAAACGAGGATGATGCGGAGATGCGCCAGCTTATCGAAGAATATGACGAAAAGCTCGAATTGTTCGTTGTTACACATTATTGCACATAATTCAATCGTCGAATTCTAGGTATCTTCCTGTTCTTATGGCTCATGCCAAAGTTTATTGGGATCGACGAAACTACACGGCTGTCGAGCGATTGTTCCGCGGCTCGGTTGATTATTGTCGAGAGCACGACACGTGGAAGCTAAACGTAGCTCACACGATTTTTATGCAAGAACAAAAATATAAAGAAGCTGCGGGATTTTACGAGCCGATTGTTAATAAAAACTATGATAATGTCTGAAAATGTGCAAAAATAATCAAAAATCATCGATTTTCAGATATTGGATGTTTCTGCGATTATTCTCGCCAACTTATGTGTTTGCTACATTATGACAAATCAAAATGAAGAAGTAAGTGTTGGCGGAAATTTGAATATTTTTCAAAATTAAAAGAAAAGACCACTCCAAACGTTTTTATTAATTAGTAGAAAAAGAAATGTTGAAGGAATATTTGTATATTTTTTGAATTAAATATTGCAGGCTGAAGAGTTGATGCGAAAAGTTGAACGGGAGGAAGAAGAAGCTAGAGAGCAGAATCCGAATGAAAAATATTATCATATCTCGATTATTAATTTGGTAATTGGAAGTTTGTATTGCAGCAAGGTAATTTTAGCAAAAAAATATCGAAATTAAAATACAATGAAAATTCAGGGAAATTTTGAATTCGGTATAACTAGGGTTATCAAAGCATTGGAACCACAAGAGAAGAAATTGGGTGTCGACACTTGGTATTACGCAAAAAGATGTATTGTTGCAACCATTGGTAACAATTTTAAAATAATATTAATAATAATCACAGTACTAAATAATCAAATTTTAGAAACTATGGCTAAACATTTGCTGGTGATTCGGGATTCAGTTATTCACGAACTTTTGGACTTTCTAACAAAATGCGAAGGTATTTTTTATTCAATAAAATTTTTTAAATTTATTTTTTTTTTTCAGCTCACGGACGTAACATTTACACATTCCCTGAAGAATTATTGGACGCAACAACTGAATCAAAAGTAAAAAAGACTGTCACTTATGAAGCAAGAATGCTAAAAGCTGTTCTCTTGATGGTTTTTGATTCTTAAATAAAGAATTTTTCTATGATAATAAAGAAAATTAAACAGAATTTATTGATATTTTTATTTAATATAATTTTTCACAATATTATTTTTTTAATTACCCATTTTCCTAATGCAGGACAGTGAAACAATTAATGTAATTTTTACATTTTTTTGGAAACACATTTTTGATGAATATATTGATTATAAAGAAACTACTTTTCAACAATAGAAAATTAAATTTCAACATTTTTCTATATTAAAAAAATTATCGTGTTAACATTCATAGAATACGTGAAATTTAGTTTTCCCTTCTTTTGATATTTATTATAAATTCTTTCCAAAATTGCAAATATTAATAAAAAATAAAAATAAAAATGATACATTTAATCAAGTGACTCAATTATAAGGTATGCCGCAGTATTACGAAAAGATATGCGATCGTCATACCTCAGCTCCGCCCCTTATTGATTTTGTCAATTTTCGACATTTCGGATGGAAAACTCATTGGGCAAAGCATGGTCATTTCTCGGTGTGGAGAAAAGTGTTGCTTCGCATTTCGCGGATATTATTAAAAATTTATTCGGGTTTTATGGCACAGCTTCTCCTAAAAAATTCGCCATCGTTTCGCATTTGAACCTATTCATCAAACATTAAAAATATGGGAATAAACTACCCATTTTTTCCAGTTTTCAAATGTTGTAAGAAGAAGTACATGTGTTATTTACATTTCAAATTAGATTTCATTAATAAGTTCATTAAAGCGAAAAATCCGACTTTCTCCCATGAATTTTTCAAATTGTAATAATATATTTATTTAATTGAAAAATTATTGAGCCGATTTTAAGGCGATTTTCTCTTATATTGTTCATGGGGTACGCATTTCATAATACGTATATTTCTCCCAATCATAAAGTATTCTGAAGAATCGCTGGCTTCCTCCTCCCCTTCTTCTTGGTCACCATGGTCCCATTGCCATGACCACATTCATACACAAAATTCGTCTCTTTTGTTTTGCGTGTTCGCCGCTCAGTTTTATTCAAAAATCTTGCTACAATGGGCTCCTCGCCATCACGCAAAGCGAAATCGGACAATGTTACCGAACTTAATCCGCAGGTTCTTTACGATTGCTTGCTTCCCGCCGATAAACCTCAATTATTTATAGTTCGAAATATGTTTGTTTTAGGAGGAACCAGAGAAATGGGCCGAGAATGTGACAGGCAATGAGAAAAACACCGAATTGCCAAAAAAGAAGAAAGAGGGCACCGGCAAACGTAACGCGAAAGTTTCACCGCAAGACCAATCCAAAATTGGAAAAGATGGAAAAATTCGACTTAGCGAGGGAGTTGTTCAAGTAAGTTAATTTGTACATTGTTTAAAAAAATTAAAAAAAAAATCGGGATTTAGTTGTTTCTTGTTTCTATGGATATCCCATTACAAAAATGTTTCCTAGGACTATATAAATCTCGAAAAGTCCATAAATCGCCTGGAGCGGAAGAATGTGTTGAAGAAATTCGAATCACAAACGATTTATGCGGACAACCTTAAGAATACGGTCGAACAGCTTGAAGCAGTACTCAAAGAATTGAAAAAACAAACGTAAAAAATAACAATTCTATTCAACATTAATCATGATGCTTTAGGGATCGTGAAAAAACCGATTTGAAAAACATTGAACAGCCGTCCGTAAAAGATTTTCTGAAGCAACAAGGTCAATGGAACGAAAGACATAGCAAGGAAAAAAAGGAATACGAGGAGGCCTTGGCCCGACAGGAAACCGTCCAAAAGGTTTGAATTCGTTGACGAACATCGAAGTATTGAACGCTTAGGAGTTGAACATCGCCAGAGTCAATTATGACAATGCGGTGAAAATTCAAGAGATTTATAAGCAACAAACTGATAATCTAAATGGGCTATATGAAGAGCAGGACAAAATGCTCGAAGGCATTTTCGGATCGGAGTATGCATCGGAAAAGGAAAATGTGTTGGAAGGAGAGGTATTACGCAGTTTCCTTCAATTTTTCGCAGTTGAACTTAGGTTGATGATATGGTCGATTGGCAACAGCGTGTTTCGCTGGCAATGTTCAAATGGGCAAATGGACGTGTGTTGCTTGTTCACGCACTAACCCAGCTCACGTTCGGCATCAATCGGTGGCAAGACATTCAAGACATCGAGAAAGAGTAAGCATTCAGCGAACTGCTAATTTGGCGTCTTTCCAGACGCACTGTCGGCGAATTCCCCGAATTAAAGTGTTCCTATTGTTACAGTAATCAAAGAGCGAGATATTTTGCGGCCGCCGAGGCTCGTAATAATTTTGTGGCAGCCGCACAGAATGTACAATCATGTAGAATGTATTTGAATAAGGTTGCGAATTACAATAATTTTGTGGGACACGGTGAAATTTAGGTCGACTTCCCGTATGGAACGGAAAAAGAAATAGCTGTTCTTGAAGACACTGTTACGCATGCTTTTCGAAAAGTTGATGATGATTCAGAGTGCAAAAAAGTGAATTTTTTCAATAGAAACTCATAAAATTTAGTTAAATCTAGGCTTTAAAAGTGTACAAAGACACACAGCAGAAAATTGCTTCTCTTATTCAATGGTTCGACAAAGTCATTAATGATACAATCCGAAAGGATCTCGATCAGGCGAACAATGAACTCATCAAGAAGCAAAAGGCCCTTCGTGAAGAGAGATTGACACTCATGAAGAAAATTGTGAGTTTGATACATTTTTTTATATGAAAATTCTCTATTTAGGCGAAACAAGAGCTCAACTTGGATATGAAAATTGACTACGATGATATTGATGACGACGAACTTGAGAAAGAACTCAAAGAGCTGGAAAAGCAGGCTTTGGCCGATGTCGAGAAGCTGAAGCAGAGTGGTGTTGAAGGAATTCTTGAAATGGGCCAGCAAGATGGAGCAATTGTGGCGCCACTAAGCAAATTGGCGCCATTGCCATCGAAAGACGCGCTATTTGGAGACGTGAAGCAGAAGTTGGATGAGTATGATGAGACGAGGAAACAGTTTGAACGTCGCAATATTCTACAACGAGAGAAACAAGCAATGGCGTTGCAGGTATTCCACTTTTTGTCATTTTATTTTCCAGTTTAATTTTTAGGAAAAACTGAAACTCCGTCAGCAAAAAGGCCGTCGAAATCGGGCGGAACGTCATGAATCGGTAATCGATGTTGCGAAAACTAGTGGATTGAAGAAAGGAGGAAAAGAGTAAAACTTTATTAAATTGGCACCCGTTTTTGTCAATAAACCTCGATATCCTTGTGATTAATGGCAGCTGAAATGGTGGCCAGTTTGAGATTTTCTTGCAATGCCGATGTGAAGATGGCATTTTTGCGTTGTCTCACGAAACAGAACCAAACCGCGTGAAAATAGGCGGGAATTACGAAGAGAATGTAGAAGAGCACGTTGAAGAAGACGTGTTTGGAGAAGCCGTGCGATTTGAACATTACACCAAGAGGCTAAATTAAAAATCATTTTTTGATAATAATTGTTTCTCTCTACGAACAATTTTCGCCTATGAAAAACACGCTTCGTTGTTTTCATTTCCAAACAAACAAAGTGGGCGACAAATACAACTACTTGTAACAATTTTCTGTTTGCTCGGCAATTTTTGTTTCAGAAAACGAACATAAACATTATTTTGAAAGAAAAAATTATCAAAAAAACCTTTAAAGGATTTTCAACGACAGAATACGAAAAAACTATTTACAAAACGAGTACCCTGTCCCGATTTACGATGAGTTAGCTTCACAGATTATCCAGAGTACGGAATTCGAATACCCGCTGTTTAAATTCGAACTTGAATTACCGCCTCGAAAAAGTGCGATGGTCCATAATTTATCAAAGTGCTCATTTTTTAGGATGGTAATATTAAGGGGCAACGCAGAAAAAAGAAAAAAAATAATTTTTGTTTCTTTTGTTTCCGTCCTTTTGCAATTTTACATTTAATTTATTTCGGGACCCCCTACACCACATCACGAAGAGGAAGATGACCTGGGCTGGACACGTTGCTAGAAGAACAGATGGAAGATGGACTACTCTTCTAACGGAGTGGCGGCCGTGGAATTGGACCCGGCCAAGAAGAAGGCCTCCCATGAGATGGTCGGACTCGCTTCGGAAGGAGATCACTACAAGAACTGCTGAAGGAGCCGTTATCACCCCCTGGTCCACCCAAGCCAAGGACCGAAAAGCTTGGAAGGCTGTGGTTCGCGCCTCTACAGGCGAAGGACGAACCGACTAAGTGACTCAGTAAGTGACCATCGCAAATATGATTACCCTGAGTAATTGTAGGCCATCGTATTTTTGCTAGGGCGGCAATTCAAATTTCGATTTAAAAAATGGGAATTTGCGAACTGTAGTACGGATAACCTGCGAATCAAAGTCGCTGAAAATTTAACATCTATTTTATAGAACAAATTTCTCAAATCTTAGGTTTTTTTTTCGAAGTAATCTTTAGATCATCTTTTGAAAAAGCGAAAACAAAATTGCATTAAACAAAAAATAAAATAAAATCATAAAACGCACCGGAAACACGACGAGCAGAATGGTCATAATAATGCGATCGGTATCATTTTCCGGATAATTATCAATGATGTGCACATCGCTGGCAGCTCGCTCAAGCGGCATCGCTCACACTGACTGCCGAGCACCTCTATTTGCCGTCGGTCACATTTTGATCGATCTATTGACAAAACTCAAATAGCCAACCAAATTGCAAATTTATTTTTGGATGGGCGAAGAAAGAAAGAAAACGAAACGACAATACAGGTTTGTATCATCAGAGCACCGGTAAGAGTCACATTATTTGGATAAGAAAGAGAAATTTGGGAGAATATGATGGGTTAGAAAGATTAGAAATAATTATTCGAAGAGATATGACAGTAGTTATTAATCGTTGTTCAATTTTACACAATTAGAAGCGAAACAAAAGAAGTGTGTTCGAAGACGTCGAACCCGTGGCTCGTTTGGTTTGGAAACAATCAGGACGAAAAATGGAATAAAACAACAAGAATGACGCACAATTGCGGACAAATGTACAGTTTTGCAATGAACAGAGATCGACGACTAACCAAGACGAGATTTAAGCATAGATTTCTGGTTCTGCTAACGGCGCTTGCGGCAGCAGAAGGTATCCGGGAGCATTCGTTGTGTACCTTGGAATCGGTTGCGCGTTTTTCTCGGCGCGTGCTGAGTGCGGCTGAAGGTCCGACGAGAAGGCGGTTTTGACGCGCTGAAAAAAAATTTTCGTTTTCAAATTGTCCGCAGCACATTTCTTTATAAAGATTCCAATTCCCCAAGTCGACGCTTTCCAAAATTTTAAAGGATTTTAACATTTTGCGACTTCGCTTTTCGATGAAGGAAAAAAAGAAGAAATTTCATATTGAGCATCTGCGGACATTTTTCGGGATGCGCCTGTTTCTTGCTATTAGCGAAGGCGGCAATTCAAATCAGGGCCGGGAGAGACCTGCTTATTTTTTGACAACGCTGAGCTGAGAGCATTTTAATTCGAAAATATTTTTGGTTCCGATTCTGAAATGTTCTTGACGCGAAAATAACAAATGTTTGCAAATCAGTTTGAATTCTTGAACACCTCTTTGAACACGTCGCCCTCTTTGAAGGAGAGTTTCTTTAAACGCTTCTCTTTGACGATTTTCTGTACCTTGCACGCTTTCTGATGCTCTTTTCCTTTGCAGCAGCACGCGGAGAGCACGGCGCACACGAAGTACAACGGAATCGGCACCAACGGGATCAGCGCGATCGCGACACCGACATACTCGGACCACTTCCAATCATAGATCGGCGGACTGTAATTGTCGAACCTGTAGTCTCTTGCGTTCAAATAGGCGACACCCTGAAAAAATAACATTGAAATGAGAATTCGGAAAATGCTCAATTACCGCCGGTAGGATCGGCAGCAGATAAGTGAAGAATAGAAAGAAATGGCCGAAGCACGAGCAACAGCGATTGTGCATCATCGCGTGAAGGTCCTTTCCCAGTTTGTGAGCACCTGTGATGGAAAACAGTTTGTCCATTGATAAGAATGAAATGAGCTCTTACAATAGAGCCAAGCGGTCGCGAATAATTCAAAAGCCAAAATCACAAATATGGTGATATATTTGATGCTTCCGGTGGCTAATTCATAAGCATGTCGGCCGGCCTGAAAATGAGTTTTAGCAATTTTCGAGTGCAAAAGAAACTCGACGAATGAATTTTGAAAAACTCACTTGTGTCGCAAAATACAATGTTCCTGCGAAACAAAACGCGCAAATGAAGAAAGCGAGGAAAAATCGACGACAACATTTCGACCAGTTCTCGCCAAACGCGTCTTCAATTGTCGAGAGAACCGAGAGGGCGAGCAACACCTGAATTCCGATTACTAGCAGCTCGTCGAATCGACCGACTCGAATTACCACAACCGAGAGAAGAGTGAAGATCGATGTTGCGAGAATCACACCGGACCATAATTTCTCGACATTATAGACGTAGGCCAGCATGTACCATAATTGGTTTTCGCCTTTCTCGAGCAATTCGGTAGCGTCGAGTCCGGTTTTCGAGGCGATGTAGCCGACGAGACAAATAATGGTGAGGGTTTGAACAAACGAGATGATGGCGTGCCAGAGGATAATGAAGATCGAATCCCTGAAAATAGCAAATGGGACCATTTGGATGAATGAGAAGCACTCACCACACAAGATTATTGCTTCTTCGATTATAACTGCTCATTGTGATGAATGCTCCATAGCCGATTCCAGTTCCGAGGATCGCCTGCTCAACAGCGATCCTCCATACGTGCACATCCATGAGCCTCTCCCAATCGGTTGCCTTCCAATAGACGTCAAGAATTTCGGCGACGCCGCCGAGAGTTGCGCATCGAATAAAGAGGACGAGAAGAGTGGAGAACGCGATGAAAACGACGAATGAAATGAATTTGCCGGTCATTCGGACGCCGCCGCAAATTGCGATGAAGACGGTGATCCAGATGGCTGCCTGAGCATAGAGGATCGTCAGTTGAGGCTCGCCATAGTCGATTATTGACTCGCTAGGTCTTTCAATACTTCTGAAAGTTTCAAAGAATTTCATTAACTGCCTTTTTTTCCCAATATTTCCACGAGAACTGTGCGGAAATCGGAATTTTTCGGGAACTTTTCAATTTTAATTCGAAATAATTTTGATGGTATTTCACATAAAATTACAACTGTTTTAATCAAAAGAATATTTCACTAAACGAAAAATCGAAATTAAATTATCAAATTGATCGTTTTTGTGAAGGTTTTTTTTCGGTAACACATTGCCAAAAAATTTCAGCGATTTTGCATATTGCCGAAAATCAAAATTTTGTGAAAATCGCGGACTGCAATAAACCTCTTCATGCAATGAAAAAAAAAATCAATTTTTCTCATTTGAATTCCCTATGCACGCACGTCGAAAATGACAAAAAAAATTGACGCGATATATCGTAATTCTCCGCTATTTATTTTCAAAGACGCACACGAAAAGTTGCGCGGGTCTCATCGCGAAGGCGGTACTGTATTTTTTAATTTTTCATTCTGTGGGGTTATTTTTCCGCATTTTTCGAAAACTTTGAAGAGGAAAATGAATAACGGGTTGAAGAACGAGGAAAAAAAATACAATTATTTCTATAAGTACTACTAATTCGACAATATATGTCAATTTTCGTCATTAAGATACTAATTATCATGAAAAATAGTGATATTTGTGTTGATTTGATGCAGACTTTGCTCGATGACGTTTCTAATGAACCTTTAGCGTTGATTAAACAGAATACTTTCACAGATTTCCAAAAAAAAAAAGTTTTAAACGCTCGAAAAATAAAAAAATCCGAAAAAAACAACCATTAAAAAATACAGTACCGACATCGCGACGTGACCCGCGCAAATTTTCGCGTGCGCCTTTGAAAAAAAAACAGTGGAGAATTACGATATATCGCGTCAATTTTTTGTAACTAAAATGAAAAAAATTGTATTTTTTTAAAACTTTTTTTATTTCATGAATAGGTCCATAAAGTTTGATCTACCAATGGATCATTTAAAGAGTTGCCCACTTCAAAATGCATTTTGTCGAATTTACGACGAGAATCGGTTTTTTTTCGAACGACATCTTCAAATAAGCATAGAAAACTTTCATCCGTAAACCAAAAAAAAAACATATTGAACAGTCTTCAAATTTTGCGAACTAATTTGAAAATGACGAATTTAAAAAAAAAAAAAGAATGCTGGAAACTCACGTCAAAAACTGCATGATCGAGCTTTCCGCCTGAATCGTGTTGAGACGACTGTGTGCCACGTGGCTGATGTTGGCAAGAGTTCCCGAATCGCGGCACGGGACCGACAAGAATTCGGGATAGTATTTGCAACTCAGCCATGGCACACCGGGTCGATTCACCCAGAATGACCAGAAATAGTAATAGAAGAAGATGAGGAGTGTCGAGAGGAATTTCGTCATACACACGAGAACAACAATGGTGAAAAGGATCTGCGAAACGCCGATTCCTGAACGAAGTGGTTTCAGAATGAATCCGATTCCGATGGGATGGGTCTCAATCAATTAAAAAACAAACAAACAAACAAATGATGTACCTTTAAAAACAGGGAACAGGTGGTAGAAAGCGAGAACCGGAGCCCGACCGGTCACCTGGCCGACAGCCATTTCCAGGATGATTGTCGGCAGACAGAGCACACCTAGAGCTGCACCATAGGCACTCACGAATGCTACTAAACTTTTACTACTTGGCTTGATGTGTGTTCATTAGAATCGACAAACCTCCGCCATTCTCAAGTATCAATTTTGGCAGGTTCAAGAAGTTGGTCATCGCGAAGACGTACGCCATCGCAGATACCATAAATTCAACCTGCAAATAAAATTTAAAAGAATATTTCGAATTGAAAATCCTAATTTTTTCCTGAGATAAATTAAAATTCAATTATGAACCTACTTATGAAATTTAATTTTTACAAAAAAAAACTTGCATGGGTATTTTTTTTTACATTTTTTTTTATTAGGTCCATAAGAGATAATCGAGCAAACAGTGATAATCTTGATAATTTCCAGCTTTTGCCCTTTTAAACTCTTTGATCAATTTCAATTCAAAATTGGGTTGTTTGAAAAAATCGCTCAACTTTTTATTAGTATTCGATAATGCTATCGACGACCCAAATCTTCGAATGCCTCACACGACGAACAATTAATATCCTTTTTTGGGAGGGGGATCCAACTCACTTTTGTCGGCCATAAATCTCGCCATTCCTCGACGAGTTCGGTGAGTCGCAGGTTCGACCAGCTACTCTCCTCGAACCACATTCCTTGTTCGGAATCTTACCTAAAATGGGAGCGAACATTATTGAGCGGCGAATGATTGGAAACGATGATGATATCAAGAAAGCAACTGATATTGATCGCAGTGGCAATGTTTTATCTCGGCTGTCTCGGTTCTCTAGTGATACGAAACGAGCGAACACAACGCAACAAACACAACAAAAAAATGAAGCAATTTTGAAAAATTGCGCGCGTTTTTCGCGCCTCCCCGTCGACAATTCGTTTCGATTTGAAAATTGCAAAAATTTCGCGACGCGAGACAACGAGTGCTGCTGCAATTTCAGCGCAAACGAATGTCTGAAATTGAAGCGCGAAGACTGAAACACATTGAAGGCAAATGCGAGGACCGCCAAGCAATCTATATGTGGGAAACATTTAAGAGTCTCACGAAAAGGACCAAATGGTCCCTTCTCCACAACTTGCAGAATATTATTGTTTTGTGCTGATTTTATCAAATATCCAATTAGCACGATATCGAAATTGATAAAGGTGTGCATTTAATTGCAAACGTATATTGGACCCGCAGGCGATCGCGTAAAACACGATCCACAGACACGAGGTGGCATTTGGGGACCCTTATATGACATATGCCATAAAATGGATCCATGTAATTATTGGTCCTTTTCCGATGTTCATCTTACGCGTCGACCGTTGCGGGCTCGATTCCCCGTCAGTGTCACCACACATTTTTGCGGCAAAAGCAAATAGGAAACGAAAGTTTGGGTCATGGAAAACGAAAATTGTACGGTTTTCGGAAATAGTGGGTGTTTCGACGAAGCGCACGCGGCCGAATTCTGAAGTGCGAAAGTCAACAGGTGAGCGGCAAAAATGTCATTTTCTTTTATATGTATATTCGATGTGGGCGTATGCAAATCGCGAGAAGAAGAAGAGAAAAATGCCTACCGCGTTTCTAATTGTGAAGACTAAAAATGAGCATTGAATCAAAAAGAAAGCCGGGCAAAAAAAAAATAAACGTGGAGTCGACAAGAATTGAAGGCGTCATTAACATCACATTTTACGACATAATGAATTTTTGAGTGGCTCGAAACACAACACAAAATAGTCGAACCGGGTCGAGCAAAAAAAAACGCAAGGTGAAAATCGATGGGCCGGGTAAAAAGAAGAAAACGCACAGAATGGGCAACGGGACACAGCATGAAAGCATAATTAAGTAATGAGATGAGGCATGGTTTGTGCCTTCTGACGAGCTCAAAAGTGCTCATATTCGAGGACGGGGCGGGACGAGAGCGGGGGGGGGGTCCAGTCTCACTTAATTATAGGTTTTTACATAGCCGTAAACAACTAGAATTGTTTGCACAACGATTATTGTGATAGAAGTAAAAAGAGAAGAAAAAGAAGAAGACGGGGAGAAAAAAAATAAACGAGTGGAATTTAATTTACGACGCGAACAAATGTGTCATTTCTTCACCAAAAATGGCAATAACAAACACTCCTTTCCTGGGTTTTTTTTTTCTTCTCGTCCAAAAAACAAAAGACTTGTATGGAGAAATAGAAATATGGGGAGAAAAACTCGTAAAAAAACGTGGAGACTCATAATCCTTTTATTGGTTGCGTTAGTGGAAAACTCTCATTCAAATAAACAATTCAGCTTGTTTATTTCAGGATGCTTGAAAAAAGAACCCGAAATGCGAAAAGAAGGGGAGGGGCGGGGTCGAAATCGCGAGACACGCGCGAGACAAAACGGTTGCGCAATGAGCTACGCATCATCTGCGCGCCTTTGTGTTGACTGTGGTAAAACGCCGCGTGCGCGTGCCTCCTCCATCGGGTCAAATTCGGGATTCGGATTTTTTTTGCACAAACCGAAAAAATGAGCGACAGCTGCAAAATTTTTGAGAGAGAATGGAATCGAAATTAAAATGAAGAATGGAAAAAGATTTGAAACCAAGACAAATTTACGAGACAGATGAGTAAAGGGTCGCGCGCGCGTGATGACGACGACGACGACGACGACCGCGAAGAAGAGGACGAGCGCGCCGCCGCAGCCGCCTTGGGGACAAAAAATAGCGGGTCGTCGGAAAGAGACGAGAGACGTGTCGTGCCGTAATATTCACGGCAAAATGACCGCAGGATTAATGCGCGCGCGCGCGCTCGGTGCTGCGAGTCTGTTGTGGAATAGAAACAGCCGCCGCCGAACAAATAATAACAATTGAGGTCGGACTTTTGTAACAATAACACAACTAACGAAAAACAAACACCGGCACATCTCTGAATTTTTTTTTCACACTTTTTTCCATCTCTCTAATATTCACTCATGCTTGAAATTCGGAACAGTCGACAACAATGACGCGCAACACTTCTACCGCGGTCATAGAGAAATCAGTGGTGTAGACATTGGTAACGAACAAAATTTTTGGATTTTGACGCGAAAGGTCAAAAGTTCAACACCGGATTGTCGGAAAATCAATTTTTGTATTGATGAAAAATAAAAGTGACATGTGAATCGAATGGAATTCACCCTACGATATCGAAAAAATTGAATGATAGATGAGGGGCAAAAGGAAACGAACAAACAAATGCATACTAATCGGAAACGGACGGGGTGGGGGGGGGGTGGCATATGGTGTAGGCAAAACGAACGACGAGCGAACGGAAGAGGGGACGACGGCTAAACCTGATTATAATACAACTATGTGTGGAATAATGGAAATTAGAAGAGGTTCTGGTGCAGGAAGCGTTGGAATAGCGCGTGCGACGTGTGCGGCCTGCAAATTCGCATTTCTAATTAATTATTTTTTGCTGTGCTCGATTTATTCAAGTGGCTCTGATCAGGGATTATGGTAGTTTCGGTCGACATTCAAAGTCAGTGGTTTTGTGGGGGCTCAAAAATGATTGGCGAGTATCCGCAATTTAAAATTTTCCGTTTGAAGAATTGCATCAAAAGGATTGATGTGGAGAATTCATAAATAATATCCATTACTGCCACCCAATGCCTCTCTGCGTCTCTCAAATTCACACACTCTCTCTCTCTCTCTCTCTTGGTTTGATGGGTGCTCACCTGCGCGAAATGCACATGATGCGTCAAACAAATAAATTATGGTTCGAGGGGGGAATGGGCGGCGCATTATCCCACCTGAACAATTTGGTCTCGCCGGGAAAATTGAGCCATACCGACGTGTCGGTTGACGTCTCGTCGATGTTCACGTAGAACATTGCCGATCGCCGATTATTCACGAATCGAACACAATATTTGTGTCTGAAAATTGAAAAGTTTAGCAAAAAGATTCGGCGAAAAACGAGAAAATTTGATGAGTTTGATCTGCGCCTTTAAAGGAGCTTTAAAGGTACATACTCCGACGAATTCGATGATCAAATGGCTGGGTTGAACGACCTTGAACGAATTTTTTATTGACTTCTATTAAAAAGTTGCTGAAGGTTGGTTAAGAAATTGCTAAAATTCTGTAAGTTTGCAAAAAAAAATAGAAAATTTCGCTGCTTTCTAGCAGAAATCTACAAGAAATTATAAAAAGTTTGCGGAATTTCTGAGACCAAGGGTCAAGGAGAGGTTTTTTTTCGAAAAGTTCGAAATTCGCTGTATAATTTCCTCAAATTCACTCCAATTTTCGCATAATTATCTCTGATAGTAAGTCATTCTATTTATCTAATTGTAGCCACATGAGAGGTCGATATTTTTTTTTGAGAATAAATTCTATAGAGCCCACCTTTTCATTCTGCTCAAATCCACTGTACACAAGTACTGAACACAGTACTGGCATAGGCATAAGGAATCTTCCAGAGCTGCAAACATGAATTTTTTTTCAAATCATTAATTTTCACTTCACCATTTATTCATTTCTCCTGAATTTTATTTTTCTTTTTTTTTAACTCCGTTATAAATAATTTTTGTCGATTTTATTTATTATGCGATCAGAATTTTGATGGAATTCCACTCACTCAGCGATGCAAAAATTCAAAAAATAATTTTTTTTTATTTTGCATAGTAAGTCAGTTAGTAGAAATGTTCGAACACATACATATATGAGGGCACCACACACATTAAATAGGTCCTCCCGGGAGCTCTTTGTGGTCCCACCAAGTGGTGCATTATAAATATATAGCTATGGGTCCTCAGAGAAAAAATTTCATTTCAGGCATTATCAAATCGTCAAATTATTGAAAAATATTTATTTTTGTCAACATTTGCCAAATGTTTTACAAAAAAAAGTTAAAACATCAATTGATTTTTATCTTTTTTTTTTAATTTTTGAAATTTTAACATTTTTATTGCATGTGCAAGTCTATAAATGTGTTTACTTGTTGAATAAAACAACAGAAAAAAATCTGTATTTTCTGTTATGTCAAAAGTAATTTCGTTTTTTTAGAAAAAAAACCCCCCTACTCGTTGAAGATTTTTGTGAATCTCTCCGAATTGGAACATTTCTTAAAATGAAATTCGTTATTCGTTGTATTTAATAATATTGATTATTCCCATCGCAAAAAGAGCACTTTGATAAATTGTGGACCATCGCACTTTTTCGAGGCGGTAATTCAAATTCGAATTAAAACAATGGGAATTCGGATACTCTGGATAACCTGCGAAGCTAACTCAATTTAAACGGCGCAGGGTGCTCGTTTTTTTTGCGAATTTAATAATTTAAGAAAACAGAAATGATTGAATTTTCCATACGAGACCACATGTGAAGAAAAAAAAATCAAAAAATGATACCTGATCGATTATAAACATAATAGTTTTTCGTCCATCGGGTGCCGGATTCCATTTGTTTTTGGGTTCGGGTCTCTCGACAATTCGAGGCAGCACAAGCGACCGTCGAGAATTTCGCAGCTCGTCGACATTCCGAACCGATTTTTCGAAGATTCTCGTCAAAATCGCCCGCGCGTTTCGTCGAGAAAACTGCGCCGAGTACATTTTTTTTTGCAAACGAAATTGAAGTCGGCGCCAGCGGTTGGTGCTCCAACGACACCGAGTTTTCTTTTTTTTTTTTTTTTGGAAATATTTAAATCGACTCACAGACGCGTGAATTTCATCGAGTTCCGGTCCACGGCATTTTTATGATTTTTAGAGTCACAAATCGACTGAAATTATGACTACTAGTAGACCAAAAGTTCGAGTTGCAAGCATTATAAACGGAAAATATTTGGTGAGAATTCCGAATTTCAGACTTTCAAAAATACGAATTGCGGTTTGTTTTAGGCATTTAGAAAGCTTGGCGAAGGTGGATGTGGTGTGATTTATGAGGTGGCTTTGGTGAAATGCCCACAAAAGAGATTCGCGTTCAAAGCCGAGACGACGGTACCCGATGAAGATCCAACACTTCCCATGGAGCACACTGTGATCTCATTGCTCAATGAGAGAAACTCTCTGCATGCGGTGAAGCTCGTCGAAAAAGGAAAAGGCGAGAATTACTCCTACATCGTCATGTCTTTACTTGGGCCGTCACTCGACGCAATTCGATCGGCGATCCCGACGCATGTGAGTGATTCAATTCGAAACAGTTAGCTGCCGACAATTGGCGGGGTTCCTAGAAATTCACCACGTTCTCAAGTCTTGTCATGGTGATTCAAGCGCTCGATTCGCTCAAGGAGATCCACGAGATCGGATTTGTGCATCGAGACGTGAAGCCGGCGAATTTTGCGATCGGCGCTCTGGGAACACCCAAGCAACGATTGGTGCACATTTTGGATTTCGGAATTGCTCGACAATACCAGAAGAAGGATGAGAACGGCGATTGGAAACTACGAATGCCGAGGAGAATTGTGCCGTTTCGGTTCGACGATCTCGAATTTCGGCCACATGCATTCGTCATTTTTAGAGGAACTCTTCGCTATTGCTCAATTGCAACGCAAGATCGAAAAGAGCAAGGAAGGCATGACGATTTATGGTCCCTTTTCTATATGATCGTCGAATTTATTAAAGGAAATTTGCCGTGGTTTCAGACTAATTGATCGTTTGGTATGAGATTTTTAAAAACAAATTGATTTAAGGACAGGAATCAGCGATGAAGAAGCGGTGAAGGCGAAGAAGTCGGACACGAAAGAATTGTATGATGGTCTCAACGAGAAGTTCGTATTATTCGCCAAACATCTCCAAGTGCTCCACTATAAAAATAAGCCGGATTATGAGCTGCTGAGAGAATTGCTCGTTGGTGTGTTTTTGGCGCACAAATTCACCACGGACATGAAGGTGGATTGGGAAAAGGGCGGAGCTTACGACGCGTATTTCTACAAAAAAACTGAATTGCTGTATGCTTATTTGCGATCTTAAATTGAAGTTTCCTATCGATTTAGGCCTTGTGTTACTGAAAAAGACACAACTGAAATAAGTCTTGCCGAATTACTAGCGATTCCTGAAAAAGTTCGACGTATCACATTGGCTGATGCGACGAAGCAGGAGAAAAATTATGACGACGACAATGCGTTGAACACCGCCCAGGATGATACTATTATAGAATCGGAAGAATCGGTTGAAAAGAATCTCAAAATATTTGCGATATGGTTTGTTTGAATTCAGGTTCGCATCAGGAATCAACGCAAGAAGCGAGAAGAAGAGAGTCGGAAGCAGCAGGCGACGATGAGTCGAAAGTACAAATACAAGAAGAAGCCTGACAATCGTACAGTTACCACACAACAAGTTTGTATTTCTAGTCTTGCGACGATCGTATCTTGCGAAATTTCAGGCGAAAGAAGCCGAACTGATTTGGAGGCGAAAGCAGGCTGCCGAGTACGCTGCTCGCCTCGCCAAACGCGCTGAAGCCCAACAGCGTGGAAATCGGGATGTCGTGGTTCCCGATGAAGGCTCAATGCGATATCGTGCCAAGACCCCGACTGTGAAACGAGCAGCGACACCATCGAAATCCTCGAAAAAATAAAAACGTTCGCATTATTTTGTATTTTATTTTACAATTGAATTTGCTCTACACTGAAACTGGGAAAGGGGCAAAAATTGTTAAAAACTGGAACCATTTTTCATCTATTGTTGAAAAATGACAAATGTATCCAGGTGTCGTAGGATCCTGCGTTTTGTACGCAATGCTAAGAGACAGTTACCGTAATCCTCGTAGCGATTTACGGGGACTTTTTTTTTAAATTTCGCATAGTCATTTTTTTTATTTTTTGTTCAATTTTTTAATTTTCTTTCGAAATTTTTTAATTTAAATTTTTTAATTTTGCAGAAACCGAGTTCAATAATGTATTTAGCAGAATAAGCACTTTTAAACGACATTTTTTTGGTAAAAACACCAGAGATTAAAAAGAAATCATTTTTGTCGTTAATAAAATTATTTAATCGTGTTTTGCTCTTTGTATGCGTTTCTATTATCTTGTTTTTGTATTCTTCATTTTCAAAATAATTTTTAGAGCTTCAAAATCTTCACAATAATTCCCAACTCAACTAGACAAATGGAAAAGTGCATATTCTGAAAAATAAATAATTAAGCTCGGTTTCTACAGGTTTTAAATATAAGATTTCTAAAGAAAGTTAGAAAATTCAGCAAAAAAATTGAAAGAAAATTAAAAAAAAATCTCCGTAAATCGCTGCGAGGATTACGGTAATTGTCTCTTAGCATTGCGTACAAAACGCAGGATCCTACGACACCTGGATACATTTGTCATTTCTCAACAATATTTATTTTTAATCCATTTTTTGCCCTTTTCCCAGTTGCAGTGTAAGAGATTTTATTGTGTGCTCCCTTAAATTCTCAAAGTATTTTGCATAAATTTTATTATAAAAATGTAGTCCGATATCATCTGAATGTTTGAAATATTCTCATTAGATCTATGAAGGTAATACTTAAAAATCAATCATCATTATTTTCGGTTTCCCAATGAAAACACCCACTGTTCACTCTACAAATATCAGCCTTTGGAAGCAAATTCGAATGCGGTGGAAAATCGAAAAAAAAATGATCAAACAGCTTTCAAAATCGATTTTTAACTCGGTAATTTTTTCAATAAAAAACTTATCTTTTTTCCTGTGTTACTTAATTTCTTCTTATTCGGTGTATGCCTTCAAAAAAAATTATTCTAGAATTTCCTCGAGTCGAAAAAAATTGAGAAATTTTCCTCGAAGAGTTCCAACAATTATTCGAAAATTTTGAAAGCATTGTCGAATATTCGAACATTTGTCGAGAAATCTTCACAAATTGAGGGAGAAAATAAAATAGAACGAAAAATCCGAGGAAAACTCCTGTTTCATCTAATCTCAGCAGAGATTAGATCAAAAGTAACAGACGCGCTTCGTTCAATGAAGCCAGCCGCATCGGTGGCAACAGCAACAACCAATTCGGAGGATGCCGAACAACATTTTTATATTTAATTTTATGGACCTATTCATGCAATGAAAAAAATTTAAAAAATAAATTTTTTCATTTGAATTCCCTATGCACGCACGTCGAAAATTACAAAAAATTGACGCGATATATCGTAATTCTCCGTTATTAATTTTAAAGGCGCACACGAGAAGTTGCGCAGGTCACGTCGCGAAGTCGGTACTGTATTTTTTATTTTTCATTCTGTGTGCTATTTTTTCGTATTTTTCGAAAACTTTGAAGAGAAAATGAGTAACAGATTTAAGAACGAGTAAAAACAATTATTATTGGTATAATTAATTCTCATTAGACAATATAAGTCTATGTTTCGTCATTTAGATGCCAATTATCATGAAAAAAAGTGATTTTTGTGTTGATTTGAAGCAGACTTCGCTCGATGACGCTTCTGATGAACCTTTAACGTTGATTAAACAATATACTTTTACAGATTTCCAAAAGAAAACGTTTTAAACGCTCGAAAAATAAAAAAATCCGAAAAAAACAACCATTAAAAAATACAGTACTGACTTCGCGACGTGACCTGCGCAACTTTTCGCGTGCACCTTTAAAAATAAATAGCGGAGAATTACGATATATCGCGTCAATTTTTTGTAATTTTCGACCTGCGTGCATAGGGAATTCAAATGAAAAAAATTGATTTTTTTAATTTTTTTCATTGCATGAATAGGTCCATTAGTGGTGTTTTTTTTTATTTACATTCATTTTTTGCTTGCGTTTTGTGTCGTTTTGTGTCGTTACAATCGAATACGACAATTTTTCCGACCCTTACCTGTTTTAGTGCAAAATTATAAACTTATCATATTCGAATACCATTAGGATCTGATTTTCGTCAAAATTCCATTCGAATGAATTCGTATTTGTTTTTCGTACTTGCGGGTTTCGATTACAGTCATTTTCGATTCGGACAGTTGTTATCGCATATATTGTTGTATATTCGTTGAATATATTGTTGGATATAATAAATAATAAAGTTTCTAATTAATAAATACTCCTTCAATTGCTTTTTTTGCATATGGAATAATACATATAAGCGCGAATTACGCTAAACTGAGGACTAGACAGAGAGGAAGAAATTAGTGAGCCCCTAAAACGAAGGCAACTACGATACTCCACGAGCACGCCTGCGGCGAGCCATTTGAAAAGAAAATGGCTGATGGTTTTGGTAGAAAAAAACGACCGAGTTTTTGTTTTAAACGAACCAGGAACCACTTCGGAATGTCGAAAAATCATTGTTTTTAATTTTTCGGGACACGATTCTCATCGGACGAATTGGGACCATTATCCTTTTCTGTGGATCACGTAGTTTGACCGCTTACATGAAAACGGTCAATTTTTTCTGTTATTTATCACAATTCTCCTTCTGTTTTTTGCCGAACAAATCCCGAATTTCGTCGGGTGGTTTTTCAATAGATTTTTGATTTTTTGGTAATCTTTCTTTTTTTTCTTATCTATTTCCTTGGTTATCAGTTTTTGTTATTACGAAAAATCGGTTCAGGTACCCCTCAACTTGCGATTCGCCGTGATTTATGCAAAAAATGGCAAGCTCCGTCGAGAAACTGGCGAGTCTTCGTGCCTTATTTTCGTCGGAACGCGTCAAGCTTTTGACCGGCAATAAACCGATTTCCGCTTATTTGTTGCCAAGCACTGATGCTCATCAGGTAATTTTTATACAGTTGAAAACGTGGGACTTTTTGTATTTAGAGTGAATATCTTTCCGATTACGATTTCCGGGTTCGCTTTCTTTCCGGGTTTTCCGGCTCAAACGCCTATGTAGTTGTTACCGATAATAAAGCTCTATTATGGACCGACGGACGGTATTTCGAGCAGGCTGGAAAGCAATTGTCGTCAGAATGGACCATGATGAAGCAGGGAGTTCCCGATTCGGTAACCCCAAGCGATTGGCTTGTGACGGCCCTCGATAAGGGTTCATTCGTTGGGTTTGATCCAACATTGCTAACCTACGAAAGTGCGACGAAATTTTTAAAAAATATCAAGTCGATGGGACTTCACCCAGTTAGTATTCCCGGAAATCTGATTGATGAATTCTGGACAAATCGTCCAAGTCTCGGCGATCGCAAAGTGACGGTGCTAACTGCGGAGGAGCACGGAAAACCGGTTGCGAAGAAGATTGAATCGCTTCGAAAACGGCTAACCACCAAAAAATGCACGGCGATAGTATTTTGCGCTCTGGATGACATAGTTTGTAAGTTGAAACTCTCAATAATAATTAGAGATGTTTAAAATAATTATTTTACAGGGCTTTTGAATATTCGAGGATTCGATATTCCATATAATCCATTGGTTTATTCATATCTCTTAGTTTCTCTTGACGAAGTTCATTTATTCATCGACGAAGCAAAACTAGATGACCAAGTACATAAGTTCGAATTCTCATTTTCCTGATCAACATCATTTTTTTCAGTCTTGGTCGCACTTGAAGGAATCCAACGTCATCGTCCATCCTTATGATTCGGCACAAACCTGGATCCGGTCGTGGCATCAATCGATTGTTGAGAAAAAGCTCGACCAGCGTGTCATGCTCACCAAGAGCACCAACTATTCGATTGGAGAGATTTTCGGTGACGAGTACTCGATAATTGAATCATCGCCTGTGAAAATCGAAAAGGCTGTGAAGAATTCCGTCGAAATGGAAGGAATGCGGTCATCGCATGTACGGAATCGGGACAAATTTCCGATAATAATCGTCAATGTTGTAGATTCGTGATAGTGCTGCTCTCGTCGAATTTCTCGCATGGCTTGAGAACGAACTACTCGCCGGAAAGAAATATTCGGAGATCGAACTTGCCGCGAAGGTCGATGGGGTTCGCGCTCAACAGAAGAAATATGTTGATTTGAGTTTCTCGACAATTTCGGCTGCCGGTGAGCATGCTGCCCTTCCGCATTATCATCCTGAAGGCGAAGACGGCAAGAAGGAAGCATCGGCTGACTCTGTGTATCTTGTAGATTCCGGAGCTCATTATAGGTAAAAGTCAATAAAATCAAGAAAGTTGAAAATTTAATTACAGAGATGGAACGACCGATGTGACGAGAACCGTGTGGTTCAAGAATCCGCCGGCCGAGTTTATTGCTCATAATACATTGGTGCTTAAGGGACACATCTCTTTGGCTAAGACCTTGTTCCCAGACGGAATTCACGGTTCGCGTCTCGACACTCTTTCCCGTCATGCTCTATGGCAGTGCGGGTTAGATTTTGGGCACGGAACTGGCCACGGTGTCGGTCATTTCTTGAACGTTCATGAGGGGCCAAGTAGGGATTTTTCGAAGTGATTCAATTTGATAGGTGTTTTCTAGTCGGAATTGGACATCGGATAGTGTCAACCGGCGGCGAGCTTCATGTCGGACAAGTTATCACAATTGAGCCGGGATACTATCTGCCGAAGAAATATGGAATTCGTATTGAAAACTGTTACGAGGTAGCCATAGATCTGAATAATAATACTTATAATTCATTTCAGATTGTTTCCGCTCAAGTAAAATCGCGTGAAAAAAACTTCCTTGCTTTCAAATCGCTTACTCTTGTGCCTATCCAAACTTCTATTATTGATAAGAGCCTTCTCGATGAATCTGAAATTGTTTGGCTTAATGCTTACCACGATACCGTTGCTGAAAAGGTGGGAGCTGAGCTTCTTGAAAATGGAAAGAAGGCTGAATACGAATGGTTGTTGAATGCTTGCAAACATATTTAAATCCGGTCCATGTGATTTCTTTTTTTTCAGTTTTATTTCGAATTATTATTAATATATAAATATTGTTATGCAGATAAATTATTATAAGTGTTCTAACGATGCCAGAAGTTGTCAATTTCTTGCGGACCATCCATAACAGGCTGCAAGCGCGTCACGCCTATCCATTGATTATTCCATTCATTCTTCTGACGAATGCGTTCTAGGGATTCTTGATGGAAGGCGTGTTGTTCGCGGGCTTCTTCAGAAGTCATGTCGCATTCCCATTCATCTACAGTGTCGGTTTCCGTGGAGGTTGAAAGTCGCTAAATAAGAAAATCCCAACAGAAAGTTGAAATATGACACAAACTTGAATAGCAGAGTCAAAAAGTCGCATGACATTGCACATTCCGTGACAATCGACGTCTTCACAGAATATACGCGTCAGCGATGGTTTATCCAACGGTTTTGTAGCGCAAATCTACAAAATCCATAAAAGAGTTAATATAGCGCGCTTAAATTACAAACCACTGCTCTCAAGTTTGAATTTTTACGTGCACTTCGTATGAATCGATCGACTCCGTTCACATAGATCCGCTTTTCGCGCTGGATTTGAGCTATAAGCTTTCGAAGTTCGTCAACAGTCTGGAATATACAATATTAAATGAAATCGGTGCTCAGAACCGCTTAACCTTTGGGAATCTGAAGCGAAATTCGAAAAATGCTGGGGCACGTGAGCTGAAAATAGCTGGTAGAAGAGTGGTGTTGGCGGCATTGCTGCGCATTTTGCGAATCTAAATTCATTACAATATTCGTATTTTTCATTTTTCTACCTCTCCGCTATCCATTTCAATGAAGTAATTGAAGCATTGATGATAGCCAATATGACGAGCTCGCCGGAATTCCGTTTTTTCATTCGAAAATTCCGGCAACCAAATTAACACATTTTTGTGTTTCCAATCAACATTTTCACAATGTTTAACGCAATTATAATTACTCCTAAAATGAATGTTTATTTTATTTTTCGAAAAAAAAATTATAAAATATAATGAAAACTAACCATTCGTGGAAATAATCGCGGAATTTTCGAAGCATTGCGTGCGTATTGATGCCAGATGGTATCACATATCCAACCCCATCGTTTGTTGCCAGTAACACCTTATCGATGTTGATCCATCCATTCCGTAGTAGATGTCCATCGACAAAACGGTTCAGTGTGCGGAATGTGCCGGCAATTGATTCTTTGAAAAACTCGGATTCCTCGCATTCTTTCGGCATATTCATTGATTCGTCAGAATAAATTATTTTTATATTGGAACCCTAAAAATAACCCATAATTTCAAAACTCATTTTTCTAAGCACATAAGCAGTATTTGATGTTTTGTTTTCCGATTTGTAATTGAACCGCCCATCAGCCGAATTACTTCGTCGCCAAAATGGATTCGCTAGTTTCACAGAATCGGATAGCCATTCATTTGTCAACGCTGATCGTCGTGTGATGCGTCTCAGCGGACTTTCGATATTCGAAGATGAAAGAACATTCTGAAAATGTGAAATAATTTTCTAAAAATTTGGCTGAAAATGAACAGTTGGATCGTCGAATGCGTTCCTCAGCGGAAGACATTTCCCAACATTACTTCCATCGCCTTGAAAATATTGCAAGTTATTAACGAATTGGTTATCGCATGCTGAATTTGATTTCATGAAACATTATTTCAGATAATCTTACTACCAGAATCGTTTCTTGGAATCGAAAATCGATACTTTAACAATGATGGCGCGTTTTCGAGAACTTCGTGTGTTTTCTCTCGAAAAGCATGCTTGTAATCCGATTGACCTTCTATGTATGTACGACAGTCTTCTGTTGTATTTAAAAATTGGCATATATCATTTAAAAAATGTATATACGAGTTTTGAAAAATTTTTGAACATTGATTTCTGCAGCCTTCTCAACATCATATTCTAAATCGAATACATCGTCCGACAGATTATTATTATTATACTCCATTTCTAAAAATCAAAAAAATTGAAAGCAACCAATCGAAATTCAAGAGAAAGCGTAAAATTCGATAATAATGCATACCGAATACAGTGTTTTAAATGTACAGTAACAATTAAAGGAGCAGGCAAATTTTAGTAAACCAGTCTCACAGCTCCAAGTTGGTCGTATGCCTAATTTTCAACTTTAAAGTCAATTTTTTTGCATATTTCTTTCTCTTCAAAGTGCTAAAATTTATTTGTTAGGAAAAATATGAAGAAAAAAACAATTAATTTACAAGAAAGCTGATCACAGATTGACACCGGTGTATTTGAAAAAGTAGTGCCTATAACAGATGAAATGTTAATAAATAACTGTAATAGAAAGCAGGCAAAAACGGGAAATGTTGTTCATCAGAAATGGAAACTAGCGGTCTAATTAAGCGAGAATTTCTTATGACAACGGCAATATTTTGTTGAGCGCTTTTTCTCGATCTCCGTTTTCAGTGCGAACGCATTCGAACACGTGCATTTTGGCAAAACCCATCAGGAGTAATTGAGCACAACTTTCCGAATAATTGAGAATATCCTAAATTCCCATTCATATTTTTTTACAAGATTTCTTTTTACCAACCTGTTTCTCTTTAAGATCACAGCTTACGAGAAAATCTGCAGCTTCGCTGATACTCGCTTTTCCCGATTTTTCAATTGTTCGACAACCTTTCATATAATATTCTATCTGAAAACTCATAATATTTTGTTTGTAACAGCTTTTATAAGAAATTACATGGACATGTCGCTTTTTAGGTATTTTATTCATGCAAATATCAATAATATCTGTTCGAAATCCTTTTGTGATTAGTCGTTGTTTCAATCCGGAATCCTTCGGTACATGCGTAGGAACTGTAAAAATAAAAATATTTATAAAAAAACAATTTGCTGATTGTAAATAAATCGGTTTCATATTTATAAATAATAAACAAGTTATTCTCTTTCACTAATAAACAAAAAAATGTTTAAAATGAGAAAGTAAACAAATATTTATTCTCCCTATTACGAAAAAAAAAACAAAATTTTATATTTCAATTTTTTTTAACATTGACAAACTGAGCATTTTTATATATTATTTAAAAATCGGTTTTTATCTTTATTGTGTTCCCCCACGGCGCACCGAAACCTTTCCTCGAACTTTTTTTTCAGCATTAGCCAATTTTCCGAAATCACGTGACGCCAACAATATATAATTTCTATTCGAATTCCTTCAGCGTAATTATAGACTTCATTTAATACATACCTACTGGCTCAAGGCTAATACTTCTCGGCAGAGGCACTGGAGGTTTGACGATTTTATTCTCATTATTGTTATTCACCGAATTACTCATTACTGATGAGCTTGATTGTGAGCAGCTCATGAGAATCTGGAATATCAATTTCAAAAAGGAAATCAGAAGAATTCCAGATGCCTGGTGTAAAGCGGCTTTGTCATCCAAAGCCAATAATTCAACGTCGTCAAACACACTGTTCTGCGTCTCGAATTCGATCATCGAATGAGTTTTTTCGCTTCGAGATTCGTTCGATGACTTTGTCGGTATTAGATTTGGATCACTTCGAACTGTCGTAACCGGGCAAGGCACAAGAACTTCCTGACAATGAGGATTTCCATAGAAAATTGTTTAGCAAGTATCCATACTTGTGGTAGTCCATTCAAATATGTCTCGGGCTTTCGCGGATTCAAATCGGGCGTATTCACATAACTCGTTTGCACAGGCTGCGACGGAGATTCATAGAATGTTTTGAATTGTTCACATGCTCGTTTTTCGGCTTCGAATGAGTACTGAACAAATTTGGTTCTCATAACGTGGTTGTAACAAATTTTACACTCAAATGAAAGTGAAAAAATTGATTTTTCCTCTTTTTAAACAAAAACAATGGGAAATCTAAGGAACATGCTACTAAATAAAATCTAAAGAACATTCTACTAAATTCATTTTCTTTGAACTATCCATACTTTTTAAAAAAGCGGAGTATTTACCTCACCGCGTATTAACAAAATTCGAATTAAAAAATTTGATAATTAAGGTTTTTTTTTTCAAAATATACAAACCTTGGTGTCAGTAAGAACTAGTCTGTGTGGTATCTCAACATTTTTTAGTGTTATATTGGGAGTTGGAAAAAAACTGCGCCCTATATTCAGTGGTATGTCTTGAATGTAGTCTGAAACAAGAAGTTTGATTAATTTATAAATAATTAATACGAAAAATAATCATCATACCATGAAAAACATCTTTGTAACTCATTGAGCAGCCGATGATCTGAAAAAAACTTAAATTACGCAATATTCTGCAGCGTAATGTTTAATGAAATATTCAACGATAATGCGTGCGACCGGTTTGCCGCGAAACGCGCCGCAGTTGTAATGTAGGCGGGGCTTGGCTATTTACGACAGCTGACCGGAGCTGTAGCGGTTCTAATAATTTATTTTTTCTTAATAATTGTTTTATTTTAAAGGTAATTTTTATTTAGCATATTATATTTAAATGTTTGAAATTTAGATTTAATAATTTAATCCATGGGATTACTCATATTTGATGGGACAAGTGTAATTTATGTAGCAACTTTATTAGTTATGGTGAGCAATCGTTTTAATTTCCAGTTTTTCTCACATACTCAATTTAGATAATAATATGGATGGTAATATTTGTTCAAAGGCAAATTTTTAGGCATCGAAACAACGCGGCACGTGTTCGCCCATCGGTTTGTCGCATCTTTTCATTTCATGCAAAAAAAATGGTTCAAGGTCTCTCTCAAATCACGAATATCGAGTAATAAAGCAGTTCAACGGCGCGAAGCTCAGCTTGAAAATGTGATGAGATTGCGGAGCGAGAATCAAGCTCGTCTCACCGACTGTATCGCCCTCCAATTCCGTCAGTATTGTGATCCTTCACCGCATGAAATGTACAAATTATGCGCTAAAATGTTTGAAACCCTTTGACTAACTCGTTATATATGTGTATATGTTTGTTACTTGTTTGCTTGTTGACCTGCATGCCGCTTCATAAAAAATAGAGATGGTTTTAAAACATGAGCCTCATTGATTTTTAGATAGCGAAACACCATATGTTCATCGGATGATAGCTGTAGACGATGTGACACTCGAAATAGGTAATAATTATTAAATAAAAAGACTAATTAAATGTTTACAGATGTGCAACTTCAGCGGATAGATGGCGCAGTTCACAGAGAACCTGGTGAATCAACATATTCATATCTAACAAGGTATACTATTTTTCAATTTACCGACTATTTTATTCGTCCGACTCACTATTTCAACACTTTTTTTTCTGTCGAGAACAAAACTTAAAATTGAAATTAACATAAAATGAATTTCTTAAAAAAATGCCTTGTGCGAAACGCAAAAGAGAAAGCAACATTCATGAAACAAAGAATTTATTTGACCTGATAATTATTACACGTGATAAACCTTCCTATTATCATTGAATGGCCACAGGAAATTTGTTGGTGCTCGTCGAGCACATTGATAACGAAACTGTGCTAGCCGTCTTAGATGATTCATCGATGCGATCACAATATCATATATGTATACTATAAGCATTTGCAGGATTCGCCAAAAAGTGCCTTCAATCCCGTTGAACGTCATCCAACGGGTTTCATTTCTTCAAGAAGCTGCCCGTTATCGACCAGAGGTAACTGAGAAAACTATCGAAAATTCATTTAAAAAATTGAAATTTAGAAATTTGAAAAAGCACATTTAACTGAGCTTCAGCTGTTGCTCAAAGAAATTCTCAAGATTTTGTCTGCCGAATATACATCACTGCAGACGTTTGCCGAAGGCGGACAAAGTCCGCGCGGTGTCGTTGCTTCGGTTTATCAGAAAATCATGCCGAGCAATGTGAACGCGAAACGAAGGAGGAATAAGCTTGGAGGAAGTGATGGTAAGCAGTTTTGTTGTTTTTTTTCGGATTAGTTTTTTTTAAGAAAAGAAAGAATATAGTTAATACAATTGTCGGCGTCTAATTACTGAATGAAATTTAAAAAAAAAACATTACCCGCTCGTAAAAATAAAGTCTCCGCCTTCCTTCAGACGTTTGACGCCGACAATTGTTTAATGACATTATTTAATTTCGCTTTTCCTCAAGAAAAGAAAAATGTTGCCTAAAATTGTATGATTTTGGAAGAAATTTTCAAATTTCTATATATAAATTTTTTCCTTAATTCAAAATTCATTTCGGTGCATTCTTAGTTTTTGTTGCACAATCTTTTAAATTTGTGGGGAAACGACAGTAATTCTTTATGGTGTCTTTTTGTATACGAAGCATGCAGCTTAAATTATTAGATTATACATTTAATTTTAAAATGTTACATTTTCGACTCATGAATGACATTTTGCATTGTTTATTGGAAAAACTCTATGTTTTTTTTCGTTGGTCGATTAACCCCAATAAATGTGCAATTTTGATCCGGAAATGACGCCATTTCATATTTTTGTTTGGTCCACAAAATTCCAATAAAAATAGAAATTTTTGTGCGAACAGGTGATTATAACGTTATGATTTGTGTTAGCTATTCATGTATAGTTAGTTATAAAACGTTCATTCAGTTTTTCTTTCTTTTTGTTTGAAATTCTTTTAAATTCAGGATTCAGTTGTGTATTTGTTTATTTATAAGCTTCAGTTATATTTTCACAAATATTCTCCACATTATTATTTTTTGAATGCAACCCATATCGGATGACCAAAACAGATTAAAGATTTTCACAAAAATAATGACTATATTCTAAAAACAATTAAAAAGGGATCGAAGATCAAATTAAAGGAACTTGAGAAAGAAATTTCTTGTCAATTTTAGTTCCTTTTGTTCGACTTGTGTTGATCTAATCGCACTTCGTTAATTGCAGGAGCCCGTCTTCTTCTATCTAAGGAAGCTCAGGAGCAAGTGAGTCTCCTATCTCCGCTTACATCTGCGGACGGCTCTCCGGTTGGCCGCCTACGTCGACAATCCGAATCGCATTGTACTCTGCTACCGTAACCGCTTGACTGCTTTCATTAATAATCAATTAATATATTGTTTCTTTTTTCTCACCACGACGGGTCCTACCACGACGGTGTTTTTAGATTCATCGATCGCCACTTCGTCAACGATTGATCATATTTGCTGTGATAATTTCTAAATCATGTACATCTGCATTGTCAATTCGATTTTCTTCTATTTCATTTTTTTTGCCAAAGACATGATTCTTATTGATTTATTACGGTTTATTGCGTTTTTCATCGGTTTCCAACCGTTTCAATACTTTATTCTCGTTTTCTCGTTCGCATTGATTGACGATTTTTAAGGGTTCGAAACCGGCGGTATGCGATTTGTACTGCTGGTTGTCGGTTTTTGTTGTGTTTGGGCTCAGCAGGTGAAAAACGGACTACGGTATAATAATTATACTGAAAAGCCAGGTATTATTGTTGTTGTCGTTTTCGGGCTTGTTAGTGATCCCACCGACAGGTGGGAATTGTGCGGATTTGCGGGCATGTGCGTGCGTTTTGTTGTTTCGCCTTGATTCGGTTACCAAATGACGAAAAGCACGTGCATACCAGAGCTGTGCGGCAATGGAATTGCCGATTGCCGCACAGCCCTGGTGCATACCCGCCCCCAATGTCCCCCAATTAAAAAAGCGAAAGCTAATTTATTATTAACTACCGAAGAGTTGATCAATTTTATTAGCTCCTCCATCCACAATATGTTCTTTTAAATGGATTTTTAAAAATCTTCTAGGTATTCATGATTTAATCCTGAAAACAATGACGAACACGGCGAATTATTTGGGATTCGGCAGAAAATGCCGAAATGGTGGAAAATTGACCGAAGCGAATTATTGTAAATGCCCACAATTTTATAAGGTATCATCAAGTTATAAGAAATAAAAAAATGTCTAAAATAATAGGGCGAAGAATGCGAAACGAAAATTTGTTTGAATGGAGGCGTCTTGGAAAAAGTGGTGAAGCCCGTTCGTCAAGTTTGCAAGTAAGTCACTAATATATTATATAAATTAACTAAAAAATTTGGAATTTATAATTCTTCACTGCAAATTGGATACTATACATTCAAATTTTCCGTTTTTTTGCAATTATTGGCCTGGATTAACACATCCGCATAGGCGGCAAGGATAAATTCTTAAAACACTTCAATATTTATTTGATGCTGACGAATGAACAAATATGAATGCATTAATTTTGTGTGACCAATTAAAAGAGGGCTCGCCCAATGCAAATTTGTCAAAGTCGTCAACCCATGCCGATACATCATTATGAGTAATGCTGACTCGAATCAAGCTCCTTATTTTTTTGCAGATGTACTGCGTTTACACTGTTGTTAAATTGGCTTTTCAAATATTGAATAATTAAATGAGAAAAACAAAAACATATACGTATCTGTTTGAATATTTGCAGTTGCCCGAATAGCACTTATATTCACGGTGAGCATTGCGAAAAACCGACGTGTGCGAACAACGGAATTCTGAGAGTTTATTCGAATAAGACGTTCGAATGTGATTGCTCGAAATTGCGATTCTACGAAGGCCGATTTTGCGAGGTAAACATCGTTCAAACGTGTCAGAACACTTAAAATTGGCAACATTCGTTGATGCCTTTTTCCTTACTCATCAGTTTTTCTGATAACCAATCAGTTTTTGGATTCGAGCATTGTTTGTGGTTCAAACTAGTTTTTGAACTTACTTTTAATTTTGCTATGTTGAAAATATTGGAAATTCGAAATTTTGAATTTATTTTTTAAACGTTATCCATAAAATTATTTTTTTTAAATAATGGAATAATATTTCCGTCTTGACCCTTTTCAGTTTTTTTTTGAGCAAATTGTTCTTTTTGGCGAAATGTGTCATTTTTCGAGCATTTTTCTTTTCATATTTTATAAATTGCATTGTTCTTAATGATTACGATGAAACCATGAGTGGATAATCATTATTTTTTTGAAGAACGCACTTAGTTTCAGAAGACGATGATTCCGACGAGCACGATCTTCATAGCGCTCTTCTTCTTCACTATAATCCTTGTCGCATGTGTTTGTCAGATGAATTTATGCAAGAAACGAACGCATCCGCGAATTCCGGTGTCGAGAACTGTGGAGCAGGAGAGACGACGAAGAGTATTCTATTGGAGTTTCCTTTCGGCAATCTAGTTGTTCCATATTTAGCGTCTCCGACAGCTGCAACGCGCTCAGCAGGACATCGACGGATTATTAACATTGGATCATGGGGTGGTGCGAAGAGCTGCTGCGTATCCGCAAGGCATTGTGCAGCCATATGTGGTTAGACTTGACACAGTTCCGGTATTCAATCCGGATATGATAGGTTCGTTCTTTTTTTTTTTGATCAGCTGAAAATTATACTCGAAATATACGAACAACAGAGCCTTTATTTCGACAGAATAATTTATTTTCGCAATTTCTAATTATGGCGTAAATAAGAAGGAAATCTTTGTTGTTTTAAACGTCAAATTGAATTTCGTCGAGTTTTTTTGTGCTAAACAATCGAGTTAGTCGACGAATAGATTTAATTAAAAATTTTATTCCGAGTTTGAAAGTCGTTTCTCTTTTTTTGGGATTTTTCGAAATTTATTCACGGTTCTGGTCATCATAGAAAACATAATTCGGGAGTATTGTGCAAAATGAAAACTTTCAGGCGGTGTCGAGCCAACATGCCAAAACATCTTAGGGCAGAACCCAGTCGAACCGCCTCCATCATACAATCAAGCAATCACCGCGCCAAGAATAGCACCGCCCGCGTACACGCCAATCGATATGACGAACGCGAAACCCGACGAATAATAATGTATTTAGTTTTATCTACACATTCCAGCCAGCAGTCAGCATAATCTACTTATTATGTGATGCTCACAAATCAAAAACAAGCGATTCCTTTAAATTCCAAAGAATATCTCAAAAATCTAGTTTTCAACGAAATATTGCAATTTCCATATGCCCGGGTTGCCACAGCTAAACATTGCAGCAAAATTTACAACACAACAATGGGCTTTCATCTCATTCAGTTGTTTCGCTCTGTCTGTTCCATTTCCTTCCGAATTATATTCCATATCGCTAGTTGACCTCATCGCTGCCTGACTGATGAATCTCAGGATTTGTTTCTTTTCTTTTTTTTTCTCAAACGCTTTCATTTTTCATTAAACTAAACTTTATGATATATATATTTAACAATAATAATTAGCAATAAATTATATTACACGAAATATGAAACAGAACCCAAAAGAACCCGAAAGTCGCACAGATAAATACTTGAACAGGAAAAATGAAATAGATTTCAAACTTTTAAACCATCATCGTTTTTCGTCTTCACGGTATTATTCGAAGTTACGGTCGATTCTGCAACGCGTGGTGGTACTGTAGCATTGGTTACGGTAGTGGTTACTGTGACAATAGTAGAAGTATTGAAACCGGTGGCCGCTTTTTCAGTCTCCTCGACCTTTTTGTTGAGCTTCTCAACAATTTTGCCTTGTTTCTCGATGAGTTCCTGTTGAAGTTGCTGCTGCTCCTTCATTTCAACGAGCATTCGAACGGCTTCCGAATCATTGCCTTTTGCAGCTAATTCCGATATATCGTCAAGTTTCTAAAGTAAACGATTATTACTACATACAGGGATCACGTGATTGGTGAAAAGAAAAAAAAAAACGCCAAGCCAATTTTTTGGCTTTCTCCCCAATTTTTTTTCAAGACTTTGAATGAAAAATTTTAATTTTTTTTTCAGGAACTGATTATATTTTCCAAATATGGTGAACATTCGTCTTTAAATTGTTTAATGTAATATTTCACAAAAACCTTTCAATTATTTTGACAAAAATTTTCTCTTTTTTCTTACTCGAAATAAAATGATGAATATGGCAAATGTTCTCGAGCTACTAGCAAACAACCATATTAATTTTACACTATATTTCTGTTGTTCAATTGAAATCACAAAATACCGCGGAAATATTCAAATTCGCGTCGAGAACTTGTTCTTCAAGAATTTCCAGCGATTTCAGGAACGGTTTATCTTCCGACGAATCCTCTTTGGCTTTTGGCTGAAAGGTGAAATAATATAATAGAGAATTGAATGTTTTTCTTAGATACCTTTTCAACAACTGATGTTTTATTTTCAGCTGACAAGATTGCACATGTGCTCGCCACCAAAATGAAGAGCCCCACAATCAAGCATAACTAAAATTTTCCGAAATTTTTAAAAATCTACATTTCAATTTTTCGTTGTTAAGAAAGCGAACCTTGGCATTCAATGTCGAAGTTTCAGATTTTCTTGCTCGATTTGTCTCGTGCGCATTCATTCCGATAAACATCAGCGAAGGGAGAATCGTCGAGACAAAGCTTCCAATGAATGCTCCAGTCAATCCGAGAATGAATTCCACTGAAATTAGTCATTTGGTGGAAGTATACAAATATCGGACGGCTACCATTTGGAACCATGATAGCCAAAACTGTATTGCACACCAAAATGACCGCAGTTAAAATGTGAAACGTCGATTTTTCGAGATGAAGTTGATTGTCGGATTTCTGCAGAACGAGACAGAACAGCGCAGTTCTTGCCGGGAACAGCATCAAAGGAATCGAAACAGCGATCGAGAGGAGAAACGCAATTTTAAGCGATTGGGTGACGAATGTGGGCGCAAATTGCACCAAAACGTCACCATGAAGCTCTTTCGAATAAAATGCCACATAGCCGAAAACGCCTACAGCAGCATACCTAGAAAATGTGGAATTAAAAATATAAACATATGAATTTTTGAATAAAATTTAATAAATTAATCATATTTCGGTGTCATTCTATCAATAGATCACCATCGTAAAAGAAAACGAGCAAACTGAGTATTTCTGTACTATCGTTTTCTGGCGGTAATTCAAATTTCTATTCAAACAGTAACCAGCGAATCAAACTCGCCGAAAATCTCATAGCTCAAAAATTTTTTAAACAATGATAACTGAATATTTTTAACAGAAAAAGTTGGAAAACTTTCGAATTTTCAACAGTGAAAAATATAATCAAAATTCGAAAGAATAATAAGGTTTCTCGTTTCCCTTAAGGAAGATTTTTCACTTCTCACTCGGATTCATAGAAAATACTCACATGGCCGCACAAATGTTAATCGATTGAGACGCTACAGTGTCCACGCGTTCAACAGAAGCTTTTCGAATACAAGAGATTACCGGGAACAGTTGAGTTTGGCAGCACATGGCCATGCAAACTATTGGCAGGCTTAAAACACATAACTGATCTTGAAATTTATGGAATGCAAACCATGTAAGGAATCCTTGAGGCCTCCACCACACAACGTGAATGCTCCATTCGCCTTCATAAATTGTCGGAAGAGATTCAAGAACCTTAAACAAAAACTATTTCAGACGGCTTGTTTCGTTAATTGTGTACCATTCTGACGACAAATGACGCATAAAACAAACAAGCTAACGAGCTGATCACTGAGAATTTCTTCAAATCATCGATAATCGACAATGGCAGAATAATGAAAATGACAACGAACAGCTGAAAATCTACAAATTTGGAACATCCATTATCGGTAGTTCAACTGCTACCATTACAAGAATTCGAAGACGCTGAGTTGGTGCTTCAAGTTCAAGATATTCAGCGGCAACATGCGGTCCAATATCACCAATAACCACAATAAAAGCGACGATGGAAGAGACCAAATAGGAAAGAAGACATAACTCAACAAAACGACGGCCAGCGGAGCCGAGAGTCGCAAGGGCCAAACTTTCGTAAGAAGCCGATCTGAAATTGATATAAGGCAATTGTTCAAATCGAATATTTTATACTTTGTGTTAAAAGCGGATGTAGCAAGAAAATGGCAGGTCAATTTCGTAATTACGGCACACAGAGCGATCATTAATGATGCTAATAGGATTCCGCACTGCAATTAATGACTGATTACATATAATTTCAAAAAAAAAAAATACACTGAACGTCATAATGATGGGCCACCTCCCGAAAAAAAGCTATAAGAGTTGATAGTAAAATTATTCAAATTTCGAAATTGAATTGTGAACCTCACAAGTTTGGTCATTTTGCATACTGATTCGATATTCTATCAATTAAAATTGTTTTTATTAAAAATTGCGTCTTTTCGTGGAAAACTACAGAGCAACCAAATTGTCTGCAAAAATTGTATCTACGGATCGAAAGGAACGTAGGGCATTCGGTTTCGAACTGTCTCAAATCTACATAAGATGTGAAGTGCGTACCGATGCTAACCGAGATCTCTGGAAAAATCCCACTCAATTCCCTTGTCGTAACTTTGGAGGAGAAAGTGCGATGGTTTTGGGGAGCATTCTGTTGCAACAAAACGATCTGAAGATTGTGACATGCCGCATGAACGCTATCGACTACCAGCAAGTGCTCACTTCGAGCGTGGCATCGCAGAAAATCTCCACTCAATTCAACAAAACAATGCTACCTCATACAACACCACCAGCAATTGATTTTCATCTAAGAAAATTAAACTTTCATTCCTCTTTCGAGAAACTCACCGACAGCATGCAAAACTATTGAGGGACTACTAATTATTCATTTTTTGTTTTAATGGGCGAAAACTGGCTCTCTTAGGTTACTCACATTCACATTTACAATTTCTTACGTTTTAGTTCTTAAATAAAACGTTATTTTCGAAAATAAAGAATGCGACCTCGTTTCAAGCCTAGCGTTAAAAGGAATGAATTTAATTGAGAGTTTAAAATTAGATAATGAAGAAATTATTATACTAAAAAAGTGGAAACATCTACGATGGGGATGGCTAAAAAATGCGAAAAAGGGAAAGTACGGAGGCTATCATTATGACGCTCACTGTATATAACAACCTGCTGAAATACATATGGCATTGCTAGCACAGAAACTCCAATAATGCAATTGGCCAGGTTGAAAACGTGAGGCCACGGCGAAAAGTCCGAATCATCTGATTTTTCGTTCAAATCATCGTCCGATCGATCTAAAACCAGAATTACGGAAAGAAATTAAAAAAAAAAAGGTTTTCGATAAAAAAATATTGTTTTGGTTTAAAATAGAATTTCAATAATCATGGTCAAAACGCACCATCAATGAAAACCGATGACGAAATCGATTTTCTATTCAATAGCCCTTCCTCATCTTCTTTCTCTCTGATTTTCATGCCTTCAATTTCAATTAAATGCTACATTTTACTCAATATCTAAAGTATTTGCAAGGTGTTAGAACCAAACAAAGCAATTTAAATGTTAATTATTTCAAACATAATAATGAAATATTTATGCAATTAGGAAAACCTCGTAATACGCAATAATAGGTACAAAGTTGATGAGTTTACCCGAAATGGGCAAGGCTATATAAATATGTACAAACTGGCAAACTATCAAAAATTATTACGGCTTCTGCGTAGCAACTTGCAAATTTTCAAAATATCGCAGATATTGCTGAATAATTTCCTCAATATCTCGTTTGTACAAAACATTCGAGAGTGATTCGCGAACCTGAAATCGGTTTCAATTTTTTCAAAGAATACAATTGAAAAGAAATGTACGTTTTTGAGTATCGCTTCTGCTTTTAAGCGAGCAAGTTTCTCATCAAAATCGTCGTCTCCATATTTCGACATCTTTTTTCGATCAACTAAGCTTTTCCAGTCAATCATTATGGCTTTGAAAGCATCGAATCCAGCGAAATCGCAGTCATTCAGTGCCCACTCGATGAGAATATTTGTGAAACCAAAACGATCGCGACATTTCAAAACTTTCTGAAATAATTGAAAAAATAACAGAAACATGTTGAAAATGTTACCTTCATTTCAGACCACAACTTCAATGTGTGATACTGATAATTTATGTACATTAGATCAACGACAAGCGAGGGAATCGAAACGGGAAGGATCTCGCAGAGTTCCGACAAATGGGAGAACCTCGACCATCCTGTCACAAAGATCCCGTGAACCTTCTGGCCAGCCTTCTCATGGATGTCCAGCAGATCCACATAACTTCGATGATTCTCCAAATACACCGAAATGTTAGAAAACATTTGATTTGCGCCGTTTGCGCCTTTAAAGGCACTTGCTACATAAAATTTGTCGAACGCTTGATCGATTCGATCAAAAAGTCCCGGTGGGAAATATCCTTCGACGGTTACATCGGCGGCGTATCCCCAAACAACTAAAACTATTAAATTTACCAAAAAAAATGAAAATTCAAATATAAACCGGGAGTTATAAATTTTTGAATTCCCGACTCGAGAATGACATCAACCGGCTCCTTATCAAACATGTCATTCCACGCGAAAACTGTTTCGAATCCAAAGTCTTTCGCCATTTTGCCGATTCTCGAAATATGATCAAGTTTGATTTTGGATTTCGTCAACGATTTCTGTTCCATTCGATTCAGACATCTAAAATGATATTATCGCTGTGAGTTTTCGAATTTTTTATTTACCTGACATCTTCCGCAATATGATAAGCTTCGTCAGATCCGATGTGAATTCTTGTTGAATTCGGATGAAGCTCGCGAATCTGATTCATCATCGTTTCAACGAATTCGATAGCTTTCACTTCCGAAGCACATATCGTATTCAGCTGAAAGCAATTATTCAAATTTAAATTATTAAAATTTTACTACAAACATCAACTGGGCTCTCGCTAAGATATCGGAATTTCGGCTTTTTCAGTACAAATTCAAGATGCCCAAAAGTTTGAATAAGCGGAATCACTTCGAGATTATTGCGAGCAGCAGCCTAAAATTTCTCGTTAATTCAAAAAAATTAAATGATCCAATACCAACCTCATTGATCCTTCGAATATCCTCTTTCGTATAATGAACATTTCGTCGAATCGATCGAATCTTTCCGGAAAATGGAAACATATCTTCATATTCGATAAGAACACCATCGACATATTGAGTAGCGAGCAGTTCGAAAAATGATTCGAGGTATTCAACAAGCGGTGGAGCACCTTTCAGGTCAATATGTACAATTACCTGAAATACGTTTAACAAAATTATTAAAAGTGTAAATGTTTAGTCGTAAAATGTTCTCTGCGGTGACTAATAGCATAATGATAACGCGAATTAGTCAAAGACTACAATCCAGGCAATGATGTGAGTTTATAGGTTCCTCATTATCTATTCTACTATAATGCGGCGAATATTTCTAGAGTTTAATTAGAAAAATATAACTACTTAAGCTTATTAAAAATAAAAATAAAAACCTCTCGGAATCTTCTCGTCTCTTTCGGCGACAAATTTCCAACAATTTCCATTCGCGTCGACGAATACTCATCTCTTCCAAAAACGACGAATATCCATACAAATACCAATGCAAATACTATGCAAAGTTTCACATAAAGCTGTTGCATCAGGTTACCATAAATGGCCGGTCTAATAGTTTGAAGTAATGAATTACAAATATTAACACAACGCAAAAATACATAAATGGTTCGAGACCAAATAAACGATGGGACGGAATTAAATTCAAAATCAGACAAATATCTTATTTAACTTTATATCACATGAACGATGGGTTCCCGTAGACAACAATTCCTATTATTTACAGATAAAATACATAATTATGCTTTAAAACTATATAATTATGAAGATTGAAATATCCGCAAAAATAACTTAATGAGTAATCTAGCCAAAAAGAGTGTCTGAAAAGACTGTTGCTAATGCTGAAACATCTCAATTCTAATCGAACAATTTCACAATTTTCTTCGTTATTCTATTCGATGCTCGTGACGACTCATCCTTGGACATTGCCGAGCTCTCTGTGTGCGCCGACAGCACTCGGATCTGTTTTCCGGCGGTCCTATTGAAGTACAGCACTTCGCTACCCGGTATGACTGTGTCCGAGTTCAAAAGCTGCAAATGAGTGTGATTGATAACACATTAGTGAATTTTTTTAATCATCATAACTATATGTGTAAACATACATTTTGTTGACATTCGTAAATGGAAATCGTCGGGAATGGAAGGAATCCCGCCACGACTGGGATCACACTCAACGCCAATTGGCCGAGTCCCGATTCTTTTACCGCAACAACTGAAATCGATTAACTGATTCATTAGGAAACAACTCGTACGAAACCTTTGGTTCGTTCTGTCAATGTCCAAATACGTTCATCAGCATCCAAAACTACTAACAGATTACACGGCATATCTTTCAAACATCTGAAAATTGAAATTAACTTACTACATATTTCAATCACAAAACGAACCTTATTGAAATGACAAAATGGCAAGGAGACATAGCTCGACACAACTGAGCACCTGGTTGCTGAGACAAAATTTGAGTGCAAATCTCAAAATTAATCTGAAACTAATCTGCTCATGTTCAACCGAACAACAATAAAATATCGAACCTCCGGAACTGACAACTCAACTTCATCAGAGAATTTGTAAACAAATTTGCGAACGGCATCCAATTCTTTTTCGTCAAAATCATTCACAAACTGAAAAAAAACTGACTAAATTTAAAAATTTGGTATTTTTGATCGAACCAAAGATGAATCCACGGTATAATCTGCATTGAGCTTATGCTTTACGGATGATCCTTTGATAGGAAGCTTCCAAATCAGATTGACAATACTCAAATGATCACAATCCTAGAGTAAAATATTTAAGGCAATTAAAAATAAATAGTTTACAATTGGAAATTTGGTGATAGATTCCGCCTGAAAACCCTCTCCGTTTGCATCGATCGCTTCGAGTTTCGTTTCTGTTATTTTTGCCGAATAATCAGCTCCAGCAGTTCGATTCACTTCAACTTCAAGAAGAACACTGAAATAAACGAATGTTGAAATTAAAAAATTAATTTGGACAAACTCGGTAGTCATCATCGAAGTTCGACTAGTAATCACCATAAGAGGTACAAAGTTAATCTGAAGACTATAGCGACGATCCATCCATTCGAGCATTATCTGAAAATTTTGTTGCGAAAAAATGATGAATGAGAATATAACTATTTTAATAAAATGATTCTCTAAAAGATTCAATTCGATCATTTTCGGTTTATTTGAACGACTCGCCGTTCAAATACGAATTTAGAAATTTCAAGATTCTAGATTTTAGTAAAAGCAGTCAAAGCCAAAACACTGCTCAACTGAATATCACAAATCATTCTCTATTAAGTAAGCTTTCGTATCTTTTGTCTTGGCGCAAATATAAGTTGCATAACGATAGGTTAAAGGCGCACACCGCGCACTAAGACCTCTCCACTAATTTCTTTAACATCGACAATATGAAGCAATTGCTTGTTGACCGCTCACGGCGATTCAACAACTACTCTTCCCAACTGTTGCCTGTTAATGATTCGATTTCTTCGACACCGCGTCATTTGATCTCGGCTACTCCTAACTATACAGCACCAAACAACCAATATTCCACGTTTTTTGCAAGCTGATAACATTTCAATATGGTTAGCATTATCTATGCGACGCATAAAGTTACGTTGATAATCAATGCAAAAGGGAGGTGGAGTCGATTTTAGAAGTGGTGTGATAGTTAATCAAATTCCTATAAAAGGAATCCGCACAACTCATATTCGAATAATGTTGACTGTCGTGCTCGCTTCAGCGATCCTCGCCACTGCCTACGCCGCTCCCATCGAAAACCTTCAAGACTGTCCATTCCCCAATGGAACCGACAAGGCGATTCACTCGTTCATGTGCGCTGAAGGAGAGCAGTTCACGATCACCGACATTCAAACCTATGATATGAATGGCAATCCGCTGTATCCAATCGATCCTCGCCAGGAGTTCATCCTCAATCTTACCACATACAATCACGGTCAGCAGATCGACGACAACAAAGTGAACGTGAAAATCTACCAATACAAGTCGGGATGGACCGGAGGATGTACATGGACTCAAGTGCCGACATTCGGATTGCTCAACGGAATCGATGGGTGTGACTTTGCGCATAACTGCCCACTCACTCACGGACCACTCTTCCTCATCCTCCCAATGGATCTAAGTCAGTTCTCCGCAATCATCAACGTTCTCGCCGCTTATGTAAGTAACCAAGCCTATTTAATTATTCAAACAATGCCAATTATAATTCCAGAAGCCATATCAATTGGAAATTCGTATGTTCAACTACAATGCTGGATCATCTCATGAGGAAATCGCGTGCGTCATGGCTCAAGTTGAGCTCTCTTAAATTAACAAGGAAAACTCCAAAAAAAATCGCCGGTTATTCCACATAATAATTTGCATCTCGATCAGGAGCGTTGTACATTTTTCACGTAATAAAAATCTCTTATTAGCTGCATAGATAATGCGAGAGACTTACGGTTTTACGCTGTACGGCGGCAGACTCGCAAATCGATGAGTATATTTGAAGAACTAGGAATACGGAAATTCGCTGCTTCTCTCCAGATTTCATTTTTGGAATATCAAAAGAAATATTCGAATGTAATTCCATTGATTGGCGGTCCTGGAAAAGAATTACTTCGTTTCGAAAAATTTGTAGATTAGATTTTTTTAAACCAAAAACTGTAGATGTGGAGGACTGGGCAGGAATTGAAGGTTCGTCTCGCTGAGAATGTCATTCTTCGCCTCGATCTCAACTTCCACTTTCTGCACAACACCGGCCAGAAATGCTGAATATGACGATGGCATTTTATTGAAGGAAATTTTGTTAATTTACGTTGTGTGTCGTTTATAACGGATATCGAATGTGGAGTCGAAATACAAATGAGGATTGGAGGTGATCTTGACGAAATATTCGAAGACTCGTGTCTCAAACAACCATTATCGGAAATTATTGAGACCTTCTCAAGTACGAAACATCCCATCACATTGATATCGGTGGAGAATTTCTGAAATTCAAAGAAACACCTCATATTAATTCAAGTTTCAGCTCGAGACTAAATATTGAAATTTTAAGACGCTTACAATATTATTCTCTCCTGGCTGAATGTCAAAATTCGCCGCCAATTCAAATTTTGTTGATTTCTCGTCGCGATTTTCGTCAACACTTGGCTGTTTCTTAATTTTGAATTCCGAGACCAATCGACACACATTTTCTCTGCTCTAAAATACGATTGTCGTCAGAATCATTTCAATATTCCTTCTTACATCATGTTGCAGCGAGAGAACGGACAATTTGTTCGAATGGCCTATATTTGCGTTTGGCGAAGAATCGAAATGGAGCACAACACGTGAATTGCTCAAAACAAATCCAAGTTGTGAGACAATTTTCAACGTCATTTCAACATTCGATCCGATTGTTTGAATCGATTGAAAACGGGAGATTTCGATTAGAAATAGCTCTTTGTGCCAAATTTGGTCCCATCTGGAACAAAGCGATTCCAATTAGCAATATAGTAACTATTCCACTAACTTGACAACTTTATTCTGGCATTTTTTGAAGAATAGTTCTTTCATCGCCTCGTCGCCGCCATTTTCACATTGGATAATAAAGAAAATCAGGCCGATTCTAAAAATAAGCCGAATTTAAATAAAAAACTATTCGGATATTCCTACAATTCCTCTTCTGAGTGATGCGATTCGTGAAAGTACTCATCGCCGCAAAGCGATTTGAAGAAAAGAGCGGTGATCAAATGACAGGGGAACGCTCGGCGAACTTTCGACGGAATTTGAAGCTTCTGATATGGACATTTTAAGTTGTTTCTCCTAATAATAGAAAAATTACATTGCAAATCGATGGATAATGTTTACCTCAAATAATCGAAAAGCTTCTGAGTGACGTGAAGAGCACATCGATACCTCGCCGAATTGTGCATTTCATGTACACACACATCATGGACTTTTTCCATTTCCGATGCCATTGTTTCAACCGAGCGAAGAGCCTAAACTCTCGAAATTAAACATCAATTTTTGCAATTAACACTTGTTACCGCCAGCAAAGTTTTTGATTCATTTGACTCGTCCTTTTTCAAAAATTCTTGAAGATCGTCCAATTTGTGCGAAGATTTCGCCAGACCGTCAAGCTGAAAATCATCGATTACACGAAGAAACTTGAATAGCGACTGTACCGCGTCGAATTTGTTGAGATGTAAGCGCGATAAGAGGGATACAGCCGGGTCGAGGTGTGAGACATCGCAAAGCAAATTGCAGATGTCGATCGACTCGTTTACTGTCCACCAAATCCAACAGTTTGTCTTCGACTCATCTTTCTCGTTCTGTCAAAGAGAACTGTATTCAATTTTTTAAAAAATGTATTACATTCGCAAAATAAAACGAACACCCTGCGCGCTGAGTTTAATTGTTCTTCGTAGTACGGTATGCGAATTTCCATTGTTTAAATCGAAATTTTGTTTGGCGCCCCGGACAAAAACGATTGTTCACAAATACCCAAGGTGCTCACTTTTTTTGAGTCGTAATAACAAGTATTATAGAAAATGCACTAAAATAGTTTAAATAAGCTGGAGAATCAAAGAGAACTTTTTTGACAATCACATTTTTTTTGAATTTTGAAATGTTGGTAAAAAAACGAGAGTCGTGCATAATTGTGGACCATCGCACTTTTCGATACGGTAATTCAAATTTGAATTTAATCAGCGGGAATTCGACTTTTTTGCAAATGTAATTATAAAAAAAATACCTTCAATTGTGTGTTGAACTCTTTTACTGATTCAATGCTTATTAATGCCCTTCTGAGTATTTCAATCACACAATCTGACCGAAGTGAGGGCGCTGCATCATTCGATTTCATCTTCTGTTGGTACAAATGCACGGCAAGCACAATTTGCTGACTAAGTAGGTAGTTTCTCATGCCTGTAGCAACTTATTCATTCAATTTCTTCATCAATCCTTAATAACAAACCAATATAGTGTGCTTGATCCTTTTCCACAACTCGATTTCCCATGCATACCAAAATATCAGGCCGATTTCGAACTGGAATGTTGAGCAATTGAGTTAGCCAACGTGGCGAGTCATGCTCAGAAGCACGAAGAACAAATTCATTGAAAAGTTGCTCGAGGTCGTCAAATATAGTTATTGCGAACTCAACAGCCCCAAAACTCCAATGAAATCTTCCGTATTCGACCATCGACACAAAATAATTGTAACAATCAAAATTTGGCTGTTTTCGCTTCTCATATGCGGTTTTAAGAGACGTATCCCAAATTTCAACGACCAAATTCAAATGATGGAATAGGAATTGTTGAAGAGACTGAACAAAACTTGTAAAAGCATTATGATCGGTGGTGTCGGGAAGTTCAAACAGCCTGTAAAAAATTATTTATTATTTTTATTATTTAATAATATTACTTGCTGTGATGCTTGCTAAAATCGCTCCTAATTTTATCCATCACACTTGCTTTTGTCTTCCTATCACGAATTCTCGATGTATTTATTATGATTATCCATTGAACGTCATTTTTCGAATTTAACTTTGCAAACCAGTCCGATACATTATGGCGAACTGTTGATTTGTACTCCTCGAGATTCTGTCGATATACCGATTTTCAATGAAAACTGATTAGAATGTCACTTACACCGACACTTATATTAAATATATGGAGATACGCTATCTTGTGCGCTTCTGCCGGATTAATTTGCGGACCAAAACATAAGTTTTCATCGAATGGTACAAATTTGAGATTGAAAGTGAGAAGATGCGGGAACACTTTATTGTTTCTGCAGAAAAAATATAACCAATTCATTTTCACACAAAACCATATTTTCACCTTTTCCATACCACTGGATTTCTTGCAAAGTGGGAGGCTAATGCATGTTGATACACAGAAAACGCGGAATCCGTGCCGCAATCTAAACATTTAAAATCTTCATGTTTCAATAAAATTTTGCTTACGAGTGATTAATACATGATTTTTCGTAAAACATCGTGCCACCCCATTTAAGTCCAAATCCTTACGATCCATATACCCTGCAAATAGTTCCCAATATCTACAAATGTGTATTTTTTTTTTCATTTATTTTAATTTTACTTCATTTTAAAATTATTTATTGCAAAAATAAACAAAATAAATGTTTTCACCGTCAGATTTGGTGCAAAGTCCGCAAACACCAGCAATGCGCTACACACTATCGCATCTCGTGCAATGCGGTTCGCTTTCGTACCTCACACTTTTAGGCCAGCGTCGCGTTCGCACATTCCGGCGTTCTTCGTTTATTCAGACATATTCAGCATAATGCAAATTAGTCAATTCAGTCGCTTTTTGTGTGAAATTGGATAAAAATAACAACTTTGCACACTCTGAATATATTCATTATTCTTTCATGATGACATCTCAAGTTCATAAACAGATAATCTCTGAAAATGCTCTATATATATTTTTTTTATTTATCTTTGTGGTCTAGCTAGGCGTTCCTCCGATTTCGGGCAGTTTCTGATTTAAAAAACGCTCCGCTATTTTATGAGCAAACAAATATGTTTTTTGTGATGATTCCTGCAGCGAGTAGTTTTATTTCATTGGCGTGATATCTTTTGCGCTTATTTATGAAATTTATTTTTAAATGCGCATTTTTAACATGGTTGCATTGGAAAAGTGTGTATTTTTCTAATGGGGCCTATTCATGCAAAAAAAGGTTTTTAAAAAATTACACATGTTTCCAATGCAAGTTAAGAAATGCTTGATATAATCTTTAAAACATTTTTTTGTGAAAAATTCAATTCATGAATAGGTCCATCAAACAATTTTTATTGTATGGACAAGTTCACTATTTCTTCCGCCGAAATTCAATCTTTTCGTTCTTTTTCGAAATGTTTCTTATATCGCATTCAATGGTCCAAAATGATTCATTTTTCCAAAAATCACAAGGTGGTTGTAGAAAATTTCTGCGTCTTTTCCCTCCGTTTTCAAGCCAGTTTTTGTTAGTCTAGTCGAATTGCAAATGGCGCCAAAGGACGCCACGCAATGTCTCCTTCATGCGCATGCTATATCCAATATACTTTCTGCTTCTTTCTGCTCTCTTTCTATTAATCATTCTAGAAGAGCCGTATAAACTCGTGTCTTTTTTCGCTGGCATCGTTGCCTTTCAGAAGGCGATGCCTTTATTGATTTCAAATCTGGCCGAGCTGGCGAGAAATTAGAAAATTAGCAATGTTGCCAGGCAACGGCCGAGACCTCTCTTCATCGATTTTTTTCTGCTAGTTGTTTTATATCAGTCTACGGTATTCATGTCTGCATACACGCAAGTTGGACCACTGCAGACACGCTCTTTGCCGTCTTTCTCTCCTAAATTCTAATAAACTTTTTCTTTACTCTCGCGTCGTTCCATTTTTACATGTGCGGATCGTCTGCCTTATTCGATGCGGCGCGTCTTATCGTTGGCTTTTAATTTGTTTTTCTTCTACCTAAAGCGTATTTTAATTTTTCAGAAGAATGTCTGCTCGCGGTGAAAGAATCATCAAGATCGTGTCTTCGGACAATGAGACCTTCCAGGTAATATTCAGACGAATGATGAACGCAAACAATCGTTGTTTCAGGTCCCACAAAAAGTCATTGGACTTTCAAACACTATTAGCACTTTGCTTCAAGATCTCGGATTTGACGATCATGACGGAGAAGTCGAGGAGCCAATCCCAGTGCACAATGTGAACTCGCAAATTCTCAAGAAGGTTATTATGTGGTGCCAGCATCATCACACTGATCCAGCTCCGGCCGAGGACTCAGACAATCGCGAGAAGAGAACTGACGACATCCCAAGCTGGGATGTCGAGTTTCTTAAGGTCGACCAAGGAATTCTCTTCGAGCTCATTTTGGTAAGGAAACGACAGCATCGTTATAATTATAACTTCTCTTTTGTTAAGGCTGCTAACTATCTGGACATCAAGGGACTCTTGGACGTCACTTGCAAGACCGTTGCTAACATGATCAAAGGAAAGTCGCCGGAAGAAATCCGTCGTACTTTCAACATCAAAAACGACTTCACTCCAGAGGAGGAGGAGCAGATCCGCAAGGAAAATGCCTGGTGCGAGGACTAAAAAAACAACCGCCACGATTTTAACGCATTAACTATTGTAAACTACTATATATATATATAATCCTGGAATCTTTTGGCGAATAAATCATTTATCTTTGATGCTCGGCATGTTTATTTTTGATTAAAAAAAAACGCAAATACTTAATCTTCATGATTAAAAACCTCCGGCAAAGCTCGACGAGTAAATGGCGTGAAGCGTCTTGGAGCGAGTTTGCAAATAATTTTGACGGTGATGAAAATGTAGAGAAGGAAAAGAATGACGGTCCAGCTCACAGCGCTGAAATGTTTGCCATATGTATTTTGATCAAAACGTTTTATGAAATACTAAGTGATGAAATCGGTGGCTGATTTCCGAATTGGCTGCGAACGAACGAAAGCCCAAGTCTGAACAGCACGATCCCACGAAGCACTCATGATTGTTGGTGTTCTTCTGACTGCAATAAATCGATATTGCAGATAATATTTCAAAACAAACCTGGCACATTAATTCCAAAGAACTTTTTGAGTTTTTCAGAATTGTATGGAGCACCAGCGGCTGGTGTCGTTTCACTTTCAGTGTCTCGCTTTGATTCGATGTTGTTCGAGTCGCGGCTTCCCTCTAAATTAATCAAAATGACAATTAAAACGACACAACCGGTATCACAAAATTGTTCGCATTATCGGCAATGATTAGATTGAAATTGTAAACTATATATGATTATTGATTGGCCGTTTTTTCAGTTATTTTATCGGATCTCACCATCTTTTGGCTGCACTGCTGTTTTCCCTTCGTCATCGGATGATTTGACCTCATCTTCAACGCCAGTGTCGGTTGATGTTGGAGATGAACTGAAAAAATGTATTTTCGCAACAATCTTCATTTAATTTCCAATCAGAAATATTCAGAATATATTCTTGAAACTCTCGTCTTATTATTTCGAAATTCAGAACACTATTCAACTTTTATTTGTGTAAATGTTGTCCTTGAAAGCAATTAGTTTGACGCTTCTACATGATATTTATGTTGACGTTTGCTTTTGAATCACAAAACAATCGAAATTCAACCATTTTAAATATACATACACTCGGGAAAGTCGTGCAGTTTTTGCAGACATTCTCAAGCAAATATACTTTTCAATATTTAATCAAACCTTCTTTGTGCATCGTCTTCGACTTTTTCGGTGGATTGGTCGGAATGATAAGATTCGTCGGGTTTCGGATCATCAACCGCTTTCTCCTCGGGAATTCTCTCAAAATGCTGAATTTAGAAATAAATAAATTAAGGAAGAACATACTTTAAGACTCACTGAACGAATTGGATTATAGTAGTCCATGGCTGTATGTACGATTAGTGGAAGGAGTAGAAAAATATTTCAATTTTGATTTGATTCTAATTAGTTTAAATTTTTTAAATCGACCAAATTCTTTATTTTCGCGCGATTTTTCCGTTCTATCATTTGAATAGATCAAATCGGCCCCTATGAAAAAAATTCACCCACTTTTTTTTGAATAGTTTTCCATGTGAAACACCGTTTTATGATGTTATAATCGGTGTTGTTGCAGACTAATCTCCAAACGACACAAATAGTCAAGATGTCTTGGGTCGTTTTTTATGGTCTTATAACGATTGTTTTGAAGGATAATTTGAGTGCTGTAATATTTTGTTATACCTAAAACATCGAAAAATTCCAAAAAAAATTAAAATATTATACAAAATTCCGTGTAATATCATATTCTAACTACAGCATAAATTATTTTTCACATGCAGACTGCGATTCGTGCGGGAGAAACAAAAGAAAACCACGATCATTCCCCTCGCACTAATTATCTGAATACTCATGTAGAACAATCGTATCAAAACCATTCTTCGTAAAATCTGTGCTCCTTTAACTTACTGTAATGTGCAAACACCTTTCATTGATTGCAACAGTTTTTCATTGTTCTCGTAATTTCTTGCGATTTTTAACAATGAGCAAAGTAAATGTTCTGGTCGAGACTTCAGATGGCATTACAATTCCAGTAAGTTAAAAAACAGTTAATTAAAAAAAAATTTTAAATACAGTTACCACCAAAGTTACGCGCACTATCGGGGACAATAAACACGTTATTGGATGTTTTACACGAAGAAAAAGGTGACGAAGCTGAAGAAACAATACCGTTACCTAACGTTAACGAAAGTACCTTTCGACAGATCCTTCGTTGGTACTATCATACTGAAGAACCTCAACCTGAACCGCCAGAAGATGCGCCTGCCGCGCCAGACAATCCGCGGAAAGACGAAATCGATGAATGGTATTTGCGATTTTTTGGCGAAATGGGACAAGGTTTAATGTTTGATACACTTAAAGTGAGTTTTGAAAATGATTGTTGTCAAAAAACAAACTGTCATACTTGTTATCGCTAGTTGTAAGTGCTTTTTCGTAAAATTTAAAGATCTAATTGAATACTTCTTCAAACAAACGCATCAAATTGATTGCTTTACACTTCCGTTCCGAATCTAACCATTTCTGAAACTCGCTGAAACACAGTGTTCACGTTTTCGATTTGTTGAATAGAACCGTATTTGCAATCATTTTCTTTTAACTTTTTCAGGCTGCCGACTACCTTGATATACCAGAACTTCTAGATATTGCGTGCAAGTGCGTTGCTCTCATGCTCAAAATGAGGACGCATAAAGACGTTTGCGAAATGTTTGGCATCACCGATCCCGGAATCACCGATCAACGCTACATATACCTTTACAATAAGTATAGTTGGTGTAGCGATTGATTTATATGCCGTAATGAACATTTGATAAGCTTGATAATCAGATTGTTAAGTTTCAAATGAGGCAATGCTCTCATCGGATTAAATACTAAAAATTCTCGTTTTCTAGACAGAAAAACAGACAGAGATAGGTTATCAAATGAGGTTTTGCAATCGTCAAAAGACTTCATGTTTCGCGAAATCGAAATGTTAAATCGATAAAATCAAATTTAAAAACACATTAAAAAAAATTGGGATCACCAAAAGACGAGGTAAATGAAGAATAAATCATTTATTTAAATAATTCGAAGGAGTCTTCTTGAAAACGTGAAAAAGAAATGGGATTAAAATTATTTGCGAAGAATGCTCATTTATGGTGTCCCTCGCGGAGCGACTCGGTCCAGTTTTTGGCCATTTCTTCCTAAACCAGACCATTAATCTTCAATCTATTATCGATCATCGTGAAATTTACCGGCTTCCCTACAGATTTCAGCATACCGCCGTTGCTCTTTTTTCTATATCGTCCATTCTCGTCAACATCATCATAGCCTTCGATATAAGTGTCTAAAGAGTGTAGATCTCAAGACGATATCGTAAAACAAACCTTACCATTATTCCACGGCGGTCGATTATCGAGACTTGATTTGGTTTGGCGCGATTTCGACGACTTTCTCGGCTGTTTTTGATGGTCCGAGCGAACTTCCTGAAAATTTTTGAACACATTTTGTCTTCTTATTCATTTTTTTTCGTAAAAAAATTAATCTTATCAATCTAATGATAAGATGTATTACTCTATGTGAGCATAATAAATTAAAATTCAGATGGACGACTAGACAATGTCGAAGATTCTTTGGAACGACACTCGAATGTGATTTTTAAACATTAAGGGAATTATGACGATCAAACTCGTCGGTATTAAAAAAAATTATCAAAATTGAAGTTGGAAGACTTCGAATTTCCAAAAAAAAATGAAACTCAAAAAAATGGAATTTCATAAATTATTTGACGAATAAGATTCTTAATATTTTAAAAATCCTATTGCAAACATTGTGTAATTCGGATCGGATTCGTTTAGATTTTCAAGATACTTAATTATACATTAAAATTAGGAAATTAATTTGCTGAATAAGAAATGAATTTAGTTATCCAAACATTCCCAATTTAATGTAAACTGGTAATTAAGTTTTTAAGTTTTTTTTAAAGTTCTTTTTAACGATCTGAAATTTTTCGAAAGACCTAAAAAACGAAATTTAATTTCACTTATTTTTTCTTTAAGAACGTGTAAATAAATTGCTAAGATTTATCTGGTCCGATTACATATAGAAGCAAGATTTTATAAACCTATGTTATTGTCGGCGTCAAACGACTGAAGTGAAGCGAAGTCTTCAATTTCACGAAATCAGTGTAGATTTAAATATATTTTTTAATTTCGTCAAGTCGTTTAACTTCGACAATAGAATACGATGAACTCCTGACAAGCTTGTGAGCTAGAAGCTCTAAAAATTCAAGTTTGCCTCTAATTTTACGGTTTGTCCCGATTCCGCACACTTATTGCAGTCTCAAATTTTAAAATTAATTTTCGTTTTTCTTTGAACTAAACAGAACTCATCAACATTTATAACTTACCAAATAAATTTCCGGCTAATGATTATTGGCACTCGCTTGAGAGAGTTTAACATTGATTGCATTTTACGAATTCAAATGGGACTATTTTAAAATTCTCACATGAATTTTTAGAAAACGAATATTCTCATTTGATGGGTGCCTTCTGAGAAGAAGATTTTTTAGCTCCAAGTTGGAACTCTATAGTTTAAATATTTATTTAAAAAATGATGAAAAAGAAATTATTTTTGAGTTTTTATCCACCATCCGACTTTGATTTGTATTCCGTAAACTTGAAAACGTCTCCTACACGAAGTTTGATAAAACTTTGCGCAACTTTATCAATATTTTTTGGCAAATTTTAAGCCAGGACGAAGTCCAAACTCGAAATAATTGATAAGATTTTTTGTTAATCAAGAAGAAACACGAAAAAAACGTGAAATTTTCAAATTTCGATTAATCGAACGAAAAATTTTCTGAAAATGTGTGGAAAAAGAAAATTCGAGAAACTTACGAAGCGATCGACCTGCGACGACATGGTTTCTTGACGACAAAAATGAAAAGGGCGATGGGTTTCGAAATTCCGGTTGCCATCGGAAACGTAAAGAATCCATTAGTTTCGGAATTCGTTTCTTCTAGAAAAATAAAAGACAAAGCATCGAGAGCGGCGAGAAAACAAATGTTTTTGTTTCATTTTCGGAAATTAAACATCCCGCGTTTCGGCGGCCCCAAATTCGACGATTAACTCGTTCGTAAATCAATTGTTTCTCGCGTCGCAAGCAGCATGTGTCGCTGGAAAAAAAACTTGCAACATTTCTGTGTCTAATTAATGACAGTTTTGAAGGTTACTATTCGATTATACCAGCGAGATGGGTTTGTTCGGCCAGACAATTGGCATGGTGTACAGATGATTACAAAGATAAAATCGTGTAGTTTGGGTTTCACGCCAAATTCTTTTTGAATATTCGTGGGGCACCATTTAATTTCTTTTTTGTTTTTTTGACAAATCACTAAATTCCAAAATAAGCAAGAAATGTTGGATTCAGGAAATAGTTTGAATTTCACCAGGAAACAAAATTTTTTTTTGAAAACTGACGGGTTAATGCAAACATTACAAAAAAACCCCTGCAAACAATTAGTTTTGTCCTTTTTTTTTTCATTGTTTGCAATGACCATATATTTTCATTTTTTGCCGCCATTTCAAAACGCGTTCTCTTTAACAAACTTCAAGTGTTTTTTTTTTTTCAAATTTTTATTGCGTTATATCACTAATAATCGGGTAAATATTACAAAAGACATATATTAAAGAAAATACTATAAAATGAGAAGAAACCGAGTGCAAAGCTCAACTAGATGGAATAATATAGAAGTTCTGTGTCATGGAAGCGAAGAAAACGAAACAAATTAAGCGTATTCTAGAAGAAATGAAATCTAAAATGAATACAGTAACCGAATACAGAATGCTTAATACTGTACATAGAGGTTGGCTGGATGATAGGATGGGAAGGGGGTGGTGAGAAAAGACGAAGATCACAACATTTACATTGGGTGGACTGAAAAATCTGATGGTGCAAATACTGAACAGAGACATAACATGATTTCTTTAAAAACATTTTTGAACCCGCTGAGATGCATGAAAAAAAAAATAATAAATTTATGTTTTAATATGTTCCCGAATTCGGTAGATCAAAAGACCGCTGGCGTTTGCGGTGATAGATGGGGTGAAGACGGTGAAGTGGCCGCCTCATCATCGTCCCGCGTCGAGTTTGGCGACGTTCCGGATTCTTCGGATTGCATGAGTCCTGGAAAAAAGACAACATTTTTCGGAGGGTTCCCATCAACTATACGATTTCAAATCAATCATTTTGTGCTTAAATGTTCGGGGTCACCACCGAACACTGCTTAATCCCATGTTTCTCCGGTTTCTATTTTTTTTGGCACGTTTTTTTCTTTCACATTTTCCATGTGCTCTTCCAATACCATTGTTCGGGTTTATTGAACAGTCAAATACTAAGCTGAGAAAAAAAAGTGAATGAAGAAACGTGTGCAAACGTTATCAATTCGTACGAACACCATGTTCGACACGTACGATTATCAGTTTGCATTAATAATGTAATAGTGCTCTTCGCGAATCAGCACAAAGCTAATCGGCTTAAATTGTCGCCAATATGTCATTGCACCGACGAGTTAGATGTTTTTTTTTTCTCTCTGATGTTACAATTCATCAAATATGTTACCTGCATTCGGTTGGCTTCCTTGTGAATTGGCTGCTCCATTCGCCGATGCTTGATTCATTGAGAGAAGGGCAAACGGATTCAAGTTGAACATGAACGCGGGATTCGCCATGGCTGCTTGACGCATCACTTCCATCATCTGCGGATTGATCCGCGCGATCTGCATAATGTTCTCCTGTAAATTCTTCTGCGCCTTCGCGGCTTCTTCCAGTGCGTGGCCAGCCGCGATCGTGTTCTCATCCGATGACGGCGAGTCCTTTTTCGCTTCATCTGTCGCAACATCGGCAATCGACCAGATCTTCGGTTTTTTGGGTGTCAGATCGTCTGAGGACCCTCCAGAAGGCGTTGGTGACGAAGCATGACGTTTGCCCATTAATGATTCCTTATTCCTTTCGGAAACTGTTGAAGCTGAACTTGAAGGTCGTTCCATATTATCGGCAAGATCATCATCATCATCGTCATCGTCTGAAATTTAGAATATGATTGAAGCAATTGTAGGTGACACCCAAAAAAGGTGGGTGCAATGCCAAAATTGCGCATACCTCCATTTCTTCGGCAATTCTGTGGCAACCAAGTCACTTTGTTCTCCTTTTTCAGCCTTCGTCGAGCATTTGCGAACCAAGTGGAAACCTGCAATTCAAATAGTTGCGATTTGTGTGTTTTTTCGCGCCCAACGTGTCGCGATATTTCACAAACGAAACACATTAATTAACTGGTATCGCGAGACACCATCTCACTCTCTCTCTCGCTCATCTCACTCGCATTTCTCCGTTTCAAAACCTTGACAATTCGAGAAATGACTAACTTAAAACAACATTGAAGGACGACATAGCCCCCCCCCCGGTACATCGTGTTATGAATTGTGCAAACACCATTTTCGACTGACTTTAATGCGCGGTTTTTGTCAATTTTATAGGGATTCACACGCGAAAATCATTTGATGTGTACTCACCTGTGTTAGTGTCATACGCGCCTCCATTGCCAGCAGTACTTTGTCACCTTTCGTCGGGTACGGATTGCGGCTATGTGCATGAAGCCACTTCTAAAACACCAACAAATTAAAGTAATTGATTGAGAGCAAAAACAAAAAACGACAACCTTCAAAGGAGCTGTGGCGTCGCGAGAAATATTGCGCTTCTTCATACCGTCGAGCCCGTATGGATGATAGAGATGAGAATTATCGATGAGAACCGGGAACGGATTCGGACCACCGGCCATGGCAAGCATCTCGGGTTTGTAGTCCTGAAAATCGAAAGTTGGCCTAGTGATTCAAAACACGGTGTGAATGTTTGTTCGAAATGTCAATTCGTATCAATTTCATTCGGCTACGCGATGCGCAAGGCCATTTACAACAATAATAATAATAATAAGTGATGATAATGAATGACGAACCTGTGGTAGCCCTGGCGGATATACCGGGTATCCCATGGCGGCACGAGCTGCCTGGGTGGCCATCGCCTGTGCAAGAACCGCCTGCGGGAACTGAAACTGCCCGAACAGCGGGTTGCCGGGCACTGGCATGAAATTTGGAAGCTGATTATTTCCGGCTGGCGGAGTTGTGCTCGTCGTCGGCGCCGAGTTTTGGCTCTCTTCTGTTGCTTTTGGTGTGAGAAGCTGCAAAAATGAAGGAGATGAGAAATTGAAGCGAGAAATGTGGCTTCATACCGGATTGAAGGTCGGATTGAAAGCCATCATTCCGCTGTTGCAAAAAACCTGAAAGCATCGAGCAATTGATAAGAGAACATCAATCAAAGCGACACGGGGTTGGCGGGAGGGGAAAAAAACGAAAGAAACGGACGGAGAACACGCAAACGTCGCCTGATTGCACGGATTGCAAAGAAGGCGTGTCACTTGTTCGACAACTTGTTGAGCATAGTCGACACGCCCCGCCCACCCATTCGGCGACGGGCCGACCAACCAATAAGCGACGCGCAGGTGGGCGTGGCCTCCGAAAGCTCGACGGGATTCGTCGAGAACGCGTAAGCAAGCAAACACGCGACGCAAATTGAAAAAAAAAAATTGAAAATGAAGAAGTAAAATGGAAGCAGTCGGACACAATAAAGGTAAAAAAGGTTGTTGTAATAAACGAAGTGGACACTACCTACCATCGTCATCGACCATTAGTGTAATACTTTTGTGCGGAAAGTCGTGTTAACATGGTCAAAACTTTTTTTTGCTTCTATTACACAACAATGCCCAAATTCGGACAGTGTTTCTCTTATTGTTTGAATGTCTCATTGTGTGACCAAACGAACTCGATAACAATCGAATAAATAAAGTAAATGAGGAAAATTGGGGTTCAAGCGGATACCGAAAGCTTCATCGTTTGATAGTTTTTCTTTTTTTGCAGTGGATGAATTGCAACAAGCGCGAATGAGCAAATACGTTTCCATTAAAGGCAAATGCCGGCGGCCGGGGGCACAAAAAATGTAATTAACAGATTTTTTTGCACAAAACAAGCAAAACATGAATGAGATGGAAGTAGGCGATAAATGAGGAAACGATGGGGAAAAAAAACGAGGGGAAAACTCATTTCGCGATGAAAATTTCTTGTCAACTTTTCATCGAATCGTTAACTGGTCAAGAAACCACCGGAATAAATATGTGAGTGTGGTGAGAAGATGGCGATGGTGGCGGTGGTTTGGAGCGGGCAGACAGAGCGGCGTGGGGGGGGGGCAGTGACAAAAAAATGGGCGGAGTCATGTTTTGCGATGTAGTTGACTGCGGGCCTCGAGCGAACCGATGTAGGCGGTGCAAAATGGGACCAGTTCGCACCTAGCTGCCGACACGGATCATCGTTTTGCTTTTGGCAAGCATGAGGCACACAACCGTGCCATATCAATTAACGGAAGCGACACATTCTTGAAACATGACATGAAGATTAAGCCGATATTCAACAAGTCGTTGTTCGTAGAAAAACGACCCCAAATTAGTATTGTTTGGTACACTTCTGAGGACCATCGAAAACTGTCTGACTGCTAATCCGATCGCGTCGACCTTCGGAATCCTCAGATTTATGATCATCATTCAGCGATGCCTATCTTTATCACTTAGTATTGCGTGTTTTATTCATGTACATGCCTAATTGCAGTTACGAAGATCAAAAAAAGACAAGGAAAAAGTATGGTTTTAGTGCCGTTGCTCAATACACACACACATACACAGCCATAAGCATTGACTGAGTGACATATATACACACTTTTACAAACATACACACTCACACAAAATGTCCTCAAACAAACTCTTGACAATCCGTGTTAACGATATGTTAACGGCTGTATTTCAATGTTTGTCGCAGATTTTCGAGCGTTGTGCGTTTCGCGTGCCAAAAAAAAAACTGTGACGAAAATGCTTGTAATCGAGTGCAAATTTACAAGGTGTGAACTTGGAAAATCGGGGTGACGAAGGCATCACTTGGTGAGGCGACCGGGTTAACACGAAGTCGGTGAGATTTTAGGTGTGAATTAGTAAGTGTTACGGTAGTTAGCACTCCGCAATTGCAATCACGCAAAAGGGAACCAATTTTTGTTTTTCTCAAGATTTCTTCTTTTTCAGTAAACTACAATTTTTGGTCAATTTAAAAATGTTGAAAGCCGATTCAAATCCTATTTTGTCATATAAAAACGTGAAATTTTGCTATTATTATTATTATCTCTTATAATTTTTGATAGGACATAGTCAAAAGATTTTATTTTTTAGAAGCGCATAAAGTCCCGTGGATTCGTTCGAAGAGAAAACGCACTCGGTGGGTATTTTAATTAAAATTTTCGAAAAATCTAGGCTAAATCTGGACACTTGTTGAACATGATGCGATGATAAATGAGCAGAGATGCAAGCGTCGAAATGCAAATGAGTTGAACATGCATTCATCGCGAAAACATATGCCTTTTCGAATCAAAACGCGCGATCCCGGAAATTGCCTAAAATATATCGGATTGCTTTTCGATGCACACCCGCTCGGTCGCTTTCTACCAAATAAGCACTTATGAATATTTGAACTGTAACATATCTCCTAGGTCAGACACCTGTAACTGTCGGCGAGTTCATTGAGAATGAAGACGCATGTGTGGACACACATACGCGTTAATTATGAGCTAAGTCGTTGTGGGGTTGGTTGCGCGGCGGCATGATAGTGTTGCGCGCGCACGCAGGCGGTCCAACAGCTCGTATCAATCGGTGGGTTCGAGTTCACCACGATGACGACTATTAATTAAAGGATTTCGAGGTGGTTGAGGAGGACACCTGATTAACCCGAGAATGGTTACTAAAGGGTTGGGAGGACACCGAGTTGGTAGTGATGCGAATTCAAAACGTGCTCGTTTTGTTTTCATTAGCCGTTTCGAACATGTGTCCCCGGAAATGCCGTCGCCTCCTCCCATTCGCCACCTCCCACATCGCCGCGTGCGATAAATAATAAATCATCGTTATCGTTCCGTATGTTGTGCGAATGTTATTAGGAGGACTAGCCTTGGATAAGCTACAAGATTTATTTCATTTTTTAATCGGCCGAATGAACGAAACTCGGTTTTTTGCAGGCCTTTTGAGCCTAACAGTAGAAGAAGAATGAAACTCAAAAAAGAAAAGTTGCATGTCAAACTGGATTATTATATTTGATTCTAAATACAGAAACTGGGAAGATGAAGCTGAAGGGTGCGATGTTTACGAGAGAAATGTCGAGGATAGATTATTTTGATCTACTAGGTGTGTTTCTATAGCCCGGCACATCCAACGAGCGCACAACTTTCTTGACGACACCTAATAAATAAAATTAGTGTGCAATCGGAAACCGCGAACACGCGTATCGGAAAATAATGCGACAGCAGGGGGATTTGGCGAGAAGGACGTCGCCGTAGGGGCCCGCTCAAGGTGTCAGGTGTCCCCCGCGGAATGATAATGCGTGAATTGTGACAACACCAATTCCAAAATCGCGGTTGTGCTTGCCCCCAGGTAACAAGACGCGGCTGTCGAATGATCAGTGTTTCGAGTCGATGAAAACGACGTGTCGCAATTGATAAATTGTCGAATGCTCGCTGACGATTTATAACCGCCACGGCGCTCAGGAGTCGTGTTTTCGCACTGAAAAATGATCGTCGCCGTTGGTGTTTCGGCGTGTGCGAACAACGTTGTCCCACGTCAATCACACCGATTGTTTATGTTCGCACTAGAACAACAAAAACACAAACAAAACAACGATGTTTCGCACATTGTTTATACACGCACACACACATACGGAATGTGTGCTCCGGGATGTCATCCCAAGGACGATTTTCGTAGCAAGGTGTTGCTCGGCTCATCCTTCACCTTTTATGGCTCATTAACGACATTTATTGCTTAATTAATAGGTGATGTGGATAAACATTGAGATGGATATCGCATCTATGACGACACATGTTATAGGATCGAGCAGCGACCACTGTATGGACGCTGGGATCGACATTTAGTGTTAGCTAGTGTCTAGAAGTGTTGATCTACCTTTAAGGGAAGCGCTTCTTCTAAGAATTCTATATTTGGATTTTTAAGTATGCTGTATACAATTACTATTTGGAAATAATTGAGACTTGAAGAGAATTTCCAGATGAGCATGAGTGGTTTGTCACGATTCGAGAATGGCATAGCAATTAAAAGTGACAAGAATAACAGAGGCGGGAAGTGAGTAATCAAGACGGGTGAAGGTCTCGTCTCTTCCAAATCCCGATTATGCCATCATCATCTGTAGCTCTCGCGGATGGCTGCATATGCAATAATCACCGACGAAAACATTGCGGGTTTCGTAATCGCCAGCGATGATCGCTGCTGATTTTCGACGAACTCGAATATGAGGGCGATGTTACACACACACACACGCACACTCGCCTTCAGTTTTGATAGGCAGAATTGCGCAACAATTGGATAATCAGGGTCAGAAAAAATAACTAGCACAACAAGGTACTTCATTAGCGACAAGAGTTATTTTTTTTCCGGTGTTGGCTCGGATGGCGTGAGAACGAACACCACCTGCGGCGGCGGCGGCGGCAGCGGAAGGAAGGCTCCGTTGCATGTGGGTCCGTCCAGTTCACGCGTTCCGCACCCACAGCCACATCATCTGTGTTTAAAATGTGCAAACAATCGCGCATATGCGCATTTTGTATGCACATGTGTATGTGGATTAAGCGTTTTTGATAGTTATATCCACTAATGCGACCGTAATGAGTATATTATATACAATAAAGCGCAGCGGCGCATTGTCAACGACACGATGTTTGTTGAATGTTGGGGGAAAAAATCAGATGTGACGAGAAATGTTCACACACAAAATTTGAAAAAATGATACCGTATTTCAAATGGCCATTCGAATGATATTGGAAAATTGCTATACGAATTGCCTTTGAACGGAATTGGCCTCGAAATCGAAGGCTTTTCTCACACCGAAATGCCTTCGACTGAAATCGGGGATCGGCGACTTCCTAGATTGTGATGCTGACTCGAAGCCCCGCGAACCCACATTTTGAAGTGCTTGAAATGTTATTGTTTTGTAAATATGGATGAAGATGGGACACCTAATTAACCGCTCTTCTCAATTACAGCTGGCCTCTTCTCCGGCTCTCCTCTTTTAGTCAAGGACTCCGGATGCACTCGGCTAAGTGCAGCAAACCTACTTGATTCTGTAACCATGTGTTTGCACACATTTATTATGATATATCCGGGCTGGCCACACA